TATTAATAAGAAACAGCCTTTATTACTTATTAAGCTCTTTGCCTCTAGCTCTCTATAAAATCCTAGAGTATGCTTTATTAAGTATAAGCTTCTCTACCCTTTTACTCTTAGTTTATATTAACTTTATTAATACTTATTATTAGTATATCTTTATTTTAAAGCTAACTACTTACTAAGAAAGTTTAGTTTCTACTATATTAATTATAAAGCTTCTTCTCTAAGTAGACTACTAATAAATACCTTATTAGCCTTTAATTTATATAATATAAAGCTTTACTATATAGTAAATATAGACTTATCTCTCTTAAAGAGAGGCTTTATTTTAATTAGCTTTTATTTTAGCTTATATAGTAGTATTAATTATATATCTAAGTAAAGAGAGTATAAGGAATTATTTAGTATAGTAAGTGCTAATCTAGAGAATATAATATACTACTATATAAGTTTATAAATTAGTTATATCTAGTTATTAATAGTTTTCTAGAGAGTAGCTACTTTAGCCTAAGTACTTAATAGTATTATATTGCTAGCTAATAGTAAGTTACTCTCTATAAAGTTTAAAAAGTATTTATTTATTATAGTAAAATAAAGTTTATAGTATATTAAAAACTAGCTTTATAAGCTACTATATATAAGTATTACTAGTATTAACTATAAACTTAAGAAGAGAAAAGAGAGAAAGAGAAAGCTCTTTATTTCCTCTTTTTCTTTTATTATATATATATAAGTTTAATATACATTTAAAGCGTACTTAATAAGGCACTAATATAGTGCCTTATACCTACTCAAGCCTACAGCTTGAGTCTATTACAGTGCATCTGTTAAGGACTAGCCTCACAGGCAACTGCGTGTAAGCGTTACTTGTATTAATTATAAACTTAAAGAGAGAAAAGGAGAAGGAGAGATTCCTCTCCTCCCCCTTTTTATGCAACTATATAGGCCCTAGTGTGCATCCGAAGAGTAGTTATATGCTCTCTGTTAAGGTTATCTGTTTATTGACTTTAACTGTTATAAACCTGAGCTGATAGCTTATGTCTATGCAGTTGGAGGAAGCAGGGACAGCCCTTGTCTTTCTTTCTTCTCTTAAGTTTGTACTTAAGTAGTTAATACCAGTATTGCTAACATGGAGCAGCCTGCAAGGCTAGTCCTTACTATCAATGCCCCGTATTACTCTGCCACTTGGTTACTAGTGGCTACCCTTGACATCACGTTATTGCCCCAAACCAAGAGAATTGTGACAGCATTTGAGCTAGTCCAGGCGTCACTTGAAAGTGGCATAGTGTTTGAGCAGGAGTCATACCTCCGCAGGTCATCTGCGATGCGGCTCATTGCGTTCGTTCATCGGCATCGACAATCCTCGAGTGTTTCCTGGCGGACGAATAGTGGCATAAGTGCTTGCACGTCAGTGCCTGGACACAAATACAACTTTTTATGCTGACAAGCGGCATATAATATCGGTCATTTTTGTGGGATGGACTGCGGCAGGCTAATAGTAATGAAAAGTGGTAGGAACATTAAAGTTTGCTATCAAAAAGGACGGTGAAATTGCGGCGACGGAAAGGAATACGTATGGTGAAACACATTGCTGAGCATCATCCTAGCGCCAGCCTGCGTCGGGCCCACTCGAACCCCAGAATCGGACGCGCAGCTCACCTACACCGGGCCTGGAATTGATTAGTACACCGTGCCCTGGCCCCTCCGCAAACTTCACAGCGTGCCTCCGGTGGCGGGGAGCTCGAACTTTTCGTCTATCATTTCTTTCTGTCATCAATGTCCTGCTTTCCTACTCGCGTTCGACTCTCCATCCTAGATCCTACGGCTCTGGCCAAGAGATTACATTGCGCCGGGCCCTCAAACTTGCCTCTCGTTTCCCTGCCGGTATTAGCAATTTAAGGGCTGTCTCAAGCCGACCATCACCGCAATATGGCTTCGTTCAAGCCTACTACCGTCGGTGGCACCAAGAGCATCGCAGGTTCTGCTAATACAGATCTCGATGGTCACAATCTTCCTCCGTCTCCAGCCCCGTCAAGCCCCCGGAATGGCCGCAGACGCTATGCTTTGGCAACCGAGTTGGTCTACACCGAAGGCAAGGACCAGTATGGTGCCTCAAGTATCCCTATTTACCAATCTGCAACATTCAAGCAGACGTCTGCTTCTGGTGGTCAGCAAGACTATGATTACACACGATCAGGCAATCCGACGCGAACGCATCTCGAGAGGCATCTCGCCAAGATCATGAATGCAAATCGTGCACTTGCCGTGAGCTCCGGCATGGGTGCTTTAGATGTCATCACTCGGCTCTTGCGACCCGGTGACGAGGTTATCACTGGAGACGACCTGTATGGTGGTACACACCGCCTTCTCACATATATGGCCACGAATCAGGGTATCATTGTTCATCATGTTGACACCACAAAAGTTGATCTTATTCGAGCGAGAATATCCGACAAAACAGCTATGGTCTTATTAGAGACTCCGACGAATCCTCTAATCAAGATAGTAGACCTGCCTTCTATTGCTCGAATGGCTCATGACGCCAATTCCAAGGCGCTAGTCGTAGTCGACAACACCATGCTCTCTCCGATGCTATGCAATCCGTTGGACTTGGGAGCCGACATTGTCTACGAATCCGGCACTAAGTATCTATCTGGGCATCACGACATAATGGCCGGCGTGATTGCTTGCAACGAAGCAGTGATCGGGAACAAACTATTCTTCACAATTAACTCGACTGGTTGCGGGCTGTCTCCCAACGACTCGTTTCTCCTTATGCGTGGTGTCAAGACTCTTGCCATTCGGATGGAGAAGCAACAAGCCAGCGCACAGGCGATCGCTGAGTTTCTCGAGTCTCGTGGTTTTCGTGTCCGGTACCCTGGTCTTCAATCGCACCCACAATATGAGTTGCATTGGTCCATTGCGCGAGGGGCTGGTGCTGTCTTGTCCTTTGAGACTGGAGATGCCGCCATGTCAGAGCGAATCGTGGAGGCAGCAAGGTTGTGGGCCATCAGTGTTAGCTTCGGCTGTGTCAATAGCCTCATCAGCATGCCGTGTCAGATGAGCCACGCCAGCATTGACGCAAAGACGCGTAGAGATAGGCAGATGCCTGAGGACATCATTCGCCTCTGTGTGGGAATAGAAGATGTCAATGATCTGATCGAGGATTTGTCCCGTGCGGTAAGCATACATCGTCCTTAAAAACCAGTCAAGACACTATTTGCTATAGTACTGACTGGAAATTACAATAGCTCGTTCAAGCTGGAGCAGTAACTGTGACATTGGATGGGTTTCATGCAACTGGTGCTGCAGCAGAGCTAGGCAAGACACCGCTGTCCAACGAGTAAAGGCAGATTAAGATTTGAATATTAAACTACAAAACGAATCTTGACTTGAATACTTGATACATCACATGCACTGTTTACACGACTTGTGTGCAACCCCCCCCCCCCAAAAAAAAAAAAAAAGCAGAGGCTTCTGCATGAGTGGTTTCTGAAATGGTTAACTGAGCTGTAGCCAGTCCATCACACGACGGAGCCTGGAGCGTGCGCTTCGCCTGCGCTGAGCATTCGGGCAGTCAAGGGTCCACGACGTAGAGAGCCCTTGCCACAGTTTTGCCAAGATTATAGAATAACGCCGCCGTTTCCCAACCGGCAAACAATTCATCATTGCACCGACCCCTCTTTAGGGTAGTCTGGGGAACACAATGGCAGGGTGGGCTCAATCCTCCTGACCGCAACAAGTCAGCTGATCCCTTTCTGACAATGTCGACGGGGCATGTGTAAGAATATTGCCGAGAAGGGAGAGCTGAGTTATCCGTAACTGCTATGCAACAGATCAGCGAAAAGAGCAGTCGATCTAGCAGCAGAGCTTGCCTGCTAGAAGAACCGAAGCCGTTGCATTGCTAGAACAAGCCGTTCCGAAAGCACATATTATCTTCACGTGCGTGGCGAATGACGACGCGGTGCGGGATCTGTTCAAGATCATACGCCATGAATGTCCACGGGAAGCTTTTCCTTGACCGCTCCACCATCCATATCGATGCTACAGAAAGCATCGCAAACGACGTCGCGGATGCTAACACTGAGTTTGTAGTCGCACCGTTATTTGGCGCACCAGCCATGGCAGATGCCGCTGGCCGGCCTATCGGGGTTCTCGCAGGGCCAAGAACTAACTAGTTTTGAGAAAGCAGAACCTTAGTTTCACGGAGTCATGGCTTGAACCGAGATTGGCCTGAGTGACCAGCCGTGTAGCAAAGCAACAACGCTGAAGTTGTTAGGCAATGCATTCATATGGAAAATGGTCGAGCAACTCGCTGAGGCTCGTGTCGTCGCAGAAAAATCTGGCCTCGGAACTAATGTTTTGCACCAATTCGTTTCGGAACCATTTCCTGGCCCGTACACCCCATACTCAACCCGTATGCTTACTAGGGATTACTACAAGTACAAGAAACCTCTGTTCGCTGTCGACCTGGCTCGACAGGATGCAAGCCACGAAAGAAGTTGAGCACAGTAAGCTTGGACGGAAATAAAAAGGCTTGAAGTTGCCGACGTACATCTTGCCAGGGTCAGGCAGCACTGTGGCGAGGCGGGAGACATTGCGGCAGGGTTGCAATTTGAAAACGATGCTTGAGGGTTCTTGAGCTCTTGATTTTTCCGTGCGATGTGCTAGCAGTTCAATACTTAGAGAACATTGACTACCTATGTAGACATAAACATTGGTTGCTGAGAATCAGATAACTATGCCTGGTAATATTACGACTTCTGTAAGGAGCCAAAAGACCTTCTTCTCATAAATTCGTACTACTACACGTGGAGCAGCTGACCCCTGCGACACGGTAGACTGATGACTAAGCATGGAAGTACTACTAATAGTTAACTATTTGTTTGTTGGAACTTGGCTCCACCTCATTGCTGACGCAAAGACCTCTTTGAGCAGACTATCACGAACGTCACGTCTCACCACGAATTGATGAACTGTCTCCTGACACTGCCAAAAGGCGTCAAAAGTTCTCCAATATGGCTCAAGGGTGATTGATTTCCGATAAAATGCGAGCTCCACGCGGTTCTAACCCTCTGCTCCAGGTATGCAGTCTTCATCGGCCTCTTAATCATCGTCGCTCTCTGCGTTGCGTCATGGGCCCTTGCTCCCAAGGGCGAGAACCAGGTGTATGTGCACCTTGAAAACCTCATCTCAAACTGCACGAGTTGTTGACTTTCGCTAACATTTGTCTGCAGCCTATGGCGATCATCCCTGATTCTTTCTATTGTTAGCTGCTACCTGATGTGGGCGATAACGTTTCTGGCACAACTCCATCCCTTGATCGAACCGAAGAGAAACGACTTGCGGGAGGAATTCTTAGGTCACTAGAGATTGACTCTGACAGTTCGTGTCAGAGCCTCAGCTGGTTCTGTTGTCGTGTGGATGGGCCAGAATCAGTCAAACGTGTTTATCATTGTACGAATACTGCGCGTTCGATTTTGGCTTTTTTGTTTGTTTGGGAGACCAACATGCCCCCTTGCTGGGACTTGAGTCGTCTTAATTCTGTGTACTGTGCATAGACACGGCTTTGATACCGAGGTAGAGACGCAATGGATAAATGGCAAGGTCCGGTGACCGCCAAATCTCATGACGTCGGCTCTGGTGGCGATAATACCCGAAGCCTCCACCTGCTGTTATCATGGAAGCGGTCGGACCGTTATACATGCATTGGTTTAGCAGTAGAATTTCCGAGGCCTGGTGCGGAGTGGTTCTAATATAGAAGCACCATGGCTTGATTGCCACATCTACCCACACTCGTACACTTCCCGTATCAACCGACAGCTAATCGGCAAGCCCAATCTCTTGCTAGCATCACCAACGCCCAGAGTGCTTTCCCGTCTGCAGCAACACTACTTTCGCCAATAGAGTCTACGTCCCCTAGACCAGCCACGGTCAATACTAGTCTTCCCACTGCCCATCTAGACACTGCACCGGCTATTGCGAGAATACAAGCGGTGTAATATTTGCAGTCTAGCAAGATCCTGAGAGCCTCAACGTTATTTGCAACTACGGCCCAGCCTAGTGATCTAGCCGCAGCTGGAACATCGTACTCCCATATAACCATTAAGATAGGAAAGAGTTTTGTTGATGACGATACTATAAGTGCGGTTGACACCGAATTTGCACGTGCATGTCGCGGGGTACTCCCAAACGCGTTCAGAGGCGACACTGGGGAGCAGGTAAGAAATCGAATGCTAAGATGGAATGCCAGCGTCGATAAGGCGCATAATATTAGGAAGAAGAGATATTGTACCACAATAGGTTGTTGCGCAAGTCTGCCTAGATTACTCCCTCCAGGAACCGCAGCTGGTACCGTCTGCTTTTCAATGCGCGCCCACGTTAGGTAGACATCGAATAACAGGAGAAGGACACCAAGACGAATGATGGAAGGCTAGTTTTCCGGCGATAATATTGTGTCAGTCTGTAGACGCACGGTTTCTGAGAAAGGCGATTGTCATCGTCTAGGATATGGACCGGCTGAACCCAAGGGCGTACGTACATCGAATCGATCGCCATCTCGCATCAAAGTGTTGTGAAGGAGGTGTCGATACACCTGCTTGAGGGAACGAGTCGCCACTTAGTCAACCAAAAGCACGCGGTGTCAGGAAAAGAACGACGGAAAGCGTACCTGTGGCTTGATCAAGACAAGATCTATGAAGAGAACGACAAAGTCATGCTCCACATACTTATCGCAAAAACGGCCGCAATTGCGACAGACAGTCAGTCGAATATTGTGCCCGCTGGACTTGTCGCCAGCGCCGGAGTATTGAGTCCATAGCGTCTTGACCGGATGTCGACACTCGATGCAAATCGGCATCTGATCCGCGACTTCAATCTTGGATAATGAATGATGGGTGGTTCGCGCAGAAGATGCCGTGGTGTGTATGAGAACACACGTGTCTAGGCAGATACCTCAGTAATCAACGTTTGCGCGGTTGGTAAATCGAGCGCGTGGAAATTGGATGGTTGACGCTTCAATGTTGCGTGTTAGATATGCCAGTGCCAGTGACAGTGGACTCGAGCTGCTAGCTCGTGGCGGCGCCTTGTCGGATACTCTTCGGATGCTTAGAGGTAGAGTGTATATAGCTGCTTCTTTTCTCTTTTCTCTTTAAAAGTTAATAGATAGTAATAGTAACGCTTATATGCAGACACCTGTAAGGCCAGTCCTTACCAAATTTCTCTACTTCCTCTTAGTATCCTCTCTAATAATAGAGGTTTAAAAAATTAAAGTTGAGAATATCAACGTGATTTTCTAAACCACCCTCTCACATTGAACATTATAAATCACGTGACTAATCTCACTCATGAGCGAATAGGTGGCGTCTTCGGCCGCAATACTGGTGTGCTTGTCGATTGACAGTTCAATCGGACGTCTCAATAATGTACAGCTACTCCGCAGCGGTTTCTTTGCAAGTGCCTATCCGCCACCTGCACACGCGAGGACTGCAAAACTCGTTGTCGTTCGCTCCTTAACACGTCTATATCATCGCATCAGGCTGCAGCGTTCTGGTAACCAGCTTGTGCCAAAGGGCCTTGCAAAGCCTCCGCGGCCAGCTGGCATCACCTTTATTGTTGTCTTCCTTTAACTGAATCCTGACGTAATTTGCGACATTGATATACCAGTCGCCAAAATGGCGGCAGCCACTCGTTTTGCCTTCCTGGCCACGGCCGTGATATTCCATCTGGTTTACATGTATTCTATCTTCGATATATATTTCGTAAGCCCTATTGTGTCTGGCATGCAGCTCTTCAAAGTTGAACGTCGCCATTCCTCGAAGCCTCCCGCTGACAGGCTAGTTTTCTTTGTTGGCAAGTACATGAAGTCGCTCCGAATTGTCGCCACGAACATGCTAACAACCTCCCGATGCAGGTGATGGCCTCAGAGCAGATAAAGCCTTTCAATCATTTCCCGAGCCGTATCCTCAGGACGACAGGGACCTGATACCCCGGCCCCTCGCACCTTTCTTGCGATCCCGCGTGCTCAAAGAAGGCACTTTCGGTGTGTCCCATACCCGTGTGCCCACGGAGTCCCGTCCGGGTCACGTTGCTCTGATCGCTGGGTTGTACGAAGATGTTTCCGCCGTCGCCACCGGCTGGAAACTCAATCCTGTCAATTTCGACAGCGTCTTTAATCGAAGTCGCCATACTTGGAGCTGGGGTAGTCCAGATATACTGCCCATGTTCGAAAAAGGAGCTGTTCCAGGTCGGGTCGATACATACATGTACGAGCCAGAGCTCGAAGATTTTAGTCAGGATGCCCTTCGCCTTGACTACTGGGTGTTTGACCATGTTCATCACTTCTTTGCTGAGGCTGCAAAAAACCAGACCCTTAACAAAGCCCTTCACCAGGACAGAATCATTTTCTTTCTACACCTACTTGGGCTTGATACAACTGGACATTCCTATCGGCCATATTCAAAGGAGTACTTGAACAATATTAAAGTAGTGGACCAAGGCGTAAAGGAGATAACAAACCTTATCCAAGGGTTTTATGCAGACGACAGAACGGCCTTTATATTCACCGCAGATCATGGTATGAGTGACTGGGGCAGCCACGGTGATGGTCATCCAGACAATACCCGCACCCCTTTCATCACGTGGGGTTCCGGCGTGGCCGCTCCTGAAGTGTATCCGGGTATTGTTGCCCCAGGACATGATGCGTACTCATCAGATTGGGGGCTTGACCACGTTCGCCGACACGACATTAACCAGGCAGACGTCGCCGCTTTGATGTCCTACCTGATTGGCGCCGAGTTTCCAGCAAATTCGGTCGGAGAGCTTCCTCTGTCATATCTCGCCGCAGACAACAGTGAGAAGGCTCATGCATCGCTTGTTAATGCCAAAGCCATTTTGGAGATGTATCGTGTCAAGGAGGAAAAAAAAAAGACCAACGAATTGCGGTTCAGAGCATACCCCGCATTTGACGGAGAGGGTTCTTCCCCTGAAAATCGCACTGCCGCGATCGTTGACCTCATTGCAAATGGGCATTATGAAGAGGCTATTGAAGAGTCAAATACGCTCATTCAAGTAACGCTACAGGGCCTCCGCTATCTCCAAACTTATGACTGGTTGTTCCTTCGTGCTCTTATCACTGTGGGTTATCTTGGCTGGATGGCGTATGCCATAACAACTGTGGTAGACATGTTTGTCGTCCACGAGGTGATACAAGCGCGAAGGACTCTTGTCGGAACTGCCACCTTTTTGGGGATTCTGTTTGCCTTTTATGCGTCATTCATCATGTCTAAATCGCCACCCACATACTACCTGTATGCCTTCTTTCCTGTTGTATTCTGGGAGGAAGTTTATGCTCATCGACAAAGTCTTTACCGAGGCAGATTGATTTTATTTGGCCACATAAAGTCTGCAGGAGGTGCGGCAACCCTCTTCCTGCATACCATTCTTTACGTTGCTGTCATACAAGCTCTTGTGAGTGGCTCGATTACTTGAGTTACATTGGCGTGAAGACTCAGCTTTCTTCTCTGTTTCTTTATACAACTCACACTGACCCTCATTAGGCTGTGGGATATGTTTATCGAGAGGTACTGACTGGATTGTTCGTCCTGGCAGCGGCTTGGCCTTTCATGTATGGTCTGTCCTTCTTACAAAGTCATGCAATTCTCAGCATGACATGGGCAGCTTCATGCCTGATAATGAGCACATTCACCCTTCTTCCAGCCATGAAAGTCGAAAGTATTAGTCTCATGTGAGTAGTCTTGGCATTTGGCCAGTATCAGGGAAATTGTTCAAATGACTGATTACGTCTAGCCTTGCTGGTGGCTTTGTCATGTTTCTCGTCGGTTTTCTCTATCTGATCTTTGAAGACATGGTGCTTTCGGATTTTACGGGTGCAGTCGACTCAAGTCGTTCACCTGACAAGACAAACACGAATTTTCAGCGAGCATTGACTGGTGTCCAGGTATGGCAACATTGCATTCTCTATTGTTGCCCTGTTCTGCGCGAACATTCCTTGAAATGAATCACTGACGCCGTAGGGCATTCATAGCTGGGACTAATCCTCTTGTCCATGCTTGTAACCCGGTCCAGCGCCTTGTCCCTTCAAGCTAAACAGGGCCTCCCAATAGGCAATCAAGTGCTTGGGTGGACTATCCTCGGTATTTTTATTTCTGTGGACAATATATGCTGTTTCTGTATGGACTCTAACTCTCTCAGTCGCCTCTCTCCTAATGCCGCTCACTTATCGCCTCCAGCCCAATACGCATTACCTGCAAAGATTGTCGGTCATTTTTCTGACATGCGCTCCTACCTTTGTCATTCTGACAATCTCATATGAAGGACTTTTTTATGTTGCCTTTTCAGTGACCCTACTGGTTTGGGTGCGCCTGGAGTATGCAGCCGAAATATTTTGCCACAAGCACCGGCAAGACAACGGATGCTTGACGCAGCGTAACAAACTTGACCGAGATTTGTCACAACATCGAGCACTCAGGCTCTCGGATGTACGGGTGGCGCTCTTCTTCATGGTACTGTTGCAATCGGCCTTTTTCAGTACAGGCAACGTCGCTTCCGTTTCTTCATTCAGTCTCGACAGCGTATACCGCCTGATACCAATATTTGATCCTTTTTCCCAGGGAGCACTGCTAATTCTAAAATTAATGATCCCTTTTGCTCTTATTTCTGCCAATTTGGGAGTGTTGAATAGAAGATTGGGCGTCGCCCCTTCGGCTCTTTTTATGGTAGTCATGGCAATTAGCGATATTCTGACGCTGTATTTCTTTTGGATCGTCAAAGATGAAGGCTCATGGTTGGAGATAGGCTCCACAATCAGTCACTTTGCTATTGCAAGCCTGCTTTGTGTGTTTGTTGCTGGCCTTGAGGGGGTCAGTACCTTCTTTACATCAGGCATAGACGTGGAGGGTAGACAAAGACAGCATGGTTCTACGACAAGCCAGTCAAGGTTTGCAGGAAATGAAGATGGAACCCGAAATGGACACAACAATTCGACCAAAACGAAAAGGCAATAGAGCAAACATTTGAGGGTTGCAACTGTGGGCCTGAATTTTAGTGAGAATCCGGTCCACGTCCTATTATTTGGATGAGAAGAGAGAATGGCTTCTTTTTTTGCTAGAGACAACATATTTCGCCTTTTTTCTGCGATGTCTATGCGCGAAGAATGTACGAGCGGCAGGCACTTCATTATGACAGACTACAGCCCCTCTGTTGTATCGTGGTTCTATTCAGTTAAGGCAGATGTTGCTAGTGGTGAATGGCTGTCGCAGACTAGTATATTTGTAATAGGATTTTTTCTATGTATAGTTTATGGCTGGCGAGAGGCCTTCGCCCGCATATTACATGGTTTCCCAATCATCTCTTAAAGCAGCCAAGAGCGGAGGGGGAATAGAGGATGGGTGGAGAGGCCGAATGCTGAACAAAAAGATGGTACTGACTGGAAGCCGACAGAGACCGGGGATAATATCCATCTCTCACATCACACTCAGTATATTGAGTCCGCAAGCAGATATCGGAAGCTCTGGCAGCAAACGTGAAACTCGTCATTCCCCCTTTTCAGCCAAGGCCCAGGCACCACTACCTGCCTAGGTAATTGAAGGTAGAGTGTCCAAGTTGTCGACTCTGCACACTCCTTGACACCTCACGGCCGTTCCCGTATACCATCGTCATCTGCACAGGCCAGTCTACATACGAACCTCGACGCTTTTCATTATTGCTCACTAAGAGCCGCCGGCCTACGGCCATGGGTCCCCCCTGACTTTGTTGCAATGCCGTCGTGTCCGGCTGTACCGGCCAAGTACAGGGGTGGCTGCCAGGTGCAGATTTGTCCGTGATGTCCGCGTAGGCCCGTGTGTAGTTGGGACATCAAGCAAGCTCAGGGCCAAAATGTTATGTCAGTCATAGCCGGCCACCGCCGCTGAAAGTGGCTTCGAGTGCAACGTTCACCCGCAACGGGAGCATACTTATTTACTTCAGTAAGCAAATACTTAAGTGAGTACCTAAGTAGGTAGTCGTTGTTTGGAATTACGCGCGCACGCACGAAGTACTTTTTTTTTTTGTACAGAGAGAGTAGCATCCGTCATGGTAAATGCACATGTTCAGCACCAGTTGACGTCTAAGTACTTATACTTACCTAGTACTTACGTAGTAGCCGCAGTCTGTAGGTCGTTACCCCCTTATCTGGCTTGCTGACTACTACTACTTAGTTACTTCATACCCCCCAGTACGGAGTACTCCCGTATTCCTCTCTGTAAGTACGTGCCTCCCGGCCAGCAGACCCCTCCGAATCGGCCCACCTCCGCACAAGATTGGATCAACGCTAATAATAATAGTTAGCATATTTGTAGCATCATTTTGCCTGACCCAAATGGACCAGCAAACGGGCCACGCGTCGCAACTGGGTCCCTTGCCCGTGTCCTGTCTCTAAATCCTTCAAATTCGCAGGGAACTGAATAGTCGGCAGCGCAAGACAGGCCGGACCTCTTCGAGTGGTTCACCCAACTGAGCTTCGCATTTGGATACCTTAAGTTACTTGGACCTGGACAGGTACTTTCCGCACCGTTGGTTGGCCATCCCTCTCTCGCTGGAGTAGCACACGTCAACTCTCACACCCGCACACGTTGCCCCCCACCCACCTTCCGCCCACGGCGTGCCGTCGCCGTCGCCTTCCTCCTCGCGCGGCGGCGCCTCCCCCCCTCTCCTTCAATTGTTCCGTCAAATTACCTTTGTCCCGCCAACTTCCCAGAAGCAACACCAGGCCTTAACCATCGCCCGGAAACAACTGCTTTGGCATTTGTTGAGCATTACCCCCCCCCCCCGGCATGGATGTCGAAATGACTTCAGGCGATGCTGGTCAACAGCATTCACGCCCACAGCAATCCGAGTCTCCTGCCAAAGCATCCCCTCCCGCTCCCAGTAATGCGGGTAGCAACGCAGCGAACCAAATGAGCTTTAGAAGGTACGCACATATTGCGCACCCACACTTGTGATAGTCGTGAACCAGCGCTGACGGATACACCTTCTATACAGGCAACGAGCGTCACGAGCATGTGAGGTAAGTGTCCGTGGTTGGTTGCGTCGCGTTCCGTCGTGCTGTGCCCTGCCACAGCTCCACGAGCCGAGGCAAAAAAAAAAAAAAGAACGAAGCACCCCACGCTTCCTGATTTCATGGCAACGTGATTCGATGCTGACCATCCACTCGTTTTATCAGACCTGCCATGCACGAAAGGTGAATAATTGTCAACCTTGGCTCTCTTTGCGAACGCATTGTCCCGACATGCTAAATCTCTTTTCCTGCTCAGGTTCGATGTGACGCTGCCAGTCTCGGCGTCCCTTGCACGAACTGTGTGGCATTTCAGATCGAATGCCGTATCCCGACCCCTAAACGGAAAAAGGCCCAAAATGCTGGCAGTCAGACAACTAAAGATTCCGATAGGTATTGCATGTCCTTGTTGTTGTACCTAGCAAAGTCTCCGCTAACCCCTATTTCTTCATTGCTCCCAGTGACCGAGAAGCCACAGATGACCGGCCGCATCAGACCACCGCAGGCAGCGCCTCGTCCTTTCTACGACCGCCGACTGTATCCCACACATCAGACGGAACTCCTTCATCGTCCATGACTGAAGCACAAGTCCGACAAGAAGAGGTCGACAGCGGAACATACCTGAATCTGGTCATGAAACCCAAGTTCACTCGTGCTCCCATCACGGAAGCCGGCCGAGTGGCTTTCCTTGGCGAATCCTCAAACTTGACATTACTTGTACACGACCGCCAGGGATCATCAGATGTCGTGCACTATCCGCTGCCTGAAAATATACGAGGCTCACGGGCTAGGCTCACAGAGCTAGATATTGTTGAGATTGAAATCTTACATCAGAGAGGAGCATTCCTTCTCCCTCCTCGGTCGCTCTGCGACGAACTCATCGAGGCATACTTCAAGTGGGTTCACCCCATCGTCCCTGTTATCAACCGCACTCGCTTTATGCGGCAGTATAGAGACCCCAAGAATCCCCCTTCACTTCTCCTTCTCCAAGCTGTCCTATTAGCCGGCTCGCGGGTTTGCACCAATGCCCAACTTATGGATGCCAACGGGTCTACGACTCCTGCAGCGTTGACATTCTACAAACGTGCAAAGGCACTGTACGATGCAAACTACGAAGATGACCGTGTCACTATTGTTCAATCGCTGCTGCTCATGGGCTGGTATTGGGAAGGCCCTGAAGATGTCACCAAAAATGTTTTCTACTGGAGTCGTGTAGCCACAATTGTTGCTCAAGGGTCCGGCATGCACCGGAGCGTCGAGCAGTCTCAACTAAGCACGTCTGACAAACGACTATGGAAGAGGATATGGTGGACTCTGTTCACCCGTGATAGATCTGTGGCTGTTGCTCTCGGTCGGCCCGTCCACATCAATCTTGACGACTCTGACGTGGAAATGCTGACAGAAGACGACTTTATCGAGGATGAGACGGACCGGGCCAGTGATTTCCAGCCTGACCCTATTCATGTACAATTTTTTTTGCAGTATGTCAAATTGTGCGAGATCATGGGACTGGTCTTGTCTCAACAATACTCGGTTGCTTCCAAGGGACGTCAAAGGAATGCCATCGATTTAACTCATAGCGACATGGCCTTAGCCGACTGGCTTCAAAATTGCCCCAAGATCGTCTACTGGGAGATGCCTCGCCATCACTTCTGGTCTGCTCTGCTTCATTCAAATTACTATACGACGCTCTGTCTCCTGCACCGCGCGCACATGCCTCCTAGCGGCTCAAGAAGCTTTCCGGACGACTCGCCCTACCCATCTCGTAATATCGCTTTCCAAGCTGCAGCAATGATTACATCTATTGTCGAAAATCTCGCCGCACATAAGGAGTTACGTTACTGCCCGGCATTCATTGTCTACAGCCTGTTCTCAGCTCTTATCATGCATGTGTACCAGATGAGGTCTCCTGTCCCTTCAATCCAACAAGTTACTCAGGATAGACTGAGAAGCTGCATGCAGGCAATGAAGGAAGTATCGCGAGTCTGGCTTGTCGGAAAGATGGTCTACACTCTTTTTGAATCCATTATTGGCAATAAAATGTTAGAAGAACGCCTTCAAAAGGCAGGTGGGAAGCGCCATCGGAAAATGCAGCAGAGTCTGACCCAATTGGAGCAGCAGAGTAAAGCTCAAGATGTTCCGAAGAGGAAGTATGATGACATGGCCATTGATTTCACCGCAAATGCCCCGACACCCCAGGAATCGTACGAGCGCTCTAGGCCTCAAACACCAAGCACTATAAAGCCGGAAACTACGTCGGCCATGCAACCGCCGACTGTCTCCTCTCCCAATAGTCGACTTAGTGTGGCAGATACATTTATGGGAGGAACCAATTCGCGACCTGAGACCAGACCTGCAACTCCATTTAATCCCTCTTTTTCAGTTCCGGCTACGCCCCCAGATCTCTACCTCGTTACCAGAAACTCGCCAAATATATCTCAGTCACTTTGGGAAAATTTCCAACCTGATCAACTATTCCCCGAAAGTTCCAGCATGCCTGCTTTCCCTAACGTATCCCCGACACAAACACACCACGATCTGATGGCGCAGATGACGCCTAGCAGCATGTCTCAAAGCCAAGGGAGCAACCAGTTTCAGGCCAGGGGTCAAGGGCAAGGAAACGGTGGCATACCCATGCAAGGCTTTCATGCACCCGCCGGCGTGTGGCAAACCAATTTGGACGGCGGCGTGCATGACGGACAAAGTCCAGACAGCTGGAGCACAAGCTCAGCTCAAGGGCAACCTGCGCCTACGACATTGAACGTGGAAGATTGGTAAGTCGACTGCGCCTCTGTTCCTGACAGCATTTCCTCGCCGTCGCCTCGCCGTCTTTTCTTCTTGTCTCGCTGCGTCTCCCTTCCGTCGTAGACAGCTAATTCAGTACGCAGGTTTCAATTCTTTGGCATCAACGGCGACTCCAGCAATTTGAATCTCGATGTGTCCCTGAGCTGAGTCGGAAGCTGAGGCTGGATAGCCACGTTACTGCTTCGATCACCCTACGGAAGCTCACTTTTCGTTTCCGGCTCCGTCAAGCTTTGAACCATCGAGGACCTGATATTTGGGCCTTGTATGAGGGTCAGGCCATTGTGTATGGACGACGATTTCTATCATAACAGGTCTAGCAAGACATCTCCCCGTACCCGATGTTGTCAGCAGGCTAGGCGGATATGTTCGAGGATAAGTTTCAATTCTGGGCCACAGTCGCGCAATCAACTGATTAAATCGGTGAACCGACCGAATATATATGGGCCTTATCGTCATTATGCTCACCGAAGTCGGAAGAGGCAGCGCATGATATCTAAATATTGCAGCCCATACAAGCTTTCTTCTTCCACTTCTTCTTGGATGGATATGCTGCCGTGATCTGGACAGAAATTGCAATCTGGCATTATGTTTGGCCAGATGGGCCAGGCTTGACTCAAGATACTATTGGTGTTCCTCGACACCTTGTTGAAAATGTACTCACATTTGTAGTCAAGCTGGCATGTATTGATCACACGAAAATGCACACAGACGGGGTGTTCTGAGCTTCTGATAATGAAATGTTGGATCTGTTGTTTATCGGATGTGACGGTCTAAATCTCATTATGTACTTCAATGTGTGTATCCCTGCCAGGGGGGCAACAGGCTGCCAGCTTTTCCTGGCTGAAATATCGGCAGCTATTGCCCTCGTCATTTTCTTTCCCCCGGTATATATATATCTAGGCAAACGTGAGACGAAGCAGTGTATTGGATTCGACTTGTCCAGCGCTCTCTAAAGTTGTGTGACCAGCTAGGCTAGGGTAAACAGAGTGACTGGCCCCACTCTACTGTAAGTTTTGGAACTCCCCACTTCACTGGTGCCTCTGAAGGGCCGCACCACCACTAGTGGCACGGCTTCTTCGTCATTGCGTGTCCTCTTAGCTCCCAATCAATCATGACGGACGGCACGTTATGAACATTCACCAATACGTTCAAGCCAAGCTTCGGTCAATCTTCACCGGCTCTTACTCTTTGGTCTGTCAGGCTATCCTCCGACTGCAGCATTCGCGACACCTCCAGTCTGGCGCTTGTGTTAAGAGGGACCTGATGCGAAGCTGCAACAACGCTACCGGCGAGGTGCTGTCGCTGCGTTCGTGGTCATCATGACTGACCAAGGCAATCTAGCGAGATCCCAAACCGACTTGACATCGTCTTCTGTTTCAGCATCATCCCATGATTCAGTCACGAACATTGCCCGACCCCGGAATCGTCGCGTCGAGACTATAGACCAGACGCACCGGCCTTCAATAGCAACTGGTATTACGAAGAGCAGTGGAACTTCATATCCTTCGCAAAGCGGCACGCATCAGGAAACAACCACCCCCCGGACGTTGGAAAGATATCAGGAAGATGTCACTTTGAATCAAGGCCCAACCGGAGGCGATATTACGCAATTTCTTGGAGATTCTTTGACGCACGGCTGGACCTCAATTCAAATGTTTGCTTCGACATGGCTTTCAAGCGTCGACAATTCTTCCAAAGGAATTCGGTCGTCAAAACTTCATCCACCCCACCTACGCAGTCTCCGATCAAAAACATGGGGACCATCGCCACCATCAGGAGAACAAATGAGTACCGATGTTGGAGTGCGATCCCTGGTCAAGACACAGGATGCTCTGAAAGCTGGAAAAACGGTGAGGGTATTGGATAGTCATGAGGGGGTGAATGGTGGTCTAGGCGTTGCCGGAAAACAGAAGTGCCGTACTTCGGATGAGATCCGTCCCTTGAACCCGGAACCTGAGGAGCATCTGGCTTACGTCCACAAGGTTGAACCGAACGACACTTACGCCGGTATAATACTTCGATATAAATGCCGGGAAGATATTTTCCGGAAATCCAACGGTCTTTGGTCTCGAGACAGCGTTCAGATGCGTAAGTGGCTAGTCATCCCTGTGGATGCTTGTGAGATAAAAGGACGCCCGTGTGATCCACCGTCGTGGTTCAACAATTACGAGGGAGATTTCTTGGTGCGGAATCCGGCTGCAACTGGGGAGTCTTCGTCTGCAGCCGATGGGTCCCATGGAGGAAATTTCAATGTGCCAACTGAACCTTCTCACATGGACGCGAAGCTGGAACAAACCGAATATCTCCCCTGGTCCCATGTTCGCTGGGTACAGGTCGATTCATTCAGACATCCGGTTGAGATCGTACGGGTGGCACGACAAACTCTGGGGTACTTTCCACCGCGGCGGAAAAAGAGTATCAGGACTGAATCATCAATGTCCACTCCAAGACAGAGCTCAGATTTGTCGAGCGTCGCTCCACATTCCAATGAGCGCCCTTCCACTCGTCGACTAAGCGCGATCAATGGCCGTGCTCCGATTCCCGGCACGCCGATGTCTTCCAAAAGTGGGCCTGGCGGTGAATTAACCGACAGCCGGCCTGCATGGATGCGACGACCAGGTGGCGTGGGCCCGATGGGCAGAAGTGTGAGAGAACCTGGGCCGGTTACAGATTACTTTAACTCTTGGACGAGGAAACACATTCCAGGTCTTGATATGGAATCCTTACCTTCAATGTCCATCATGGGCTCCGAGACTGCAAATTTCGGGTTTGGGCAAGGTGCAAGTGGCATTGTCGAAAGCCCATTCGAAGACGGCAGAAATGCGTCATCTATCTCTCGGCAGGTTACTGGTCTAGATAGGGCAGCAGCGGCGGTTGAGCATTGGCTACGTGGAGCATTAACCAAGCGGCCTAGTACACCGTTGCTGGGAGGTCGGTTGCGGCCACTTGGCTTATCCCCGGATCCATGTGACACCGATCTAATCGAATTGACTTATACGGCAAGTGATGACGGCAAGCCAGTAAACGACGTTTCGCTCAGCTTGTTGGACTCAGGACACCTCGTGGCGACGGGGATGGCCGACAGTGGCCCAAGGATTCAAGGCAGGAACAACTTCGGCGCTGGTGGTAGGGCAGCTCGAAAAAAGGACGATTGAATGGGTCAGCAGCCCGACAGTCGTCGCCTCGATGACGCTCGGCCTATTTCCTATATTACTGGCGCGAGAAGTTTCGGGCTTAAGCATGTATATTTGTACAAAAAAAGCCATACCATTGCGCACGCTGGCTTATTTGTTTTCCCGGCTCCTTCTGGCTGGTCGTTTTTTTTCCCCTCTTGGATCTATAAGGAGTCGACGATAAACAGAGTCCGGAGCTTCTTAGCGACCTGCGTTCGTTACCCGGTGGAGTTCTGATATGAGAAGGAAGCATTTACAAAGCCGAATTGCTACTTTGGCTCCTATTGATATAATCGATCGGGTGTTTCTTTTGTTCTGGTCGAATGGTACATGAGAGAAACAAGGGCTGTGCATGCTTAGATGGATCTGAGCCAGAGACGCAACCTCTGAAATCAAGCATTATTAGGGCGAGCAGTTGAAATATCGTGCTTCTCCACATGCAAGCCACGTTACGTGCCAATTGCAGCATATATAGAGGCTGTCTACTGCGCCACTAAATTGAAAGACTACTTGCTTACAGAAGGTGACAGTAATTCCGAAGTACGTACGCCTTGCTAGTATTAACTACGAACTTTAGAGGAAGAGTGGACAGGGGAGGTTCCTCTACTTCCTTTTTACGTGCAGCTATATACTCTCTGTCCCTGACGTGCATCCGAAGTATCCGACGAGGCGCGGCCACAGAGCTTGTATAAACTCGAGCTTGCTGGCTCGAATCCATAACATAAAGATGGTTAAGAGAGAGAAGAGAGAAAAGAAAAAGTTTCTTTACCTTCTCTTACTATTTAGCTGTATACTCTTCTTCCCTAGTATATATCTCAAGAGGTTCTAATAAGGTCTAAACACAAGACCTAGCATAGACCCAAGCTTATTAGCCTAAGCCTATAAAATAGGCAAGCTTGTAGAAGAGAAGGCTAGTTTCATACAAGTAGTAGTGACACAAGAGCTAGTCAGGCTGCATAAATAGAAGCTTGTAGCCGTAAGTACCTTGTGGAAAAACCAAGAGCCTCTAATACTCAAGTGTGTTATACGTTAAATTGAGCTTGATGATGCTTTACCCCCTTTTCCCACAATGCTGTGAGATAAGCCCTTGTCACACTGGCATCATGCTATGATGGCAGTGAAGCAATATCGCGTTCTCAAGACGCACCAGTCGATTCGAAATATGAACGCACCACTCTTTCTCCGAGGCGAAACAATTCTCAAAACACGTTGGATTTGCATACCAACGCCGAAACTCCCTACTGATAAAAGGGTGCCTAGCATGAGGCATCAATGACCCTGAAACCCCGTTCAAAATCTATGGCAAGTCAAATCGGTCAGGAAGAACGATGGGTGCAACTAAGCTCCAGATGTACAGCCCATAACACACCCAGGCGCTGACTATCTTGATCCAACTCGCCGCATAGGTGCGGCCCACAGTGGCGAAATCGCGACGACCCCTGGTGCTCTCCTCATACTGCATAGTTAACAAGGTTGCTACCCAGGCCGTAGCGAGGAAGAAGATGATATGGAAGACAGTATAGCTGTACTGGGTTCGAGAACGCTCGTCATCATGCGGTATGGTCTCCTCCGAAACACTGTCATCATCTGAAAGGAGGGCATCAGCCGGTAAACTACCCTCTTCAACGGCCCGGCGCAGCGCCTCTGCCCTCATCTCTCGTCTGGCACTTGGCTGTTGAGTGACCAGGCCGTGTTCATCATCGTCAGGTAAACGTACTCCACCCACACCGCCCCCGAGACCCAGACTCTGTGTAGCTGCACGAGTGGTTGTATATGCTACTGTTAGCATTGTCACGATGGCGCCGATCACGACAGAAGTTGTCCTGGTACCCTGTGCTCGGATCAGTGGGTTGCAGTGCTTGTCGTCAGGTTCCATTGATACGGCAGACATCGTCAGGTAGGTGCAGTACACTGAGACCATGGCAGCCTGCGCGAGGCCAGCTTTCGGATTGAATTCCTGCACCTTTCCATTGACGGAAATGAAAGAGACGGCCAGCCAGAAAAGAAGGTTCATCGTGATGACGGCTTGGTTCATGTGGCAGTCTCCCTGAGCAAAGAAAATGTACTGAACCACAGTCATCGCGATGGACCCAAGGTACATCCCAAGAGTGGATCCAATAAGCACGAACCTCCAGAATCTAGAATCCGTATCCTCGATCTGCCCCAGACAATATTCAGCCCATGTATGTGCCAAGTCAACAAGAAGGACTAGACCGAGGACCAAAAACAACATGGCGCACACCAGAGAAACATAGTTTCCCCAGAATATGAAGAACTCATTTGGTATCAGGAAGGAAACAATAATGAGGGCTAGCCACACGATGACTTTGGGGCCCCAATAACCATTCTGAACGGCCGCACGAGGATGTTTAGAAGATGTTACTCCGAAAAGCATGCCAGCGAGGACAATGTGGAAGAGACCGAGAGCGAAATTGATTCGGTGGACGGCAAGCCAGCCATAGCAGTCTCCATTTGGACAATTGATCTTGACGTAGTCGAGTGCCAGGTGTTGTAGTTTTTCAATTACCCAGGGTGTTAGCATTATCCAAGCTAGAATTGAATTCACCAAGAGAAGGAGAGCGTAGGCGATACGGGTAGCGACACTGCAGGGCATTTCTCATCAGCTGATATCCTTTCGAATATAGTACGCCAAGCCAAGCAAGCAAAAAGATCCTGCGCATGGTGGAAAGAAGAGACTTGATTATCGTACCTATTGCCGCACTTCCCGCAGGCACTACAGACCATGGAGCAGGTGGCGGCACCGCAGCAGCTTGCAGCAAAAGAAAGCACCTAGCAGAGAAAAGTGAGTCAGCCTGTCAACTGATATCGATAGCGAAGGACAGGGACGCGGAGGACAGGGACAAATATCGTACAGTGCTCATGCTGGGGACTGCGAGCAGAGGGAGAGAGAGTATCGCGCCCATTGTGGTGTCGTCGCCAAGGCTTGGAAGTCCACGACGAGGCTTCTGATATCGCAAGATGCGCGAGCGCAATGTACAGATTATTATAGGCGCAAGTGGCTCACAGACGAATAAGAAGTATGAAGATACTATATTAGGTGACGGAACACCGGGATCAGGGCGAAGAGCGTAAACAGATGATGGCGTGCCAAGTGAAGGTTGTCGTCCTTGTCGCAGGCGAGACAATGACGTGGGGACGTGGATTACGTAAGGCTCGGTCGTAGTAAGGGTAGTCACGGAATACTCCGTTCTCCGTCCCACCTCCCCTCCATCAAAACTCTGTACGAGTTGTCTTTGACCGCCGTGCATTATCCGCCCAAAAATAAGCTTTCCTGATTTGAGCGACCAAGCTGAACCTCCTTGAGGAATCTTCACCGTGGCGGAATTGCAACCATTCGTGTTGTAGGCCTTGCTCCCTTCCAAACGTCTGATGCGTCGCTTCTTGTCTCCAAACCATCGACAAGGTCGCCGTCTGAACCCTCTCCTTTCGGCTGGTTGATGCCCGGCTCGCCTTCTGCTCACGGCACCGCTGCCCAGCCATGGGTCAACACCAGCAACTGCGGCGAGCTCGCCTCATTGCGAGTGTGGCTGCTACAACCATCTCCCTGGCATGTGGCACCAACGTAAGTGCTGCATCTGCCTCTTCCTTGGAGTTCTCCCAACGTGAATGAGACTTCCGCTTGTGTGCTACTACTGTAGTCATGCCGAGCGTACCGCTTGGCTGGTTGATCTTCTACTCTCTCATGCTATGTTGAGCTAACACGCCTCCTCTCCTCTCTTGTCATCATAGTACGTCTATTCGGCCTGGGCTCCGCAGTTTGCCGAGAAGCTTAAGCTATCGGCTACTCAGAGCAATCTCGTCGGTCAATTCGGGAACCTAGGCATGTACTCTCTCGGTGTTCCTGTAGGCATGCTAGTCGACAGACGTGGCCCTCGCCCTTTCGTTCTCTTGGGTGCTTTTCTCTTGGTTGTGGGATACTTTCCCTTGCACACGGCCTACGACAGGGCGTCGGGATCTGTTGCAGCTCTTTGTTTCTCTTCCTTTCTGACTGGCCTTGGTAGTTGCATGGCATTTGCCGCTGCTGTCAAGACGTCGGCGCTTAACTGGCCAGGTCACCGGGGAACGGCAACAGCATTTCCGCTGGCGGCTTTTGGCCTCAGCGCCTTCTTCTTCTCATTTCTCGGTGCCATTTTGTTCCCTGGTGATCCTAGTGCTTTCCTTAAGCTGCTTTCTGTCGGAACAGCTGGCTTGACTTTGATGGGCTTCTTTTACCTGAAAGTGTATCCGCATTCGAACTACCGAGTTGTTTACCATGAGGAGGGACGTCGATCCTCCTCTCAGTCAGCTCGTTTTCGACCATCGTGTAGCCAATCCACTTCTCACAGTACTCGCTCCTCTGAAGAACCCGGTACGTCGAATACAGACCCTACAAACATCAACGTGGCCTCAATTTCCATCCTCTCCGGCCCAACACACCCTTCCAACAGTCTTAGCTCGAGCAGCAATCCTCCCCATAACGATGCTGAAGAAGATGCTGTTGATGAGACCTCATCTTTGATGTCATCGACAGCCTCAGAGACTGTAGAGAATGTGGTGGCGAGTAGTATTGATACCGATCGATCCCATCGAATAGACATACGTGGCTTCCGCCTCTTGCGCAACCAGACTTTTTGGCTCTTGTTTACCATCATGGCCATTTTATCTGGTGTAGGACTCATGACCATTAAGTATGCTTCACCTCCGCCCTGTCCCTTTTTTTCTTCTTTGCATCTTTCATTCTCCTCCTCCGTTGCGGAATTAGCCTTGCTTTGGGAAGCCTTGAGCTCACCACCTTTCAAAATCCTCGTTCCCGGCTGACTATTCCTAGCAATATTGGAAATAATGTTAATGCTCTGTGGAAGCGATACGACGGATCGGTAACAGAAGACTTTCTTGTCCACCGTCAACAAATACATGTATCCATCTTGTCTGTCTGTAGCTTTGTGGGCCGGCTGCTGAGTGGTGAGTCTAACCCGTAATGATGGCGCAGCACATTTCCATTGTCCGTCTAGCCACGCTGCTGATGGAAAAGGTGGAATTCTCGGGCGTTATCTTTATTTTGCTTGTTAGCAACTGCTTGACCTTACACTTACGTATTCCTAACCGCCCACCATCTCTCTGGTTACTTGTTCCCCCCTAACTTCGCCAAGAACAACATGCCATGTAAAGAAGTATTTACTAATGCATATCGATCCAGGCGTTGGGTCGGACTTTCTGGTCAAGTCACTTCATGCCAGCCGTGTCTGGTGTCTGTTTGTGGCGTCCGTCGTATTTCTCGCGGCTCAGGTTTGCGCGTTGAACATCGAAAACCCCCGCCTGTTGGGCTTTGTTTCAGGTCTCTCCGGGCTTGGATACGGATTTCTCTTTGGAGTATTTCCATCTCTCGTCACAGAAGCTTTTGGAATTCGTGGATTGAGCCAGAATTGGGGCTTCATGACTTTGGCGCCAGTCATTTCGTCGAACATATTCAATCTCTTTTACGGGCTAGTGTTGGATTCTCACAGCGTCTTCGACCCCAGTGGCGAACGTTCCTGTCACAATGGCCTGGAATGCTATCGTGCGGCATACTGGGCAACTCTGATATCTTGTATCCTTGGGATTGTCTTCACGCTTCGGACGGTGCAACATGAACGCATCGTATTAGCTAGTGAGAAAAAAAAGGACATTGCTGAGGATTGAAGCCAGCAATTTGATATCCTGCTGGACAAGGCTTCTGGAGGCGGAGACGACACTTTAGGACAGTGTAGGAGTGTTTGCTTAGGTGTATTTTATTATTTATGTCTCTAGTGACAGCTACCCAGAGACACTTGCCGGTAAAATTATGACCTGGTATCCAACCCGGTAGCCTTACAGGCGGCGAAAATATGAATTCATTCCTCCGATGTACCCCAGAGAAAACGCCTAGCAATGCGTCATGTGGAAGATAAAATAGAGGACCATGTGTGTAAATGTAGCAGCAAAGAAAAAGCTCCTTCTATACATATATGCTGATAATGTGTAGAAGGAAAGCAGAAAGGACTTCAAAGCAGCTATGATAAAATTGGTGATTAGGTAAAATCATTGCTTCAATGTGTCGTGATGTCGCCAAACTCGTCCAAACCTTTTGTGGCCATCAAGCGAGAGCTGTAAGATGCAGGATGGATTGGATACCCAAGATTAAGTCCAATTTGATACTCTGTTCCGCAGGACAAAAAGTGCGCGAAAACGACGTGAAGGTAGGTACCGTAGACCTCTCCAGTTGATGGACAGTCGCAGTTTTGACCATCACAGGATTTCGTTTCGGTTCCGGCCTCCCTCTGTACTCCCTTCAAACATTGCCCCAAATCCGGCAATAGACCAAGAATCTGCTGTGGAGTGCAGAATTACCAACCATGCAGCAATGACATTTACTAAGTAGTGCAACATGTAGGCGTGCGAAACACCATATACAGCAGCACAAAATGCGGTACCGAATAGGAGGACACTTGTAACATGTCGCAACCGGCTTGTAACCTGCGGTACCATTTTGCCGGTGGTTAAATTCTCTACCAGTAGCATGAAAGGCATGATAGACAGTACGTTGTGGTGTGAGGAAAAAGGCGTGAGCCAATGCACGGCAAGATTTCGTATCCACACAGCGAGGATTGGGAGGTTGATGGGCAAGACCCACATCATCAAGAGCAGTATGGAGTGAACATAGCGGTAGTAGTTCGAACTTGACGTTGAATCGGCTAGATGTGAAAGGCGATGAGCGCGAACAGTCGTGAACAGCTGAACAAGGCACGCAACGAGGTATGCAAACTGGTAAGGGATAAAGGTTGAGACAAGGAATAGGAGAACAGCTGTAGAAACCATGCGCCGCCTTGGTGTAGAGGGCACCAGGACTTGCGAGGCAATTCCTTTGTGGCTGGCTGTTTCTGTCCTAGGGCCATTGGTGAAAAAGGCGTATAATATGCCGAGAGTTCGGGTAAGGCCAAGCACAATGTAGTGCAGTACAGCGCATACTCCGATGCAGACGAGTCCGATAAGGGGGACGAGCAAGCAGAATGACGGGTTCTCGGTGCCAATGAGAAGCTCGTTCCTATGAAATGCATTCAAATGTCGCTTGCTCCACAGCAGGCCGGGAATAAGCCTCGAGGTGCCTTCCGGTGAGACCGCAAGAAGAGTCAAAGAGATGAGAAGTAAAGGGACTGATCGCCGGAGGGAGAGATCCAAAGCTTCTGAGAATGGAATGAAGATGCCTGTTTGGTCATAGACCCGAAATTGCTTCCTCAAAACTAAGGTCACAATGAGTAGCGGAAATGCTGCAAAAACTGTCCTGTAACGCATATACAGTTTCCCGAGACTTCCAGGCACATCGATCCGCAGCCTGGCCACGAGTACGGAGTCGCATGACGGGTCGGCCCAAATTTGGAGCCCCAGACCGCTGTCACTGCTTTTAGGTTCCAGAGGTGGAGGTACATAGGGTGCAATTCCATGCAAACTAATATGTGCATGCCTGGCACCAACGAAGTACTTTGATTCATACGGCTTGTCCAAATATTGCCTGACAATCGGAGTGTAGAGATGGCGCTTGCTCTGGCACTGCAGAGGGGCCAGGTCCAAGTGGAAGGCAAGGAGACTTGAGGTTATGGCGGGAAATTGAACCTCAACTGCCATTGGTCGATCCGATGGTAATGAAAATGACAAGCCAAACATCGCGATGTGCGAGAAGCTGCTCCGATATGCTTTCTGAATCGAGTCCCGCTCGCTGAATTCAGTAATGACAAACCCCGGAGTTTGTGAGGTGGCTCTATCCACGACAGCGATGAAATTGTACTCCCACAAGTCCTGTAAATCGTATTGAAGGTACGAAAATGGACGGATTGGGCTTTCCCCTTCGAGATAGAATGGATACCGAATCGATGTTGTGGAAGCTGGTAGTAGAATGACATCGGAAGCTGTGTTCTTGCAAGCAAGTCTTGCCTCGCTACCTCCTGGTATAGTCGTCGGATATGAGTTGTGCATAGTAGCTGAGCCAACTTCCCCGGGAGAAACAGTACAGACAAGGACCTCAAGCGAACCGTTCTTCTCTGCGTCAACTAGTGAAGAGTCTGTCAATAGCGAAAACCGCTTAGGAACAGACGTCTCCTGTGGAGGAATAGGTAACAGATGGACTACTGGGTCGCGTTGATTGCCTAGATGATCCAGAATCAAACGATCGCCAACGGGGACAATGCGGCTTGACTCCGCATCCAGGGTCAGCCGAACGGTTTCGTCCTTCAAAGCTATCGACTTTTCTGTGGCTGCTTCTAGGCCTGATAAGAATCGTCGTCTAAAGAGTTGCATTCTTTGAGCTCGGGGTTTGGTCTGTGAGGCGCGGTTTGAATCGACAATGTCATATAATGCTTTGGCAACGACTTTGCGGAATTGGTCGCACCAAAGAATAGCTTGGTGATCCATGCTCGTCCAAACAGTTGGGATTCCAGTAGTAAAAACAGTGAAACCATGAGTTTCCGGGACCAGAGGCTCCACGCTTGCGTAGTCTGAAGGTACAACAGTGTCCAAAGTTCCGCCTGCGATAGAAATGAGGGTAACATGCCACAGCGGATTATTATTGGCCCACTTCTGTGCGTACGCATCTCTCCAGTAGGCATTGATTTCATCGTAGATTTGCACAATTTGACCATCGAAGGTAACTGGTGGCCGAGAATGAGGGGCGGACATGGTAATTATAGTGTTGATGGAATTTGCCTGGTAGTTTGACTGCACTAGCATTGCACGAGCAACGACACCGCCCATTGAGTGACCAAGAATCACGACTGAAGTTGGATCGGGTAGTTGGGAGTCACGAATGGCTCGCTGAGGATCCGAGTAAAGAGACAAAATGTAGCGGATTGCTTCGTTGAGATACTCTGCCTGGTCAAGTAAGGTCTGGCCATGGAACGCGGTGATGTCTTCATTGAAATCGACGGTAAAGAAGTCCAAGTTTCGCACTCCCGAATCCATGGAGCGTCCGTCATGTTGCAGGGTGTCATAAAAGTACGTAGCTGCTTCTGCTGCGATTGGTCGAACTTGTTTATAGCTACCAGCATTACCAGGGATGAAGAGTATTGGTATGCCACGTAGCTGCGTCACGGGCGGTTAGCACACTAGGCTTTATTCGGTACCATAGGCATTGGAATCCATCAATTGCAACTTTATTCTAACTTCTTACCTTAGCTTCATCGTCTACGCCTTGTTCACGGTAAAGATACAGCGAATATTTGGTCGCAAAACGGGTATGTTCCGTATCGAAATCGTTGAAGTGAATGTAAGAGGGTCTCATGTAAGACATGCGGCACCCCTTGGGTTCGACTTGATAGCTAATGAGTGACTTCAATATAGCGGCCAAGAGCATGATGCCGGTACCCGCTGTGAGAAGAACGAGGAAGGAGACAGCGCCGGCGCGTCGACTTCCTTTGGTTTGAGGGAGCCCAGAAGATGACTTTCGCAGAGCCATGGTTGAAGCAGCCGGTATAAACGGGCGTGAAAAGGTTGGCGTGACCGATGAGGGTATCTCTGCATGTCCGTTACGGTTACTGCTGCGCTTCCATTCGAACTCGGTTGGCCCATTGCCTGCCTTGCTGGCTGAACGTGATCTTGATTGCGGGCGGCGGGCTATGGCTTCGGTAGCGGCTACGTCGGGAGTGCAGGACTGTTCGTCACCATCGTCGGTCGAATCGGCAGAGCGGCTGGTCATGGAGGTGAGCTCTGATGGGGCGTAAACGCTGAGAGGAGAACGAGCGGCAATTGGGAAAAGGTTGCGCGAGGGTTGCACGAAGTGAACGGCAGAACTGGGCAAAACGGCTAACTTTAGCAGCAGAGACAGCGCCAATGAGGACCAAGCGAGGGCTGACAAGGAGAGTAGGGAGAACGCAATATTGTTAAAGCCAGCGACGATTATGTAGAGAGGTAGGATTACTGTCGTCGTCGTCTTCTTCGCAGGAGTGAAAGGGATGGCAAGGCATGCCGGCTTCAAGCCAAAACCGCCAACGTGTGTGGGTTGAGACGGACTATGGATCTGGGTGAGTGGACGGAGGACGGAGAGCTGGAAGTCAACTGGTACAGTCAGAGAGGCTGCCGGGAGAGAGAGCCAGGCTCAGGGCCAGCTGCACGGGGGCAGTGGGCCTGAACTACCCTAAGCACCGAGATACCTACCTACTTAGGTAGGTACTTGAGTAAAAGTACTCCGTACTTTTACGTAGTACTACATTTCCCAATGCAGGTACTTCCTTGACAGGTATCAGCGGCTTTCGTACCCAGCAGAATAGCTGCGCCATGGCTCCTTAGCCACCGCTTCGGAACCTTACTTTACTTAAGTACTTAGGTACTTAAGGTAAGTACTTAGGTACTTAAGGTAAGTAAGTAGGTACTTACTCAAGAACTTGCCTAAGTACTAAGTAACTTAGGTACTTGCTTAAGTAAGTAGCACTTAGCACTCAGTCACAGACAAATGTGCTTTCTTAGTTGCATTGAGAACTTACTTAAGTACCTAGGTACTTAGTACTTAACTGAGTAAGTACTTAAGTTAGTCCTGGTTCTCCAGTTGACATTTGTATCTTAACCCTCAGCGACTGGGCGAGCCACTTTTACTCGCACGCGTGCTCGACACGTCAACTCAACGTCTTCTCTCGTCAATGCTTTATGCATTGCTAGCATCGAAAAGAATACCACACCCTCTCTTTTTGAGTTGTAGTATTCTCTTTAGATCTTCAACTTGGTTCTACGAAGGAGAGAGCCCAGAGCTCAAATGGCGCTTCCAGATTCAACCCAAAAGATCCTGCCAGGTTCGACAAGCTTATGAGCAATGGCAGCTACAATCAAACCCATCGAGGGACGAAGTGTAAGCATTCCCAAACCCATGGCCTTCTTCTTTTTTTGCTCTAGTATCGCAAGACTGACTTTTATTCATCTCTTGCCCTTTAGATTCATCTAATACAATCTGGTCAGGTCATTGTAGACCTATGTTCTGTCGTAAAGGAGTTAGTAGAAAACAGCCTTGATGCCGGGGCCAACGTTATAGGTATGTATGTCTTTCCAACGGCGGCAAACTACACTTCTCAACAGATTACTTTCGTCTTGTGAACCCAAAAGACAGCAGTGATATATACAGCGACGCCATGCTGACGCGGCGAGCTCGAAACATTAGATGTGCGCTTCAAAAACCAAGGCCTGGATTTGATTGAAGTACAAGACAACGGCTCGGGCATATGCCCTGCCAATTATCCTTCTATTGCCTTAAAGCACCATACATCGAAACTATCCTCATACTCTGATATTGCCTCCTTGACGACTTTTGGATTCAGAGGGGAGGCTCTAGCATCTTTATGTGCTCTGTCGGTGGTAACAATCACCACTTGCCTTGAATCCGACGTTCCGAAGGGCTGCAAACTCGACTTCGAAATCTCGGGCAAACTCGCAAGCACAACAGTGGTAGCATCCCAGAAAGGAACTACAGTGTCGGTTGAAAAGCTGTTTCACAATTTGCCTGTGCGTCGACGGGAGCTAGAGCGCAATATAAAAAGAGAATGGCATAAAGTCATTGCCTTACTGAATCAATACGCTTGCATTCAGACCAATCTCAAATTCTCTGTATTTCAGCAGCCTACGAAGGGGAAGCGCATCCTATTATTTTCCACCAAAAATAACCCCACTACTCGTGAGAATATTATCAATATATTCGGGTCCAAGGCTATGTCTACTCTCGTCTCCTTGGATCTTCTGCTAGAAATGCACTCACCAAATGCCGGTCGAGACTTGCGGGGGATCCTTCAAATCGATAAAGAGTCCAGGCAGGTGCGCGTCCTCGGCCATGTTTCACGTCCAATGCACGAGGACGGCAAACAAGCACCAGATCGGCAGATGTTCTTCGTTAACGGAAGACCCTGTTGCCTACCACAATTTGCCAAGACATTTAATGAAGTTTATAAAAACTACAATATGTCTCGGTCACCATTCATCTTCGCCAATATTCAGCTCGACACAAATACATATGATGTGAACGTCAGTCCTGACAAGAGGAGCATCCTTCTTCATGATCAGAGTATGTTGCTCGATCGTCTTCGATCATCTCTGGTGAGCCTGTTCGACAGTCATGAGTATCAACTGCCTACAACTCAAAGTCTCGCCCCAGAGACCCGAAGCAATCCAGTGTCTGTCGGTACGGATATGCAGTCAGTATCTCTATTTAGAGAAAACCGTCTTCGTGTCTCCAAACCCGAGCTTTCCACGGTTTCTCATGGCGAACAAGATAGTCACTCCCGATCTAAACTCAACGCTGACCTAACAAAGGAGAAGTCATCAGGAGTGGCAATACAGAAAGCGCAGAGCTCCTCAGAGGGGAGAGCAAGAACCAATATCACATCAGGATCTCTTACCACATGGCTTGAGAATGTTGCGAACCCACCGTCAATTTCGAACTCCGCTGATCGAAATGCACATTTCGAAAGGAACCAGCCTAACATAAGTTCACTTACCTCTAATCGAAGGCCAGCATTGAACGACTCAGATACGGAGGGGCCCCCGCAAAGCGAATCCACGAGGAGCGTATTTGCCGAGGCCGATACAGTTCCAAAGAAAGGAGTGGTGGAGGACCACGGAACCAATTCCCACAACGTCAGTGAAGGCTTATTGGATTCAAGAAGTCCAGCAGCACCCTCTCGGAATGCGAACTCTGGAGTAACATCACCATCTTCCGGTCACACAAATGAACATGGCGAATCTGTGCGGCTTGGCCTGGAGAAGAGGCGGCACGAGGGAGTGGCACCGCAAACTCCAGAAAAATCATATTCTTCTCACCCGCAAATATCAAATCGCACTACAGAATTGTCGGATTTTTGTGAACTTCAAGGTGGAATTGCCCAACTGACTTATACATCCGAACCCAACAATGCTGGAGATGCCATACTTGGCGACAGCTTTCATTCCCAGGAAATGGCCAAAGGCATTACGGACAACCTACAAGACGCTAGACTTGTAGTGTCAAGCTCCAGCAAACCACAAACTAATGAAGACAAGCCCATTCGCCAATTTATTTCTCACCAAAATGATAAAGATAACGTGGCTCAAGGGGATAACAATGAGAGCCCTGGTAGACTTTCAAGTCGTAGAACCAGAGTGCTGGAAGCTGGGCTCCGCAACAAGTTTGCGACAGTCCAACATTCGCAAATCATACGAGCAACTGAAATCACGTTGGCGTCCCTTTCCCGCTCTTTGTTGGCATCTTTGGTTGAAAATATTCCAGGCTCAGTTGAGGAGAGGGTAGCAGATATCACTGCTCCAGACGCCGAATCAAAGCTTCCCCTGATTATAGCGAAAGATGACTTTTCGAAGATGAGAGTGGTTGGTCAATTCAATTTAGGGTTCATCATCGCAGTGCGCCCGAAATCTCACTGGCATGCATGTCATGAGATTGGTGACACGGATGAGCTCTTTATAATCGATCAACATGCTTCGGACGAAAAATTTAATTTTGAACGACTACAAGCGGATACCGTGATTCAGTCACAGCGACTTGTCTACCCCAAAACGCTCCAACTGACGGCCCTAGAGGAGGAAGTTGTTCTCGAGAACCTACCAGCCCTGGAGGCCAACGGTTTCAAGATTCAAGTTGATTCCACAGGAGCCTCGTCAGTCGGGGCGCGTTGCCAGCTCTTGGCGTTACCCTTGAGCCGCGAGGTGGTCTTTACTCTTAACGATCTGGAGGAACTGATTGCCTTGCTTGCTGAGAGCCCCCCAGGATCACGACACATTCCCAGACCATCGAGAGTGCGGAAAATGTTCGCAATGAGGGCATGTCGGAGCAGTATCATGATTGGTAAAGCTTTAACTTTAAGCCAAATGTACCTTTTGTTAAGACACATGGGTGAACTAGAAAAGCCGTGGAATTGCCCACATGGACGGCCGACAATGCGTCACCTCTGCTCTTTGCGAACCTGGGACAGGGCAATATGGGTGGCCGATTCGCATGGTGTTCCTACCGCAGAATCATGGCTCTCGTACAGTATGGACATTTGACTGGTAGCAACAGCCCTCAGTCAATCTTCTGTTCAAAAAAGAAAACCCTTCAAAGGAGATAACATCGTACTTTCCAATACTACCAACTACGCCACTTGTGCCCCACTTGTGCCCATCCCTACCAAACGTTATCCTGACAATTCATTGCTGGCCTTTGGTGTACGTGCGCCATATATTCCCCAATATACGTATTCCTGTTACATTGAGCTCTTGCTGCTATGGATCGTAGTGGAGTTTTCCGGTCTTATGCTTCCAGCTTACCGAAATTCATGACCTTGCTCGGCAACTTTACCACTCACATTCCGCCTTCCCGACATCCCACCAGTGTGCCTTAACACGTAATCAACCCCGGAAGACAACTTTCGATTACTCCCGATAGTGACTGGTGAAGTACAACTGCTCAATTGGTCATACGGCTTGGAATAAAATTCGTTATCTAGCTGAATGGAACTGTCTCGTTGACGTTTCCATTGACTTCCCGCTCGAGGTTCTTGGTCCGTAATATCTCTGCTGTTGCTTACCTTCCTCAGATTGCTACTCAATTCTGATAGCAAGGTCGAGTTTTCGCATGGATACTTCCCTAGATATTGATTTGGTCTCGAGGCCATGAAATTTTTGCACTTATTTAGGGAAGTTGGATGGGACGCAAGGGGGTTTGGGTGTGTTTCGGACGAGCCCAATGATTCAGGACTGTCATACGTTGCATCATTTTCATCCTCATACTCTGATTCTACTGAATCAGCTTCTTGGAATGCCTGTACCAACGCAGAATAAGATTTGCTATCTCCAGTGGCGCGATTGGAGGTTGGCGAAAGGGGGGGACTGCATTTCTGCTGGGAGGTTCTTGAAATCAATAAATTAGTCGGTATGCAAGTTTCAGTGAACCTTTCAAGTCGACACTTGTTTTCATCACTACTTGTCGGACCCATTCTCGATACCTGAGCATCAAGCGTAGGAATGAACGAGTAGCGACCAAGCTGAGATGGTCGTGGCGCCGAATATTGTTTTCCAGGAGATGAGCTAAACGAGCTCCGGGGAGGATTGCTGGGCAAAATTTGATACCTCCTGGTTGGACGGTCGATGTATGAGCTCCTACTCGAGATCGAGTAGCTGGATCCCGCCCTTGTATGAAGAAATGGTACGGCAGCTGGTCTTTGATTGTCAGGCGGCTCCGAAGCCTCAACGTCTTGTAAGCCAATTGGGGTAGAAACTCTGTTTGCCGAGTGTAAGCTGCTCCTGACTGTGATGGAAGACTTGTTTCTTTTATGGAATGGCCTTGCTGTCAGATTGTCCTCGAGGGGATTCATATCTGGTGGCATTAGGCTGATTCTGCGAAACATTACTCCCAACCACAAGGAGATCGAGAGTGATATGAAGTGTAAGCCTGCTGCTCCAATCATCATAGAGTACACTGCGGGCACAAAGTAGTCCATGATCTCTTGGTTATTAAGCCTAGTGACCCAAGTTTGCGCACTTTTGTAGGTGGAAACCGCTCCAAATGCATACAAAGATAAGACGACCAGATCGGAAATAGCAGCGAAGACGTGATAGGCAGCGGAAGAGCCAGGTGTACGACCAGATGCGCTCCGAGACAGGTGGTATATAGCGTATGAACAGTGAGCCATGGCGACGCCGGGCTAGAATTTGTGTTAGTTCTGTTACAATTTGCAGTTGCATTAAACGTACTGAAATTCTCATGATCCATCCTGTGGCCTCGTTGATGTTTGTAATGAGAATTAGGAGGACAAGGGAACCAATGGCTGTATTTATTTCCAAAATGCGAACAAGGAGCTGAACGTTCCGCAGCGCCTTGGTCCACTTCTTCACTTGCCGCCCAAGGGGTACGTATGGGTTATTTTGGTGTGAGATGACCATGTGGGCACTGACGTGTATTAGCAGGATGATAAGAGACTCATCATCATGTCCATAACTCGGAGTGAGTTTGATTAGTACATACTCGGGGTGTCGATCGAATGAGATGAGAGGGCCCTTTCGAGGTGGTTTCCTGGGCTTTGGCTCCCAGCTGGCCCGCGTCACAGCCTTGGGATCGAAAATGGTTGTGCGAAAACGTGCGTCATTTCGCCATTCAGCGTTATACATGAATGGCTGTGAGCCACCCATGTTGTCGAGCCGTTTCAAGCCAAGGAAAGCAGCGACGAAACTAGATCCAAAATTCATCTACTATGGCACCGACAGTGGAATGGAAGGGGCGTGTTGCTGGAATGCAGGAGCAAAAAGACAATAGGAGATGTCTTTCGTCTCGACAACCTAAATAAAGCCTTATCCCACAAAGAAGGTAGGTGGGGACTCTGGCAAGACCAGCCTGGTTGGCACAGCAACAGCGGGGGCGGCCGTCAATCGCCGACGCCTGCCGACCCACCAGCTACTCGTCAATTTGGTCTGCCCAGGTTGATTCGGAACGTCCTCAAATAGCACTTATTTGGCTTCTAGTTATCGTTCGCTCTTCTGCAGCCCTTTCCCATGATTTTTATATTTATTGGTTTTTTTGTTTCTTCTGCCATACTCTTTCATGTTCTTCTCTCTATTCCACACTCCTCCATCTCTTTGTCAACTTGACCGAGTTCTTTAAGAGGACATACAATGCTTTGTCGCTCGACACGCTGGCCATTACAATATTCGTTGCCACTGAGGACTTTTTCCACCGCAGCCACAACTTCGAGCCGACCGCATGAATCGCCTTTTCGCATGGCCGTTGTGGGCTCTGGTCCTGCCGGCTTCTACACGGCTCACAGGGTCATGACAAAACTCCCAAATGCCTATGTTGATATGTACGAGGCGCTGCCGGTTCCATTTGGTCTGGTTCGCCACGGTGTTGCTCCTGATCATCCTGAGGTAAAAGTATGACTGCATCTCTGAGAATACTTGTCTTCCTTCTAGCCACATAAGTAACCTGCGTAGAACTGTCAAGAGAAGTTCGAGAACATTGCATCATCGCCGAGGTTCAGGTTCATAGGGAATGTCTCCGTGGGTCTTTCCACTCCCGTCAAGGAGCAAGGAGTAGTCAAACTAAGATCTTTGATGCACCACTATGATTCCGTGCTATTGGCGTATGGAGCATCTGAAGATAAAAGGCTCGAGATTCCAGGAGAGTCAACTTTAAATGGCATATATTCAGCTCGTCGATTCGTGGGCTGGTACAATGGCTTACCTGAATGTTCGAATCTCGATCCAGCACTTGTAAATGCGCGAGAGGCCGTAATCATTGGTCAGGGTAACGTTGCCCTCGACGTGGCTAGGATTCTTTTGGAAGATATAGACGTCCTTAAAAACACGGATATCACGGAGCATGCTCTGGCAATATTGTCTCGAAGTAGGGTTAAGAGAGTCCACGTCGTTGGCAGAAGAGGGCCAATGCAGGTCAGTTTGGCACGTATCTGTCATATTCACAACCAGGTTACTGATCCACTACGGCTCTCACAGGCCGCCTTTACAATCAAAGAAGTTCGTGAGCTTATGAACTTGCCTAGTGTGGCATTTCATCCAGTTGATCGATCTTTGATACCGATGAATTTGAATTTGCTGCCACGAGCATCTAAGCGTCTGATGGAGGTCATCTTAAAAGGATCAGAAGCTCTCATGGGGCGTGCACGTAAATCTTGGTCCCTTGACAACTGCCTGGCTCCCAGTCGTTTTTTGGGAAGCATTCAATCTCCAAATGATGTGGCAAGCACCGAGTTCAATGTCATGAAATTAACTGACACATTTAGCCCTTCATCTAAGACCATCGCAACCAGTCAAACATTACAGCTACCGTCTGAGGTTGTGTTTCGGTCAGTGGGGTACAAGTCTGTTGCCCTTCCTGAGTTTACGGCCATGGGAATCCAGTTCGACGAGTCCCGAGGGATAGTCAACAATGACGGCCTAGGTCGGGCAACACGGGTATTGCCTACTGACCAGCAGACTTCAACCCATCGACAGGTCCCCGGAGTTTATTGTGCGGGGTGGGTTAAAAGAGGTCCGACTGGAGTTATTGCTTCAACTATGCAGGATGCCTTCACTACTGCAGAGGCGATAATACAGGATTGGATTTCCGGCGCAGAGTTCCTCAAATCGAAAGAGGGCACAGCTGCGCAGGGTTGGGAAGGTGTGCGGCAAGACGAGGGCTCCCATACAAAACACTCAGTGTCATGGGACCAGTGGTTGCAAATAGACAGAGCCGAAAGACACCGCGGAATGGAGCTCGGGAAGCAACGGGCAAAATTTACAAGCGCTCGAGACATGCTTTCTGTAATTCGCTAACGAGCACATCGGTACATGGACCTGGTAACAATAGTGTTTCCTTCATCTACACCTTCCCTTATGCTCTTAGCTACTCTTCAGCTTCTCTGTCAACTCCGGTACTTTCTCAAACAGATCACCAACTAGGCCAACATCTGCAACCTGAAATATAGGAGCGTCGGCGTCTTTGTTAATTGCAGCAATCACCTTGCTGTCTTTCATACCGGCCAAGTGCTGAATTGCGCCAGAGATTCCAACGGCCATATAAAGCTCCGGGGCCACAACCTTGCCCGTCTGACCGACCTGAAGACTATTGTCTGCATACCCACTATCGACAGCCGCGCGAGATGCACCGACCGCAGCACCCAGTGCATCAGCGAGAGGGAGTATGACTTTGTCAAAATCATCCTTCGACTTCAGACCTCGGCCTCCGGAGACAACCTTTGAAGCGCTACCCAAATCTGGTCTGTCCGACTTCGCTAGATCTTCCGACACCCATGCTGCCGAAGTATCAGCTTTAGGATCTACTCCGTCTATAACGGCAGCTGACCCTGCGCCGGGAGTAACAGAAGCGAAGGCGGTAGCTCGAATGGTGATGACCTTGACCGAGTCCGAAGACTCAATAGTCGCAATAGCATTTCCAGCATATATGGGCCGCACAAAGGTCTTGTCATTTTCGATGGCAGTAATATCGGAAATTTGCTGAGAGTCTAATAAAGCGGCCACTCTCGGCAAGAGGTTCTTCCCAAAAGCAGTATGTCCTGCAACGACGTGGGTATATTTACCCCTTTTTATGTTCTCCACAAGCAGGGGAGCGTAAGTCTCCGGAAGGCCCTGTTCAACAATTAATACAGATACTCAAATGGCAAAATGGAGAAGGCGAGGGCTTTTACTTGCCTTCTCGTACGCGATGCTCTCAACCTTGATAACTTGTTCAACTCCCTCAACTCTGGAAGCCGCTTGGGCGGCAGCCGATACATTTCTACCGGCAATGAATCCATGGACGGTTCCTCCCAATTGCTTCGCTGCGGTGAAAGCATTCAGAGATCCGGGATTGAGTTGTCCATCACGTTGTTCTAGAATAGCCAAGGTGGACAACAGTCGACTTCTAGTACTTACTCCGTGAATGGCGTGCGCCGGGGGATTGAAGCCGACAGTCCGTCGAGTGAATGAGGATCTTGCGAGGGCGTACATCTTAACAATGAGGGACGGCTCTACACTGCTTGCCAACCTGCGATGCAAGCCGTATTGTCCAGAAGTCCAAGTTCGGGCAGTTGCGGCTCGAACACCACCGGCTCAACGCCCCGCCGCCTTGGGCAAGGGCGGAGAAAACGATAATCATGTGACTTCAAACCCGGGCTTTTCCGTCAAGCCCAGAGGAGGTTTCCAAATAGGAAGTCACATTTTAAATCACGTGACAGAATTCCTGAACACAGTCAGCCATTCGACTTGGAAGATGTACTAGGACAGGTTGGGTACTCCTGTTTGTCGTCGCGCCCAAATTTTCCTCGGTAACGCGCCGCGTCATCATAGAGAAGCATTACTTATTCCGATATCTATTGCACCGTGTTGCTTGCGAATTAACATACTGTCTACTAGATATCCATCGCGCTCTTAGTAGGCGGCCGGTTGCTAGCGGTAGGACGCTTTTCCTGCATCCTCGCCAATCCTTATTCTCTTTACATTTCACGTCGCAAAAGCCGTCTCACACTCTGCATATCATGGAAGATTCTACAGCATACGGATCGCCAGCCAATGCTGCATCCCCAGATGGCAACCCTATACTTGCACAACCAACCCTACAAGCTGAGGCGATATCAGGCGATGGCGAAGGTGAGATGCCACTGCAAACGACCGTCTCGTGTCCGCCGAGCTAATTAGGAAGATGTACCAATGTCAGAGGGTGTGACCAGCGAGGCACCCATAAAGCAGGATAGCGCGACTCCTGGCCCAGGCGCCACCGCTGCTGAAGGCTCCGAGGCGCTACGAACAGATGCCGCGGCCAACGCTGATACTGAAATGGGTGATATGCCGGCCCCTAGTTCTAAAGGGATTGCTACTGCAGAGCGTGACGGTGCCGCTGATAACCAAGAAAACAAATCGAAGGAGAATGTTGAGTCAGCGGCCCGGGAACACCTCGTTTCCCAAACCCATGCGATTGTTCTTCCTAGTTACAGTACCTGGTTCGACATGAACAGCATTCACGACATCGAACGGAAGGCGATGGCTGAATTTTTCAACAACCGAAACAGGAGCAAAACCCCTGCTGTTTACAAAGACTACCGCGACTTCATGATCAACACGTACCGCTTAAACCCAGTAGAATATTTAACTGTCACAGCTTGTCGCAGAAATTTGGCCGGTGACGTCTGCGCTATTATGAGAGTCCATGCGTTCCTGGAGCAATGGGGTTTGATTAATTATCAGGTATGAGAACAATTACTTTCCCAGCTTTCCATTACCCAATCTACAAGATGGCTAATGAGACACAGGTTGATGCCGAACAACGCCCATCGCATGTTGGTCCCCCATTCACAGGTCATTTCAAGATTATATGTGACACGCCACGCGGTCTTCAACCGTGGCAGCCATCTGCCGATCCCATCGTTCTGGAAGGAAAAAAGAATGCCGATACTGATAAAAAGTCAGCCCCAAATTTTGGGGCTAAAAGCGATCTCAACCTTGAGATTGGTCGTAATATTTATGAAGCTAATTCAAAGGGGTTGTCCGTGAACAAAACTGAGGCCAGAGCCAACGGTGAAATACCAGCTACCAACGGCGTGTCTGGTACTGAGGATGCAACAGTATCTGCGATCGCTAGAGTCAATTGCCATCAATGTGGCAACGACTGCACCCGTGTTTATTATCACAGCAGCCAGACCGACACCAGTTCCAAAGCCAAATACGACCTCTGTCCCAACTGTTTCACAGAAGGCCGTTTGCCGGCGAACCATACATCCAGCATGTATTCAAAGACGGAGAATCCCACTTACACGTCTATCCTAGATCGGGATGCGCCTTGGACCGACGCCGAAATTCTTCGTCTACTCGAAGGCTTGGAACGGTTTGATGACGACTGGGGAGAGATTGCTGATCACGTTGCTACGAGGACGCGAGAGGAGTGTGTGCTCCAGTTCTTGCAATTGGATATTGAGGAGAAATATTTGGATTCGGAAGTACCTATCAGTGCACCTACTGGCTTGTCTATGCTTGGGGCACAGCACGGTCATCTGCCCTTCAGCCAAGTCGACAATCCAGTCATGTCCGTTGTTGGATTTCTGGCAAGTCTAGCTGACCCTGCAAGCACTGCCGCAGCGGCCAACAAGTCTGCCGATGAATTGAAAAGAGGTTTGCAGAAGCAATTGAATGGCAACAAACGCAGTCAAGAAGCCAATGATGCAAGAAATGGTGGCGAGAAGGCACCTGATGTATCCAAAGAACAAGGCCAGACGCAACAAGTCGGCGAGTCAATGGATGTGGATATGCGTCAGGAGGTGACGACAACCAGCACCACCACTACAACTACAACTACCACAAAGAACAGATCGCTTGCGTCTATCCCTTTGGCGTCTATTGGGGCTCGCGCAGCGGGATTTGCGTCCCATGAGGAACGAGAGATGACACGACTTGTCTCTGCCGCTACCAATGTAACATTGCAAAAGCTGGAGCTAAAATTGAAATACTTCAATGAGATTGAAGGTATTCTTCGAGCAGAAAGGCGAGAGCTGGAACGGGGTCGACAGCAATTGCTACTGGACAGACTGGCTTTCAAGCGTCGGGTTGGCAAAGTCATGGAAAGTTTGAAGACGGCAACCACCATTGGCGGTGACCAAGGCGTTCGCATGGTGCAAGAAGCTCTTCAGCCGGATGGAGAAAGGTTGGGTTTCCAACCCGCAACTGGTGAGCCATCTGTCCAAGCACCGAGCAGCAATGGACAAGTGAAGAGTTATGAGGCATAATATGATAAACATGGTGAAACCACTGCTGGTGCACGGAGGTGGAATGCGGCATGGGCGCCTGGTCCAACTATTTCTCGAATACACCAAGGTTATTGTGTTGAGGCTCGCAGAAGTTGATACGTGTCGCCGGTTGTGGTTTAATGTAACAGGGTGTACTATGAGTTTAGGAGTTCAGTGTCGGAAGAGACGCCACGGTCTTTTTTTCTTTCTTTCTTCGTATTGAATACGTATCCAGTCAACTTCTGTGATTCCGCTCTTCCTTTCCACTATTTTGACCTGGAGGCTGGTCTAGGAGCTGCATGGCCGCTTGCTTGCACAAGTCAGAGAAGGTACATTTATAGGCTTTTCGAGTCAAACACAGTCAGGACAAGTCCTCAAATTCAATTGATATGAGTCGTTCTATTCACCGCATGGAGTGGCACGTAGACAGAAGCTGAGATGGGCATTTCAGGCGGCTGCCGAGTAACGAATTACCCGCCTGTCTACCTCTAAGTACGTAGGTACTCAGTACTTAGCTCAAGTACCTACCTACTTAAGTAGGTAGGTATCTGAATACCTTGGGTACTTCTTATTTAAGTCAGTACTTACCTACCTACTTAAGGTACTTAAGTAAGTAAGTAGCCGAGTACTTACTACTACAGGCAACGGACAACCAAAGTTTTACATATCGCCTGCCCACATACCCCAGATGTACTTACTGGACAGGCTAGTGCATTCCAGGGTCTTCCCAGGCGCCCTGCCGGGCACTGGGGTTCTTTGCAACACGTTTCGGTGCAGCCTCTTCGTTTTGTTTCCTTTAACCTCGGCTATACTGCTCCAAGACCCGCTACCAACCACATGCAAGTTGCGGACGGTGTCGGCGTCCGGTCGCCCAAAAGCCTAGGCCATGTCGTCGTCAGACAAAAGGAGAACAGCAAACAGCACCAACGGAGAAGGGAACCACCTGCTCGAATACAATCAAAGAGCCCCTGCGGCCGGGCGAATAATACTTAAGTCATCCCAGCAGGTCACGAGAAGTCGACTGGTCTTTCAAGTGCCGCGGTCGCTGCTGAAAGTCCACATTTCCCGATCCCACCACCAACCAGTCTTTCCCCAAACACAACCGCACTTCCTCGTTGCGTGCATAACAGACCACTTGTAGCCGGCCATGTTGACATCTGCCGCTCGCTCTCGCGCATTGGGAAACAACTTTCGATCAACTCGCTTGTCATCACTAACGGTCCGTCTTCACTAGTGCTGTCTGCCATTGGAGACACAAGGCTAACTATGTTTTACGGCAGACCCCCATCATGGCCTCGGCTAAGCGTAGTAACAGCTCTCTCCCTCCTGGTAATTTATATTCTCTCTGTCCCAAGTTCACTTCCATCAAGATTCTTTCAACCGTGTTAGGGCGAATCTTTGGCACTGACCACTTGTGAAATTATTAGGCTATTGGGAGGATAGATCCAAGGGTGTAATGCTGCGCTTTCAGGACTCTTTGCCTCGGTTGCCCGTCCCCGCGCTCGAAGAGACAGCGAAACGATACTTGAAATCCCTCCACCCTCTTTTATCTGCCACTGAGTATTCGAAGAGTAAGGCTGCCGTAGAGGACTTCATCAAGCCTGGCGGTCCCGGCAGTAGGCTCCAGGAGAAGCTCGTTAGGAAGCGCGAAGATCCGGCGACTAAGAATTGGATTTACGAGTGGTGGAACGACGCTGCGTACCTAGCATACCGCGATCCTGTCGTGCCGTACGTCAGCTACTTCTACTCTCACCGTGATGACCGCATGCGCAGAGACCCAGCCAAGCGAGCGGCGGCTATTACCTCCGCCGTCTTAGAGTTTAAGAAGCTTGTTGACAATGGCTCTCTTGAACCGGAGTATATGAAGAAGCTCCCGATTTGTATGGACAGTTTCAAATGGATGTTCAATGCCACACGCATCGCTGCACGTCCTGCCGACTATCCTGTCAAGTTCTCTCCCAGCGAAAACAAGCATGTCATAGCCATTCGCAAGAATCAATTCTTCTTCATCCCCCATGAAATTGCCGGCAAACAACTCAATACTACGGAGTTGGAAAGTCAATTCAATAAAGTCTACCAGACGGCGCAGCGTGTCCCTGCTGTTGGCGCTTTGACGTCAGAGAATCGGGACATCTGGGCCGCTGCTCGCGAACTACTGGTGCACACTAGCGCCAAGAACAAAGATGCTCTTCGTGCGATTGACTCGGCCTCGTTCATCGTTTGCCTCGATGATGCTTGTCCCGTTACCCTGGAAGAGCGAGCTCATCAATACTGGCATGGGGATGGAGCGAACCGCTGGTATGACAAGCCTTTGCAGTTCATCGTCAACGACAATGGGACATCGGGATTCATGGGTGAACATTCAATGATGGATGGCACGCCAACGCATCGCCTCAATGACTACATAAACGATCTCATTTTCGGCAACAAGATAGATTTTTCAGACCCTTCTATCCGATCTGACCTTCCCGAACCCCAGCTGCTCCAGTTTGACATTACTGCACCAATCCAAGCTGAAATTGATCGTGCTGTCACTGATTTCCACACCGTTATCAACCAACATCAACTAGCCGTACAAGCATATCAGGGATATGGTAAAGGTTTAATCAAGAAGTTCAAATGCTCCCCTGATGCGTATGTCCAGATGATTATTCAACTGGCCTACTTCAAGATGTATGGCAAGAACCGTCCAACCTACGAATCAGCAGCGACCCGTCGTTTCCAGCTTGGCCGAACAGAAACTTGTCGGACAGTTTCGGATGAATCCGTGGCGTGGTGCAGGTCAATGTCTGACCCGTCACAGGATGATCAAGCACGGATAAACTTGTTCCGTAGGGCTATCGACGCTCATATTGAGTACATCACGGCTGCATCCGAAGGCAAAGGTGTCGACAGACATTTGTTTGGTCTCAAGAAACTGTTGGCATCAGATGAGGAGATTCCTGCCATCTACAAAGACCCAGCCTTCAGCTACTCGAGTTCTTGGTACCTATCAACATCGCAACTCAGCTCGGAATTCTTCAACGGTTACGGTTGGAGTCAAGTCATTGACGAAGGTTTCGGCATCGCCTATATGATTAATGAAAATAGGTGAGCCAGGTATTCTGCTTCTACGGGGCTGTATTTTTGTTAACCTCCATCTAGCATTAATTTCAATGTCGTATCGAAGCGCCTGGGAAGCGATCGTATGAGTCACTATCTGAACGAAGCTGCAGGGGAAATGCGTGACCTGTTGATGCCAACAGTAGCCTCGCCGAAAGCAAAGTTGTAAGATATGAGCGATATGAACAAAGAATCTTTTTCACGCCATGTCATCGTCTTGCTGCTCAGTTTGAGCCATGAACCGGAAGGCTGAATGGTTGAATGTAAAGACCATGAGGGAGAAGTAAGTATCCCATCTCTGGCTGCCAAAGGCGATCGCGGGATGCTTGCCAAATTTTATGTTATAGTTCCATGCATACACTGTCCGTTTGCACTACAGTTGGTAAAGAGCATCAGAATTGTGAAGATGAGTCATCATCTTGTGACACATAAACGTCAGAAGGCTAGGTAGCGCCGCTCCCCAAGATAGTAGCTTACATTCGAATGTTTGTGGATATCTTGCTTGTGTTTTCTATTGTAGAATAATGATTGTTCACCACTGCATAGTACCACAAGTACCCATGGTCTCATGTAAATACAGTAGGGATGGTTGTAGACGGCGAAGTACAGCTAACCAACATGAGCCACGATCTCGTTGATGAGGTCGCCTTTATTTTTGTCGTAGTATGAACAAATTTGGGACGGGAGCGGCACCTCTTTGTAATCGTCATCTGGCCCAAACAAAATGTTAAGGTTGATCCCAGACGACTTGCTGGTGAAGACCTTGGTGCCAATGCTCTCTTTACTAAAGTAAATTTGGCCGCCATCCACTTGATCCAGCATAACAGTCGGGAGAGTTCCAATAACCTGTAATGCAAAATTTTGAGCTTTGATTACATCCACCGTAGAAACCAAGGTGTCAACAACCAGCGAGAGGCGCACTGAGTTTTCCACGGTGACCTGGTTGGCCTTGCCCTTCAATACTACCGTTGTGTTATTACAACTGCTGATCAATACGGACTGCGTCAAGGTAGTTTCAATTTCAATTGGCTGCGTCTCTTTGTCATGATTTTCCTAGCATAATTGTCAGACACCGTGTTTTTGCGAGGAACCATATAACGTACGATCGTCCATTTATTGCCTTTTAGGTCCATCTTGGGGGTCTTCTTGACGCGCATGCTTTCTGGCTTTGGCTTTTTACCGGGGGCAGGACTTTTGCCTCGAGAAGAGCGACCTCGGTCTGCAACATTACTGACGCGCAGCGAGGGATTCTTGTGCGTCATTTCCGATTTGTCGACCTTCCGAAGTCCCTTCGTGACGGCCGAGCCTTTATTCAGCTCAGAAAATACAGCGTCGAATCCGCCAGAAGACGCAGGCGCCGCCGGAATAGGTTCAGTTTTAATATCAAGAACAGGTGGTGGTCCAGGAGGCGGTGGCGGAGGTGCTGATGGGCCTGCCGCATCTGATGTGCCTCGCGCCGTGCCGATCGGCAGGAGCGAATTTGCTACGTCCCCCGCGGGCTCGCCCGTGGCATTCCAAGTAATCCCGGACGGGAAATATTGCTTGACGTATTCAGCGAGGTCGCGAAAGACTTGGTAAAATGATTGTATCCATTCCGCCTGTTTTGGATCCCTAGATTTGCTTAGCCAGTGCAAAATATGAGGTTATATAGGTCTTGGCTTACTTATCTTTCTGTTCTTTAAGCACCCGATTTCCAAAAAACTGGGCTGAGCTCAAACTCTCCTCCACGTGCTTGTGAGGGCGGGTATCCATTGTAATCCAGGCAAGCATCATAATGCCATCCGCGACAGCACTCAGGTTTGTATACATGGGGTCGGGTCGGTTCGACTCTTTCAGCTCGGTTACGGCCATTAACGCATCGTTGATTGGTTTGATAATTATCTGGTACGTCGATGCATCAGGTTTCGTGGCTTTGGTTGTGATCAGCAGAAACTTTTCCTGTTCTTGGAATCCTTTAAGCACCTCTGCGGCCTGTGCAAGGGCATTGGCATTAGCAGCTCATCAACAACGTATGTTGGCTTAATCACTGAGGAATGACTCAAACCTGTTTGGCAACTACACCGCCCAGTTCATTGCTGATTTTGACATATTTGCCCACAGACGAGCTTATGAATTGTTGAAACTCTTCGATCGATTCCGGGACTGGCTCCTCAGTTTGCTTGGGGGTCGTCTTGACGGAAGCCGTTGCCGTCGAGGGGGTTGTAGACGTCAAAGACACGCCCGTCGGTGAGGCAATCGTCTGCTTCAGAGCGGGAACATCTTTGGGTAATTCAGTTGAGGTCGCGATATCTTCGAGGCGTGAGGTCGCAGCTTCGAGTCTGCCAGATATTTCAATAATTCGAGCTAATGCTATCATAGGTACGAGAATGTACGTGGCCCAGTTTTTACCTCTTGATGAGTGTAGTGAGATTGTGCATGTTAGTTGCGGCCGCCATCTCCGTCATGTCCTCTTCAACAGGTTCATGTAAGACTCCGGTCGAGCATGGGTTGGGGCGTAGTTCGGATTATAACCCGCGTGGGTTGTGCTTTCGCCACAAGTGTACCGCGCTGTTCAGAAAATATCCGATGTGTGTTTGCTACGCTTTGAGCAATGTCCGTCTTTGTCTGTTGATGAAGGGTTTTTGACTTATTTTAGCGATTGTGGAGGAGATGTAGAGAGCTGATGATGGTATGGCTGGACCAAATGCGCGAGCAGACGAGAATACTAACTTTTTGCGTGATGGGTGAATTCAGGGCGCATTTAGTCGAGTAGGACCGTGTTCATCCAAATGTATGATGATAAGGGGCCTGTCCAGGAGGGAGTGTGATGATAGCACTTGCGGCCCGACGGTCTGCGGAGCAGCATACCACGTGAGTTTACCTACTGCCAGATGTTGAGGTACCTCCAGGTACCTAGCAGGTACGGGAGGGGAGTTGATGGCCACTGCACTTCCAGATGTTGTCACGAGCTTGCTAGAAAGCAGAGCGCGACACATGTGATTAAATGTCGTTCATTATTTTATTTTCTTTGACACTAAGTAATTGAGGCACATCTTATGTAGTGTAACTTCTCTATACACCCGTCGTGCGTCATGCCCCCGCGGGCGATAAAGCCCAAGTAAATGCCAATTTAGCACCACGTCTGATCCGGCTTCCGAAACACGAAAACCAATGACAATTGGCGCACAAGTTCAAGCAATATTATTGTTCGTTTCATGGTAAAGATTTCCCGTCATCCACCGGCGAACCATCCATCCCGTTGACTACGTGGTTGAATACCTGGGTAAATAGACCCTCAAGTAGCAGCATGAGCCCAGTAAGGCCTGGAAGTAGCACTGAAGTTAATACGCGACAGCCAGGGCCCCGATATGGTGCCGGGTTTGCCGTCCCCGCAGTCACAGATCGGCCTCTTGTTTGTTTCCTTATATATTCTTAATAGGGACAGCCAGAAGGTGGCAAACGCGGGGAAAACATAAAAAGGATCCGCAGGATCTGACACGGTAAAACTGCATCAACGAGGCACAAGGCTCTCTATGCCACGTTTGTATCACACACTGAGACACGTGCATTCACTGGCGGAAGATAAGCGCAGAAACAACAGCGGGCGGTGTAAGGTGAAGTAGCAGCAACGACAAATGCAATATTTGTTCCTCGCCAGCTAGTCTGCGCGGCATGATCAGGGCGGCACGAAGCAGCGATCTACCATATATCTTAATTCAACACGCAAGAAACACGGAACAAACAGCTTCCACATGTCTACTGCCGAGGAGAAGAGCTGACCATTCGAGGCTCACATCAATAACTTTCTCCTCGGATGGTGGCCCGGAGAGATGGCAAGCCGAGAGGAGGAAACGTACTGCCGCCCGCAAAAGGCCGATGAAAGCAACACCACAGCTCGAATAGATTTTGTCACTCTTGGAATGCTCATATTAGGTGAGTCACAGAAAACTGCCCGACCACGTCACAAACGCTGTCATGAAAACTTCCCGTCGCAACGTTCAAGTCATATTACTCTGTCCCAGTAGCAGACACTGAAACCGGACGCGTGTATAATGCAGCAGCTGACTCTTACCAGACGATATAGACTTTCGACCCCCAACGGAGCCAGTCCGCGGTGTGCTCGGCGGAGCAGGTACATACTCAGCGCTGGGAGCACGTTTGTTCTCCCCGCCGCCGCTGTCGCGCTCTGTCGGCTGGGTTGTAGACAAAGGCTTCGACTTTCCTGGCAAACTCTCAAGCTTGATTGATAATTGGGACACTGGTGCAGTCGTGCGTCAGGACCACAGCCGTCTGACAACCAGAGGATGGAATGGTTATGTCGACCCAGCGGACCGGCGGGCCTTTAAGTATACCACATTGAAAAAGCGCATTACCTCAGAAGACCTCACGCCGAGTCTTCTATTTTCAAAGTCTTTCCACCTAATTTGCTCCCCAACTCGCTGCCAGGAGCTCATAACTGACATCATGTCACGCCGCAAAGCGCTTGTCACACGGAAAGATTCGTACACCAAACCTATATTTGTCTGGGAGCCGGTCCCTGATCTCTGTACTCCAGATGAACTACTCAACTGCACAAATACATTACGCCTTGTAGACATATGTAGCCCGAACCATGCCGAGCTGGCAGGATTCATGGGTGATGATGGGCTTGACCCCGAAACTGGTGAAGTGTCGACGCTAGGCGTAGAACGTGCCTGCGAACAGCTACTCGCCAGCATGCCGCTGCAGTCATATGCCCTTGTTGTCCGGGCCGGAGATAAAGGCTGCTACATCGCAAAAAACGGTGGAAGAAAGCGGAGATTAGGGGACGGCAAAACCTCCAAATCAAAAAAGACACTGACACATGGTGCATTGCGGCCTGATACAGATATGGAAGCATTATTCGCTGGACTCTTGCAAGATGAGAATGGCATTGTCGCGCGCGAAGAGATTGAACTTGACCCAGGGTTGGAAAAATGGGTTCCTGCTTACCACCGAGATGGCCGCAAGGTGATTGACCCGACAGGAGGCGGCAATGCCTTTCTCGGAGGATTATCAGTGGCTCTGGCTCGCGGGGAACGGCTAGAGAACGCAGTGGCCTGGGGTTCAGTCAGCGCGAGTTTCGCGATTGAGCAGGTTGGTCTGCCATCGCTGGCCGTGAACGAGGAGGGTGTAGAGACATGGAACGGGGAGGAGGTACGACAACGTCTCCAGGCATTCCAACGACGACTCTAAAATATTCGTACTGCCAAAATATGCACTACTGACCCCTCGCTCGGGGAACTAGCTACACGGCTGTTGTGCTAGGAGAATGGTATGTGCAGGCCTAGTGTATCAACCAACCAACGTTCTCGTCCAAGGCTGCCGTTTTGTAAAACTTCCAAGTAGCTCCCCCGTCAACGAGTGCGCCAAACTTCTATGTTTCTACCACATCTGGCCATTTAAATCTTGTAAACGAGCTCACCATCCGCAAACCTAGATAAAGAATTCATTAGTATGGATTTAACGAATGACACTGAATTTCCCGAAAACTTGAAGGCAGGAAGACCGGGCTTTTGCCCTGGAGAAGATGGTTTGGGGAAGAGGGATAATTCTGGCAGTAGGCATCACAAACATGATATGATTCGCTTCCTCCAATTTCTTGAGTGCCTTTACCGCTTCATGCCGTTCAAATGCACCGCCATCGCCGCTCGAAACTTTACGATTGACAGCGGAAACAACAGCATCGAGAGCTGCAGAATCATCCTCGAACAAATCAGAGTTCAGAAGTTGACCCAGCGCTGTTCTGAAGACTGCCACACGGCGAGGGTCGATTTGTGTGGCATCATCAATCGCTAGCTTTGCAGCCTCCGTAGCGAGGTCTTTCTCAGTCTGATTATCTTCCTGTGTTTGTAACAACAATGCTGACGCCGACACAGACGATGCAAACGATGCCTGTGACTGGGAAGTATCAAGCACTGACTGACCACTGCGTCCAGAGCGGCGCGCAGCTGTGTGTTGAGTTGATGGACTGTCTGCGACTGCGACCCTGCCAGCATTCGATGCAGACCCATTACCACCAACAGCTTTGGAAACTCCTGTTCTGGATCGAGTAGTCGGATGTGCAGTTCCCGTTGCGCTTCTTGTTGAGCGAGCTCCCCTATAATTGCCTGCTTCTCCCTCGATCTCATCTCCATTATCAGAGCTATCTTCGCTCGAAGACGTAAATTCAACGGCTTGGGTACGTCTCCTTTTCTTCCTCGATTCATCTACAACAACTTCCTTGAAGAGAGCGAATCTGAGGATACCCTCCGCAGCGATAGCATCTTGGTCTTCGACCCTGCTTGATAAACGCGCCTTGGCATGGGCAGTGGCAAGGCGTATGATTGTCTCCAGTGTGCGAACAGTCAGCGGACTCGTTCTTCTCTGGTTCCCCTCCATTTCGTCGTTTCGTAAGCCGACGTATATCTCCGCTATACGGTCTGAAGCGTCCTGCGTTAAGATCGGCTTGACTCGAGTCTTTGCATATTGTATATACTTCTTCATAAACGGGATGCTCAGGATTTCTGGCTTTTTGGTAGAACCACGCCCAGACGTGCGGGTTACTCCAGCGTGTAGCATATTGTCATATTTTTCATATACTTCTGTCGGCTGCTGCGGCCCTCTCTGGCTATCGGCGGAAACGCCCAAATTTTGTGACATTTGCTCCCTAACAGGTTCCCCTTCCTCAGTACCTGTTTGCCGATACCTATGCATCCTTAGTACATGCTCGGACACTTGACGATCTCTTGTATCTTCAATATCATCTGTTACTACAAACAGAAGATCGAATCGTGACAATAGCGAGTCAGGGAGTGCTATATTCTTGTGCGGATCCTTGTGAGGATCATACTGGCCGAATATCGGATTCGCAGCCGCGACAACCGAGCAACGAGCGTTTAGTGAAGTATGAATTCCTGCTTTGGCAATAGTCACCGTTTGCTGTTCCATGACTTCGTGAATGGCGACTCGATCGACGTCAGACATCTTGTCGAACTCATCAATACAAACAACGCCCCGATCAGCCATGACCATCGCACCGGCTTCAAGTCTTCGCTCCCCTGTTTCCTTGTCTGTTGTGACAGCTGCAGTGAGACCGACGCCAGAGGACCCTCGACCAGTAGTGGCAATTGCGAGAGGGGCAGTATTAAGGACGAACCGTAACAGTTGAGATTTCGCTGTTGAAGGGTCACCTATCATGAGGATGTTGATATCACCTCGAAGGTGGGTGCCGTTCTCAAGATTCTTTTCGATGCCACCCAGTAACATGAGAAGAATTGCTTTTTTGATATGATCGTGTCCGTAGATACTTGGAGCGAGAGACTGAGAAAGGAGCTCCAAGAGATTTCTCTTCTTGGCCACCTTATTGATGTTTCGAATATCTGTGTCGGTTATGGTGGCTGTCGCAATGCCTCCACCTGACTTTGAGGACAAGAGCACAATATTGTTGGCAAGTATGATGGTCTTGAATAGGGCACTATTGTGATTGGTATTTCGGTTGCCTAGGGTGCGAAAGATGCCGACAATTTGAACCCGGTCACCCGGCTTAACTCGATCAACCAAATCGTCATCTAGAATGACATCAACTCCACGGGGAAGCTGTCCGGCCGGGGCACGCTCAGGCATCTCTTGAATAGAAATTGTCTGGTGATCCCGGTACGTGCAAAACCCATACTCAGTTACGAGCGGGTTGCCTTCATCATCTTCTCGAGGATATACATTTGAGGTAGGCAACCCGTGCGTCATTGTTTGATCTTGATATTCTCTGAAATGAAATTTGCCTGCTTTCTCGTTGTAATGTACACTGCGGACGACCTTTGGCCGGATGAGCGAGCACCTAGTGACAATACCTTCCAAAGATACCATGTGATTGAGGTGCCGCGAGGAGAGGGTTCGTGGATTGCACGAGTTGAGACCAAAGCTCCCCGCCCAGGCGCAGTAGTAGACAGTATCCCTAGCGGACTGGTCTGGACGTGCTTGAGGTACGGTCTCCACGATCTTCTTCAGGGCATGATTGAAGGCAAGGAGGTAGTCGAAAGGTTGATCGAGGATGCTTTGGGCAAGCTCGTTGTTGTGGTCACGAACATGATCGAGGTTTACAGCCAAGCGACGCTGGTTCTTCTGGAGCATCAAAATAATGTCCGACCTGTAACTCCGTGCATGAGGATCACCTAAGCCAAGTCAGTGACGTGAAAGGGCAACTTTTGTTAAATTAAGACATACTGGGATCTAAAAAATCCTCGGCCTGGCGAATACGGTCTTGAACACCTTCATCTCGGAGCATGAAGGAGTCCATTTCCATTATAGAGCATTACCAGTTCTAGGAACAATTGTCGGACGTCGAAATACAAGTTGCAGGCTCATGAAATAGAACGCAGACGTGTGCAGTTAAGGATGCGGAAGTGGGACAAAATGGGACGCGTTACGCGCCATCGACGCGTTAAGTGGTTGCGTGTTGACATGAAATTAGCCCAAATTAGTGATGAGTACTAGTTACTTGCGACACGAAGCAGCTAATAGTGGGACGGCACGGTCGTGGATACTGGATACCACGGAGCAGCTGTGGAGCGGGGAATATCAATCACTTGTGCTAAGCTCTCGCCGTTTGGAAGCACACTGACACCGTTAGATGGGACTAGTACGCATGCTCGTCTCAGTCCCTACTCTGGCTTTTAGTTTATCTTTCTCCTCTATTGTTCCCGAATCAAAACTGATCATGGCCGTGGGCCTCTCAAGCGTCACTCATCACGCACTTGACGAAGAGGCGAGAGCTGAGGTCGATGTCCTGAACTCTCGCCTGGAAAAGACAACGCAGCTCACCAAGAAGATTCAAGCAAGCCTCGGCCGACTGGAGGTCTCTGGTCAGAGTGTACGCGATGTTGCAGGTCCGCTCAGTACAGAGACCAGACGTCTACAGCTACTTGGAAACAGTATGGCCTGACTGACTTATCAGTGCTTTGTTGCATCGTGCACTAAGTTGAACTAGATGTTGACGCTGTTCTCTCCGCGATCGATCGACTACGTCAACCTGCCGATAGTAGAGAAAACGAAGAGCAGATCATTCGCGCCGGGCCAGATAAGGCCGGGTTGTCAAGTTACCTCGCCTCGTTGAAGAGGCTCAATAAATCGCACGCAGAGATGCAGGTATCCAACTTGAGAGCGAATCAGCACACAATGACTGATCTTACGCGGCTTATAAAGTCAGGAAATGCACAACTGGAGAGCTACTTTGACAAACTTCTGCGAGGCGAAACGCCGAGATCCATCGAACCTCTTCATTACATTACAAAAGATAAACCATTTCCAGTTTTACCACAGGACAAGATTGCTCGACTGGGTCTCGTCTATGCCTACCTGGCAGGCGGCCAGAGGCCTGTCGGTCACGACTCGCCGGCGTCAAAACTATATGCCGAAGTCCGTGGTCCATATTTATCTTCATCTCTGGGCAACCTGGCCGCCGCGAGTGTGAACACAGCCAAGAAGAAGAACCCTGACGCAATATATAGAGTCGGAACTAATGGCATTGGCACGTATGCCCAGGCCATGGAAGCCATTTTCCTATCGGAGTATGATAATATCTGCAGTATATTCAAGCGCGAAGACTGGGGACCGGTATTTCAAGACACATGCCAGGCAGCATTGTCCGAGCTTGCACGCACTGTGCGAGAACTCAATACTCACATCAAAGGTCACCTCGGCACTGACTGCTATTTGGCATATGAGATAACGGAAATTCTCTCGGGCCTTCTTGGGAACTTGGAAACGAGGACGGGAGAGCTCAAAATTTCCTTGGCTGCAGCGTTGAAACCCGTCCGGGAAACCGCCAAGGCGTCGCTTTCCGAGCTGTTGGAGGATACCAAGAGAAAGGCTGGCGGCTTACAGACATTGCCTTCCGATGGTGCTTCCATACCTCTTGTGGCAGATACGATGCAGCGACTGCAGGCCATGGTGGAGTTTATTCATCCAATATCTAGTCTCATGATCTCTCTTGGCGATGGAGGCTGGAAATCGAATACTGGATCTGCTAGTCGACCTACAGATATCATCCCGAGTCTCGCATCCTTTGATATTGGTGCGGACGGTAGGGAGATATTTGGGCATTATTGTCTGGACACAATCGATACCCTTTTGTCTGCGTTGGACCAGAAAGCAAAAGTTTTGCTTCGTGGTAAATCTGTTACGGGTGTGTTCCTTGCCAACAGCGTCGTAACAATTGAGCGGATGATACGAGATTCGGATCTCGGCCCTCTGTTGCAGTCACGGCTCGAAGTGCTGGATCAGTGGCGCAAAAGGGCAACAGTGGCATACACGGACGTTTGCAGAGACTTGTCTGTCTGTCTATTCGATACGATCCACACCAACCGCACTCAGCGACCCACGTCTGGCCAGGCGACAGACTCAGCCTCCGTCATCAAAGCCCTCAGTAGTCAGGATAAGGATAAAATCAAGGAGAAATTCTCCCAGTTTAATGCCGCTTTCGACGAAATGGTTACCAGGCACAAATCTTACAACATGGAACCTGAGGTGCGGTCCATGTTTGGCAGGGATATCCGTCAGAAACTGCAACCACTCTATGATAGGTTTTGGGACCGATATCATGATATTGATAAGGGCAAGGGGAAGTATGTAAGATACGACAAGTCATCCATTGCATCTGTCTTTCTTAGTCTTGCATCTTGATTGATGGCGCCTGGTTAGCTATAGAAACGATTCGGAATTTGGCCATTTATTTCTTGTGTTAAGAAGGATTGTACATAGTCGCTTGTAGTATTCCCGGACAGTAACGCCCGCCATGGTGACAAACAAAGTGAAGTGTGCCTGCCTGTTCGGTGGATAGTTACAATGTGTTTGACAACTTAGGGCGATGAGACACGGACTGAGCCCAGTAGATTCTCAAGCTATAAGCCTTGCGCCTTTCTTTCGACCATCATTAAAATAAGATTAATGCGACGACTTGTTCGTCGACTGTCACCACACGTGGTTTATCTGTTGGCTCGGACTGGCATTGGTCAGGCCGTCCGTCCGTTTTTGCTTTGTTTTGGGACAGAGAGTCAGATCCCGCGCCGACCTTGGCCTCGACGACGCTTGAATAGGTAGGCAAGTTGAAATTATATACTACGGCCATGTGTGGCGTTGTCGTGGATGATAAATTCGATCTTCATCGCTCAATGACTGGAAATAGATGTGTTTTCCGAACTTGGCAGCCGGTACCAGCCCTACATGACTGTCGGGCAGACTGAGGATATCGAGTCTGACTCACAAGTCTGACTCACAAGTGTCTGACTTACACGAAGTCGGTTGATGGCAGTATCGCGACATGGTAGGTACGCTTCTCTCAGATGTGAAGGCGCCGGTCTACTCACTAGCAGTTCGAACGTGATGAACGGTACTGACCAGGCTATTATCCCTTAGATCCTCGCTTTAAAACCTCAGGTTCGACCTACTGTATAAGTTACTTGTGTAAGGGACCCCCGAAGCACACTGGGATTTTCTACTCAGATAGAAAGCGCCCTTGCTGACCACTGGGTACTTACTACTTACTGTAGGTAGTCTCACGGGTACTTCAAGTGCTGTACCCGAGGTGGTAAGTGTACTTACCAGTCACTGGCCTTATCTGCTCTGTACACACCACATTATTAGAATAGTAGTAGTATTAAGTATGTCAACTTATCATTCATGCATGCCCATGTAAGGTTTTGTATGATTAGCACTACATACCCACTCGTTTTCCGTCAACTCCGCTCAATCTTTCTGTTCAATATGCCCCATATTGGTCAGGACCCCAATCAACGGACTCGGTCTGTTTGCCTTTGCCTTCCATGACTGCTTCTAGCTTGTCCTCAACGGTGACCCAGCCTTGCCGCCTCTGCGCGATGGCATATCGAATAGGGTCCCTCCACTCCCGCCACCACTCTTTCTCACTTTGAACGATGCATCTTCGCCCTGGCTCACCATTCTTCGTCGTTGCGAATGGCCACACAGACTTGATCACCTCATATTTATTCTTACCTGAAAAGAGACTTGTGACGTTGGTGAAGAACTGATTCACCCTGTCGGGGCTTTGCACCAACACCCGGCTGTGAGTGACGAGGAAAGTCACATCAACGGCACCTCGATATTTGAGAGTTGCAATGAGGCTCCGGAGTTGGCCCTCTATCCAGTTCACGTCGAGATTTGCAACAACACGGTCCAGAGAGAAGGTTTTCACTGTGGCTGTGTCCTGAACAAATCGTCGACACCATTCTTCCAGTCCCCCATCCCCAACTTCCGGAAGGATATCTGGTCGAACTCCTCCACGATGTGCCAACTCGCCTTCGCCAACGCAGCGAATATAATCCATGCGTAGCCTCTCATCATCAGGTACCAACAGATTCATAAGGTTAAGCTTGATGTCAAAATCAACTCGGCGACCACGACTACCGCGAACGTGAATCTGAGGCTTGGGAGGTACCGTCGACTGTGCACGAATCATTGACACAAGTGCTGCAGCATTTGAGGACAAATATTCGGCTTTTGAGGATAAAGTGATGGAATCACTTGAAAGTTTAAATAACGGAGGTGAGTAGAGCTCGTAGTCAAGTTTTGGTAAGCCTGGATATCGAGGTATGCCTTTCAAAGCCTCTGTCGGGATACTCTCGAGTTGTCGCCCCTCAGTTCCAGGAGACGACGGACTGGAGTAAGGAGGAGGCGTTAGTATCTGAGGGGGATCCTCATGGTTTGCTGCATCCAGCGTTGGAGGAGTGCGTTTCTCCATAGTCCTCCCTCCTCTTGAGGTGTGTAACAATGTTATGAAGAAGATGCACTCGTCCGTGATGCGCACATCCCTTAGCGCAGCGAAGGCGGCAGCGCGGTCATGACAGGACCACCACCAGAATCAGAAGGAAGGTACTTAATTTTCAGCCCGATAATGCTTTTTGAATGCTTTGAGTTTTAAACGAGTGACAGTCCTAGCTGCGTGAAATAATATTGTAGGGCTTTTTAGTGTAAGGATTGTTAAAAATAAGCAACCGTATTTTTAAATAATCAGCCGGTTGTATTTTTCGGTACTGTGTTTTATTAAAACAGCCTACCGGTTGACGCCTGAAAAAAAAATTTGCGTCTGGTTTTTTCTTTTTTACATCCGAAAAAAATTTCAGTATAAAAAACATAGCTCTAGCATTAAAAATAGGTAATTTTTTTTCATCTACAGCTTTTTTCTTTTTTGGTAGTATAGCAGGGGGTTTTTTTTTAACCAAAATAAGCGAAAATAAGTGCTCTAGCATGAAATAGGTAATTTTAGAAAATAGGTAATTTTAGAAAATAGGTAATTTTTTTTACATCTACACCTTTTTCTTTTTTTTTGTAGTATAGCAGGTTTTTTTAAAAAAAATCACAAACACTTATATATATAAAAGTTAATATGAGAAAATGATTTTTTTTAAGAAAATCCATTTACTCAATTAATTCAAGGGTTGGGGGCTGGGGGTTCATTCACCCCACTAACTGGCTCGACGATGATTGTCAAGATCCAGCTGTATCTCGTCGTCATCTTCGTGTGAACGCGATAGATAATAGACACCATCGTGACTATGAACAGCAATGCCATACTAGTCGGGTGCCTAGTTGACAGAATTGCGTCGCGGGTAAGAAAGAAGCATGAATTCATATACAATGCAGCTGAGATAAAACGCTGACGTGGTTGGTGGTGCATGTTCTAGTTGCCACATCATACCGGCCGGACGATCTATGAAGATGATAATATACTTAAAATATCAAGAGCTACATTAGTGGATCTGAGCAAGAATGCCATTGTTCATGTTGTCATTGAATCACTGTTGGGTGTTCTCGAAGATCTGGCGCGGCCATTTCCCTGTGTGGCTGCTCACCCATCAAATATCCTACAATCAGAGCTTTACATTCTGTCGCTCGCTGCCGACAGCTGCACTGCAAATTGGGACGGTATCAATGGTTCAACTGAGCCCAACAGTCCTCTTCTTGATCCGAGTCTGGTTAGTCGAGTATTCGATGCACTGAAAGAACTCTTGGAGCCAATCCCGGACGATTACATATTGCCTGCTCAAACTCTCCTGGATCAACGCAACTTTTATGTTCCTCGCTCTGATGGGATATCTGCTCAGAACGCTAGCAGGCAGATAGTCGAAGCCAAGTGTCTCGTCGAATGTCTGATAGAGTTTGATGCGTACATCAAAGTTATCGTTGGATATGTGTCAGCGACGAGCTGGTCTCCAGCGTTCGATTATGTCAGGAATACTATATACAACATCCGAACGACGACATTCTCCGAAGGCAGCTTATCGAGTCAGGATGTGGACGCTCCAGCTCTGGTGACATTGCGACTGTTGTCCTTCTTTGTGATCGACAGCGTTAAGTTAGGACACATCGTCCAAGAAATATGCTCCAGCTATTTACACTTTCGTAAATCCTGTCAGTGTACAATAGCCGTTGTTCTCCCGCTCCTTGTCACTCGTTGGATTGACAGAAGCCCTGATGAGTTCGTTCGACTACATTCCCGGCCAAGGAGACTGGATGGCGGTGGTGACACTCTCTTCGACATGACGCAAACTGGAATAGAAAATGGTCGTCGGAGAGCTGTTTTATACCCCATGCAAATCACGCTATTGTTGCTCCTTCCTGACGTTTTTGAGGTAGCAAGTAACTTGAGGGAAGCGAAGAGTAATAACTTAATCAAGAAAGTGTCCTTTTTGGACAGCCTCAGAAAAGCTCTACGGAACGGGAATGAACGAGCAGCGTATTGCCTAGTAAGCCTTCTTCGGGCAGCGAGACATTTTGAGGCTGAGAGTGATTCTGCGCTGGTCAGTTACGCCATGGATGTGCAAGATGAAATTCGAGAATCTGTGTTCAGTCTTTCCCAGTCCAACAACATTGCACCACTGCAGTTTGATCAGGATATGATCACGGGAGCTTTTGTTAGCCTCGCCTACCTTGGCTTAGACGAAAGCTTTGAAACACTTACGAAAGCATGCATTTCTTCACTGGCACCGAACTCTTTCAAGGTCGCTGTCATTCAGGCATGTTCACATTTTGCGCGACAACCTGAAGCGGAGAAGTATTCAGCGCTTCAGACAAGTGTTCTTGTCTTGATCAAATCTGAATTTGAGGTATGATGCTGAACCCGGGTTCGACAGTACGACAGCAGTACTGTCGACAGCAACACATTTGTACTGACAAGGAATTTTAGTCCGAATGTATAAATCTCTTCAAGGCAAGAAGTGAATTGTCAGAAGATGGTTACCGTAAGATTTTGGAGATTCTTCGATATCTCAATGTCTCCCCAGGCTCTCTACTCCGGGATTTGTCTGGCCAAACCGCTGGTATGGCATTTCTCAAGCCGTTTATATTTTGCGTCCTGTGTCGGGATCAATCCATTCGTCAGCTTGCCGTGAAGATCGCAAATAAGCTCTTCATCATGAACAAGGATTTGGTGAGCACTTCTCAGCCCAAATATCTCGACGCGACAGAAGAGCTGAGGGAAGACCTATGGATTCGAAGGTGAGCACTTCAGCGGTCCACAGACCTGGCAGCATGACAATTAATGGTCGATGATGCTAAATAACGACAGTTCGTCAATCCTTCTCGAGCTATGTGAACAAGTTGAAAGGGATACCAGCCTTTACACCATGACAGAACTTCGGGAATTTTTAGTCGCAAGGTCGGCACTCCTAAAAGGCATGCCAGTTAGTCACCACACATCCACATTTCTTTCCCTAACAGACGAATTGACGTTTCCCCTAAGTTTTTATCCCATCTTCGCATGGACGTGCCAGATATTCGATTGGCTGCCTCGAAGTTGGAAACGACTTTGTTGATATCTATGTGCTCTCCCTGCGTTGCACTGTGTCAGCTATCTAGTCTCTGTATCAGCCTCTTGGTGGACGAATGTTCCCATGTCGGTGAATATAGTGACTCTGCGAAGCTTCTTTCTTCAACATATCGCAACCAACTCGTTTATCAGCAACTTACCTCGCCGGATTTCCATTTCACCGGTGTTGTCGCATTTCAGAAGAGATTGCGAGGATTTCTTAGGCAAATTCGACTGCCAACGCAAGGCATCGTGGACTCTTGGGAAAATGCCTTCAACAAATGGATTCACCTGTCTAAAGAGGTTTCTCTGGCTACAGCAGACGGTGTAGACGATATTATGCTATCAGAGTGGCGAAACCTTTCAGGGTTTTTGGCATCTTTGGGTGGTATATGCACTTATGCATACGCCAGCAAATTGGATGAGGCCATCGGAGACTTGAATTGGATTGATCGGGTATGCTCCGAACATCATGAAGAGCCTCTACTGTCGAGATTCCTGGGACTAAGTATCCAGCTTCTGGGTTGCAATAACATCAAAGTGCGTGAGGCCATGCGGGAGGTCCTATCAACCGAGGTTTCTTCGATACTCTTCGCGCCGCTCTTTAAGGCTTTAGAATCGGAACTAGAGCTTTTGCTAGCCGGGTTTCTCGCGTCTACTGACAAGGGCCGAGAGAATGAAGTGATATTCGCCGAGCAAGCTGCGTCTTTGCTCAAGATCATGGTTGAGAAACTTGAAAGTCCGTCTGACTTGGGTTCTGTTTCATCAGTCCATCTTGGAGTTCTTACATTAAGTTTTGCAAAATTCATTGATGGTGCATCAGATGGGGTAACAACGCTACGTGTGAAAGTCAAGATTTGCCATCTGTGCGAAGCAGTCACAAAACGCAAAGAACACCTGAACTTGCGAGACGACATTCGCATTAGAAACCAACTGCTAGAATACATATTCAGTTGGATAGCTCGGCCGCATACTCTAAAACAGGAACAGTTGGGCAATGAGCCCAGACAGGATGAATTTCGGCATGTACAAAAGGATCTCGACAAGGCTTGCCTCAGAACCCTAGCTGATCTCACGTTTCGCCTGCCGCTGCAGCCAGCTGAAAGCCAATCGGATGTTGGGATGAACGAACTTAAGTCTCAAATGTTCCATACCTACTTCAACCGCTTCTTGTCGCTTCTCAACTACGACACGCAGGACTTAGGCGGACAAGAACTGCTCTTGATGGGTGGTCGCGATGAGGGCCTCTCGAATGCTGATCTGGTCATCAGTATCCTTTCCAATTTGCTGAGTGCGAACATCGATGTTGGCTTGAAGCATTCTTTAAATATTGGCTATCATGAGAACGTTGATATCCGCGCTGCCTTTGTCCGTGTTCTGTGTAACATTCTCACACAAGGAACAGAATTCAGCTCGTTGACTGATGCAGCTGTCAGTGACAAATATGTTGAACTACTCAATGTAGGTCGAATGGTCAACAATTGCCCTGCCACACCTTAAGCACAGTTAGTATACAGGCTCACATATTCAAGTTACTAACAACCGATCTGTCACTTTCGGTATCAATGAGTGCAATCTGCCCTGCTTCGGAGGTCGACGAACTTACAATATGTCTCCTCACCGTCTTTGAACAGCGCGGACTCACTTTCGATCTATTCGAGGCTCTGATCCGCCAAGAAGTCGAGCAAACAGGTCTGTTTACGTCTCTGGCAGCAAGTGGACACAACCTCAGCTGACCCCGATATAGAAAACGAGGCTGAGATTCTGCGGAGAACTTGCGTCGCTACAAAAATGCTGTCTGTATATGCGAAATGGAAGGGCTCATCATATTTAAGAGCGACGCTGCAAAAGGTTCTCGAGCGACTCATGTTGACATCGAACGACCTAGATTTGGAACTGGACCCAGCCAGGGTCAGCACCCCAGATGAATTGCAAAAGAACGCTGCGCAACTTCAGATTGTGGCAAAGGTATTTATGGACGAAATATGTGCTTCAGCATCAAATGTTCCAAGCTCATTTCGAAGGATATGCAGCATCGTGCGTATTGACCACGATCGAAAACGCACCACGTCGAGTGCAGACTGACTTATAATTACTCGCAGATATCTGAATCCGTCCTTTCTCGCTTTCCCAATGCCAAGTATACTGCTGTCGGAGCTTTTGTGTTCCTCCGCTTCTTCTGTCCCGCCATTGTGGCACCCGAAGCTGAAGGCCTCGTGTCAGTGGCACCGACGAAGGAAATGAGAAGGGGACTGTTACTAATTGCAAAAATCATCCAAAACCTGGCCAATAACGTCCTTTTCGGAACCAAAGAGCCGTACATGTTTACTTTAAACCCCTTCCTGGTCCAGAACATACATTTGGTTACTGGGTTCTTGCGCGACATTTCCGTAAGCAATTTATACCTGTATTACAATAATTTTTTATGTCTCAATATGTTGACTTCTTTTAAGGTGCCCACGAGACAAGCAGATGCACCTTGTCCGACATTTGACTTTTTCGATTTCGGCTCATGCGTGTCATTGCATCGATTCTTGTATGACCATTGGGATCATCTGCGCCAGACACTTGTTTCAAGAGAAAGAAAAGACTATCTGCGAGCTCCAGGAGAAACTGCGCGGGCAACACCGTCCGTCTTTGAGCCACTTCGGGTTCTCATCAGCAACCTCGGGCCACCGCCACTTGCAATATCCTGGAATAGGCCCCAAATATCCTGCAATACCCCGCCTCTGTACTCGAGATTCCAGAACTTCATGTTACGAAATGCCTTCAGAAGCGCAGAGTCCTTTTTGACTTCTCGTGCCGTGTATGATGGCGGTGAAAACAAGGTTGGTACTTGTGTCCCCAATTTCCGGGACTTCCTTTGCTCATTAGCAGTTCAGGACGGTCTTTCGATCGTGTGCGTTATACTACGGCATATCGAAAACGAAAGCATTGAGTACGACACACTTCTATACTGCTATCTCAAGGTTAGTCACTTTTATTGATATACGTAGGAGAAGGTCATTGTATATATATACACACGGTCAAGGGCATTACTGTGCTGACGTCAATTCTAGATTGCAAGTCGGCTCTGGCACGAGCCTTTCGGGCTTTTCATTGATGCAACTTGTTATAACGGACGGAGCGAGCCTTCGGACGAGTTCTTTTCGAAACTAGATCTCCTCACACCGTCAGAATTGTCTCGAAACTTTTCTCGAATATACATATACAACATGAACAGCGCTTTCAAGTAAGTATGCCTGCAATCGACTTTACATTCAGTCTCCAATTCTTATTATAAACATTATAGGAGATGTTTCCGGCGACTGCTTCGCAATTCTACTCGCGATGATTCTAGTGTCTTTCACCCTAACAACGTAGAATACTACTTGATCGGAAGTTTACAAGATCTACAAGCCCATTTCCACCTAAGTCAACTTCATCTTCCCAAGGAGACTATCAGCGTGGTTACAGAAACTCGATTTTTGTTTAAGTCCATCACAAGATTATCAAAAACCAAGGGGAAAGTCGAAGTTGTCATCAAAGTTGGCAGCCAATTTCTTCAGATCACTACCGTGAAGAAACAAGAAGTATTGTCTGGCACTCGCCTAAGCAGCGTTATCAATGACATTTTCCGCCTAAGCGACATAGAAGAAGCTTCAACTACACAAGCAGACGATGACGGTAACTTCGGACTGAGAGCCGATGGGGGTAAGATTGTAATGTTCTTTACCAGCTCCAAAAGGGCAGACGTTCTTCAGACTATACGCGGGGCCAAGACAAAGCAAAGCAAAGACAACAGAATGATAAAGCCAGTTGAAAGACTTGTTCGTCCACAAGACGTCCCTGGGACGATGCTCAACTTGGCTCTTACCAATTTGTCAAGCCCCTATCATAGTCTTCGGCTGGCCTCATACAACCTTCTCGGGGCATTATGTCGATCTTTTCATTTTGGTGTCTCTGGACGCCTGATTTGTAACGGAGGTAACACGGGCTATCTTTTATTCGTATATCGTCCATACATATACTTACGGGTCTGACAGATCTAGCTGTTCCTCTCGAACCAACACGATTTATCGTAAATATCAGTCGAGAAATAGCTCAAGCCGAATCTCAACTTACGTCAGACTTTCTGACCGAGTTTTTTGTGAGTTGGGATAGTATTCCGGAAGAACAAAAGCCCCTGAGCTTGGAATACGTGGCACCTTGGCTCCCGGGCCTTCGCACGACAGTTCTAGTTGCTGAGACAGACGGGGACAAGGGACGAGACAAAATTGCATCCCTTCTACGAAAGCTAATAGACATAGCTGTGTTGGACCAAAATTTGACATATTGTCTGGAAAAGTACATCTGGCCATGTATTACACAGGATGAGCTGCTCCTCGAGATATTTATGGATGAGCTGATCAAGGTCGCGCTTGGTTACGGAAACCGCGAAGACACGCTGGAGATACTTTCTTCGGTCATGGTTGGACTTGGTACCGTAACCTTGCGGGCAAGAATCATTTCTCGCCTTCGCAAGGCTCTAAACCGGTCGTCGCTACGCCCGACTCGTTTACTCCAAGACAATTCTGTCTGGGAGGAAATCTGCATATTGCTTCAATTTTGTCTGGGCTTGTCTTTTGACAGTCGAGTACAGTCTCAAATGTTTCTTCCAGAAATTTTTCACATCGTAACAATGTTAGCTAACACCGGCGGCAGCGAGGTACGATTGCTTGTTTACAGACTGTTGGTTAACTCGATCCACGCAATATGCGCTTCGTTCAGCATAGAAGACGCAAAATTGATTAGACTGCGATCAATTTTGGACCTTCTTAGCGATACTAGAGGCGACATTTTCACCCCTCCAACGTCGTCGGTAAGAGAGGGGGCCTCCGTATCAACATCACCTGACCCAAGTCCAGCTCTGACCTCAACTGAGAATCTTACTTCTGTATTGTTCGACGTCTGCTTGATAGCCGCTCCGTCAGTGGATATTGCCAACGTATGGCGCGCTCGCTGGATGAGTCTTGTAGCCAGTACCGCCTTTCAAAACAACCCTGCAGTTCAGCCAAGGGCATTCGCAGTTATGGGCTATCTGGCAAGAGAAGAAGTGGACGATGATCTACTTTACCAGGTCTTGGTAGCCCTCCGGAATAGCGTTAGCCAGTTTGGTGAGGATGGGAATAGTGAGATGCTCATTTCCATCATTACATCCTTGTCCAAGATGATGACTAAATTACCATCAACTTCAAGATATGGGCTTCAATTATTCTGGCTGGCCATGTCACTCGTGCGTCTCGTACCGGCTGCCATTTTCAGCTGCGCGGCGCAATTTCTGGAGGCCATATTGTTGAACATCGGTACATTTGGCAACGTTAGGGGGGAAACGATGGTTTCTCTCTTGCTTCAATGTCGAAGCCAGCTAGAAGACGCCGCTTTGCTGTTGGACGATGCCTATGGAATTCGGTTTGAAGAAGACACCTTCCACTTTGCGGTCTGTGCCTGTCTAGTTCGAGGTCTTACGGATACGACGACCAGACCAGCCGCAATCAAAGTTCTATCGTCATTCTTGGAGATGACATGTCGGTCTGAAGACCTTGTCCTAGGCAGCCCGAGCCGTACCGTCAATGTGTCTCCCTACCTAACCCTTCTACTGGCCCGCGGCATGCAAGAGGAGGATTTTTTGGACAGCGCGTGGTGGTCTGACCTCAAACCAGAAGCCGTTTCTGATATCCTAGGGAGCCATGGAGTGCAGGGTATCAAAAACATGAAAGATAAGGACCTGCTCCTGATTTCAGCTATAGAGTTTGTCGATTTTCACTCTCTGGACGATGCGGCACAAGCACGGACCCTTAACTGGCTCAACTACATGGCGGAAGCTAGGCCTGCTGTCTTCACGAGCCTGTAAGCCCCCAGCCGTAGTCTCGTTGCTATCATGAACACGCTAACGATCACGTAGATGCGGCGCATTACCATCCATTTTGGACAATGTACTGCTGCACAGCCAGGAATCGGCGGCGTTGGAAGCTGCCCATGCGTTGCTTCGAACGCTTGCCTCCGAAGAGAAATATTCTCAAGCAATGGGCTCCTTGCATTCTTTGAGTGGCCAGCTAAGTGAGCTTGGTTTTGGGGGCTTATGGAAAACACCCAAATATAGTATTACAGAAGATGCAAAGGAAGAATGTTTCGAGCTTACGGAAAAGTTGATTGAGGTAAGATGCAAACGGGCCGCGAGGTTCTAGTAAAGCTAACGTCATTGCAGCTTATCGTTATATGATCGTATATTGTTAATCAGCCGACTCTGTGGAACTTGTATTGCAGAGCACATTTCATCCTCACGCGACTTCATCATGAATAGTTACAAAAAATTTCGTCAATCCGCTGGGAACTGAGCCGTGAATCGAAGAACCAACCCAGACTTCTATTTGCCTACAAGTGAATCACGGCCAGCCGACATCGGCTCCCACAAGCACGCCAGTGTGGGTCGCGACCCACCTAGTGAGTACTTATTGCTCGCCCAATTGATTTCGCTCACCCTGGCGTAGAGCACCAGTGAAAATACCGTCAAATCCATCGACGACTCTTACAGATCTATCCATTCCCTGGCTATCGCTCTACGGCAGTGCTCAGGCCGGCAGCAGTTGCTGAAACAGCCACTTGTCATCGAATGTAATGACGACTGTCAACATGGGCTCTCCCCAAAAGATCTCTATCCTTGGCGAGGATAGCATTATCGCAGACTATGACCTGTGGCCGGAATTTGTTGCTGCTGACCTAGTCAAACATGTCCAATCGTCGACATACGTTCTTATTACCGACACAAACCTCCACGATATATACGTGCCGTCCTTCCAATTCTGCTTTCAATCCCAACAGCTGGCTGCCAAAACCAGGTTACTCACGTACGCCATCCCGCCCGGTGAAGCATCGAAAAGTCGAGAGACGAAAGCCGAAATTGAAGATTGGATGCTGTCCCAAAAATGTACCAGAGATATTGTCATAATTGCTCTTGGAGGCGGTGTCATAGGAGACATGATCGGCTACGTAGCCGCTACGTTTATGCGAGGAGTCCGATTCGTCCAAGTCCCAACGACCTTGTTGGCCATGGTAGATTCATCAATTGGCGGTAAAACAGCAATCGACACTCCGATGGGAAAGAACCTGGTGGGTGCATTCTGGCAGCCAAAAAGGATCTATATCGATCTGGCCTTCATGCGGACTCTTCCAGTTCGTGAATTCATTAATGGAATGGCCGAGGTGATCAAAACAGCAGCCATCTGGAATGAGGACGAGTTCAGCGTCTTGGAACAATCAGCTGCGGAGGTTCTTGCGTGTATCCGATCCCAGGGCATGGACCGCCTGCTCCCCATCAAAAGCGCTCTGATGCGTATTGTGGTTGGATCTGCACGAGTGAAGGCAGAGGTTGTGTCCGCTGACGAGCGAGAAGGAGGTCTGAGAAACTTACTCAACTTTGGGCATTCTATAGGCCACGCAATCGAAGCTATTTTGACACCACAGCTTCTCCATGGCGAGGCCGTCGCAATTGGCATGGTCAAAGAAGCTGAACTAGCCCGTTTTCTCGGTATTATGCGCCCTCACGCTGTGTCACGATTGTCTAAGTGCATTGCTTCATATGGGCTCCCTACATCGCTGAAGGACAAGAGGGTGATGAAGCTCACCGCGGGAAAAGAGTGCCGTGTCGATACGCTCATGGAAAAGATGTCAGTAGACAAGAAAAACGACGGTGATCAAAAGAAGATCGTCTTGCTCTCGCGGATAGGGGAGACATTTGAGCGCAAAGCAAGTATTGTCAATGATGCAGACATCAGAACAATACTTTCTGCTTCAATCAGAGTTGCGCCTGGCGTCCCTGACGGACTGACGGTCACTGTGACACCGCCTGGTTCCAAGAGTATTTCCAACCGTGCGCTCATTCTTGCTGCTTTAGGTTTTGGACCTTGTAAGATCAAAAATCTTCTACACTCCGACGACACCGAGTTTATGTTGTCGGCAATTGAGCAACTTGGCGGCGCTTCTTATTCTTGGTGTGATGCTGGAGAAATTCTCGAGGTCACAGGGAATGGGGGCAAGCTAAGAGCGAGCAGAGACAGCCTTTACATTGGCAATGCCGGTACCGCGTCTCGATTCCTTACGACTGTCTTGGCATTGTGTTCTCCAACTCACAAATCAGACTCGACTGTTTTGACAGGCAACGCCAGGATGAAAATGCGGCCGATCGGGCCGCTCGTAGATGCTCTGCGCCAAAATGGCGTTCACATCGAATACCTGGAGCTGGAGAAAAGTTTGCCTATCCGGGTTCATTCCACAGGAGGGTTTCAAGGCGGCATGATCGAATTGGCGGCAACAATATCCTCTCAGTATGTTTCATCGATCCTGATGGCAGCCCCATACGCCAATAGCCCTGTGACCCTTCGCCTTATTGGTGGCAAGCCTATTTCGCAACCATACATCGATATGACCATCTCGATGATGAGGAGTTTTGGAATCAATGTTACGAAATCTACAACAGCTATGAATACGTATCACATCCCGTTGGGTGCGTATAAAAACCCTTGGGAATATGTTATTGAAAGTGATGCCAGTTCTGCTACATACCCATTGGCTGTCGCAGCCATCACAGGAACTACATGTACAATTCCAAACATTGGGTCGGCTTCCCTACAGGGAGATGCTAGATTTGCAATAGATATCCTACGGCCAATGGGTTGTTCCGTCCAACAAGACGAGCATAGTACGACGGTAACTGGCCCGGTTACTGGACAGCTGAGGCCACTCTCACATGTCGATATGGAGCCTATGACGGACGCATTCCTAACTGCCTCGGTTCTGGCTGCCGTTGCAAATGGCCAAACCCAAATCACAGGAATCGCCAACCAACGTGTCAAAGAATGCAACAGAATCGCGGCAATGAAGGCCCAACTGGCCAACTTTGGGGTCAGGTGCACGGAACTGGACGATGGAATCGAAATTTGGGGGAAGTCATTATCTGATATACAGACTCCGAGCGTCGGTATTCACTGCTATGACGATCACCGTGTTGCCATGAGCCTTAGTGTGCTCTCTGTAGTGGCTCCTGGGTCGACTGTCATCACTGAAAGGGAATGTGTTGGTAAAACTTGGCCCGGATGGTGGGATACACTAACACAATCTTTCAAAGTGAAAGTAGATGGCTGCGATATCTCAGGTGGCGGTAACGATTTCAAGCATGCCTCTACTGAGAAGTCTCAAGCCATGAGCTCCATATTCGTTATCGGTATGAGGGGTGCTGGGAAGACCACAGCTGGCCGGTGGATGGCAAAACTACTTGACTGGAAGTTTATCGACCTGGATGAAGAACTCGAAAGTCGCTCGGGCAAAACTATACCCGAGATCATTAGCGGTCCCAAAGGATGGGATGGCTTTCGCCAGGATGAGTTTGATCTGCTACTAGACGTTTCAGAGAAGCTGCCCGAATCCCACGTTTTGTCCTGTGGAGGCGGAATTGTGGAAACGCCAAAGGCAAGAGAGTTGCTACAGAGCTATTGTAAAAATGGCGGCATGGTTGTTCTCGTTCATCGAAACACAGATCAGGTCATTGAATACCTGATGCAAGACACCACTCGACCAGCATACACAACAGAAATACGTCAGGTTTACGAGCGCCGCAAAGCCTGGTTCGAGATGTGCTGCAACCATATCTATTACAGTCCTCATTCAGCGCCCCAAACTGGGTATAATAGTATACCGGATGACTTCAGGAGATTTGTGAAGTCTATTACTGTTGGGAATAGCTCCCTGGAAAACATTGCTAAGAAAGACGAAAGCTTTTTCGTTTCTTTGACTGTTCCCAAACTGGACGAACATCTCCATGCGATTAACAGTGCTACTGTCGGGGCAGATGCGGTTGAGATTCGTGTCGATCTCCTAGACGACTGGTCTCTTGAAGCAGTCACTGAGCAGCTTTCGTGGCTACGTTTTATTTCGAAACTACCAATCATATTTACTGTCAGAACGATCTCACAAGGCGGACAGTTTCCAGATGAAGCCAACGATCATCGACATGACCTGTATCGGCTGGCGTTAAAACTTGGCGTGGAATATCTTGATGTTGAAGTCACGTCCACAGATGAAATTCTGCAGGAATTGACAGACATCCGAAGGAATACACTCATTGTCAGTTCTCACCATGACCCAGCCGGATCTCTGTCCTGGAAAAACGCATCATGGATTCCGTTTTACAATCGAGCGCTGCAATATGGGGATGTGATAAAGCTAGTTGGCAATGCCAAAAGTATTGAGGACAATTTCGATTTAGCAAGCTTCAAGTCAAGGATGCTGACGGATCACAAAACCCCAATCATCGCCATCAACATGGGCGCTGTAGGTCAATTAAGTCGAATTCTCAACAAGTTCCTCACACCAGTATCGCATCCTGATTTGCCCTTCAAGGCAGCGCCAGGCCAACTATCAGCCGCTGAGATCCGACGAGGCCGTACACTACTTGGCCAGATAAAAAAGCGAGATTTCTATCTATTCGGGAGTCCCATTTCCCAGTCCAGATCACCAGCACTGCACAATACTCTGTTCAACATCACCGGGCTACCACATGAATACCATCTCCATGAAACCAGCTCCGTTCAGAACGTTTGTGAAATCCTTCATAGCGAAACCTTTGGTGGCGCGTCTGTCACTATCCCTCTGAAAAGAGAGGTCATAGCGTTAGTTGACGAATTAACACCAGCAGCCCGGATGATTGGCGCCGTTAATACTATCATTCCTTTGGATAACGACATCTCCTCGAAGAAACGTCGTCTTTTGGGTGATAACACGGATTGGAAGGGCATGGTTTATACCTTGTCAGTGGCAGGTGTTATCAAACCCGTGAAGAATGAGTCAGCAGCTGTCATAGGGTCCGGAGGCACAACGCGTGCGGCAATCTATGCTTTGCATTCTATGGGGTTTGACACCATTCATGTCGTCGGACGAGATGCACCCAAGGTCAACGCGCTGGCATCAGAGTTCCCAAGAGACTATAACGTCAATGCAATAACAACACAGGCTCAGACGGCTGATTTAACTCATTCTCCTTCAGTGATTATCAGCACTATCCCTGCTGAACAACCAATTGATAACGGGGTTAGAGGCATTGTGTCTACATTCCTGTCACTGACTGCCGTATCCCAAGGGCAGCGTGTCCTATTGGAAATGGCTTATAGGCCTCGACATACCCAAATCGTGCAAATGGCTGAAAGTACTAACAAATGGCTGGTTATTCCCGGACTCGAAGTTCTCGCATCGCAGGGATGGTATCAGGTACGTATACACGACCATCTCAACCCTATCTTGTCTAAAATCTGCGTTATAATCCTTTGTTTGTATGCTAACGCATACACTCTTATCTAGTTTGAGGCATGGACAGACATTCAGCCCCTGTATCTTCAAGCACGGGATGCCGTCATTGGATGCAGCCTGTAGAATATACAGCACACATGGGTAAACAGCATTAAGAGATGTTAGGCATAAAAATTGGTCAGTGGCAACCACGTGATGTAATCACTCAAGCGCGAGGCACATATGCTACCATTCTTTTGGTAGTGATTGGGCTTGGGAATTATTCGCGTGATATGCAGGGCACTGTTTGCAGACTCATTTTCGAAAATCTGTCTAGTGAAGTAATATTACAGTTTGACAACGTACACTGCTCCTGGGTATATACTTCCTTTTATCCATGGATAGATGGGATTATTTAATACATTCCCAATGGATTTTCAGGCCAATAGCCGCTGCGCTTTGTGATGTAAACAAATTGAATACGCGATCCACTCGCACCAACTTTGTGCCCGCGTAATAAGTATCATCAATGCACCATCGTGACATTTCCCAACCATGCAATTGACTCCGATGTAACCAAAATAGGCCGGCGAAAGACGTAGTTCATGGCCGCAGCAGCCAAGGCGACCGCATGGTTCATCTCGCATGGCGTGAGTCATCCAAAACCGGATCGGATAAGCGTCATGACGTGTTGTTAATTCATTATCACCGCCGGCATCGAAATACCCTGGCTTGGGTCTTACGAAATATCGCAGTACCGCTTCTGGACAACCTGGAGTCCGTCGTTCCCGTCTTTCCTTAGTACTGTTGCTGATGCTTTGTTCTGCTTGGCGTCCCACCGTGGGTTTTGGACCGTCTGCCACACCCGTTCACCAAATGATGTCAGTTGGTATGGGGGGCAGTTGCATACTGACGTCAGCGGAATAGTATTTGCAAGGTCAGAGCAGGACCCTGCAGCACCGTCTCGGACCCCTGGTGCTCCACATATTCATTTGTGATTGGCCATCCGTGCCGGGGAGTGAAAATTGGAACCTGATCGATCTGTCGGATTACACACAAAACATCCCAAATCGGTTCCAACCACGTCATCTCACAGCCAAATTACATTCCACATCGTAACTTGTTTTGTAGCTCGGCTGGGTGGCCCACGACTTGGGCATCAAAGACGCTCGTCAAGTTGAAGCCTAGGGCTATTCCAGGGCTCGTCAGCGTCAACCACGACTTCTTCTCTTTCCAGGCAATTCCATGTCAGGGTGACACACGCGATAATGTCTTGTCAACGCATCCGCCCTGCTGAAAGTCTTTTCTTCTGTGCATAGATTGCAGCGAACTTTTTGTTTGCGTGCATTGTGGATAGTGTCTTCGTGTCTAGTTAGATCGTAAGGTCTAGAGAACACGGTATTGCATGGCTTCCCCGTACTAGGGTTGATTCGGTCGCATCTGTGAGGCCCTGCCTGTGTGTTGAGCAAGCCGGATGTCATACCGAGGTCCTGAACCCGGGGGGGGACCAAGCCTTGAGTCTGCCGATGACCTTCCCGTTTATGCTTTTGAAGTAACATTGGGGTCTCAAACCTCAGCGAGCATCCGTGGTAGGTGCATGTGTAGGTCCCGCCTTCGGCTCCTCTGCTTGTAGGCCTAGTCCGAGGAGCGGGCGTGTTTCCTCCAGACACGACAGAGCTAGCCCCAGATGAACTCAGCCTGGGTGGAGTGTCGTGACTAGTAATAGGGCGAGCAATAAAAGGGTATTGTTGCGGTACCTGGATTCCAACAGGCATCTGCGACGGTAGATATCCAAATTGATCATTCTGGTGAAGAGTTTCCATATTCTGCCCAATATATGGTTCACTATGTTCTGAGGAAGGTGCTGTCTTGGACAGTGGATCAATTTCAAAGCCCGAAGAATCTTGGGGGAAGAGAGGAAACACGCTATCTGCTTCCGATTCGTTGAATTCCAAAACAGCATCCTTGGGAGAAATAGTTTTAGGCGTCGCAGGCTCGCCTGCATTCTCCGGATGAGAGAACGGTCGCCGAGTGTGCCTACCATGTTCTCTAGGTGGGGTTTGAGAACAGGAAAACTGATGGCTAGATGAAGCTGCAAATGGTGATCCTGTGCGAAACGGTGATCGGGCGCGGGAAGTCGTAGACGATGGTGAGTGAGCAGCACTTAGATGTTGGTGGTTCGCCGCGTTGATGCGCTGATTAAATACATCGCTCTCAGCTGAGGTAACAGACTGCGGCTGAGGGGAAGAGGTCGCCGTGATTGTGAAGTTTGGATTATAAAGTTCATCTCCGTAAACGTCTGTCATGGTCCGGTCGAGCTTCGGGATGTGTCCATGGTCTATAGAAATCAAAGCCAAGTCGGAGGCTGCTCCGCCAGAAAATAACGGGGTCATTGGAGTCTTACCATTCTTTCTGCGAGATTTCTGGTCCGGTTCACCCACGGCCGGCGTTGCCGGAGAATCTCCCGCAACTGAACTAGCTACAGACGCCGGATTAGATCTGTTGTATGTCCCCGCTAGCTCTGGGGCAGGTAGAAGTCCTTCGTCCATGCGTAGCCTCTTCCCTGGTCCTGGAACTGTAACTGGATATGCCACTTCGGGTACTGCGCCATCTATACCGTGGTACGTTTGGTAAGTTGCACATCCCATCGATTTGGCGAGCGGGTAATAGGACCCTGACTGGTTGCTTGTGATTTCCTGAGGGTTCATGTCAGGAAATCCCTCAAAGGTCGATTCTGAAATGGCAATTTGAGGGTTCGATGTATTCTGAGTATATGGCGACGCAGGGCCGTTCGACCCAAGTGAAGATAAGGACGACTCCCGCTGGTGAGAAAAGCGTCTGATCTTAGGAGTCAGCTGGGCGAGGCCGCCCCAACTATCTGACTGCATGGGATGCGTCGAGTAGTCGCCAAAAACTTGAAGAGGATGCAAGTTTTCCCCGAATAGCAGGCGCCTTTCTGAGTCGGAATCGAGAGCCGGAATATCGTCAAGCAGGTCTTCCTCGTTTCGATACTGATGTGGGTAGTGTAGGTGGGAGGGATGCTGATAGTTATGACTCTGGATGATCAAATCGCTGACGGTGGAAATGGGTGAAGATATCATCATTGATACCAACAGGAGTTTGGTGAAGAGATAGTGGATGTGCATGGATTCGGACGGTGGCAAAATCTAGCGATGACAGCCACTTTATAATCTGGCAGACTGGCCGGGAGACCCGAGTATGCGGAAACGTCACAGTGACTCTCGACCAGGGTGTGTGGCTGAATTGCGGGTGCGGGTGTGCAGCGCTCCGTAGGTGTTGTCGACACCCCCGAGTATGCCGGGAGGACTGGCTGTATGTACACGCCGTCTCCACACTCAAGGATTAATGGGCTGGACGAAGCTGGCGCATCGGATCAGAGAGGGAGCCTACCCAGGTAGGTACCTACCTAGAAGCGGCAAGAAGGGTCTGGCACTTTGCCTAGGCACGTAGGTACCTAACTTACCAATCGGACGTCAGAGACGGAAGTTGGCAAAAAAAAAAGAGAGACGTGCATCATTAAGCTAGCACTAGGGAAGTTACCTCCCCTGCCACGGGGACAACAGTCCCGGGTCTTGGCCGATAGACTACGGACAGACGCAGCTTTATTACTTCAGCTTGTGACTTCGTTAGCCATAATCTAGCGGCTTTTGTCTTGCAGACTCAATTGCTGCTCCTCGCAATTTCGGCGGCCTTCCGCGTCACTCGGCATTCGGAAATAACGACATGCCTCATATCCTCTATGTGAAAGGTATACTAGGCCCGGCATGTCTGGTCGTCTGATATTTGATCAAAAAACGCACTTGGGGAACACCGCAAGAATTGAAGCCGAAGAGGCGACAAGATGACCGAAGACAAACCTGCACCACCACCTACCCTAGGTACTTATTAGGTAGGAACTTGCAGACGGACAAGCACGCACAGTAGTCAGAACGGTCGGCACCACTCCGTCCGGCACATGAACGGAACGGTTGGCATCCACCGTTGAACATCTGGGTAAAGTACCTAAGTAAGTACTTAAGTACTTAGGTACTTAAGTAGGCTTCTATGCACTTGGTAAGTACCTGAAGTAGGTAGCGTCGATCCAAGAGCGAGCTAGCCAAGGTGCCTTCCAAGGGGCCAAAAGTACTTCAATCTAACGATATGGAGGGAGTACGGAGTATGCCTGGAGCATTCCCGGCCTCTCGGACTGTCCAGCGCATCAAACAGCATCCTTGATCGGCGCAATGGGATACTCTGTTAGCAGGACGAAACCTTAATCCATGCACATTTCGGACTGCACAGCCACACACGCATATGCTACCTGGTTCCGCCACGATCCGGGTTATCATTCTGAACATCGAAGAGGGGGCTTGGTCATCCCGCGCTTCGTAATCACTCACGTCACACAAAGCATTCCGAGATGCGATGCAAACAAACACCACGGCAGTTGTGAGTTGGACTCATTGGTTCCTCGAACTTTGGAAAACCTACCTTCATCTTGAGCGTTTATTCATGCACCAGGTCTTAAGGCTGCGTCGGCCCCAGCGGAACTGCTGAGAACGATTTTGGGAGGCGGTGGAATTGATTCCTCGTTCCAAGAGAGTGCGTTCCTTTGGTCTTAGCTAATAGACGCAGAATTTTGCACTGGGCTTCCACTTCGGCAGAGTGCGGCGGATTAGTCCAGACTGCATATCGCGAATGCATGGCTGGGCAGAAACAATGTGCGTTAAAGCGGCCGATGAGAAAATTCCCTGCATGTGAATTTTCATTTTTCCGTAACGCTTGCTGGTCTTCTGTAGACTGTGACTACCGAGTAAACTGGTGCCGAAAACTTCGGTCTGTCCGAGACGGCTGCCTTACACAGGTGTCGGTACACCGACTACTAGTACTGCCTAGGTAGATTTTCCTGTTTCCCCCCTCGGCACAAAACATGATGTCTCTGTCAGCCGCCGCCTGTGCCGGCATCTACCGGACACCAGGGCAGGCATGGTTCTTGTATGGACAAGCGAGCCCAGCCAAGCCTTTCTCCTTCCATTCCGGAAGACTTGACCTCGGCACAATTATCGCGTCCGGACGAGGCCGTCTGGAAGATCTGAATACGTTTGCTCGACCCCTTACTGCCATGCCGTGCTCCATATTGTGCAGACTGCACACCTTACGGAGATGATATAGAAACCACATCAAATTTGACAATTCCAATGCTGAGCACAGTATTGGTTTGCATCCGGCGACGCTATCCCGACTCAGTACATGGGCATCACATGGCAGCGCAAAGCGGACGTCTTATTGGAATAGACATGCTCCTGCCGCCGTGGCGAGATTACTGGTAGTAATGTTACCATGAGTTGGGGTGATACGAGCATATAACGGACCGTGTTACTTGGAGGGTGGTAACATGCCAGCGAGCGTCTATCCAGTAATAGCCGCAGGCCGGATCTCATCAATAAATTCAGGCCGATTCGCATGTTCTCGAACACCGTTGACCGGTTTTCAGCAACCCCTCCAAGTTCGTTGACCTTTTTTCAGGTAACTGACTTTGACTTTCAGCTCTGCCGACTTGAGAGGCATCGCAGCTGAGACTCCATTGGGCGGTTGAACCGCTCTGCACTTGGTTAATGGTGCGCTCGTTCGGGATATTCTCGACTGCCCCACCACTTAAGTATGTACATGACGCATCGCACTGCCACATTGTCTTGTGTCTAAATTTAGTTTTGCAACTTAACCATGGGTTTTTCCAGCCCAGGTTACCACGTAAAACAATCACCAGTCAGTAATCTCAAGGCAACACATAATTTTCGCTGTCTGGATTCTCCGCGTGGAGAGAATTGGGAAGTGCCTGAGGTACCGCGCTGATTCAATTGTGAGTAACGATATTGCAAAGGAAAATACAGTGCGGTAAATACATGCTTGTCTCATTGTCTCATTTGTTGGAACCAAGTAAAAAAAAATTCATCCGCTCCGACGGGACGTATTTCCTGAATTAAATACTGCTTTAGACCAAATTGTGGTACTATACAAGGGCGAACGCCTAGCATAATTTGTCTGGACGAGACTCACGGTCTGCCAGAAGCAAAAAGAACCGACATTGGTGAACTTTGTCCGGGTGGCATTTTCATGTCCACCTATCCTTTGCTGTTGGAAAGTCCTATGCTCAGCCAACTTTGGTGGCACGTTCATTCATTCACCTACACTAAAACTTGGGAGCCTCCCATACGCCAACCAATAAGTCATGCTTCACAGTGATAGTGTCATGCCCACCGACACCAGAGGAAAAATTTCACCATGGGCGACTGTCGCGCCGATGTACTCAGGCGCACGAGACCCGACATCGTGCGTGCAGTGCACCGTACGACACTTCATGGCATCATAGAGCTTTATTGCCTAGGTGACAGTTACATGCTACTTCATGGCCTGCTTGGCGTGACAGCTCAGGCAAACGAACGCCATCGGCGTCAAATCGACATATTCGATTAAGTTACACGTGTAGGCTAGATATCCCTTGTATGACACAGAACGCCCCCAGAAAAGAATGCCCCCAATACCATTATCATAAAACACCCTACCAGGCCTGCGCGTTTACCGGTGCATCGAGCCCTGTAAAATCATAATGTACATGAAGTCGGTTCCTCGCCTAGCCGCCGAATCCGTAAAGAGTGCGGCCCTGTCTCTTCAGGGCATAGACGACATCCAGAGATGTGACGGTCTTCCTCTTGGCGTGCTCTGTATATGTGACCGCGTCCCGTATGACGCCTTCTAGGAATGTCTTCAGGACGGTACGCGTCTCTTCGTATATCATGGCAGAGATACGCTTGACCCCGCCACGGCGAGCAAGACGTCGGATTGCGGGCTTGGTGATGCCCTGGATGTTATCGCGGAGGATCTTGCGATGGCGCTTAGCACCACCCTTGCCGAGGCCTTTGCCGCCCTTGCCGCCTGGTGTCATTAGTTAGTAAAGTGCACATGGATGGCCAGTCAAGTTACCATTTTACATACGTCCAGTCATTGTTCCTTGGAGAGGTTGTTGGAATTGGGTGTGATGTGATGGGAATGGCAGCAGTGGAATTTGTGTGTGGATTGTAAGAGGGGATGGAGAAGAAGGCGGCGGCAGCAGGTGAGCTTAAGTACAAGTGGGCCAATCCTCAGATCAGTTGGAAGCTGATGGTGGGAAGACGCGACTCCAGTGGCATTGTGGAACTGGGACACGGCTGAATGTATCGCTGCTCGGGGAAAAATAACACCCAAATAAACCGTCAATAAACCCCCAGAATTGGACAAATCAGAATACTGGAAAAATATGTGACAATTCGGGTCCACTGTGGGTCATGCTCGCTCCTTGGGCGGACTTCCGCGTTGGGAAAACGCACCAGCCGCTGCGGCCGCGTTCCTGCTAGGTTCTCAAGTACCTAGGTAAAACATCTAGCTGTGCCTTGACTACCTACTGAGATGCAGCAAAAATTAAAAGGAAAATAATAATAGCAACAATGATCTGCTCGCGTGTATACCGACACATTGAGTTCTGAACAGGAAGATATACCTTTTGGTGTATTGAGGTGGCAGGTACGAGCATGGTTTTTGCTAATGATGTATACTGATGGCCATGTTTCCGGCCTCCAGGCGTGATAACTGCATGGTCAACTTTCAATGTTGATATTATTTGGCATTGTCGTTCCCGGCCAATCCAACGCGGTACCTTAGTTCCCATACGGATTGTGGCACGGCGTGAGCGACCTTCTACCACCTCAGTACTCCGTGGTGAGCTGCATGATGCCTGCAAGTATGGTGTGGCGAGGTTAGCCACTACCCAGCTGGATACATTCATGTGACAGATAGTACCAGGGACGCGGGGGCACAAGTAAAAATGCAAAGAATGATCGAGCAAATTTCAGGTGCATATACAGGCAATAAATGCAAACATAGTGTCGAAAACTGACATCTGGTCGCGATGCTCACGAAACGCAGGCTACAGGGTAGCGAGAAGCCAGACCTGAGCATCCAGAATCTGTGACTCAACACAGCCAATGAATAGATAGAAACACTACGATGTGGAAGAGGCCACCATTACACGACTTGCGTCCCATTTATCGTTGAAACAACTGAAACTAACATTCCGGCATGCAATACTGGGTGGGCACTTGAACTTGGAAACGCACGATGTCAGGCGGGTATCACCATGTTTGTTGACTACGTAACTACCAGCCGATAGGCAATAAGGGTGGGGTGATGCTCCGGAACAGGCAGCAGGACCCAAATCACCCAACAGGGGATAGGTTTTAGCATTCATTGATCCACACCCACTAAACAAGACTGGTTACATTTTTTTTGTTGTTAGTTTTGTTTTTTTATGTTTTTCTGTCTGCAACAGGCGTTGACACGCTGGCGCACAGGACCCACCCAACGCGGTGAGAGCCTATTTCTCCAGATCAGCCGCCCGCCTTGACGCGACAAAGCCACAGGTATTAAAGCACTCCCCCCGCCCTCGTCCTTCAAGAATTTTCCCTCCTGCATCACACACCCACGATCTCCACCCTCACACCCCTTTCCCACAAACATCATCAACATCTACAATGGCCCGTACCAAGCAGACCGCCCGCAAGTCCACTGGCGGCAAAGCTCCTCGAAAGCAGCTTGCATCCAAAGCTGCTCGAAAGAGTGCACCATCCACCGGCGGTGTCAAGAAGCCTCACCGCTATAAGCCTGGTACCGTCGCTCTGCGTGAGATTCGAAGATACCAAAAGTCAACCGAACTTTTGATCCGCAAGCTCCCTTTCCAACGCCTGGTAAGTACGAGAGAAACATATTACTGACCAGAACTAACCCTGTAACATAGGTTCGTGAAATCGCACAAGACTTCAAGAGTGATCTACGCTTCCAGTCCTCTGCCATCGGTGCATTGCAGGAATCCGTCGAGTCATACCTGGTGTCTCTTTTCGAAGACACTAATCTCTGCGCCATTCACGCCAAGCGTGTTACTATCCAGTCCAAGGACATTCAGCTTGCTCGTCGCCTTCGAGGCGAACGCAACTAATCCTGATTCGCGCTGGGTGACACGATAGGATCATGACTTTGCTTTAACACGATGGAAATCACGGTTCGGGAGATAATGGCGTTACAGTGAGAATTCCTTTGCTCTTTAGTATGGGATGTATATTATGACAAGTAGTGCAGCTCGTAAGGGCTTTCCAATGTGACAGGCCCCCGGGGTCATTGAAACATGGATGAATAATCGCAACGTACGCAAGTGAAACACATGCATCAATATATGAAGCCCATCGAAACACGCAGGTGAGATACCATGATATGGGCTTGCAGGGTCGATGGATCTCCTTTGTCGACAGCACCGCAGCGGTACGGCTACTGAAATTTTTCCTCCTTGACCGACTGAGACGTACTGCAGCGAAACTGTATCCCTAGACTCGCGTAGTGAAAAGGTGGGCAGGTGATTGCTACAACATTAAGAGTTTCGACATTGAACACAGATCAATAGATAACCCAACCGGAAATTACCGTGCCGCTAGATATGGAGAAGGTGACCGCACTGTCCCGACTGAACTGCAATTGTCTATTCATGGCTGCTATTGCGATGTGACACCCTGCACTCCGTGTCTAGAGATGTGTTCATCAGGCACCATGGGGTTGTATAGTGTCAAAGGAAAACTGCCCCGCAATTCTGCCTACTGCAAACCACCCAGTGACAGCCAACCGACTTCAACTGGTCGAAATGGCTACGTCCAAGTATACTCGTGGATCGTTGGTCATGCTGCAATGCACGATAAGGTCATCAAGCAGTGTTTCTCGGGCTCAGTTCAGACTGGCTATCGACGGCTAAACATTACAGGATTTTACAGACCTGCTCACAGGTGTGAGTATCAGCACGGTCGCACAGGTTCAACTGTTTGTTGTCTGACTATGAATAAACCACTGCACCACTAGGGTTCAGAAGGAGACGAATTCAGCAAGGTGTACTACTCTTGTTAAATCGATACTTCAGGTTTTAACGTCACCTCAGGCCTTGGGCACGATTTTCTAGGTATGGCATAGCCCAGACCATAACACATGAAGCGAACGCTAGGCATCGTCCCCATTCGGGCTTGTTTCCTTCCCGATAGTAGGGTGAAAATACACACCACAGCTAGTTTACGTTCCTTATTGTGATCCCGCGGAGAAACCATTGGCAAATTCACGGCGCATATTAATATCCCTCTCGTCAGTCGGAGTCATGACGTCCCTCCGTCGTGTCGGCTTCGCTCCCATGAAGCTATGGCTAGATAAAAGCTCGTTCTCTTGCTCCAGTGAACCGTGACTAGCCCCATCCGTCAGAGACCCCTGAACTCCAAGTTATTTGGCGACCTCATCTCTTACATGGGCTTTGTTCATGCTTCTACATCGTAAAAATAATGGCTTGCAAATAAACATTTAAGCATCTGAATGTGGTAAGCAAGCAGACCACAAGAGCCATGATTTTCGGCACTTGCTGTGCATCAACTCGGGAACCGATCATGCGTTCTTCAGGCCACTAGGGTGGACAAAGATCGCGGCCGACACAAATGGCTCGACAGCGGAAGGGTAGCTCGGCAACGCGAGCAGTATTCGGGACAGCACGCAGAGTTTTCGCTACACTGTTGACGCCGGTTATAGGGCTTCTGCATCTGGACAGATAGGGGATAAGGGGGGATTTTGGTGGACCCTCTGGGGTTGTTCTCGAGGTCGTCAAAATTGCTCTCATCCTCGGTTCAAACAACTGAAATCGACTTGGTTTGGGGTAGAGCGAAATGGTTGTGAGCCCTACACTCTCGTCTCTCAAGGGATTGGCTCTGCCGTACGGAGTATTGATGGTGATTATCTTCAGACTAGGCTCTGGAAATTTTGCGGTGACGTTATCGTTTCCATTATTGACAAGTCGAACAAATCTGTGATAAAATGGGCAACTGGTGTGCATTCTGTTGAGCAGAATTTTTTGAGCACAGGAAGCTAAAAGTGGGCCTGCCTGGACTTGATAGCCAACCCGGTATGCAACGCCCGCCATTTCCTCTTGTCACCACCACCAGCATGAATACAACGCCGCAAATTGTTTGATGACGCCGATTTGTACCCTACATATAAATATAGATCCTGAGTGCACCCAAATCTCTGATCACTGTCCTCCTCGAAACACACTAGCAACGGATCCATCCAATATGGCGAGCCCCGGTCCTCGACGTGACGCTTCAACTCGCATCCAGAAGCCAGACACAAGCTTTGATCGGTTAGCCGCTCTCAAAGCTCGGGTGGCAGCTGCGACGGGCGCCAGCAGGGCAAATGGAACGATAAATTCTACGCTCGAATACTCGAGGTCGCGAAACCCGTCTCCGAATACTCGAGATCTGTCCACAAAACTCGCACAATCTCGCGCCCAGCAGCATGTTGGACAATCATCACACCGTATACCGGCTGTTAACAATCACACAGTCGGGCAAGTCGTGCAGAATGATGTCGTCAATAACCCATATCTAGACCAGCATCTGGCGTATCAAAGCGCCGGGGGCAGACCGCGAGAATCGAGACGCTTAGTATTCAATCAAAAAGGGAAATATATTCAGCAGGCAAATGCCCTCCGCAGACAAGCAGCACTCGAAGCAATGAAAAAACGCATTGCAGAACAGACAAGAAAAGCAGGTATCAATGAAGACCTAGATGTGGAGAAGAATTTTGTGATTGAGCAACCGCCAGTGGTCGAGTGGTGGGATGAGGGACTCATCGATGGCAATAGCTACGAGCAGGTTGAGTCTCTTGGTAGTCTCAGGTTAATGACGCCTGACAGTATCGTGACAGAGTACATTCAGCATCCCGTTGCGCTTCAACCACCCCAGGACCGTCACCTTCTAGAGAACAAAGCGATGTTTCTAACGTCCAAAGAGCAAGCCAAAATCAGACGCCAACGCAGAATGACGGAGCTGAAAGAAATGCAAGCGAAGATCCGCCTTGGTTTGATACCGGCGCCTCCCCCAAAGGTGAAAAAGGGGAATCTAATGCGGGTGCTGGGCGATGGTATGTGTCCCCTTTTGTTCAAATCCAAGTTTTTGTACGCGAAGCTAACTCTGCCGTGTTAGTTGCCGTAAAGGATCCCACGGCAGTCGAAGCAAGAGTGAATCGCGAAATCGCAGAGAGGCATCAGACGCATATTAAATCCAACGAAGATCGAAAATTATCAAAAGATCAGAAGAAGGAAAAGTTATCTAAGAATCAGCAGAGGGATTCTGACAAGGGAATCCACCTTTTGGTTTTCAAGATTTCGAGCTTGGCAAATGGCCAGCATCGTTACAAGATTGGAATGAATGCTACCCAGCTTGCTCTGTCTGGCATCTGCATCATGCACCCCAAGTTCAATTTGGTCATCGTTGAAGGCGGCGCTTGGAGCATCGGCAAATACAAAAAGTTAATGCTCAATCGTATCGACTGGACAGAGAATTCACCTTCGAGAAGTAGAGATGACAAACCCAACTCGGGAAGAGACTGGCTTCAAGCAGAAAATCAATATGGGGCGCTCAAGGATATGTCGTTGAACGAGTGCAAGCTTGTATTTGAAGGGGAGCAGAAGGCACGAGCTTTCCGAAGATGGAGCAGTAAGGTGTGCGAAACTGATGCGGAAGCCCGGGAGGCACTCGCTCGTGCGAAGTTAGAGACTTTCTGGTCATTGGCAAAGGGCCTTCTATGAATTATGCTTGGCGAATATTGACTATTGAGATATTGGCTGATTGAGGCAGGCCGAAATAGGCGGGAGGACCTGTTTACAAGGCATGACCTTGGCAGTGACCCTGTTGATAAATTAATTGGTTTTACTGTGATTGTGCACCCCGATATGAGCTGGTGAACCATGATGGCGGAAGCATGAGTTGGGTCCGCACAGCGCTCCGCCTCTCTAGCTGGTTCCTGGTGGGGCAGTAGTTTGATATCATTGTTTAAGCCACTAAAATACGAAGTAAGAGACCCGAACTTAGGGAACCTAGACGTGAAAACCCCCCCCAACACACCCTTTTTTTTTCGCTCCTGACATGAGAGTACTACTTACTACCTTAGGGTATTCTGAAGACAAGCAACCATGAGGATGTGTAATTGTATCATTTCCAAGAAGCTGTAGAAAGACTTCGAGCGAGTTCAACTCATGGAGTTTCCCAGCTTCAATCAGCCATTACAACTTAAGACAGCTTACCCAACTTTTAACTAGCTCAGGACAATTTTTGACCCGCCAAGTGAGAGATTTGTTGTCCTCGGAGCATCTATTTGCTTACCTAAGTACCCCACGTTCCCTCTCTCTACCTTGTCACAGAGTACGTCAGGCTGTGCCTGAAATCCTCATCTCTCCACACCTTCACGATGAACACCACCCACAACGAAGAGTTGCTCCAGCGTTATGCCTGTAACAGCCAGCCTGGCTGGATATGAGAGGTGACTGACTGGAACAATGCTGTCACCGTATATGCCTACTATTTCTAATCAGCAGAACAGCCCAAGCGCAACATGACACCAAACCCGCACACCTACGGCTGTAATTGCCGTCTGGCGCCATTACCACTTCTTTTCAATGAGGTCGGGATGCCACAAGTTGCCTCTCAGTTCTTCTATTCGTCGACGAAACCAATCAACGAGCTGCTATCAAAACAGGGCTACAGTAGCACTTCGGACACCAAGCCTGTGAAGCGACAACTCCGGCCATTTGATCGTGGCGACAACAATGCACTGGAGAAGGCATGGATGAGTCTATCATCGGATCACTGCCGTAGTGAGCACGACGCAATCAGAGAAGGTCAATATGGAGCTATTAGTGTCAGTCAGGGGCTTTTGCGAAGACGACAGAAACTCGTGACAGTTCTCGCTTCGAAGCACCTCGAACTGCACGCCGGCGCCTTACATCCGCTGCTTTTGAATGAAAACGATACGAGCACAAGTGCAGAAATGGATGGGCTGTCACCATGCTGCCCAGCTTTGAGGTCTGACATCTCTGAAATGCTGCAACTGAGCTTCTGCGCTTTACTCTGCACGGCCTACCCGGAATTCGCTATCGAAGACATGGAGCGGGAAGTAATTGACGTCATGTTGTCTACAAGCCAAAGACATGCCTTGAGCTCTGAGCAGGATTCAGTTTCTGATGATATGTCCGCAAAGCGAAGAGATCCCACTTCTCCTGAAATACAAGCTGCGCCGGCTACGGCCGTTGGAAGGCTCGCAACAAGATGTGGACGACCTCGTTCATCATCAGGGACGACATCGAGCTCACTAGGCCAAATCAATATCGATGTGCGTGGATCAACCCACTTACCAGGAACGCGTGTTGGACCGCCTGGAAAACCTTTTATTCAGGCTGGGGGGAAGTCCACTTTGACAACACCAGATTCCTTAATCTCGGGTGGCCGCCAACAGCTGTTTGGTAAACGCCACAGTGATGATTCTATCGCATTCCCTCAAGACGAGCGTGGCTCAAAGAAAGATATTGAGAATGATCCGAGTGTCCTGGACGTTGTTGTGGGTATATCGAGACTTCATAAGGTGTCACTTCCAATACTCCTGATGAAACCTATATATTGGTCACCAGTCAATGATGTGGCTGTTGTAATGCGAGCTACTTGGTTCTATAGGTAATGTTCATTTGTAATTGGCGGTGCTCGCTGACTAACAATGCACCAGAGATACTATGATGCCTGTGGCTCCCTTGGTAGCAAATCAATTGGAAGCTGGTTATCAAGAGCTGCAGCCATGGACGGAAACGTGGGGAGATGAATTAAAATGTGCCGTCGAGGTTGGGTCTCTTGGCGAGGAGAAGATTTCGCATTGCCTTTGGCCCCAAGACTCGAAGTATTTCAGCAACACGATGCAGAAACGGGAGCCCAAAATATCTACCAAGGTGTTCTGCTCTGCACACTGTTGTCGAGGAGATGCTGCTGCCCAAGGATCCCTTGATCCCGTAATTGAAGGGTGCTCTTCAAACACAGAACGGATAAGTCGAGCCTTTGCAAATTTCCATGTTATTTATAAGGACGAAAAACTTGCTTTTCTGTTGAAACCTAGCCTCAGACCTTCTGCTTACTACGGAAGAAGGCCGGCGTCAAAGATTGTCAAAGGCTTCACTGTTGGCATCCCCATTGTACGAGGCTTTGATCCACAAGCCTGGGAACGTATTCATGGTCGTTGCGGGGTTTCTGCTCCGGACAAAGAAACAACGCACACTTATGAGAACAACGAAGGTCAACGCTGCGATGCATGTGAAGCTGAGAAAGACGAGGGTCAGGTGACGGACCTGATTCTTGTTGCACACGGCATCGGTCAAAAATTTGCAGAGAGGGTCGAGAGTTTTCATTTTACACACGCCATCAACGGTTTCCGACGCGCTGTCAACGACGAGCTGCGCAATCCCATTATTCAACGCCTTATGCGTCAAGGCCAGAACGGTGTTATGATACTACCACTTAATTGGAGGGTGGGGCTTTCTTTTGAGGATGGAGGCCCAGCAAGCCATCAAACTAGCGAACACCAAATGAACGAATCATTTGGCCTGAAAGATATTGAGCCGAACACTATTCCTGCAGTTAGAAGTATGATCTCTGATGTCATGTTTGACATACCGTTTTACATGTCGCATCACAAGAGCAAAATGATCAGTGCTCTCGTGTTTGAAGCGAACAGAGTCTATCGGCTTTGGTGTCGAAATAATCCAGGGTTTGCAGACAGAGGAAGAGTTCATATTATCGCGCACTCTCTCGGTAGCGTCATGGCAGTTGACATACTTTCTCGACAGCCAACGGAAGTGCCACGTTTGGATCTGAAACGAACTGAGCCAGAAACGCAATTTTTCGAGTTCGATACGACTAATCTCTTCCTCTTGGGAAGCCCAGCTGGCTTCTTCCTTCTCCTCGAGCATGGGTCCTTGACGCCAAGGCGTGGACGACAAAAACCAGGGGCAGACCCCAGAGATATAATGGATCAGCACATTGTAAGTGACGCTGGTAAGTTCGGCTGCCTGGCTGTGGATAACATCTACAACATTTTGGCTAAAGAAGACCCCATTGCGTACTTGTTGAACGGAGCGGTGGATCCGGCATACGCCGCAGCACTCAAACCAGCCTATGTTCCAAGCACGTCAACATCCATTTTCAAGTCGATGGGCGATGTAATGCGACTAATTGTGCCAGGGTTATCTCTGCCGACTGATCCACTAGTCACACATCCAGAGAGACCATCCAGAATGCGGCTTCCCTCTCAGCTAGAGTTGGAGGTTCATGATTTCACCCGTGAAGAGATCGCCGAGAAGAAGGCGTTCCTACTGAATGACAATGGCCAAATTGATTGGTTTTTAAGATCTGGAAACGGTCCATTAGAGATCCAGTATCTTAACATGCTCAGTGCACACACAAGTTATTGGATTAATCAAGACTTCGTTCGTATGTTGTGTCTGGAAATTGGGCGGCGACCGGGACGGAATTTTTCGGTCCCAGGCATGAGAGCTATGAAAAAGACGAAGCAATTTTCATTGGAGACGTGATTTATGTGTTAGTCAGACTATCAACTAGCATCTCTCGTGACACTAAACCAAATCGCAATTACCTTTGGGCCGGAGATTTATGTCTCATGTTTAGCTAGAATCTCATTTTCTCGAAACCATTCGCCAACGCCCCCTTACTGCGTGAACCAATGCTGGACAAATGCTGTATTAGAAATCGTCCAGCTCCATCATCTCCTGGTCTAATTCTTGATCATCGAGTTCATAGAGAGTAACTGGATCATTTTCCTGGATACCCGATTTCTTTGCTGTGTCCTCGAGTTCACGAATCTTCTCCATATCCACCTTTTCCTTATGCTCCTGTAGATCCTCGTAGCTCCAAGTGCTAATGCCGTCCTGATCTTTGGCGTGAAAGGGCTGTGCCATAGTTCTCAGAAACCTCCTTGCACTACTCACTGCCATATCAATGCTAAGGTTGGAATCGACATCCAGAAGACCTTGATTGATCCATTTGGGCAATTGGGCTCTCTTTTTCTGAAATCTGCGGTCGGCAAGGACCATGATTCCATAGTCATCTTTGCCTCGTAGAACACGGCCGAGGCATTGAGCAGCGTGGCGCATCGCATCAAAAGAAAGAAAGTCATTTTCCTTGATACGATACGTTTCTCGTAAGAATTCTAGACGGGCTTTCAAAATCCGGGACTCCGTGTATTGGAAAGGGACCCCAACGCAAAGTACTGTTCGGCCGTACTGATGATCGAAGTCGATGCCTTCTGAGACTTTCCCTCTTGCAACACATAACAAAATCGCTCCTCTACCATTACAACATGCGGTGCGGTAGGTTTCGAGGGCTAGTGATGTTTCCTGAGCGTCTGGCGTTTCTACCAAAATGAGCTTATATTTCCAAACTTCATCCAAAATCCCCATGCCTTGCCACATGCTAATGATCGATTCCATATAAAGGTAGGACGGAAAGAACACAACTAGGCCGTCGGGAGTGATTTTAGCAAACTCGATCAATAGAGTCCCGTAGTTTCGCACCACACTGGGTTCATTGCGGACTTGAAAACTAGTCGAAATGGAGGCCTGATCACTTCCGCGCGTGACAATCATAGGTAAGAATGATCGCCTTGCAAGTGTCATGCTGTATGACTCTTGAACCACGGTCGAAAAGTCCAGCATCTTTGGGTACATTTCCAGAGGGGAAATTGTACCAGAAGTGATGATTACAGAGTAGAATCTCTCGAAAACTGGACGTATGGCGATTGCTGCGTCCAGACACGTAAGATGCAGAATAGGGTTCGGCACTTCTGCTGTATCTGACTCGAACGGTTCAAGAATAAGGAGGAAACCTTTCTCGTATGTTGCAACCAGCGTCGCAAAAGTAGCTACTTCCTGCAGCGGCTGGTAATCTTCGATATTGGTAAGCTCGAGTGTACGAACAAGAGACGTCAAGCGCTCAGCGCAGAATCTTAGGGGTTTCTTTTCGATGAAAGTGTGTTCCTTTAAATGGGCTAAGAATGAAGGAGGGGTCTCTGAAATGACCTGGCGTACTTTCATTCTTGTCTGAGAATATATTAGGAATCGCAACGCAAGAGAAGGCTACTCCTTTACACAAACCTTGAGGTATTCAATAAATCTTTTAAGGAAAGCGACGAAATGCTCTGCTCTTCTGATGTTTCCAGGGACGGCTTCTCTAAGCAGATCTTCTGGCAGTGCTACAAAATGTCAGGCCAGAACAGAATAGGTTCGCGTGCACGAAATGACTTACCAGGATTTACCATGAAGGCATCCTCCTGGCGGGCTTCGTCCGCCTCTCGTAGACCCTGGACTAATTTTTGGTATTCATTCTGAAGTTGCACTTGATCCGTATCCCGCATTTCAGTGATTTTGTGCTCGAGATTTTGGGCACCTCTGCTGGCTCTACGTAGCGAGTCTTCCGTAATGTCAGTACTGAGAGCTTCAATGCACACATTGTCGATATTGTGAGCTTCATCAAATACGACAATGCAGTCTTTCGAAAAATCCCGGGATACTCGCTCCGCAATTTTTGGATCTAAAAGATAGTGATAGGAGAAAATGACGACATTGCAGTATTGCATCTGATTTTATTTAGTGATTGCTGGAGCAGGATAGCGGTTTGTGGCTGACATACCATTCGTCTTGCAGTAAAGTACGGACACTGTTTGTGTTCCTCTCCATGCCGCAGAATTCCGTCAAAGGTCCAAACGCCATTGGGAATTAGGTTGTGAGGCTCAAGAAGATCCAAATTCTAAAGTCGAATATTAGCGCGTAGGGCCAAGAACAAGAAACATTACGCTGGCATTATTCAAGAGCTTTCCCAAATGAACTTTGCTTTCGGGTTGAAAGATTCGTACATCATGGTAGACGCAAACGTCCACCTTCTCACCTCTGTCCTTTTTTTCCTTCACAAAGCCAGCAGTAAGACTTCTACAGCGGGCGTCCACCACAGAGCCACTCTTTTCTCGTTTGACGGACGGATGAAGGCAAAGATTTTTTCGACTAGTTAATCCCAAACCGCGGAAATCTTCCTCGTAGCCAAGCTCCTCAGTACGATACTTCATGAGGGCTTTCAGCTCCACTAAAGCCTTCTCAATCTCTGACATGGTACCTTTTTACCCAAGTTAATCAGCAACTGAACCAGGAGCAAAGGGGAAACTAGAAGAAAAGGAAAAAGAAGATATGGGATAACGGGTCGGGGTGAAGGGAGGTGGGAGGTTAACAAACGAGAGCAGTAAATAAGTTTTCTCTTCTCAGGCATAAACTGTTGATAAGCTACAATGAGCGATAGCAGGGATACAGTCTTGCCAGTACCTGACGGCATTTCTAGCACGCAGTGACCGCCGGCATCAAGCGTTTCTAAGGATACGTTGTACGGGTCAGCCAGGTCGTTAAGACCAATCTAATACCGGAAACATTTGAGGGCCGTGGCCGTTACTCTTCAAGTCACACATGTACCTATCACAATATCGGTTAAATAGAGACAAAAATAAGATTGTATTTTTTGATGGAAGCTTACGCATATTGCTCTAGAAATTGCCTAGTTAGCTCTGACTGCTTCCATCTTGATACTGAACATGCATACCTGGGTATATCTTGGGATACGGAAAGATGACAGGCAGTTTACTAACGCCAATTTAGCAGCCATAAACGCAAGGCGTGGTGGGAAAAGGGCATTTTACTCAATGTAAAACTTCATTCTGCCCTTTTTAAAAAAAAACTGGCCTATCTCTTCAAGAAATACTCGATGACCGCGTTGTTTTCAACTTGGGCAGGTTCGCATTTCACGATCGTGGAGAAGACTCGTAACGTGGATCTCGACGGAAATTGATAAGGCGCGTGATCACGTGATTGGAGATACCCGCTCACAAGTCAGCGTTCATCCTGTCGCAAGTCACCGCAATACTTGGTCCTAGTTATGGGTTGCACACATAACAGCAAGGCAACCTTACCGGTAAAGTCGTGTTTATTAAAAGTTTACAACTGCCTGTCTGTCCAACTGTCTACTAGGTATCTACCTACCTGACTGATAAGGCGCGCGAGGGTATTCTAACGACTATCCTCCACCTCATCAGCTATGATGAGAAGCTTATTACAATTTGTAATTTCTATTTTCTACAGCAATTTTCTACGTGTCCTGTGATAGCTCTACTATCTACAGGGCAAGGTCTCAAGCAAAGATGTTTGGCCTTGATGAGGCCGGTGTAGCACACAACCACCTTTACTCCAATTGCAGCGCTGGAGCGATCTGTACCTCAACGGCGTCTTATCAATGTTTCAATATCCTCTGCATGTTGCAGGAGCAGATATCATTCCCAAGGTGATGATTCTGTGGCGGTGGCAAAGGAGGAGCAAACGATCATTCCTTCCCCGCCCTTGATCTACATGGCTTTAAGCAGGGACTCAGAGCAGTTTCGCCACCCCCATTGGGCCGGGTGCGGGGACCCAGCTGCAATTGGCCAGTTGACTAAGTACCTACGAATCCTTTCTCTTATCATCATACCTGATCATCAGCGCATCACTATCATAAAGGTCTTCAAAAAAAGATTGATTCAAGTCGAAAAGCTTCAGAAGATGTGACAAGAGCTCTTTCTTATTACAACAAGCTTAAAGAGGCTATTCAGCAGTACGGAGTCCCTCCTGAAGATATCTGGAATATGGATGAGACTGGCTTTCGTATTGGAATGGGAAAGGACCATTTAGTTGTTACAAAGCGAAGAAGAGCGCATCTATTTTCAATGCCAGAAAACAGGGAGACTGCAACAGCAATAGAATGCATTTCTGCTGGCGGCAAAGTTATTCCTGCCTTTCTTATCCTTACAGGGCAAAAACACATGGAGTCCTGGTATCGGATAAAGGAGCTTGAAGCTAATACCAAAATAACAGTCTCACCAACCGGCTTTACGAATGACGAAATTGCAGTTGCTTGGATACAGCATTTTCAGGAATTTGCAACGCCAATAGGCAGATATCGCCTTTTAATCCTAGATGGCCACGGATCACACCATACAATTGAATTCGTTGAATACTGCGAACAGCACGATATAATTCCCTTTGCGTTGCCCTCGCACCTTACACACATCCTTCAACCTCTTGATGTTGTGATATTTCAGCCACTAAAGCATTATCATGCAAAGGCGTTGGATATCATTGTTCGAGACGGCGTGTTGAATATTACAAAGATTGAATTCCTTGCTTGCATTCAAGCTGTACGAAAACAAGCTTTCAAGACTACTACTATTCTCACAGCCTTTCGAAAAACTGGAATTTCACCCTACAATCCACAGCCTGTAATTGAGGCCCTTGAACAACGAGCTGCAATTTACACATCAACACCATCGCCGCCGCCGTTATATCACAACAACTCTTCCGACTTTGAGACGCCCACAACACTCAGGCAGATAAATAAGGTTGCCAACAAGCTAGGGGAGGTATTAGAAGACGATACATCCCTTGAGCCTGAGTTTGCACGCAATATCAGTCGTTTTATCCGCGGCTCTCTTATTGCAGCTACTGAGCTTATACAGACGAAGAGAGACCTTGGGCGTACAAAAGCAGCTCAATTACTATCACAGCGACGTAGAGCTCATAAATATCACGCCCTACAAACTGGTGGCGTTCTTTCTGTGGATAACGCGCGTGAGATGGTCAAGCAAAACGAGAATGACCGCCTTGATACTGCTCGTCGGGTTGTTGAGGCAGCCGACAAAAGGCGCCACAACCACGCCAAGAGGACGTTTTTTGAAGCAGCTAAAAAGGCACGTAAATGGCGTCTGGATTCTGTACTAGATCTACTAGAAATTTGGGACGAGAAGGGTGTACATTATAGGCGAAGAGGTTAATAGCGTTATTAGGTTGAAAATTGGCCCGCCTTGGTGTCCGGCCCGCCTTGCTGTCGAGCACCACCTTTGGTGGTGAGGGCTTTTGCTAGCCGAACCACATAAAGTGGGGCGGGCACGATTAGCACTCAAAGCACCTGCCACCAATCCTCCAGGCGTATCAACCGCTGTTAGTACCTTGTGCTGCAAACGTCGCCATCGAGAGAATTCTGAGAACCATATAATTGGAAAGCGACGAGTTCGTGATAAGTCTACCAAATGTCCAAATGCGGGCCATTCGGCAGCCAAAGTGTGTGTGCCTAGATGTCAGGCCCAGGGAGTCGTGTCTTGTCTGTCTTTGTCTCAGAAGAATGGGACGAGAGTCGAGACTGGCCCTGCATCACCCGCCGCTCGTACAGGCCTCACTCTGCCAAAGGTGGTTGAAGTGAAAATAAGAGCAGCCAGTACATGTAGCAATGGCGAGTGATCAACTGAATACCTGGTCAGTAGCGCGAAACTTTCGACCTAATTCTTCTTGACGTAAAGTTCCCTACCTGGTAAGTAGGTACTTAGGTACCTACCTAGGTAGGTACTTACTTAAGTTAGGAACCAGGTCTCCTTGGACACTGATCTGGGTCAATGCTTGGCCTCTCGCACCGCACCTACCCACTCACGGTCCAGCAATGCGTTGTCGAAACACCACCGACCGCCAACTGCTACTTGGTGCATTTCGTGCATCATACTCCTTCCCCTCTCCTCTTGATACAATCTTGTTTACGCCTAATTCTTCTTCCATTATAATGTAGTTATTGACACAAGACATCAAACAGGTTTCAGCACTCAGCCAAGCTCTGTACGAAGAAACTTACCCCGTGCACTGCTCGTGTGTGTTTCCTTTTGTCTTCTCACTGAGGTAAGCTCGCATGACCGGATCTATTTCTTAATCCCTTGCTCAGTCCCCTTATCGTGGCATTGATCCGCCTTAGGCTGGTCGGTTTACATTTTTCATGTCCCCGACACTTGCTCGATCGAACTCATTGACCAGCTGCCGCCGCTGCGTGGCTCCTTTGAGAGGATCTTGATATCTGCACGGCGCGCGCCTGGCGTGTCCATGATTTCTTTGCAAGCCCCAAATTCTGTGCGTGCGAGATCTTGTGTCCTACGACGCGAGAAATGGATACTTCCTACTTCGACAGTCGCGGTTAGACTCCAATGAATCGGGGGTAAACTGACACTCACGATCTTCAGGCCTGAGCCGCATCGACCTTGCTCGTCATCTTGTAGGGCGCATGAGCGGCCACGTTCAAATCTCGCTTCCTGTTAGATTGCGGTCATTCTGCATCAATAGCCGAACATCCTGCGTACAGGCACAGTGGCCCCTCGATCGAAACACTTCGCAAGTCTCGGGCATCACCGCTCGCTAGCATGGCAGCTATTGCGTTACCGAGGCCGATACCTCCGCACGGCGCCGGCTCCGACATCGACGGCCCTATAACACCACCCCATTCGCTCGAAGATGTAAACCGCCAAGTTCAAAGCCAGCGCTGTCCTGCCCCACTGCCAAATAAGCATATCCCGGTATGTCCCACTGGGCCACCAAAAGCCGACGATACCAATACGCCGCCAGTCTCTCCAAAGGGTTCTGTCGAAGCTTTGAGTCAGCAATCTTTACTCTTTCCACCTGATCACTACGTCAGGATGGAAGCGGATAACCTTTGTATTTTCGAACTCGATGCCTGCCAGGTCGGTCGCGCAATTGATTTCGCCTCCAGACAACCATTACCTTCGCCAGAGGTGATGTTCCCTTGGCTTCATGGCTTGCATCCAAAGAATCATCTTCAGCAGGCCTTCTTCATGGGTCCGAAAAGGTCTGCAAGGAATCCACCGACATGTAGCCGAGGTATTCTGCTGGTAAAAGCAAATGGTGATCTTTCGACGGCACGACTTAAAGGAGCTGTTGCGCCTGATGAATTCCTCCAGCCTGGTCCTTGCCCCAGGTTTATAGAGCCAGATCCTGAGGAAGGATTCTCGGTGAGAAACTTTCAGATTCAAACAGCAAAGGCGGCTCTTGTATCTGATGTGATTGTGTATGGAGAGACCCCCGCGGAAAACAAGAAAGTAGCCTGGGAAGTTGCTGCGGCTCAGTTACTTCAAAGGCAATCACAATCGGGACAAAGGGGACATATCACTGAATATAACACCTTCATTTGCACAAGTCCCTTTTCGGATTTTGAAGACGCCCATAGCGACATTGTTGCGATCGACTCCGACGGTGGTGTTACCGGAAAGGTCCTGGATTTTATCCAGCAGGAGCGGACCGAAATGTGGGACATGACCAGGGCGTCCGAGATTTCTCTCAACGTTTTCATGGGTCCTACCCCGGAACCAGATAGCCCAGAGGAGAAAATCTTTCATATTTTGATTGAATGCAGCGATCTAGGACACCTTAACCCTGGTGCCTTGCAACGTCTGGCCGAATTAAAGGATGAGCCAACTACACGCTTTCATTTTGACTTCCCGTCGTCGGGGAGTATACTGCCACCAACATGGTCACACGATGAGGCTGACGGGATAATCGAAACATGCAAGTGGATTTATCATCTTTCGCATGGCATTCGACCAGATATTGGTGCTCATGATGAGAACGCAGCTCCCAGCACAGCCAGCTATACCTTCGGGACCCTCGAACCACGGAAAGTTCTCATCCATTGCGCTGATGGATACACGGAGTCTACCATGTTGGGAATCGCATACCTGAGCTACAGCACGGGACAGCCTGTTTCAAATGCCTGGTTACAACTCCATACTTCCATAGGTCGAAACTTTTTCGCTTATCCTACTGACGTCGCTTTACTAACCGCAATTGCCCCTCGACTGTTGAAAGATTCCCCTGCTTGTGTTGGATATAGCCTCGAGCAAATTACCAATTTATTACGGGATGAGCCCAGGTGGCTGCCTGGTCTCGACGGCTCCTTCCCGAGCCGAATTCTGGACTATCTGTATTTGGGCAATCTTGGTCACGCAAATAATCCAGATCTTCTGTCAGAACTCGGCATAGGTCAAATTTTGAGTGTCGGCGAGACAGCTTCTTGGAGGGATGGCGATCTGGAGAAATGGGGTTCGGACAATGTTTATGTTGTGCAAGGAGTTCAAGATAACGGCATCGATCCACTCACGGATGAGTTCCCTGGATGCCTCGAGTTTATAGGTGAGACATGCTTTGATCTTTCTAAGTTTTGTCCCATAATTTATTCAGTCTTAGTGGTTTCCTAACACTGTAGCTTCCATAGACCGAGGACGACGACGAGGGACAGCAACTCTGGTGCACTGTCGAGTTGGTGTATCACGCAGTGCCACCATATGCATTGCTGAAGTAATGAGAGTCATGCGGATGTCATTTCCTCGCGCATATTGTTTCGTTCGCGCAAGACGTCTCAACGTTATCATTCAGCCTCATTTACGGTTTGCATATGAATTACTACGTTGGGAGGAATGGCTGCAACAACGGGGCAACGCCTCCGCTCCATTAAAGCGTGAGTTGGAGTGGCCGCATATCGCGCGAGAAATTGCTCTCATGAATCGACCTTATTCAAGATGACAGTACCTATACTACGAGTGACACGGAAGCACCTGATTCGCTATTCCTTTAAGAAGCTCTTGCACATGTCTCTAAGGAGTAACACATTTGATGTCTACACCAGCTCTCGCTACGGCCGCGAGCTGGCGGTGAGCGTCTCGTCTCCCATGACTTTGGGAAGGGGAATGGGTTGATACGAGACAGTCCTATCACGCCAAATGGCCTTCAATGTTGGATATTTCGTTGTTCATTTGTTACTTCTTTATTATTAGTTGCTGGTGAGCGTCGTCCCTACACCACAGTCGACTTCTACGCACTGGACGAAGCCTTCTCAGATTTGGGAGATTTACTCTGCCGTTCTATTGTTGTTTATGAACTGTTGAAGCAAGTTAAGTTCGAGGAATTTTGGCTTTCGGTTTCATGCAAACATTGTGCAGCATTGGATTTTCGCATCCGTGGATATCACGGTTTTATGATGTCATGAACTTTGTCGTTTCGGGTACCGCAATATATTCAACAGGTCACCAAGATTTTATCTCTTGAAGAGAGTTGGTATCATATTTACATGCTTCGAGCAGGTATTAACGCGTATCATCGCATGGGGTGTTTGTGAAATCAACATGCCGTGGCTTTCTTGAATTTCCAAGATGCAGGCGAAAGAAATTTCCACTTCGCCCGACTCCGGTATATAGATATCATTTGGTTATTTGCGGTTTATGTATCCAGTTGACTTATACATATTGCCTCTATGCACTAGTGTCTTTTGGGTAAACCGTGGGCTGTTGCGAATATGATATTCACTGCCCTCGAGCACGAGTGTCGGCTCATGGAAGACATCATGTGTAAATTAACAACAGCAAGACGCTAAGTGGGAGGCTAAGAGCCGTCACTTTCGAGAACCCTATCAATGGTGCGTGTCTCCATCGTCAGTCCAAATTTTTGTCTTGAGAGTCGAAATACAAATGTTCGCCAATAACTGAAGAAAAATAAGGAGCGTTGAGAGGGTGGGGAGAGTCTTACGAAAATTGCTTCACGAGGTATCCTTCTCCTCCGTTTTCCATGTCGATATTATAAACGTAGAAGCCGCCATCGCTGGTTACAACCATGACCTGGGGGCTACTACTGCTCATCGCCACGACACTTCGCAACGGGCTAACAGTGGGGTTTCCTGATGCCCGCGGGGTCAGTGCCGACACCCCGGATTTCGGTATTTTAATGAACGCAAAGTCTCGTAGCGGCTCCCACATCTCTGCAACAGTCTGGGGCAGATAAGATCCAACAACGCCGGCAACACCACGACCCATAATTTGCGATGATCGGCGCAGCATGTTACTAAATGAACCGCTCTGCCTTCGATGGCCCTGTTTGCCACCACTGGAAGCTGCATTTCCCGCCATTTCCACTGCCTCGCTTCTCGGCGACTCTGCGGCGCTATTTCCCGGTGAGTCGCCATCGTCGTAGCTTCTAGCTCGAGACCAGCGATCCTGTCTCGGAGGGCTTGGGGTTTCGATTGGCGCGCCTCTGGGCGTAGTATGTCCAGGCGGTGTTCCCAGTCGAAAGATATGGACAGTTTCAGAAGTAGAGGACACGCATAGAAGGGTCGAGCTGAGATTGAACGACATGCTGTAAATGGTCGAAGGGTAAGTCCCTCGTCGAAACTGATATAGTTTCTGGCCTCTAGGGATGGAAAAAACGCGGATGATTGTCCCAGTTTCACTCGCTGTGGCCAGCAGTGTGCCGTCGCTATTCAAGCATACGCAGGACAAGGGCGAGCGATGGGCCTCAATGACGTTTACCGCTTTGAGTGTCAGTGTGTCAAAGACGAGCACTTCGCCCGACGTTGGCGACACATATGTAGACTGGGGTGGTGCATGAGCCGGGCGACGACTATCAGCATCTTCCCTAGGTTTGGGGAGGGGATACGCAATGAAGCAGTTGTCCGAAGAAGGGGACAGCGCGCATATAGCAGAAGGATTCGGCGAGGTTGTTATGGTGTAGAGGAGGCTCATATTGCTAATGTCGTACAGGTATATCTCCTCCTCCAGTATGACGGCAAGACGCTTTCGGTTTAGTCGGACGGCAAGAACGGCAGATGGAAACGTGAGCTCGCATATGACAGATGCTCTCTATATCAGTGCGATTGCGAGTGTAAGAGACGAGAACGCCTTGAGTACGGTCGAGGGCAGCCTACTTTTGTATTTTGGATTATAAGATGCCGGGGAGATAGTATGAGCGCGACGAGTGAAGTCGAAAACAGCATCTCAATGATAGCAATGTTTCCATCATCGCTATTGAAAATTCGTGAGAAGGGGTCTGTATGGTATATACGAAACCCTTTGGAGGTACCTGATGAAGCGAACAAGTGAAAAGATGTTATGTAAGTCGATCGGCCCGGTAGCGTAGATATGGCTGTCTCAGGAGCACTCACCAACAGCAAGACAACTGTGGTCCTGGTTGAAGGTAATGAAATTGAGCGATGGGCTGGCCATTGTTACCGTCCTGGCAGCAGAAAGCACGAAAACGCGCCCACTGCGTCCCAACGCTGGCTATAACGGCGTGTCGGCGAAGTCGTCGTGAAATCGGGTTGTGGCAACGCGGAGTGACCAGCGACGCGGGAGAGGAGGTTCGGTAGTGAGTGTGTGTGTCGAGATGACGGGCAAGCAGTTTCTGTTCAAAATAGCTCGGCAGCGATAGAGCCGACTCGAACGTGGCAATCTCAACCGCGCCAGGTCGCAGCACATATATATGCATGTATATGCTCGTTGGACTTGATAGGGTCGTCAGCGGCTGATTTGCTACGTTCGCAAGATATGTTGCCTAGATTAGTCGCAATGCTGGGCCTTCCAGTACTTATTTATGTACGAGGCAAATTCGGCCGACCAGTTGAAGTCGCGTGGATCGAGGGTGCGAGAGCTGAACGGCGAGGAGGGCAAGATCTGATGGACGTGTGGGGTTGCCGAAGCCTAAAGTACCTACTTAGCTTCCTGGTACGCAGGTGCCCAGGTGCGTACAAGAGAGAGACATATCGAAGCCGCCGACTTATAATTACCTACTTAAAGTACCTAACCTATTTAAGCAGGTATCTAGGTTCCCTGCAACATTACGAGGTACCTATAAGTACATTTAAGTGCCGGGTTCCTCCGCACTCAGGTAGATAAGTACTTAAGTACTTACTTAAGTTCTTTATGTCAAGTTCAGCGGACTACAGGTACGTCCCCACCACTCCAGGAGAGAAATTTGGCAGAAAAAGAACCAAGAATAAAAAATACCTCCACGCCGTGTACATTTGTTTCAATGCTCAACAGCCGTCGTGATGAGCTCGCCATACTAGCCCAATCCGCCATGGATAGTCCCTTAGTGAGCTCTCCGAAGTGTACGGGAAAACCTCCGAGAGCATGAATAATACTCTGTACAACCGCAAAGATGGCCGCTGCGAAGATCCCATTATCATGCAAGCCACCAAAATCGCACGCCCTGGACGACTTGGTCATGGGAGTAAGTCTCCAAAGCTGAGCGGACGCCCTAAAAATCCCTTTTGCACAGCTACCCTGACAGGCTGAGGCTAATCTCCCTTATCATAGACAAACAGTAGCAGTATCGTCTCCAAGCGTAGCGTGGAGAGGCTGTATTACCCCGAAGAACCGCAGTACTTTCGTTATTTCGTCAAAAAGCCCCAGAGACGAGCACCACTCATAAACCGGGGATATTGGCTGAGACTCAGGGCTATCGATGCTGTTGTGAGACAGTTCCTATTCGAAGATCGAACAACCAAAAAGATTGTGATCAATCTTCGAACAACCAAAAAGAATTGTGATCAATCTCGGATGTGGCAGGTAAGCACGGGATAAGGGTAAACGGAGACAAGAACGGAGCCAGCAGTCTGGCTACTCTGATACTGAACGAACTGACACGTCCAATGCTCATAATCTAGTGACGTCCTCCCTTGGCAATCACATGCTCGATATGCCTCACACTGCCACGGTGTATTGTTTGTGGATATAGACTATCCTGAGTTGATGCTCAAAAAGCGATCAATAGTGCTTGAAACACCCCAACTACGAGGCATCTTGGGAGAAAATTTTGTCACTAGCCAATCGACTGAGGATCAGCTCCTCCTACGAAGTGATCGATATTGTCAAATCGGGTGTGACCTTCGAGAAATTTCGCAATTGAGAGATCTGTTAGAGACACTGTGTCCCTTAACCGACTGCCCTGTGCTATTCGTCGCAGAGGTATCGATCACCTACATGGATACAAAGTTTGCTGATGCTTTGATTCAGTGGGCAAGTAATGTTGGAAAAGGTGAGTCAGGCACCAGCCAGCCCTCGAGTTGTAGCAGATTACGTATAAGAGGGGCTCATAGAAATATCTGCTTACTTGAACCATAGCGCAATTTTGCCTTTTAGAGCAATTATTACCTCACGGACCAGACCATCCGTTCGCGGCAACCATGCTTAGTCACTTCGACAAACTCAAGACACCACCCAAATCAGTTAGCAAATATCCAACCCTTGCCAAGCAAGTCAGCAGATTCAGGGGCCTAGGCTACTCAAAAATCGATATCTGGGACCTTTGGGAAGCCTGGTCAAGTGAAACATTCATCAGCGATTCTGAAAGAGCGGCCCTGGATGACAAAGAACCATTTGACGAATGGGAAGAGTTCGTACTCTTCGGACGACATTATTTTATTCTTCATGCCGTTGCCTCACATCAAGAGTCGGAGATAACAGTCTCGTCAGAATTTCATCACACAAAACCGTTGGAGAAAGAAAGTATATTCTATGTTTCAGTGGCCAAGCGTGGTGCAGAAACATCCAAGAGGCGATTTGGCGACGTACTCGCAATTACAGATCCCACTGGAGCCGCGTATGCTGTTCACATCATGGGACTCGGGACAAGTGGTAGACGAGAGTCATACGATATTTACAGTCTAGATGGAAAAATGGACATGCCCATCGTTCCCATCACTGGACCTCTCCCGCGCATGTGCCACTCGATAACAGACTTAGGCGACTACGGCGTGCTTTTGGTCGGTGGTCGCACTTCTCCGGCCAATGCCTTATCAGATTGCTGGATTCTCAATAAAGGGCTTTCGAGTCAATGGGTACCTACCTCGAGCCTCCCAATTCCGTTGTTCAGACACGCAGCAATTTGTCTTCGCGGCAGCTCTCTTGCCCTTATTTTAGGCGGCAAAACGGGACCCTCTGTAATCTCGGAAGACTGCTACGTCTTCGATGTGACGAAAGGCTGGTCGAAATGTGACATTTTGGGAGATGCACCTGGACCTTTGTTTGGTGCAGTGCTGTGCAATTCACCCCGTACTCGCCCCGACTCCGAAGACAGCTTTACCGGGCTGCTTGCTGGTGGAATTGGGCAAGATGGTTTGATCAGCTCAAGAAAGTATACATGGAAGCTCGATTTTCCTAACTCAAAGGTAAAATCCGATCATACCTGAAAGAAAATCGCCGCTAACCATGGTTTCGTCTAGCCAACCATTCAATTTACTAGGTGTGAGGGTGAGTTCGATCATCAACTCGAGGATATTGCGGTGTTTGGAGCGAGAACAGTCGATTTCGAGTCACAAACACTGGTATGTGGAGGAGTAGGAATCAGTTCCAAAGCACAAGGTCAGAGTATCTTTACGGTATACATGACCGAAAATGATGCGTATGCTGCGTCCAGGGTGGGCACTTGCCCTGAGGGCAGGGTGCTACCATTTATGATCGGATCAGCCATGATGAAGTACAAAGGCAGCGTTGTGATACTTGGCGGTGGAGCCACTTGCTTCTCAATGGGCACTTTTTGGGAGACTGGGGTCTTTCAGCTCATCCCTAGGGGCAAAGAGGATGGCGTGGGAAGCCCCGAAGTCACAAAACGGCGACCTCCAACAGTACGCTTTTTGGCGTCGCAAAGGGTTGTCAGTAGCACGAATAAAAAGCTGTGGCAGGAGCCGAGTCTGGAAAAGGCCAAAGTTGCAACTATCCCCCGCGTCCGCCTGGAAACAACAGCCCAGTTCGAAGACATTTTGCAAGCCGGGCTGCCAGTTATTATCTCAAACGCCGATCTTGGTGGCTGTGTGCAGAAGTGGACACCTTCGTATATGGTAGATCGAGTTGGCCACGATACCAAGGTGTGTATGTGTGTGGGTGGATTTTGGCAAGCTTTATCGCAATACGTAGGTAGGACTAACATTTCTAGGTTGTCGCACATGAATGTAAGCATGATCATGAAAGAATGGACTTCAATTCAAAGAACTTCCGCTACATCACTGAGACTTTTGGCAATGTTATGGCACGTGCCGAGGCCGGAGAGAGGATATACTTACGCGCACTTTCCCGAGATGAACCGTCAGAACGACCAGCTAATATCCACGATGACTTTCCTGGATTAGCAGTGGATTTCCGTCTCCCTGGAGAGATGGACCGGGCCAGCCGTTGCCTATTCAGCTCTGTTCTTAGGGTATCTGGGCATGTAAATATGTGGCTGCACTATGATGTATGTTTCCAAAATGCGCGCCGACCTGACAATAAATATGCTAATGCTGTGTTTTCCCGACTAGGTCATGGCTAACGTCTATGCCCAAGTATCAGGGTCAAAGCGTATGGTACTGTTTCCGCCTCGTGATGTAGAGCACTTGCTGTTTGCTCCTGGAGCGTCCAGCTCAAGCCTCGATGTCTTTTCAGAGCTAGAAACACGGCAGTTGGCGGCGACGCATCCGTATGAAGCGGTACTTGCTCCAGGGGATATACTGTTCCTGCCCGCATGCTGGCCACACGCAGCTGCAACGGTAACGGACTGGAGCATAGCTGTCAATGTCTTCTTTCGAGACTTGGAAAGCGGATACACCATTGGGAGGGATGTGTACGGTAATCGAGACCTCGCTGCGTATGAGAAGGGACGACTAGAGGTCGCTCGTGTAGGAAAAAGCTTCCAGCATCTCCCCTTGGAAACGCGCCGCTTTTACCTTAAGCGACTGGCAGAGGAACTTGAACTGACTGCCGACAGGGTATAGATAGCTCTTATGCGTGTCGTTGACTTCTCAAAGTAACAGCGGGCCAAGTTGAGTGCGTTACAATAAAGGGTTGGTCAGATGATAGGCTCGTATTCGCCGCATGTTATTCTATTGTGCGTATTATAGATGCAACGCTCTACTCTGTGGTCTGCAATAAGGGATGACATTTCTATTGAACCTTAGGAGGTCGTCAACTGATAGTGTTTGCTACTATGTCAAAAGACAGAGTCAATAAATGTATGTACTTGATAGTATAACAGGTTCCCTCTACGTACCTACCTAGGAACTTGACAGGTACTACAGCCTGCGGATTGGCACTCCAAGGACTATCCCCAGCCTCATCAGCTATTACAAGACAGCTTACTAGACTTTTGGCCAGCTTGTAACAGTTCTTAATGTGCCTTGTGATAGTTCTGCTGGCTTAGAAACAGGGACCGCGCACGTAGGTACTTAAGTACTTAAGTAAGTGCCTTCCTCTAGGTAAGGTACTTGGGCAGTTCCCTTCTCTGGCCCCGCCTGGTACGATGTAAGGACCTCAGTTACTAGCAAGTCCCCGAATCAAAATATGGGGCAGTGCCGTCACACCACCACCGGCTCTGAACTGCTCAATCCTGGAGTTCCCATTCATGACCTCGGAAATGCACCCATGAATCGACAATGCCTGAAGGAAATTAACAGACGCCGCATCACGTCGAATGGAGCTCCCTCCGTCAGTAGAAGCGACACGACCTCAACACCTCAATCTCATCGATTAAGAATTTTTCATGAGACCCCAGCCTAAGGTTCAACATCCCCTGGATAACGAGCTCGCGGCGTCATCATCAATGGTCGCTTCCACGGCACAACGGTTTTGCTGCTCCAATATAGCCCTCGACTCTGTGTGCTGTGATATTGGTCTTTTTATCTCCGTATCATCAGCGGGAATAGCCAGCTTCAGTTATGAAATCTGCGGCTCGTCGTGCCATCAGGCGACTCATTATTCCCAGCGTTGTTGTGGCTGGTGGAGGAGCCTTGGTATACAGCTACAGGCCTCGAAATATTCCCGGCTGCTCTTCTGCTGCGGTCCCTCCCCCTACTTACGGCCCAGATGGATCCTTTACCATGCCACAATTCCCAAACATCAAGTCACGACTGGAACAAATCGCTGACTTGCGCGACAGTGCTGATCCGACTGCCGGAAACGAATATGACATGCTGATTATTGGGGGAGGAGCTACAGGTGCCGGCGTAGCGCTTGATGCTGCAACCCGCGGCTTGAGAGTGGCGCTTGTCGAACGAGATGATTTCAGCAGCGGCACCAGTAGCAAGAGTACCAAACTTGTGCATGGAGGTGTCCGCTATCTGGAAAAGGCAGTGTGGAATCTGGACTACAGCCAGTATCAGCTTGTTAGGGAAGCACTCAAAGAGAGGAAATATTTCCTCCGGACCGCTCCGCACCTGAGTATGTGGCTACCTATTATGTTGCCTCTTGATAAGTGGTGGAAGGCGCCCTACTATTGGGCAGGCACCAAACTTTACGATTTCCTGGCTGGCAGCGAAGGAATCGAAAGCTCCTACTTCCTGACTCGGAGCAAAGCTCTCGAGGCATTCCCCATGCTGAAGCAGACGAATTTGGTCGGGGCACTAGTCTACTACGATGGTGCACACAACGACTCCCGGATGAACGTTTCAATTGCCTTGACTGCAGCTCTTTATGGTGCAACAGTGGCCAACCATGCTGAGGTCACAAGCCTCATAAAAGATGGACGTGGACGTCTTTGCGGAGCCAAAATAAAGGATCTTGTCGCCGCTCGAGAAAGCGGACAGGTGGGGGAGATTACGGTACGAGCCAAATGCATAGTCAATTGTACCGGTCCTTTCACCGACTCAATAAGAAAGATGGACGATCAGGAGTGCAAGGAAATTGTTGCGCCTTCATCTGGCGTACATGTGATTCTTCCCGGTTACTACAGCCCTGGGAAAATGGGACTACTTGATCCTTCAACATCTGATGGCCGTGTCATCTTCTTTCTTCCCTGGCAAGGAAACACGATTGCAGGTACCACGGATTCACCATCTCCAATTTTGTTCACTCCGCTACCGGATGAGGAATCTATCCAGTGGATACTGAAAGAAATCAGCCAGTATTTGTCTCCGGAGATTAATGTGCGTCGAGGGGATGTGTTGGCGGCTTGGTCTGGAATCCGGCCGTTGGTCAAGGATCCCAAGGCCAAGAACACCGAGTCTCTGGTACGCAACCATCTTGTCGACATAGCCCCCTCCGGTCTCTTGACTTGTGCTGGGGGAAAGTGGACTACTTATCGCCAAATGGCAGAGGACTGCGTCGATGCTGCCATTACAGAATTTCAACTTAGCCCTCGTCCTGTTACCAACCCACCACGTGTCGGTGGTGCCGACGTGATTGACCATAGTACCACTTTGGATGGGTCCTGTCAGACTCATAATGTTCGCTTAATAGGTTCCCATGGTTTTAGCAAAACGCTTTTCATACCAATTATTCAGCATTTCGGTGTTGAGACGGAAGTAGCCAAGCACTTGACGGAAAGCTATGGTGACCGGGCCTGGACCGTTGCAGGACTCTGCAGGCTGACTGGCCAGAGATTTCCGGCTCGAGGAGAGCGTATATCACGCTTGTATCCATTTGTTGACGGCGAGGTTCGTTATGCAGTAAGGCATGAGTTTGCTCAGACTGCAGTTGACGTTTTGGCACGTCGAACTCGGCTTGCATTTTTGAATGCCCAGGCGGCTCTGGAGGCGTTGCCTGGCGTAATTGACATCATGACCGAGGAACTTGGTTGGGATCATCAACGCCAAGATCGCGAATGGACTGAAAGTAAGCATGTCCCCCCCACTGTCCCTGCTTCAGATGCCCTTGGCGGCACTGCAGTCCCCTAAATGGTCAAGAAATTAAAAAGCCGAGGCAAAACGAGCCTGCCTACACATCACAAGCATAAGCCATTTAAGAAGCGATGCCCTTTGCGCTGACCAGATCTTCGTAGCTGTGGCTTTCTTGAAATCCATGGGCCTGCCTCAGCCTATGCTCTCGGCTTCAAGAAGGCAGGTAGAGACACGCCAGCTAAATTTTGAGAATTCATTGGAGTGGAACATGTACTCTCGGCACGACAAGCCTGATGATGGTTCATTCGCTGATAGCAAAAATGCCTAAATATTGAATTTCTAGAGTGGCCGAGTTGTTGCTCCAGGAACATGTCGCCAATGTGCTCTGGTCTGACATGGGAAGGCGCAAAACCGACTCACTGTACTTATCCGCATGACTCTGGATTGCAAGCAGGACATCCAAGGGTTTGCTTGGCGCAATGTGCTAGAGCTTTCAAACCCTAAGAGTTACATGACAATATTAGAACAAGTAGGTATGGTCATGTGTGATTATCTCTTTTGGGAAACCATATCCTATTAAAGAAAAACATCGAGGATTTTTCCGTTTGTACACTACCCCAAGCCAGACTCCGTGGTATACTATGCCTCTCTATCATGCTTAAATCTCCGTAGATGCGACTCCGTTGTTATGATGAAACGCTAACGCTAAATGATGACTGACGACGTTCTTTGATGCCGAACTTAATCTGCTTGAGTCAAACCGTAACTCCAGCTCCAATGAGGTAATGTGGTGTGAACATGAAAAAAAGATAAAAAATCGAGAAATCCATGCATCCACGCGTAATGCATGTGGAAAGGAACCGGAGTATGCTGCCCAGGATCTCGTGACATGTTGACTGTCCATGGATTGTATTTTGAAGGTGGCCAGCCGACAACTCAGAATTTATTCCCTCTTTGACTGTTCTTGCAACCGTGGCCGCCAGCAACTTCGTTTTGCAGCATGATGTATCATCAAGGCGGCAACCAGTGACGGCCACTTGTGTGGCAAGCCAGATAGGAAACATTCAGCTATTGTGTGATCTTTTTCTGCGAAAGAATTCGAGGCAGAAAGAAGTGGTGTTTCTTCAATACAGCCCCTTCATGCGTGGCTATGACTTGATTCCCTGAGAGCCGCGTCATAATCGGAGGATGAGGATGTGGGGGTTGACCGACGGCTAGAGGCTTTGCGACTGAATCCCAATTTTTCGCCCACTTTTTTCCAACCTTTATTATGCGCGGCCATGGCACGTTGGAAGCCGCCTGGAGAAGAGTTGAACGTGTACTCTGAAGTCGGAGGAGTAGTCGGAGGAGTAATGGGTTCTGGCGCGGACGGTGAGTTGCTGTCACTATCATCGGTGAGGCTGTCAAAGTCTGCTGAATGAGGAGAAGCTACCGAGCGCTGGGTTTGGTCTGATTGACGGACAGCGTTTTGAGATCGGTGGCTGTGGTGGCCACTATCGTCATTTTGGCCAGTGAAATGAAGAGGGGCGACAGACTGCAAGAACGGAACCAATAGGGAGTCATTCATAAGCTCATAAATAATTCGACCGGCCTCTGCCAATTCTGCGGAATGCGGAGCAGCCGGACCGCTAGGCAGACTTAACAGACGATCTCTAACGCGGGCAGGAATATTCACTTCCCTGGGCGCACAGGGAACAATGTAGACTTCCATGAGTTTGTCCCACAAACCACAGACGCGCGCATTGCTTTCCAGCGACGGAGGGTTTTCTGCGGCAAGCTGGTCGTAGAAGGCTGCATATCGCTGAGAGTCAAGGGTGAACTCCAGGGTTTCCATACAATGGTTCTGTGAAAGATATGCCATGAAAGCACTCAGTGTCCAGGGGGGCGGGGAGGCATCAAGTAGAATCTCGGTCAAGGTTGGAGGTCTAGTTGCCATGTCGATGGATCGCGGCGATGGCGTAGGTGACATGAATATGCCGCCAAGGCAGCGGGAAGACGTATGACTGGAAGAGCAACAATTCCCGAAGGCGGACAAGGGCAAGGATATGTCGTCCTTTCGTGTCGGTATCGTGAGGTAAACTGGAGATGGCCGCCGTAACCTGGGTTTGACCATGTCTACTCAACGGTCGGACGAGAACGATTTAGCCTCCCCAGTAGCTGATGGCACACAAGAGGCAGTACCCCTGAGCGCGCAGGACGTTGAGACGAGCAAACGATATCGTCGTTTGACCAAGTGGGCGAAAGGCGTGACTGAGTGTCTGTAACGAAAAACGGGTTGAATCTACATCGGTGACACTTTGAGGACTGGCGCGGCTCAACGTGAAGCAGATGGCCGAGACGGCCGTGAGAAAAGCAGCAAAAGATGAAGCCGCCTAGGGCTGGGCATGCATCAGGTGCTGCTGCAGGACCGTGCGTGGACACACAAAATGTCGCCGGTGATGTTGACTCGGAAGTAAGGGAAGCACCCCTCTCGAAAAAAGTCTATTGGACGGCAGTTTGGGTAGGGACCAGGAAAGCGTGAGATATTCGATCTATGGTTTGAATGTCGTGGCGGGCGGAACTGCGGCAGGCAGACAACGAATGCGAATTCCAGACTACCATTCAGCAAAGGGTTGGCAGAGTGCAGACGACCGAGGCGAGGATGCGAGCTGGAAAGCCGCCGATAGACGATGGCAGAAGACGTTGATTTGGACGTCTGGCAACGCGCGGGAGATGATATGGACGAGGACAGACAAAGAGGAGGGCCGGGGGTTGCGAGCGGTATGTATACATGTATGTAGTATGGCAAAGTAAGTAGGTGGTGAGGAGTCGGTGGGGTATGGATGAGGATAGCAAGAGGGTGATGTTGATGGCGGATGGTTTAGTAGTGTTCTGTATATAAGCATGGATAGTAGCAGGACCACACAGATCCATGAGGAGCGGCGGCGGCGGCGGCGACGACGACGACGAACACGACGACGACGATGGCGGAGGAGGATCAGGAGCAGGGGAGGCATCAGTTGATAGCCTTTGGAAGAGGTAGGTGGGGTCACCGGTGGGGAGGGGACACCTGGAGTGCCAACCAAGCCCTTGCCTGCGGGTGGCACCAGCCCGCGCTAGGAACTAGGAAGCATTCAATGTTCGGGCAGGGAGGACTGGGGGCTGCTGTGCACATGGGGCCCGAGGGGGGCGCTTGCGAGCAAGTCTGGCTGGTGGTGTCTCCAGTTAACATGAGCCCGGTCGACCAAGGAAGGCATGAAGGGCATTGACAACAACTCCATACTGGACCCTCGATGCTGTCCGAACTAACCTGGAAGCCACCCAAAGACACCATTGGTCCCAGTAGCGCTGCTGCAGGCATTCACGCACAACTAACTGTTGCCTACCTGGCCACACATAGACAGGCTCCCGAGCCTCTTCGTCATGCACGCCACCCAAGTTGCAAGTCCAAGAATGGGCGACAAGGCCGGGGTGTGTGTAAAAAAAAAGAGAGAGAGAGAAGAGCGGGGGGCCTGAGACGCGAATATTTGTTTGCTAGGGGGTTTAAGGGGTTAAGCTTCCACGACGAGAACCGACTTCTACGTAAGTACATACGTACTTGGACCTTTCATCAAGCGTTGGAGTTTACACGGAGTACTCGGTACGAATCACAGAGAGGCACCTGCATGCAAGAGTTGCATCCCGCCACCTGAGAGCATGAGACGTAGTAGAATTTATGCATAGGGCCTTTTCCGGTCAACGGTAGAACTTGGCCGTCGCTGGTTCACTGACCTTCACGTGGCTCTTGGGTACTTAAGTAGGCGGACTCGGCGCACTTCTTAGGTCCCGCAGCATCAATCAAACCCTGTTGGCGGGTTTGGGCCTTGGTTTCGAACCTGCATTGCAACGCACTTCTGGAAGCAACTTGACAAAATTGGTGGCGCCCTCTGGCTACACCCTTCCAGACAATTGTGTCGCACCGATCTCCGAGTTTGATTGTCCACTGAGCAGCTCGACCTGGGGAGATACGAAGTACGGAGCAGACACTCCCAGTCGCCACGTGTGTAGTGCAGTGTCACACACAAGGTCGAGCAAGAATCAAGAGATCCAGTAGTAAGTACTAGCATGTTATGCAGCACTACTACTAGTGGCCTGCCTTGCTGGCCGAACAAGTATGGTCATACAAGTAAGCACTGAAGTACTCAAAGTAAAGTACTTAAGTACTAAGCTAAGTAAGTACTTAAGTACTGAAGGAAGAAGTAAGTAAGCTCCAACGTTCCACCTGCGAGCTGTGGTACTAGTACCCGGACGAGCGATACAGAAATACAGAAACGAGCAGCCAAGTACTTAAGTACTTAGGTACTCAGGTACTCCGTACTCAGTGGTGGAATCCGTGATTGGATCCCCCGCTTCCCCTGACGTTTGCCTGTTTCAACTGCTGCTCAAGAGATTTTTGCACCTCGCCGCGGCCCATGAGCATGCGCTAGAATGCCGCTAGAAGCCATTTCTGAATTGTACTTATAGGTGGCTGGGGACCCGGGTACTTGTCAGTGCTCTGTTTGTATGCGTTTGCCCGTGCCAAATGGCCACTGAGGAGGAAACAGAAAAGAGGGGAAGAGGGTGGGGCACGGAAGGGGGAAGAGGGGAAAGAGTGACGTTTTGGCTCCGTCAGCTCGATGATTGCTCGCATGCTATCCAGTCATGCGTCCAGCCTGGACACTTTATTAATATGGGGCAGCAGGCGCTCTGGACACCAACGAAAAGATGCACGGACCACATCGACCGTGACTCTTATTCCTATCCTTGGAATTTTTTTTTTCTATCCATCCTTGTTCATCCCAATCGAAATCGAATCGAATGATGACCGACGCCGATTTGGCATGGGGCCTCCGGTGCCAGGAAATACCAGCGTCCGCGCATAACCAATGTCTCCGGAAATATTAACCCTCTTACCCGCCCTTCTTTTGCTGCTGGAACCGGGTTGGCAAGGCCAATTGAATTAGTATGACGAGAAACTCGTATTAGCCTCGGGGAACGGAGTGATGATGGAAAATACTTCTCCGCCAATGAGTGCGAGCACCTTTGGACGAAAACCATGGTCTAGCGACTGACTGGTGATCTTTCCGAGCATGGTTCTTTTGCAACCCTGGCGTCACATCGCCACACCGCGTGGTTCGCGCTTAGTCGTTTTGGCAGTCTGCTGTGGCGAGAGGAACTCTGGCGACGTGCATAATCATGATTGACTGCCGACTTCTTCCAGCATAGGTACGGGAAACCTACCCTAGGTGTGCCACTCCTCTGTTGCCCGCACTGTCCAATTCCTAGATGGATGGTTTACTTACTTTGTCCAAGGACATACTGAGTGAGGTAGTCTAGTCAAGCCATTTATTGCAAATGTGCGGAGAAATCTGCATACTCCGTAGAGTTCGGTACTTTAGATATCTCTGTCCAAGCTTGCTCCACGCAATAGTGTCACAACACCACGACTTTTATATCCCCAGCTTTGGCGAAAATCATCTTGCATATGGGCACCAGCTTGGCTTCAATTTGGTACATGCAGAAACTACCACTAGTACCCTCGGGCTATGGGTAGCCAACCAGCCAGGTTGCCAGGCATTTCACTACTCACCTTCGTAGAGTGCTTGGCGAGATGATGCAGTGGAGATGGATCACGTACTCCGTACCCGAGTAGTTATATGGCACCCTGGTTCCATTGCCTGGCTGGTTCCTGAGGTCTGTCCGGATACTATGGTGCGTTTTAACTCGTATTCCAAGCAAGAGATAACTTTCAATTCCACCGCTTCCCACATTGTTCAAATACCAACCTGCCCCTTCCCCAAACGACGGACCGGCCGAGAGATGCATGTCGTAGAAGCGTCAGGTCCGGCGTGCGGCCGAGTGATTGTTTCCTGCCGCCCCTCGTTATTCGGAAGGTTGCTTGTTGCCGTGTGCGGAGTACCCAGTCGCGAGTGCCCCCCAAGCTACATCTCTTACTCGAGCCGCGGAATACAAGCCCCAGTCGTGGTGCAACACGAGAGTTGATCCTCTGGCTTTTCTGACGGAGATGGAGTCCAACGGTGGCCTCCGGCCGTTGCAGTAGACTAGCACCGCAGGTGTCGATCATCGGCCCAATGTCCGTCTACGAAACCAAGGGAAACATGAGAAGAACAAGAGGGCGTCGTGGGCATTTCGCTTCTCGGATAGCACAGCAGGCAGTCATCCGAGAAATGTCGTGTTGTGTGTGCGACTCGTGCTCATCTTCGCCCAGACGCCCCATGGCACCGGTACAATGGATCGGGGCTTTGTTTTCCAACCCGGGTCGGCGATGCCGCGGTGCAGTCCAAACAACGCCAAAACCCCCAAGGGCCCCAACCAGCTGATTTTCTAGAACCCTTCCCGCCTTGGCTGCGCCCCCCACCCCAACCAGGTGGGGGGGGGACCAGTTTGCCAAGTTTTGCCAGTTTTTTTTCCCCTTCCCAGGGGCAGAGACAAGGATCAGGGTGTTTTCAATCGTCGTTCAATTCCCACTCCGAACGGTCATGCCGACCCGGCAAGCGAAGATGGGCCGACAATGTACCGACTTGTCTAAACCGGCTAAACCGCCAAAGCGTTCCCCTCTTTTCAAGCCTCCGGGTGAGATGCGCCGAGCGTCTCGTGATACAACATGCTGATACGGTCGAATGAACGGACTAAAACCTACTAACGGAGCCAACACTCTCCTCTTCCCGTGTCGGCAAATTCCAATTTCTTGAGCAATACATCTATCTATATATCCATCATTCAAAGTAGCCATGCTGGCGCATGCTCGGACCGGACATGGCCCATTCATTCAACATTCGAATGCCGCCGCGCCTTGCGTTGTAATGGGTTGAATAACCACAAACCCAGGGTAGGGTGTTTGGCAAGGCCACTCAATTGCCAAATATCATTCTTATTATTTTTAGTAATACATACTCCGTATAAGTATGGGTGTTACTGAACTTGCCCCTATCATCGGTTCCTGGCCGATCCACGAGAAAATTTGGAGCGCCACAATTATTAACCCCCCCCCCCCAAACCACCCCCCAATATGCACTACGTACAAATCGTACTTCACTAATCACAGGTGTAAGGTAAGATATACGCGAATATCTCATGAGATCTCGTGGCATGCCGTACAACATCCAAGTATAAATTGGACATTTTTGACACGCAAGCTTCCCTTCCGTTTTGCTGTCTTGAAAAAGAAACTTTTATGCAATCTTATCCTCAATACGTCAACATTGCTACCCGCGCTACAAGGGGTGCTATGCATTCAAATGCATTTCGCGTCTTCTCTTATTTTAGCTTCTCCGGATTAGCTAATCACGGAAAAAAGCAAAAACAGGGAAAACGAAACCTCAGTCTTTGGTTGCTATTTATAATCCATCTAGTCCACTGACTACTCTTTCAGGGTACCGGGTATCTAATTATACAAAACTCCTCCCGAACACCATGCCATGCAAGTGGTCCCTAATGATACAAACAACAGAATCAATAAACCCGAAGGTCGAAGTCTCCCTTAAAGCCCCCATTCAAGAGCATACCGGCCAGCCTGAGACGTTGCTGCGGCATGTCCCTTGTAGCATAGCTGTCAATGGGGTTAAGGCCCAATGCAATGCACATCCCGTTGGTGACAGTGTGTACGCCGCAGTCGTACCCGTTGGTTTGTCTTGGAGCTTCGTGTTGTGCTACCTTCCACTCATCCTCCACAAAGGTTTCCTCTAGAATGTATTGGAGCCATTTTAGCACCAGATTAATGTATGTTGGAGATGAACCCCCTGGATTCAAGGAATCCATATGTGCTACGGTCCTTTTGCTTGGTCGAATAACAAGGAGTGTCCAGTGACTCCTCTCGCAGACGGGGAGAAGAATAGTGTCCACCTGGAGAAAATTTTTCTTTTCTACCCCATGGCGTCGAAGGGTTTTTTCTGATTTGTTGAATCCGTTCTCTCGCAAATATTTGAAAAAGAATGAGGACATAGCAAGACACTTGCGGGTGTTTTTCTTGATATCCTTGATGCCGGAAGCCGAATTAATACACTGGTCCAGCCAATTGAGACAGCCATTGACAATTTCATCATTCAGCCACTCAGTAGCCTTCACGACTGTGGCAAAGTCATGTCGCCTGAGATTAATGCCGTCTGCTGTTTTTGCAAGCGTAGTTTTGGGTGATTTGTGGAGTGTTCCCTGGGTCCGTTCAAGCCAGTGATCACTAAGGGGTGACACAAGAGGCTGCTTTGGAACGCGAAGACCACCAGTTTCGGCAAGTTTTTCTTCAAGTTCTCGTCGAGCGCGCTCCTCAGCATGCTTCCTCGCGTCTTCGGCTGCTTTTTGAGCGGCCTGCTTCTTCTTGATGGCAATGCCAGCTATGGCGTCGTCGCTAATGGCGAACAGTTCGGCAGATGGAGCTGACAACATTCGCTCAATCGCCAGCGAGGGATCAATCCCGTCGTCATTGGCGGGCAGCTGGGGCTTAGATCTTTTAGCCCCATGAAAAATTGAATTGACATGGCGATTGGTGTGCTGAGCTCGGAGATATTCCAGTTCATGTATGTCTAAGTTATCTGTAGAAGGTCCTGGCTGTCGAAGTTTTACGCCACTAATAAAACTGGGATCATTGGCGCGGTCAGAGTCGGGAAGCAGCCTGCGAACGTCTAGTCCCAGATGCGTTCGTTGTCGAGGTGTGATAGTGTCTTCGGTAAAACGCACAATTTTTGGAGCGCGGGTCATAGTGAGCCGTCTTGGCGCTTTGCGGTTCTTTAAAATTGATTTTACAGCTCCAATTTGGGCCGTTGCAAGTGGTTCTTTGGCGACGAAATCTGTGATGTAGGTCTTTTCGATCTCGCGGTGCTGGTCACTTGGTCCACAATAGATGGTCTGAAATTCCTCCGGTGTAAGGCGAGATATATTGGCCTCAAGAAATTCGGCTCTCAAGCGATCAGTCTTGGTCAACCCTTTTTTGGCAATGGGAGGACGTGGTGATTCAACGCGGGGAGGTAATGGCGAGTCTTCGGGCTTAGTCACCACGTCAAGATCTTGAGACTCATCGTTCATGTTAGGAAAAGCTCCCGGGAGAATTGGATAGACATAACCTGGGTCCAACCGCTGGGGAGGCGGAAAACACTCCAGGAGCCGACCGTGAAAGTGGTCAGAATGCACATAACTTGGAAGAACGATGTTGTGCTGGAATGCTGCCATGTCGAGAACCACTCGATCGATCATGTCGGTTGGCATGGGATAGTTCTCCAATTTGTGGTTCAATTTGAGAATAGTCTTCAACACAACAAAAAGGCTTGGGTCGGACAGAAACTTCTGGATTCGGGAAGCTGTTTCGAGGTTCTCCGGTGTTGGAGTGTCTGGCCAGACTGTTGGCACTCTAGGATACTTGTCCCTGATTTTGATGAATCTGCCGATTTCATAGACACTGTTCAAAAAAGTTATCATCGATCGGCATAAATAGAACCAGAAGCTCAAAAGATCTGTCCCATCATGGCCCAAGCTGAGCGCTCTGAGGTCATTGGCACTATTCGTCATGGCAGGCAACAGTGGTTTAAGGAGTTCGTTCATCTCTGCACGCGATGGTTGAGTGTACAGGATAGAGCCCGCTTCGTCAAAGCAATGGCGAAAGTGGCTATAACGGGAGAGGAGTAAGCGAAGGCCATCTCGATCCAACCATTCAAAGTCGAAGACGTGAGAAGTGAGTTTGACACGCTTCTTGGCGACATCGATACTGCGTGGATCTTGTATCTCAATATAGAAACGAGACTCAGACACTTCGTAAGCTTGATTGTATACTGGGTTCAGATGTCAGCCATGTACCAAGCCAACAGCAGGCAGGGGGAATGAAGTACGTACGAATTCGGCTGAATCTACCAGTCAGATCTGAAAAGCTGGAAAAGATATTCGTCATCATCCCGGAGATGATTTCTGGGAGAGGTTTGGTGTGGGACATGTACGCCTGTAGAGGGAGGAAATAAGTAAAACTTCAATGTGGGACATCTCGTGCGGCATAGTCACACCTCAACTTTTTCCTGGTACTCAAACTCGGATTCGGGAAGAATGCCTTCGCGAATAATTGCAATAGAGGATGGACTGTCGGATTGAGTCGAGATTTGCGTGGCAGCAACCAAATCAACCTCGGAGTATTGAGCGCGACGCTTGTTTGAACGGATTCCATTGATTTCAACAAATACCGTATCCGAGTTCTTAGGGAGGCGAAGCTCTTGTGGTGCAGGTCTCGGCTCTCGAGGTACCCGCTGTCTATGCAGAGAAGCCAATGCGAAACAGATATCTTCTTGTTGGTGATCGGACGGGTCAAGTCGAGGATAGACAGTATCGGCCAGAAATTTTTGCCTTAAAAAGAATCTTGGTTTTCGGTGCGCAGGTGGACGATTTGTGTCGGACTGCAGGCTCGATTCGGTCAGGTTCTGCTCAACTCGGGGGTAATGTCTCTTGAGCTTGGGGAACCGAGGCAACCAAGGACGTCTGCTATCACGCGGGCGGTTAGCGACAATTACTTTTCCTCCGAAGAACAAGTTTGCAGATAGAATGTCTGTTGATTGGACAATAGACGAAGAATCAGAATGTGCAGCGTCGTTCGCGGTACCGCCTATGGAGCCGTTGTCGACACGAGAGAAAAAAAATGACAAAAAAGGAAGTCTCGAGAGATAGTAGAGCCAGCCTTGCTGGGACTCAGACATCTTGTCTTCGATGATGGTGAATAGCAATCAAAAAAGTAAGGAGCATACAAGCAAAAGAGCAAAAGTAAAAGCAGCAGTGCCTACCGAAGCTGTGTCAAGTGATGATGCAAGAAAGAGACCACGCTCGACGACGAGGAGGGAAGTCGCGTTAAAGCATTGCCATGCGACGCGGAGGGGCTGTTGCGTCGTAAGCGCGTTGTTGTCAGAGTCGGTAATAGGTGTAGTGCGTCGACAAAAAGTCAAAAATGAAGCCAAAGGCGAGCTTCAAGCGAGAAATTCGAAGAAAGCGGCAAGTGTAAGCGAGGCGCTGGCGAGGCGCTGGCGAACCGCTGGCGTTGGGGGGCGCGGCTTCGCTGAGAAGGCTAGCGACTGCTAACTTGGAAGCTGTCTAAAGATGTGTTTTGGATCATGGAAGAATAATTGCTGGGCTGCGGTGCACTTTCGTTCGGCCCTGGAATAACTTCGGGGCAACTGTAGCCCCCCCCAACCCAATATTGGGCCACTCGCAGAGTGCCCTCCACCAATAAGGTTCCTCAGCTATCTTGGCCCTCTTAGAGCTCGATAAAATGGGGATTTTGTTATTGATTGATTTGATTTACAAAATCAACAGTTTGAAGCATCTGTACTCCGTAACATTTGACGCATTGAGCAGGACTCACTCCAACCCCCTACGCTCCCATCCTGACTTTTCGGATTTGACTGCATACTTAATTCTCGAATGATCAAATAGCTACTGTACATGGTCATGCTTAGAAAACCAAGCCCCGCCTCCCATGTTGTCAAAGTTGAAACGGTGTGACCAGCCTGCCTCAAACACCTGAACACAAAGGCTGATGTCCTCGGATCGCTTCGGTGTCTCAGCATAAAACAGGCAGCGACTAGATGAAATAATTCGGGTGTTGACAGTACCAGCATCCACGCATATATCGTTACGCACGATTCCTCGATCTGGCTCCTGTCTTCAACCGAAGAGCCGTTATATCGGCAGGAATGAGCTTCATGTGCTCATCATCAAGTCTGCACCCGCGCGTAGTGTCGTCGTCCGTCAAATGCTTGTGATGTTACCTATGCACACACACCTCCCCTGGCGCAATAGAACCATATTATCGATTTCTGCAACATCAACGGCATGTAATGCTACAGCTGAGGAGTATCTGCCACTAGATTTTTAGTGCAAAAAGCCGAGAAGTACTCGTTCAACGCGTTAACCGTCCCCGTTCCTTCTACGAGACTAACGATCACACCAACATAACCATCGGGACGAACCACCACCACTGCACCTCTTTGTTCATCCAGGCCCATCTTGGCATGTGCTGAAGCACCTGAAAAGGGTACCCTTCGATCCCATCGATCATCCGCATAAATGTGGTCCCGATAGCGTGCCAGAAGCCGCGGTACAACCTTGGAAATTTCAATATTCGATCGTTTGGTAGCGAATATCGTGCAGAGGGTGAAAAATAAGCTGTGCGGATTATGTTGTTCGTGGTGTGATACTGTGTCAACATCATTTCTGGCATAAGTGCCATAGAAAGAACGTTTCGCACCGAGCCCATTCGCGAGATCTTGCAATGCAGCTTGAGTAACGGCTGGATTTCCAGCAAAGATGAAGATACGGAATGAGCCATTGAGCGGCACCTCCTGCTCCAAGTGTACGACATTCGCATCCACCACTCTTGTAACGTCGGAATTGATGAATATGTGGCCCGTTCGAAGTTTCGTGCCCTCAGGTTGGATAAGGGTTGACTTGGCCGGATGGTCCATTGACCAATTGACCTGGTTGGGCCCATAGGCCACACCATATCCGCTAGTAAACTCACACGATTCCTTAAAAACTTTGACAAATTCGTCTTCCACTGTGTCGCCGCGGCCTGCAGGTCCGCCTTCAGTCGCCGCCTCTACTTCCTTGGCTGCGGGGGGGCGCTGGGAAAACAACTTTGCGTATCTGTTGTCAAAATCCAACAGGCTTTTTGCTACCCCTCTGCGCTCCGTCTCGTAAGTCTTGAGGAGGTCGCGGTGTGCAAGACCTCCTTCAACCACGTGTATCTTCCAGGCCAAGTTGAGGGCATCTAGGAAGGCGGTGTTCATGCCCTGGCCAGCCTTGGGCTACACAGATGCGGCCCGTGGGCCTCTGTTAGCACTCAGTCTTTTTCTAAGACAAACAATGCCGGTTCACTGTAGGGGAGAAGGGAATTGGGCTTACACTATGTGTGTGGCATGCATCACCACCCAGAAACACACGCTGATCTAAGCTGTACCTGTCCGATATTCCTTGTCCAATGGGGTACACCGAATACCACTCGACGCGCTCCCAGTCTATCTTATACGGGTGTAGAATTCTCTTTGCCGCCTCTTGAACCTGTTCTAGCTTAGCTGTCTTTCTTGGATTCCAATCCGGTTCATCTGACGAGGCGATTTGTATATAGAGTCGAACCATGTTGTCCTCTCGGGGGATGACCATGATAGAACCGTGTCGACTGTGAATAGTGCATTTCATCTGCAATCATCAGACCCGATTAGACAATCACAAACCGGATTTTGATCGGAGATATGCCCTGGCTCCATACCTTTATATCGGGGAAATCTGTATCGACAACGCCGTCCATAACTCCCCATACGTGCTGTATAGGATCAATGTGTTTCACTCTGATGTTTAGCAGCTGACGCACAAACGACTTCGACCCCTCGCCGCCGAAAAGGTATTTAGCCCTGACGGTCTCTGTTACTGTCCCGTCTACATGTTTCAACTCAACCCGCACGGGGTGCTCAGGATTTTTTTCCTCGTCAGACTCGAAGTTTGTAATGGTCCACGGCCGCTGTATCAGGACGCCGTTTCTTTCGAGATCATGGATGAAAACATTTTCAATATGTCCTTGGTGAATCAATGTGGTGAAAGGATAGCGGGCATCAATAAAGCTTGGGCAAGTCGCCCATGTTCCAGTCCGAACAATATCGTTCCCAGACTGATCTGGATTCCAGAAGGCCACTTCGTAAACCCGAGCCGGCTTGTGAGCCATGAGATCCGTTTTCAGTCGCATGTTACGAAGCAGGTCTAAGGATCTGGGCTGAATGCCATCAGCTCGTCCAGTTTTTGTTGGCCCTGGTCGGTTGTCAAGGTGCTTTACTCGATAACCCCATCTGGCCAAACACGTAGAGAGCATCAACCCTGCGGGGCCAGCTCCCACGACGACTGCAATTATTCGAGTTAGCGTTCGGCATCATTACAAACCACGAGGCAACTTGTGGATACAAATGCTGGCTCGGGGATAAGTTAGAAGTCATACCAATGTCGTAGAAATGGACAGGCCCTCCTTCCATGGCGGGCTCAGTCATGTTGGCTGACTGTAACTGGGAAGGAATAGTGCTTGCACAGGAAGGGATCGCTGTTGACATAATAGGAAAGGAAAAAGACGAGCGGCCTACAGGCGAGTCAATACAGTCGCAAAGTGAGAATTAGAAATTAGACCGGTGGTAGGAATACGAAGACTGTAGTGTTTTTCCCTGTAGGTGTGCAAAAACAGCTTTGTATGCACGCTGTCCGAATGGGAGATTCTTGCAGGCTGTCAGCATCAGCCGCAATACTTGCTATACCAGAGAAAGTGCAGCGATAGGATTCTAGAATTGGGTACGTCAGAACCAACAGACCGAGACGCACGAGGCATAGAGCTCTATTTATCGACGGCAAAGACATGTGGGTGCGCCGTGTTAAGGTGGTTCAATGCTGCAGCAGATGCGGGAGTACATGATTCTGGTCTGGAGTACATGTACTCGGCCAGGCAAAGCCGCAGTCCCAACTCGGAAAGCGCAGGCAAATATTTGGCCACGGCGGCAGTGGCACTCTGCCAAACAAGCCAACAATTCCATGGTTCCAAGTGCCTGCTTAGGTTCCTAGGCTAGCCACTTTGTACTCCGTACCTGGAGAGATAAGAAGGGTCAACGGTTCAAGTTGCCTCGCCACTTCCCCGAAACCACGGATCGGATGCACGTGCAGACACGGATTCTAGGCGCGGCGAGGGGCGAAAAGGCACTTGAGCACGGGAAGGAGTTGCCACAGCCAGGCGGCTCAAGTGCTGGGATGGACACAGTTCCAGTTGAGCCGGGTGGTTGCTCCGATCAACCAATGGCGGAGCGGCGGGGACGGATGCTGTAAATTAATGTGGTAGGCTAACTGTCCAGCCCCCACCTCCGTAAACTACTAGGTACCCAGGTACCTACTTAAGGTAAGTACTCAAGTACCTAGGGTAAGCAAGACCCGGGAACAAGAAGCGGGAGTCAATGTCGAACTCGCACGCGAATCACCTCGGGACTGAAGCAATAGACTAGACCTCACGGCCTATGAAACCAGAGAGTCTGTCCCGCCGGAGCCTCCACTTACAATGATGCGTGATGTCTGGATATTCTCCTGAGCATTATCACCTGTAGTGCAAAGTACTTAGACAAAGCCGTCCTTGCCCCGTCCTGACTTCGAATTGAACATGGTGAAGCAACGCCTACTGCCTTCAAGCAAACGAGCGGAACGGGGGAATCCGTTCGAGTGCATTGGTCATAAACTCAGTGTTCAGGCTCACAAAAAAAAAATCAACCAATAGTTAGTTATTATTTTTCCAAAAAAGAAATTGTACTCCTCTCACAGTACGTACTCTGTAAGGAGTAAGACGTTTTGGTCTCGGGATCTGACATCGGCAAGTCTGAGCAATGGAGAAGTGGAGGAAGTGGAGACTCGAGGCAGTTAAACCGTGGCTGACCGGACATTGTCATCTTGCCAACCGGCTTGGCTGCTACCCTAAAATATTCTTAGTAGTGTAACCGCATTAAATGGAGAAGTGACCCGAACCAGGCGTCTGCTAGTGACGATGCTTACATAATAGAAAAGATATGTGGTAGTTCCCAAGAACGATTCCCTAGCTTCATCTGAATATAAGCGACTTCTGTAGATAAATATCTGCTTCATTGAAGTATGTCCCTCTCTCGCTGCCAGCTGGCAGGGCCGCAGCGGCCAGCTGGCAGACTGACCGACTGATAACTGCGCTTCCCTGAATCAGGCTGGAAAAGAATGACAACATGCCGCGTCCGCTCGTGTCACTTCTTCACCGTCTGTTGAAGTTAACTTTGCAGGGTTTTATTCCGAGTATTCGATTACTCCTTGTTTGAGGTGACGAGTTTTGGCTCAATCAAGGCCAATCTACTACTCGTAGCTCTCAACACCCCGTCGTCAACACGCAAAACCGAGTACACCTACTGGTCTGGCATTTAACCTTGTTTCCCACATGTTCTGAGCATATGGACTCAAATGACTTCCCAGGATCCGGAACCGAATCGAGGCACTGCTGACCTCAGTGACAAGCCACCTCCACCGTCGCCCACGACACCAAAATGTTCATATGTAACAAAGTCTAGGGGCAGTTCGCCTGCGAAACGCCATGCCAGACAGCCGTTGACAATACGCGTCAACTTGACCGAACGACAGATGAACAAAGTGACCCAAGCGTAGGTTGTCTGCCTGTATCGAGTAGGATGCCATGCAAAACGCGTTGACTGACCAGATTTGCCCAAGCATAACCCATACGGTGGATAGAAGCCCTAGCAGAATGCAGAAGTCCACAATGCCAACGCCCCCGAGCTTCAAGAGGGACATTTTGAATACAAATGGAGGACAATATTATGCTGCTGACGGCTTTCCCACTATCTCCGAAACGGTACCAAACAGCCCGGGTAGGGTTGGTGGTACTGAAAGCTTGTCTCAGCGTCGGAATCATGTGGCTCTGTCTCCAATTAATACATTTGCGCAGGTGCAACAGTCCCAGATCCATCACTCCAAGCGAGAGCCGTTTTCTGGCTCAGATTTCTTGCCTGAGGGACAGTCTTCAGGGAGAACGCTGTCTGGAAATGGTGACGGTCCCGGACCTGGGAGTAATGGTTACATAGCTTCCGAGAAGACAGAGTATACAACATATACAACTGATCTTGAAACCCCGGGGCAACAGGTCAACAAAGCTATTCTCGACATGTATAAATCCTGGTCAAATATTTCAGGACCGGACTCCCGGCCAGAATACCCAAAAAGACACCAGAGCCTCATGAAAAGACCCAAACGATCTCAGAGTACATGTGCAGCTCCAGATTTGTGCAGGGCCCCATCGCCAGCCCCGGTTGAGGTCATCACAGGAGTGAGTCGACATGAGGTTCCACATAATTCCAACGGAATGATCGAGCCCAGTCCACAGTTCTCGCCACTTCCTCTTCACTTTCAAGGACAGAGCTCTTCTTCGACGAGGAGAGGTGAGAAGATCATGATTGGTCAAAATGGGTGGCTGGAGTGCACAAGCAAAGTCGATGACGATGAGAAGAAGCCGCAAGTAAAGAGACTAGGCCTTTTTCTGAACAGCATCAAGAAAATCGCAAAGGACGTGGTACGTATAGCAAGAAAAGGTGTGTGCATAACGGCATGGATCAACTGACAGCGGGGGGATTAGACGGCAGAGCTAAACGCGTCGCATAGACGACCCAACCTCTCATCGCCAGACTTGATGAACTCAGCTCAGGTCACGATATCCTTGGATGCTCGAGAGCAAAGCTTGTTATACTGCGAATTAGAGTTCCACTTGACCTCTGCCTTGAATGATTATATCACCGCGGAATTTGAAAAGGGGCATTTGCTGCCCGACAATCTCAAAAAGACGTCAGACGCTTGGTCTCAGCAAGGTCATCCAAGGGTAATTAGCTTTCGTTACGATTTGGAGACCCAGTTAGAGCTGGTAGCCTTACATCTCGACGAATTCAACTTTTACGGCCGACGGCAAAACAACCCGGCGGAGATACTAGGACTTCTTCACTCGATGAAGGTGAATGCTCGTGCAATGCGAGTTCGCACCTTCTGCCAACCAGACTCGGTCATTGCCAAACAGCTAATTGATTCACAATCTTTGTTTAACATGTTGAGCGTTTCTGACTCTCAACAGCTCGCCCTGGCCGAAATTGGTCGGTTCTTCAGAATGATCGTCGACAGGGAACGTGCAAACCATGAACCGGTAGGAAGACACACCAAGTCAGCCATCAATGGAAAACCCGAAGGCTTTGGTTGGCAAAGTAGCCTTCAAGAAGACTTGTGACGGTGAAGCCAACAGATGGAGCTGAACCATGTCCTAGCTACATTAAGTACAAGGCTTCTCCGTGCTTCGACGCGTCCTTGTAACTACGTAGTGCAAAGTTGGAGAAGATACACGAATATTAAAGTTTGGTGGGGATTGGCCGCAATCTTTTCGTCCTTCTTCTTCGTTTTTGCATGGAATCATTGACGCATCGACGGCATCTTTGCATACAATCTTAGAAGAGAAACAAAATGTCTGTGGAGGACAATGGTTACAGGCAGCCCAACTTTGTCAAGACGTGTAACTCGGTACATGACCGCAGACGGGCGTGTGTTTGGATGATAATATACTAAATTACTGAAGTTGTGTTTCGTGAATTGATAAACTAGTAAAACTGGGTTTCGAAGGCAAAACATCACTTCCAGAGACACTGGACAGTACGATGTGCATCCCTTTGATCATGATGGACTTTCTCTGAGCCAGATGGTGCAATTGGAGTAGGAGCCACTGGGGCAAGCCACAGCGTCGTATGAAATTTGGATCCCTTGGGGTATGGAAGAAAATTCGCATTGAAACTACCCATATTCGAAGACGTGGGCTTTATATTGCAGGTATGGTGAGAAGATAGATACTGTCTAGTCTCGGAGGTGATGTAACTGTGATTTGTTAAGGCGATGCGATCTTGAGTCATGATTATCGAGTTGTCGGTCTCTGGTTTATAGCTAGTCGTAGTCATGAATGTCATAAACATATCCCTTGCTATTGCGGTGACTCAAGGGTCGTCGTCTGCCTGTATCGCAAGGGCGTAAGTTCTCTTCTCGGCCGCACCGTTCCTCCCACGTTAATTGCTGACGCCTGTTTCTTTGTCTCGCATCTTCCAGTCTATGGGTAACGGCGTTTGCGCCGAGGGCACCAGCTACAGCGCCGAGAACAGTAGACGCTATACTGGGTATAGCCTCAGAGCTGTGACGACGTGGGCGGCCAGTTTTCTTTTGGTTGTGGCGAAATGCTGCTTCCGAGGCCTGTTTGGCGACAAGTCCACCAATGACAGCTCCAACAATACCGGCTCCGATTCCGGCACGTGTGCCGGAGAAATTGCTTTGGATCAAACCGCGAGTTTGATCCCTCGAATCAGGGCTGCATTCACTGTCGCGGGACACATTGGGATAAGAGCGAGCAGGCGATCTACTTCTATCTGAGCGGGAGGAGGATCTAGAAGACGACATGGATGGAGACCTGTGGTAGCCAACGACGGCAGACGTCGGAGGCGGCACCGAATGAGAACGAGATTCAACTTCCATGGGCATTCCGAGGGCGGCGGCGCTCTCACGGTAGTAGGATTCATTTAAGCCTCGAGGCGTATTCTCTTGGCCAGATACCTTAAATATGCCACTCCGGCCAGACTGGTATTCCGGGGGGAAGTGGCCATCATGACGTTCTGACAAACGACTCGAGTCGGCCGGAGTTACTCGGTGGTCAGACATGACGATGGCCATACGATTGTTGCAGAAGGACGGAGTGGCTTTCGGCGAGGGCAAGCCGAGAAGAATTGAAAATAGCAGCAGCAAATAAGCCCAGAAGTGATTGTCTCAGGCCGACAATCCTCGTTTTGGAAAAACGAAGAGGAGGAAGAAGAAGGGGAGGAGGAGGAGAAAGAGAAGAAGCTGTCCAATGACTCGGAGAGAATGAACCTGGGGATTCCTTTTTATTACTTCATCGTCCATTCATGGCACTCACTGCGTCAACACAGATTTCTCCGTCCATCTGAGGGGCGTATCCGTCGGGAGGCTGTGGTATGCTGGTCCGTAAGCTCAGCCCGAACATTGAATTGGACATGGCGAAGAGCTGGGAGAAGGGCGGAAGAAGCTAGTGGAAAGCGGCAGGCAGCTGACATGAAGGTAACACAGGCCAACCACGGACGAAGATCTAGACAGGCGTCGTCCAGGGGACCAGACCTAAAAACAAGACTTGACCAGACTTGACAGATTATTATTCATGGTGGTAGTCACCGGTCAAAAGGGTATGCACTGTGCGCCAAGAAGGTTGGGGTTGAGTGCCCAGGTGAGGGAGAATTGCCGGTGCAAGAACTGCAGCCTCGTGACATAAACTTAGTGCTTCCTGCCAGCGGTCACAGTCATGGGCACGTGCGGTGCCAGAGGTACCCAGGTACCGCACCAACTGTCCAAGTGATCGTCGTCATTTGAGACGTGGACGTGTGCACGTCACCTTTGAACATTGCAGCTCCCGCACAACCTCTGCCGTTATCGGGGGCAACTTGCAGGTAGTCCAGATATCTGTCTGGTCGGAGTGGGAGCCCATGGCCCTCAATCTCGAGTCCCTCAACTTTCAAGCATGCAACATGTGTGGCGGCTCCCAGTTGCAACTTGCTTTCCGACATGGTTGTCCTGCGCCTAGGCGGAATGCGTCCGTTGATCGCTCCGATCAGATCCAATAACCCTAATTCTTTCCGTCTCAATCATCCAGCAACTGCATCGTCGCATCGCTCAAGGTGAAACGACCGCCCAGGCTTTGTGCTCTTCTTGTGTGCCTTTGCAATAGCTGCCATGTCGCTATGGCGAGGAGTCAAATATCTGCATCTGCACCACCTAGTTGGACGCGTCTCTGTGACAATGGCCAAGACGACCTGTTGCACGACGACGACGTGCCGACCGCCAGTCTCTTGCGAAACGCGGAAGATGAAGTTGACGTAGCTGATGATGGTCAAGATGATGCAGACTGCCGCCAAGGTGCTACCAGCTCACGTCGTGAACAATGGAATAGCCCACGAATCAACATGTATCGATATTGCGGTGTGAACTTGTCGTTCTTCGTCATGGGCATGCATGACGGCTGTATCGGCGTACGTACCAGACCTGGTGTCCAGCTCGTTTGATTACATCCATCTTAGCTTGAAGAATTGTTGATTTGCTGATACGCGTCGACTTTTTTTTTGGCAAAACCACCAGGCTCTGCTTCCATATGTGAGTTGACGTCGTGTGCGGATTGTCAAACAGTCTGCTTCTTATATATGATACGCCGTGAATGAAGGAGACTGATGTTCATCAGGTCGAAAACTACTATGATATCAACCACACCACTGTATCAACAATTTTCATACTGCCGTTCCTGGGATATGTTACCGCAGCACTGTCGAATGATTGGGTTCACTATCAAGTTGGTCAGCGAGGCATCGCATTCCTAGGACCGCTCTTCCGCCTCATCGGATATGTCTCAATCGTTTTTTGCCCACCATTCCCTCTTCTTCCCATACTTTTCATGTTCACTGGATTCGGAAGCGGCATCGAAGACAGCGCATACAATGCGTGGGTCGGCAACATGCACCAAACCAATGAGTTGTTGGGCATCATTCATGGGACGTTTGGCCTTGGCGCAACCGTGTCACCTATTATCTCGTCGACTATGGTGGCCAAGCTAAAAATGCCCTGGTACTCCTTCTACTACATCTTCATCTTGGTCGTGTGTGTTGAGCTTGCCTTTGGACTGTGGGCTTTTTGGGGCGCCACTGGAGCAGCACATCGCGAGCGGCTCCGCCAAGGGGGCTCTGATGAGGGAGCGAGGACCGCCACAGTCCTACGGGAGCCCGTCACATGGCTCGTTGCCATCTTTCTACTACTGTATGCTGGTGTAGAGGTTAGTCTAGGGGGCTGGATTCCAACTTTCATGATGGAAGAGAGACACGCTGATGGTCTTCTGGCCGGCGTCACTGCCACTCTCTTCTGGCTTGGCTTGTCCCTTGGCCGAATCATTCTGGGTTTCGTCACGGGCCGCGTCGGAGAGAGGTTCGCCATTACTGCATATCTAGTGTTATGCGTTGCTTTCCAACTAGCGTATTGGTTGATTCCCACCACAGTCGGCGCCATATCATTCGTATCGCTTTTGGGTTTCTTCCTCGGGCCGCTCTTCCCGGCCGCCATTGTCGTTTTAACCCAAATACTTCCTGCAGAGTATCATGTCAGTGCCATTGGATTCTCATCTGCCGTTGGAGGTGGTGGCGCCGCCGTCTTGCCATTTGCTGTGGGTGCCATCGCACAAGGTCACGGCGTCGGAGTACTGCAGCCTATCATTCTGGCAGTATTGATTTTGCTCATAGGGATCTGGACTTGTCTGCGGTGGAGAGCACGAGGGAGGACTGGTGCCAGTTTGGAAGGATGACGAGAAGATGACAAGTCGCCTTTTGCTGCGAATGTGAAGACTGATGCAGAGTACGCAGACTTGAATCCGCGTGGCTTATTACATACATGTACAGGACCGAGGTCAGCCATCGTGTTGAAAAGGGCCATGAAGGAATCCTACGAGGCTCCGAGTAGATGATGGTGTAGTTAAATATATGCCATGCAAATCATTTAGTAATTATACATTTGTTCCTCCTCACAATGTTCCCGCAGTCCCCCCACTTCCCCCCACCTCTCCTCCTCGTTCATATCTTATCAGCGCCCCAAAACATTCGGAGCTGCACATTCACGGCCGCCGCATTTGCGCCTCATTCCACACCATCTCTGCGATTACAGGGCCATCCCCGTAATTCCGACCATTAGAGTCAAATGCCAAGGGGAAGCTCTGGGTTCCTCTCTGTCGCCAATCGGCCCTGAACGACCCTTCAACTGCTCAAAGTCGTGCGCATGAGAATGCCCTCCGCAGCGTCCCGTTGCTTGTCTACGACGGCAACCATTTCGCCAATCCAACCACTCCAGCCCGATCTCCATGAACGAGCGTGGGCATCAATACCGCACCCGAACCTCCCTCTAATTGCAACCGCCCACGCAAAATCCGTCACTGTTTTCTCTCTGTCCACGCTCTCGTGCCATAGCAACCTGACCGGCGGCCATACCCGATCCGTTCGATCCGTGGCCTGGAAGCCTGGCCTACCGTCTCACAATCTATGCCTCGTGTCCGGAAGCTTTGATGCCACGGCCGGGCTATGGCGCTGGGAAGGCGACGCTACGGCCGCGGCCTCGAACGGAGCAGCTCCGGACGGGAACGAAGTAGAAATCACTGCGTCGGGCAGAAAAGTGAGAAGCCAAGACGGCGAGGAAAGTAGCCGCGTTGATGATAGGGACTGGGAGTTCACGCTCGTCCTGGAAGGTCACGACTCGGAGATAAAGGGCTGTGCGTTCGCACCCTCCGGTGCTTACCTTGCCACGTGCTCGCGCGACAAGTCCGTATGGATATGGGAGGACATTGGCGCGTCCGAAACAGACGACGAGTGGGAAACCATTGCCGTGCTCAATGAGCACGAGGGGGACGTCAAGGCCGTGGCTTGGTGTCCAGATGTTCCGGGGAGAAATTCCCGCCGCCAGTACAGCTCCGACGTCCTGGCCAGCGCCAGCTACGACAACACCGTCCGTATCTGGCGCGAGGACGGCGACGGCGAATGGGTTTGTGTCGCCGTTCTCGAGGGACACCAAGGGACCGTCTGGGGTGTGGAGTGGGAGCCTCGCCCAAAGGACGGTCGCTTCCCGCGCTTGCTCAGCTGCTCTGCCGATGGGACGGTGCGCCTGTGGACGCTCGAGGAGGAACCAGACGAAGATAACGACGGATTCGGCACTGGCAGTCGAAGTTCTCTTGGGGGCATTCCCAACACCATGAGGAGGTCTCCCAGGGAGGAATGGACATGTACTGCTGTCTTACCCACGGCTCACGATCGAGACGTATACTCGGTCTCCTGGAGCAAGGATTCCGGCATGGTTGCCAGCACAGGGAGGGACGGCAAGGTTGCCCTTTATAAAGAAGTTGACAGCCCGCCTCCATCTTTGGCAGTCTTTGAGGGGCAGAATGATTTCCAGCGTTCAATGGTTACACCAATACCGACGGCATGGGAGCTGCTGACTACAATGCCCAATTCCCATGGGCCATTTGAGGTCAATCATATAACCTGGTGTCGGCGTTATGATGCCGGGTCTGAGAAACGAGGAGACGAGGAGATGCTGGTAACTACTGGTGACGATGGGATAGTCCGCTCGTGGCAAGTACAGGTTGATGATGCACCGGAGGCGGGAGGTTTGGAACAACATGTATGAGTGGAGATAGAGCATGTCGGACAAATAAACAGAACAACACCTGGCAATAAAAGTTGACCACAATCGCGAGCTCATGAGGCTTCAAGTAACCAAACAAAACAAACACGTGCTATCTTCTACCGTACCGAAGCCACGCTATGGAAACAATGGTACAGCTACTACTATAAGTAGTTGCCCCCAGAGGGTGTTTTTATGATACAGTTACTACACAAAGGGAGCCTACCTTTGAGCCATCGTGCATGCACTAAAGGCATGACTCCATGGCTAAACCTTCCGCGATGACACTGTCGCACTGTCGCACTTCCCCACGAACCCCCTCCGATTATTCTAATAATATTTCCGACCTTTACTCGCCCTTCAGCTTGTCCTGCTTCACGCTGAAAGCCATTTCCAACAAATCCCCTTCTTCTTTCTTGTGTAAATGTTTCGCGCCAGTGGCAACAGACGCACTCGGGTTACGACCAGCATACATGACATGTTTTCGGTCGTGGTATTTAGTTTGGTTGAGAAGAGTCTCGATACGAGGTTGGGTGAAGCTCCAAGCACCAGCGTTGAGAGGCTCCTCCTGAGCCCAGACAATGGTTTTGGCGTTAGGGTACATGTCGAGGTTTTCTTTCAGCTGCTGCCAAGGGAATGGGTTCAACTGCTCAATGCGGGTGAACGCCACGTTGTCAATATTGTTGTCGGCCCGGTACTTATGTAGGGCAGCCCAGACCTGACCAGTACACAAAATGACACGGTCAATATCTTCGGGGGCCTTGATTGCACCAGTTTGATGTTCCGAATCAGGGATGATCCATTGGAAGCCAGCATTCTTGCCGCTGAAGTCCTCAATATCAGAGCGAGCGAGCGGGTGGCGGAGCAAAGACTTGGAAAAGAATATCACGAGAGCTGACACAAGTTAGAGGTCATCTTTGATGGAATTGTACTGAACTGGGTGGCCGGGAAGATGACTTACGCTTTCGGAACTGTCGGTGCATCTGTCGGCGAAGAACATGGAACAGGTTAGCAGGGGTTGTCATGTAGGCAATCTGCATATTGCAGTCTTGGTGCTGTCTCGCAAGCTTCTCCTCGGTTGGAAAAATGCGAGGATCCTCGTTACACAGCTGGAGATAACGTTCCAGACGACCAGACGAGTGCTCGGGACCTTGGCCATCGTACCCGTGGGGGAGTGACATAACAAGACCAGTTCGCTGCATCCATTTGACTTCTCCAGAGGCAATGAACTGGTCGATAATACACTGAGCGTTGTTGGCAAAGTCACCAAACTGAGCTTCCCACATAACCAAGGCATTGGGTGACTGCAAAGAATAGCCGTACTCGAACCCAAGAGCACCAAATTCACTCAAGGAGGAGTTGGAGATGACAAATTTTCCCTGGTCTTTGCTGATATGTTGCAACGGGGTGTATGTCTTTTCGTTCTCTTGGTCGTGGAACACGGCATGACGCTGGGAGAATGTGCCTCGTTCAACGTCTTGACCAGAAACGCGAACGTGGTATCCTTCAGTGACCAAAGTGCCAAACGCTAGAGCCTCCGCTGTGGGGAAATCAATGTTTTTACCTTCAACGACAGACTTGCTCCGGTTGGCAAGAATGCGCTTCAAGTTACGATGGATATGGAAACCTTCAGGGGCAGAGCCAATGACCTCACCGACGTGATCTAAAGTCTTCCTGTCCACGCCAGTAGCGTGGTGGGGGAGGACCTCAGTGGCCAGCTCCTTGGGGGACTTGAAACCATTCCAAGCAGAAGTAGTCCACTCTTTGGAGGTGGGAGTGTAGTCCCTGGACTTGTCGAAGCTCTCTTCAAGCATACCCCAAACCCATTGCTTGTGCTCTTCGATGTCTTCCTTGGTGAAAGTGCCCTCGCGCAGAAGTTTGTTGACGTAGACATCAATCTGGGGCTCCTTCTGCTGAATTCTCTTGTACATAAGGGGCTGGGTGAACGACGGCTGATCCGTTTCGTTGTGGCCATACTTTCGGTAGCAGATTAAGTCAATGACAACATCGTGCTGGAACTCAGCACGCCAGTCAGCAGCCAGCTGGCAAACGAAATTGACAGCTTCGACGTCATCCGCATTGACGTGGAAGACGGGCGCATCGATAGCCTTGGCGATGTCTGTGCAGTAGGCTGTAGAGCGGGCAAATCGAGGGTCAGTTGTAAAGCCAATTTGGTTGTTGACGACCAGGTGGATCGTGCCGCCAGTGGAGAAGGCAGGTAGAGAGTGGAAGCCCAAACATTCGTAAACAATACCCTGGGCAGCGAAGGCAGCATCGCCGTGCAGGAGAACACCCATGGCGGTTCTGTGTGTCTTCTCATCATTGTTGTAGTGCTGGATGGCCCGAGTCTTGCCCAGGACAACAGGGTCTTCCGCTTCCAGGTGAGAAGGGTTTGCGACCAGGGAGAGCTGAACGCGTTTACCCGACGGAGTGGGACGCTCAAAGTTCATTCCCAAGTGGTATTTGACATCGCCCGAACCCTCGTCCTCAGCACCAAGGGTACCGGCAAATTCCGAAAAGATGGACTCGTTCGGTTTGCGCACGACGTTGCTCAGAACGTTGAGGCGACCACGGTGTGGCATACCAATAACAATGTCCTTGACACCATAATCAACACTGCGGTCAATTAAAGCTTTCATACCGGGGACAAGGGTCTCGCAGCCCTCGAGACCGAAGCGCTTATCATTGGGATACTTGGTAGCCAGGAAAGACTCGAAGCTGGAACTCCAGATGAGTCGATCAAGAACGCGACGCTTCTCGTCAATGGAGTATTTGAACGGCTGGGGGACTTCGAGACGCTCACGCAGCCAATCGCACTTCTCGCGATCGGGAATGTGAATGAACTCGACACCCCAGGATCCGGCGTAGATCCTCTCACAGGCAGCTACGATTTCTCGTAGCGTCATCTTATCCCGACCTTCGCGTTTGAACCGAGGCAGGATGCCGGGTCCCAGTGTGTACTCGGTGTCAAGGTCGGCTTCGGTGAATCCATAATGTTCAAGGGTAAGCTCCTTGGGCTTGATGTTACCGAAGCCCTCGGCAGTGTTCCTGATGCCCAGTGGATCAATGTTGGCCTTGTGATGACCACGAGCCTGATAGGCGCGGACGAGCAGCTGAACTTTTAAATGGTTGGTAACGTCAGAGCCGTCCTCAAGTGCCAGATTGCCGGCAAGACGAGGCACGCCACCAGTCATGTTGGGAACCAAGTTCGGAGGCGGCTGAAAAGCCTGGGAGATGGGCATGTCGCCACTCTCCATGTTCTTGAAATAGACCTGCCAGGACACATGAACACTCTTGGGATCTTGTTTCCACTGCATGTACATCTCATCAATGTAATTGGCAGCGCCTCCGGATAGAAAGTTGTCGCTCGGGTCCGGCGGCGAGTGGAGGGCATCAGTCGCGTAGGACCTCGCGGCCGACGGAGCCAGCGGACGGCCGACGGCGGCGAGCTTCCATGGTGACGTTCGAGCAGAGACTGTGGGGATGGGACTTCTTGACAGAGCTGCGGAGTATCGGGCGCCGCGCAGCAACGGCGAACTCGCTCTGCAGAGCGGATTCCTCAGCATGGTGAGGGTTGATAACGAGGAGACGAGAGACAACGGATGCGGAGCGGAGGGATGAGGTCAACACTCAATCGAACGACGCATTCCCCAATCTATTAATTGCAAACTGGATCAGAAAAGAATGGCGGGTCGAGATGAATGCAGACGGAAGCAACGGAACTGACGAGTATCGGAAACTTGAGGTTGAGGCAATAGATGCAAGGCAGAGAGACCGTGGTTGCAAGCTGGGAAATCTGCCTAAGTCATCTTTAGTTATAGACAAAAAACCTGCTGTTAATTTCGGCGGCCCAACAGCGGCTGGTTTCCGGGGTGGCGGCAACCAGACTGAAGCGCTGGGAGGTGGAGGTCAGGGCAGTGGCACAGGCGGGTCACAGGGGCATCGCCAACCACTCAAAGCGCTGCTAATCCCCTTGAGCGCTCCAGGCGGCCCATCCAGGCCCTCCATCCTTCATGCGCTCTAGAATCCGGCCACCCAGCAGTGCTCGCCGCAGCGCTTGCGGCGTGCGTGACTCCGCGTGGACCCCGATGCGTGAGAGGTCCTGAGACGGTGTTTGTCGCAGCAGGCGCGGCACTGTCGCCCGGCTGTCTCTCCTCCGCGACGATTACAGTGTGATACACGGCGCCTCACACCGTACGGATTGGGTAGGGGGAGTCCCCAAGACTCTTTGCCGACGCCACAGTTTCCCTCCTCGGACAAGCCACACAGCCTGACAGAGTGTCACCACATATTAATATAATAACCCCACGGCCACCTTGCATGTCAGCTACGCACCAACCAGCCTGGCCGGTCCTGGTCTCACTCACAAAGCGCCCTCATCGCAGCCCTTTGTCGGCACCGCAGACCATCCCTCAGGTGCACCCCCAAAGATTGGTGCGCGTCGACCCGTCTTTTCACACGACTTGGGGTGGGTGAATTCTTTCTCAGCAACACCTACGGAGCCTCACGCTACACGCATGGCACCTTCGACAGCATTTCAGCACGGGAGCTGTGGACGATGCTCCCATAACCACAGTGACGAGAATAAACGAGCCGCAGACAAGACGTCCCACACAGCCGTTGCGTGCTAGAATCAGCCATGGCCGCCCCGGCAGGTCGCACTTTGTTTAAGAAGAAGGATGGGATCCTCACCTTGACCAGGGACTACCAAATTGTCACATGGACTCCAAATAGTGGTGGGCCACCAACGATTTCTTTACCAGTGTCTAACATCACGAGTAAGAAAAGATTCCCATGTCGTCATTTCGAATTTGTTCGTGCTTTCTAACGCCCTCTATCCCAGATCTTCAGCAGACCCCAGAAACGGCTGCCAAGGTTATGTTAAAAATATTTGAAAAGGCAGACAACGGAGGTGACCCTGCAACATACCTTTTCCACTTCAATACATCAGAGGCAAAGGCCGAGGCAAAGGCCGTCAAAGATGTCCTGTCCAAGATTCTGGCCGACATGAGGAGCAACGATGCCGGCGTTCCTCGTCCATGTCTCGGCACGCCTACGGCCGGAGGTGTCTCTACTCCTGCCGGCGCTGGCAGCGGGTCAGCGGCCATGGCATTTGCAACCGCAGTAAACTCCCAGGCGTCGTCATCAGTGAGGTGGTTCGATGACAATCAGCTGAAGAATGACATAGAGCTGCAACAGTCGCTGATGAAGAAAGATAAAAGTCTTCACCAAACGTACGTTGAGGCCATAACCACGAAACCAGAATCGATATCTGGTGCCGCGTTTAACTCACAATTTTGGTCTACGCGTACGAATTTACTCAGAGCCCATGCTATTGAAATAAATCAGAAAAGGGGGGCTTATAATGTCCTGTCGACAGTCAAGCCACGCACCGTCGACGGAGAGCTCAAGCTCAACATTAGCGTCGAGCAAGTTCAAATGATATTTGCGCAGCATCCACTAGTTAAACGCATCTATAACGAAAACGTCCCAAAGCTTTCAGAAGCTGATTTTTGGTCCCGATTTTTCCTTAGCCGTTTGTCAAAGAAGCTCAGAGGGGAGCGGATAACCGACAGTGATTCTCAAGATCCCCTCTTCGACAAGTATGATGTCACTGAAAATACCCAAGGCGTTCAAAGCAAAATCATGGCTCAAAGTGTCCCTCATATTATCGATCTAGAAGGGAACGAGGAAAACCAGGGAGGGATCAGAAGTGGAAACGCCAAAGATGCTGAGATGAGGCCCAGGGCAAACATACCTATCGTGAAGACTTTGAACACTCTTAGCGAGAAGATTATGGCCAACGTCGCGCCGTTTGATGTGTATGATGACAATGGTGACAGGGAGCGGGATGAGTTCAACGAGCTGGCACTTCGAGACTTGCGTGCCAGTACTGCCGAGCACCGCATCATGCTCAACGTGAAGGAGCAAAATAGTTTTTTCCAAAAACAAGACTCCGCACCGTCAGAGAATGCTCGTGTGTTTGCGACACAAAAACCAAAGGAGGTTTTGTCCAGGATTCGGAATACACTGCAAAAATTCGAAGCAGAGTCTAGCGAAGGCGCCAGCTTGCGGGCTGCCATTTCGTTCGAAGACGAAAGCGACAGTGACGAGGAGGGCCAGAAACATATGCAAGTCGGATCCAGAGCTGCCATCAAAGTTGCCGAAAAGGAGGTGATGGATGGCGTTCTTCAACAGCGGGCGCAAAAGTATGGCCACAGCACGGACGCAACGTCTCCCATGGGTCTTCCCCCTGCCATCACAGAAAAATGCACCCTCACGCACGCTACAACGCTCGAGTTTCTTCATCAATTCTGGACTGCGTTTCTCTCAGGGGACCCAGATCGTGCAGCTGAGCTGCAATATCTAGCGGAATCTCTGAAACTATCAGCGGCCCGCATTTCCGCTGTTGCGGAGGACGCTGACAAGGAACGAGAGAGCCTCATCCGCCAGCGTAAACAAGAGATTCGTAATCATTTTGAACGTACGGGGAAGAAAATCAGATGGAAATCTGACATGGTTGGCGGTGGGCGCGACGCCGTTCTCAAACTATTGCAGCCGGTGCTCGATGCTCTGGACAAGGCACGAGCTGAATACTCGAGAGCTCTTGCAGCTGAGGGAATTCAAGTATCTACCGAGAGCTAAATGCGACTCTCGTATTTACAAACCAGACTGCGCAGGAATATAACTGGTTGGTTGGAGCATATGACAGCAGAATGTCTGTGCCGCGGATGTACATTCATGTATATCCAAGTCGTGTGCGGTGTTTTGTTTTGAGAACTGACGACACCGTGGCCATATCAGAACAAGATTATGCTCTGACTGTAGTATTTGTAAATCGTCAAACTGCATTTGCCAACCGGCCCGATGTGGCATCCTTGTGCGAGGTCTATCGAAATCCAATGCCAGTCAAATGCAAGACTCCACCAGCTAATGTACAAACCACAGATCTTGTTATGACATGCTCAGAGCGCCATGGGGCCCAACTTGGCCGCAGAAAAGTTCGGCCAGCCGCTTGCAAGCTGCAAAAACATGCCGAAATCACTCCACGGAGATTGGAGAACGGATTCTCGCCTCGCCTCCGTTAGCATAGCCCTTGTTGTCAAGGACCCCGAATCCCATGGACGCCTTCTTTTTCTGCCTTCGTCCATTTCCATACTCATCATCAAACCGGCGTATCAGCTTCAGCGATGTCATATCCTCGCTGATGCTTGCAGGTATTTGCTTCACGGCATTTTCAAAATGAACATGGCGCAAGACACGGCGCTCCGAGTATTGGTATGGCTCAGGGCCTTCGTGTTTGGCGGCCGCCTCGTTCTCCTCCTCTACTGCGGCCATGGCAGCTGCGACACAAACGTTCTTTAGGTCGGAACCTGAGTAGTATGCAGTTTTCTGCGCCAGATCGTCTAGTGAGACGGAACTGTCCAATGACTCGTCTCTCAGGAGCAGACGCAAGATGGCTGCGCGGTCCGCTTTCAGCGGCAGATCCATGAGGATCTTGCGAGGCAACCTCCGGAGCACAGCGTCGTCAAGATCAAAGGGTCGATTCGTGGCCACCATGATAAAAGCGTTCGTCTCTTCCATACCATCCCACTCCTTCAAAAACTGGTTGATGTGCTCACGATGTGAGGCTCTATTGCTAAACATGCTGCGATTTGCAAGCAGAGAATCGGCTTCATCAATAAATACGACGCATGGCTCCAACTTTTTAGCCAAGGTGAAGACCGCGCGAATCAGCTTCTCACTCTCTCCCACCCATTTGTCGTTGATGGTCGCGCCACTTATTTCAAGCATATTGGCACCGCTCTCCTTTGCCACGGCTTTTGCAAGCATCGTCTTGCCAGTTCCAGGTGGCCCATACAACAAACAACCTGGAATTCTGTCCTGGGCTAGCACGCCGTAAGCAAAAGCATCAGGACGTACAAGGGCTAGTGACGTGAGCAGTTTAAGAGCAGATATGGTCTCCTGTGGCGCATGAACATCTTCGAAGGTTGTGCAAAGATTTTCCCGATTTATTTGCCCGGAAGAGATGCGCTTTTCGTACTCATTTAACTTCATCATCCCCATTCGTCCATCAGACTTGGTCTCTTCGCGGCTCTGATGGTGTGTGTCCACTTCGTTGTCCATCTCGTTGTCTTCTTTGTCAAGGAAGCGTTGGCCAGGTTGCTGTCGAAGCGGGCCCATTGTACATCGTTCCAAGAATCCGACAGGGCCAGTCCCTGGGTCTTGGTCTTCAAGCGCCCTGAAGGAGCTGGCAAGATGATACACCTCAGGAATAGGCAAAATGGAATCTCGTAGAAGGGAAAACTTGGGGTTCCCAGAATGGAGGTACGCCATGATGTTCTCATTTGAAATTTCCACCACTGGTGAGCCATCGGGGCTCAGTGCTCTGAGCATGCGATTTATGTTGCATATATTCTCCGTAAAATAGTCGGCTTTTTGGAGACTGAAACGGGCCTGCCCAGGACTCGTCTTTGCCCATGTCCGTCTGTCAACTCGGTCTGGCTCAAGATGCCGCGTAATGACCCAGTCGGTGGCCGCAAATTGGCTGACTGCGTTCTGATATTCCTCAGAAGGCTTTTCGGAAGAAGACGTTCCTACGATGGCAATCTTTGTTCCCTGATGCCAAGCCGTGTCTACCAGCGCTCTCAGCCTGCCAAGCAACAGTGATCCCTCCAAGGTCATGCTTAATTCAACAATGTCGTGAAGATGAATAAGAAGTGGTCGCTGCGAGGTTTGGGGAGAAACGGCCTTCAGCTCCGGAGCTCGAATAATATGGTCCAAAATCTTATCAATTTTAAGATTCTCCCATTTACTGAAGCAATCGTATTCGCCCTGTCTGATCTTTTGGAGCTCATCGTCAAGGGAGCCGGTAGATGCCCGCAGTCCGATGATGCCGGCCTCCGTATCATGGTCTTCCTCCTCGTTCAAGACAGAGGCACCGCTAGGCTCTTTCACAAGCTTGCCGTTTATTTCAGAAGCACGAAAGCCCATCATGGAAACCGCGCCGCGAGAGTACGCCCAGTTCAGCCCCAAGTAATCACCTACAAGCACTGAGAGATCTTGCGCATCCAAGTGAATCAAGTCTGCATGATTCCAGAAAGCCAGGTGCTCCCCCACAGCTTGGGATATAGACTTGCCACCATATCCAGACGTGGAAAGAATAGTTATGGGGCGCTTGCTAGATTTTGGATCGAAAACTGCTGGTGGTGGTGCTTGCAGATCGCGGTTGACTGCGTTCTGTATAGACATGAGAGTATCTACTGGTAGATCGACAACGGCATGAGATAAGGGGTAGGCAAGCTGTTCGGCATGACTGAGCTGTTCGTCTAGGGCAACGGTGAGGGCAAGAAGTTGGTCCCGAAAGTTCGAGGTGCGGCGATCAAGGTCTTTGTATATATCCCACCACCAGAAGGGCCGCACTTTGTACGTATAATCGGGCTGTCTCGCTGGATAGATACAATCGACCACGTGCCAGGCGGAATCGAGGATCATGTCCCAAACTCGAATGACGGACTGAATTGAGGCAGGCTTGTTCCAGCGGTGGTCATTGTCGTGGGCTTTGGAGCGCTCAAAGTCCATTGCGAGTTCGCAATCTCTTAGAAGCAAGGAAGTCAGAGCAGTCTCGAAATATGACTGCATGTCTCGGTGGTTCTGTCTCGACAGGGAGGTATGGCCTTGGAAAAGTCGCGACAGCTTGTCGCGGGTGGCATCTTCAACAAGCGCCGCCGGCAGCCGGGGTAGTCTCTCGACGGCGTACAGGGATACGTTGTTATGGAGGAACTCGGACGGCAGGGTGACTGGCGGCAGAGCGGAGGCTGCTCGTCGTCGAGCCAGGCGGCTCTTCAGAGCACTACCTGTATGGTTTCTCGGACGACCACCGGTGGTCCCGGTGGCAGGTTGCAGCTCGGGCTCATTGTCGTGTTCCGTGACGAAGTCATCGGAAGGCTTGCCCCCAGGCACAGAGCCGGCCCCATGGCGACGACTAGGGGTTGAGTGAATGGCTCGTACAGGCAGTGCCCAAGAACCTTTGGCCGTCGCCACGATGGTCGCAGGAAGAGCTTTGAGAATAGGGGTCTGCATCCGGACGACAAGTCACAGACGTGCGGGCGCGCAAGGGAGACGATGAGTGCGCCGAGATGGCTGCCAAACCGGGTCTTGAATGGGCTTGGCACTAAATGTTATGGCCCAGCCGCAATGCCGACCGATGCTTGGGCTGCTGCATCCTGGATGGAGTGAGTTCAACTTGACGTCGTGACTGATGCCTTGGTCGATGTGAGCAGCGGCGGCAAGCACAGGCCAGAGCAGTGAGCGAGGAGACCCACATGTTTTAGTCATGTTTGCGGGCTTGAACTTGAGCGCCCAGTGACGGACAGCACCAGCGAGCCTCTGTACCGATGTCGGGGTGCCTAAGGCACCTTTGTCATCATATGACAACTCTGGACTGCTTCCGTGATATGTTCAACCATCAGCGTTTAGACAACAGGCCTGCAGACTTTTCAACTCCTCGCTCCCGCCCCAAACTCCATCGACAATCAGAGCCTTGTCGTCTCAGAATTTTCGCTTGCCCCAGGCTCCTGGCCTCTCTACATTGTTCAGTGGATGGCCATTTGGCATGGCATCGGAACGGTTTTTGTGAGAATAAATGGAGCCTCCTTCATGAGAACCGGTTTAGAGCCACTGTTCTATCGCCCAGCTATGAATCTTAATGCGGCTTTCGAATACATACCTCGGAATATCAGATTTGGACTTATCAATTCCGGTTGGTCATGCCGATTTTGCTCTAGGGCTCAGGTACCTGGCAAATCCTATACCAAAACATGCGTCAAGGCGGTTTTGGCGCTGTGATGAAGCTGCGTATCATCACTTGGTTTACGTATCTCCCTCGTGGCTTTGTTCACTCAACAAAAATTGTCGTGGTCTGGTTATCATAGCACACTGTGTCATATTTCTCAAGCTAACTATGGGAGTTTGGTGGTTGGTAGGCGTAGGCGCTAGGTCTCTCCAAGATATCTGAACATTCCTCGGACCAGCGTGGTACGACGACCTCAAGATTCCACTCGCAGCAAGAGATATTGACGACCCGTTGGAGCTGGCAAAGCTAGTTCTGGACGATCCAACGTAGACGCCACGTGCGCTAGAAAACGAGGCGACGAAGCAACTCAGCTTAGTAGACGACCAAGGTAGGCCTGTCTATTATGAAGCCCAAGCAGGAGCTGTCGTTCTGGCGAATCCAACCCATTCAGATGATGCACCTGTGTGGAATTTCAGTCAATAGTGGCTGATTTGCCGACTCAGAGTAGGCCAATACTTGAATATATTTGGTTCGAGGTCTGCCGTAGGATATGACTTGCTACCAGAAGCGCATCATGTGCAGCAAACACAGTCTGTCAACGGCTTCGCAGGGCGGCTAGGTCATTTTTGGACAAGTCATTTGGTTCCAGACAACATTGTTATGTCATTTCGCTCCCTGACAAGCTGGCTTCTGCACGCAAATGGCGCCCTGGAGGTGTATGTATATATCGCCTCAAGTACATGAAAATAAAGCGTCTGCCACAGAGCTTGTTCCAAGTCTCATTGCTGATTAGACTGATTCTCGTCTTTATTGTCTGGTTGAAATAGGTAACGTTAGTTTGTTATAATGGCCGCTCGGCATCTCGACCATCTGTGACAGCGCCAAGCACAGCACGAAGCTTCCGAGCATTGCGGAACGGATGCCGTCATCTTTTTGAAGGAGAATTGCGAGGCGTCCATGGCACAATAACAAGACACACGGGACAGAGAGTGAGTAGGGTAAAGAGGAAGGTTTTATCATTGGTACACAGCCCACAAAAGAGACTAAATAGATGGAGCGTAGAAGAAACTTCCAGCTCCCGCGGTTCCTCTGGTCTATACACAGGCTCCTTCTCCACACCTTCAGGTATTCTATAGCCAGGGCGCCTAGTTCTTCTCCAACTCTGCAAGAATCTTTGCACCCTTCTCCTTGGCGGAGGCGAGATCACCAACCATGTAGAAGGCATTCTCGGGGAGGCTGTCACCCTCACCGTTCAGGATAGCCTTGAAGGAGGCAATGGTCTCCTTTAGATCAACCAGCTTACCCTCGATACCGGTGAAAACCTGGGCGACAGTGAATGGCTGGCTAAGGAAACGCTGAATCTTACGGGCACGCTCGACAGTGAGCTTATCCGCCTCAGACAATTCATCCATACCCAGAATAGCGATGATATCCTGCAAGGACTTGTACTCCTGGAGAATCTGCTGGACACGGATGGCGGTGTTGTAGTGCTCCTCACCGACAATACGGGGATCAAGCATACGTGAGGTAGAGTCGAGAGGGTCGACGGCGGGATAGATACCCAACTCAGAGATACCACGAGACAAGACAGTAGTGGCGTCTAAGTGCGCAAAGGTCGTGGCGGGGGCAGGATCGGTCAAGTCGTCAGCGGGGACGTAGACGGCCTGGACGGAAGTAATGGAACCCTTCTTGGTGGTGGTAATACGCTCCTGCATACCACCCATATCGACGGCAAGAGTAGGCTGGTAACCGACAGCGGAGGGAATACGGCCCAGCAAAGCAGACACCTCAGAACCAGCCTGAGTGAATCGGAAAATGTTGTCGATGAAGAGCAGTACATCCTGGCCTTCCTGGTCACGAAAATACTCGGCGATGGTCAAGCCGGTAAGGGCTACACGGGCACGGGCACCTGGGGGCTCGTTCATCTGACCGAACACCAGGGCGACCTTGGACTCGCCATCGAGCTGAATGACAGAGGTCTCCTGCATTTCGTGGTAGAGATCGTTACCCTCACGGGTACGCTCACCAACACCAGTAAAGACGGAGTAACCACCGTGAGCCTTTGCAATGTTGTTGATAAGCTCTTGAATAAACACAGTCTTTCCGACACCGGCACCGCCGAAAAGACCAATCTTTCCGCCACGAGCGTAGGGAGCGAGCAGATCGACGACCTTGATACCGGTGACCAAAATCTCGGCAGAGGTAGACTGATCAATGAACTCCGGTGGCTCAGAATGGATGGGCAAGAACTTGTCTGTCTTGATGGGACCGCGCTCGTCAATGGGGTCACCAGTGACGTTGATGATACGACCCAAGGTAGCAGGGCCGACGGGAATAGTAATAGGAGCGCCAGTGTCGGTGGCCTTGGCGCCTCTGACGAGACCTTCGGTACCTGTTTTGTGGTTTAGAGCCTGCAACACTTCATGTCGCGTTTGTTGGGGCTAATTGAAATCTTACCGTCCATAGCAATGCAGCGAACAACGTTCTCGCCCAGATGTTGCTACATATAGCTGTCAGCCATGTGTTTTCTCTTGATATTGGTTCATCCTCATTGAAAGCCGCATACGGATACTTCTAGGACGAGCTTCTGGCCATTGTTGTCGGTCTCGAGGGAGTTCAGGATAGCAGGCAGCTTGGCAGTGTCGAACTTGACTATTGGCAGGTCAGACTTGGAATTTCAGGGGCGAAAAAAGCCCTTGAATGGCTATGGAAGAGGCTGTAGACCAACCATCGACGACAGCACCGATGACCTAAACGTTGTTATTAGCCCCAGAAGCCTCCCCGAGCCGGAATTAGGTATCCTGCTTACTTGGTGAATCTTGCCGACACCAACGCTGGCAGAGCTAGCGAATCTGCTGTTTAAGGGGAATCGAAGAGCAGCAGGCTTGAGAGCACGTCGCGAGGCGGCGGCTGAGAAGGTTGGGCGAGACGCCCTGACGAAGGAGGAAAGGCCGCTGTAATAAACGGCCACGGGTCAGCTCAGTCGACCCAATCGGCCTCAATTGGCGCAGCAGGCGCGCAAAAGAGGCAACAGTACATCCAGAATTCAAGACTCACCTCTTGAACATCTTGCCAGATGACAGAGAGCGATCGGATATGGGAGTGGAGAGAGATTGGTTAGAGCTGGGGGGAGAATTTGCAGTGTGAGCAGTTTTGCCGGGAAGCGGACGACTTCGTCGGTTAGAGCTTTGTCGGGAATCACGTGATGCGCTAGTCTGAAATTGACCCGCGCGTGGGGCTTCACAGTGCTGAACCTCGGGTTTTGCAGGGACGCCATCCCGGGGCTCAAATTTCAATGACACACGGCTCGAACTCCCGTCTCTGGTAACGGTTCTTGAAAGCCGGGCGATTTCAAGTTTAACTTGGCCAAGTAAACTTTGATTCAGCAGGTTGAGAGCATGCCGGCTATAGCCCCGTGAACATTGTACGAAGTGCTACAAACATGGCTCACACAGAACGTCTACGAAATTGTAGGTCCAAGTCATACTACAACCATGGTATTTCTTACTCAAGTTCTTTTACTGAAGTAAGTACTTAGTATGCATAGACTCTCTAGAAAGCTCCCTCCAGGGTACATGCACAGTGTGAACTGAGATTATTTGTCTCCTCGGTCAACCGAAACGAGGTTTGTCGGTACCTGAGGCTCCTCCGTCCCCTTTCCGCTACTCCGTAGTTACTGTAACGCATATGCGCAAACAGGGTCAGGGGTGGGGGAAGAAAAAGAGGCTTGTGAGCCACACTTCATTCAAAAGCTTTTCCGATTTGTCGAGTTGTTGTCTCTCTGTTTCTGGCTCAAGGCCATCTGCTCACACATTCATCAAAGGGATGGGAACCCCTGTTACTAGTAGCCAGACAGCTGTGATATCGGTCGAAGCTATTTATTGTTTGGGTGTCGACAACACTTCTGAGAACTAGATGAGGTCGATGATTTGCAAAATCCAAGCAGTTTATCAGCACTTCGCTGCTCGTTCGCAACCGTTTATTCGAGCGCCAGCACCTATGTATTACGTTAGTTTTCAGTTCACAGAAACTTTGCTTCATCAAAAGACGATGCGGGCTTACCATGGCAGTACGACATGGAATATACACTTGAGTCCAATTCTTTCGCCCATTCCATTCCATCGGAGTTGTGAAGAAGCGAGTGGTGTCATCCACCCGATTGAAACCGCCCGCTTCCTTAGAATCAGTGTTGAGTACAATGCGATAGGTGCCAGCAACCTCAATGCCGATGCGATAATCAGCGAAACTTTGGGAAGCGTGGAAGTTAAACACGAATACCAAGCCTGCCCGCTCGAAGACAAGGACCTTGTCAACTTCATGTTTGAGTGAGATGTAAGCTTGAGCGGCACGAAGCCATCCATACTTGGACTCGCACTGATTCATTGATCGATCACAGTTGTTGAGATACTGATACCGTAGTAGATGATCTTCTGTCAAGTTTAGCTGGCGACGCGCATACCAAAACGAATTGTTGTTGCCTTCTCTGGGGAAGTCAAGCCACTCGGGATGTCCAAACTCGTTGCCTTCAAAATTTAAATACCCTTCACCTCCCAGGGCATGAGTCACCAGTCGAATCATCTTGTGAAGCGACATGCCTCTTTCAATCACGGGCGTCAATGGTGACAGAACCGACATGTTGGTGTACATTTCAGCGTCGCAGAGATGCATCATGAGTGTCTTATCGCCTACCAGGCTGTCCATGTGTGAGTAAGTGCGCTCGACTAGATGCAAATGGAATGTTGACATACGCTTGATCGTGACTCTCGCAGTAGGCAATCGTCTTCTCCCCATGACGTCGATTCACAAGAGTGAAACAAATGTTTCCAATATCCCACTGCTCATCCTTCAACTCTTTCAGAATCTTGATCCACATGTCCGGGATTGCCATTGCGAGGCGATAATCGAAGCCAACACCTCCCATCGCAAGAGGCAAGCAGAGTGCTGGCATTCCGGATACATCTTCTGCTATAGTGATACACTCGGGAAACAGTGAGTGCAACATTTCGTTGGCAATCATGAGATAAACAACGGCCTCTTCATCAACATCGGCCCCAAAATATTCGTGGTATCCGCCGGAAAACCCCCTGCACACCGTGAGCAGACCATTCAGGTCAGTAACTGGGGGAATGTGGGGAAGTTTGCTTACGCGCCAATGCCATGGTGAATATACAACATGCTCGTGACACCATCAAATCTAAACCCGTCAAAACGATATTCCTCCATCCAAAAGCGCAGGTTGCTGAGGAGAAACCGGAGAACTTCGTAATGGCCATAATTGAACAGTCGACTGTCCCACTGATCGTGGCGCCCCTTGCCACCGCCATGGAAGTATTGATGGTCCGTACCATCGAATTCGTTTATGCCGTCAAGAACATTTTTCGAGGCATGGCTGTGCACGACATCCAACAGCACGGTGATTCCCATGCTGTGTGCAGTATCAACCAGCTCTTTGAGGTCTTCAGGCGGCCCATATCGACTGCTAGCCGCGAAAAAATTGTTGACTTGGTAACCAAATGATGCGTAATAAGCATGTTCCATGACTGCCATGAGTTGTATCACATTATATCCAAGGTCCTTGATTCTGGGGAGCATATTTCGCGTAAATTCCTTGTAGGTCGCCACTCTCTGGTCAGGTGTTGAAATTCCGACATGAGCCTCATACACCCGAACGCTTCTGGGTTTAGCTGGCCTCTTGTGTTTAAATTCATACTTGTCGACTTTAGGGGGATTCCAGAATCGTGCATCATATGCCGGAGATACACTCAGATCCTGCGTCACATACTTGATCCAAGCCGGCAGACGGTCTGCCCTTTCGCCACTGGGTAGCTCCAAAGAAATCTAGTTGCATTCGTTTCCATGTTAGTGTGCACTCTCATCCTACTTCGATTTCGTTTCGAACCTTGACTTTTGAATTATGCGGTATGGCTGGTTGGCCATCCCTGGATGGCAACGTGATCTCGAAAACTCCGTAGTCGTCTTTCTTCATCCGATGGGCATTGACATCCCAGTTGTCTGAGTTGTATGTGAGTAACTTTGGGGGTTGAGCAGAGAGTAATCCGCCTAGTTTTGACGCACTGAAATCTCCTATGAGTGATGCTGCTACAGCATTGGGTGCCCACTCTCGATATATAATGGTGTTATCGTCATTCACATTTAAGCCGAGCCTCTCGTAGCCCTAGATGATACATGATCAGGCTCTCTTCACTAAGAAGGCATGGCATGGAATCGAGAGAGTGGGATCGATGACGATTACCCTTGAAAATTGCTCCAAACCACCTTCAGTAGCTTCAATGCGGCCGATCCAATCCCGAGCTTTGCTATACCTGCGCTTCAAGGCTTCCCTGAAAGGCTCTAGCCAAGGATCCAGTTTCACCACGCCTATTACCGAAGTCAGAGAGCCGCTGTCAGGTACCTTGTTGGAATTTGGGTCACTCACCGGTGCCATCCCGAGGTATATCGTCTGGAGTAAGACCGGCAGCGCCTACCTCATTCAGCAGCTTTTGCATGTCCGTCATGGTATCAGTTGTCGGCTTTCCTAGCTAGAATAGTGGAATTGAACGATAGCAAGTCCTGTCAATGACTGGAATTTTGGAGGTTTGATGTCGCTCAATAAAGTTGTTGTCCGTGACAAAGGTTCAAATGTTCAACGCAGGCACAATGAGATGGGGCGGCGCCGGCACTGGCGCTCGAGTTCGAGGCGAGCACCTTGACGTAGCAATATTAGGACCTGGCGGCGAAGGACCTAGAGTCTTCAAAATTGAGGTCAAGAAGTTGGGAGGACGGATATCGAGCGTTAAGCTGCTTGTCTACTAGTGGCAAATGAGCTACTGCGGGGCTCGAGTTTTCCGCTGACGTCGAAGTAACGCCGACACGAAGGCTTCCAAGGTTTGCGAGCGGCAGCGGAGGGACCAGGCCTTGGTGAGCGATTTGGGTCGGAGTACTCCGTAGGTGCCCCCAAGATTTGACCGTCGGCGGGCTAGCAACTGGATCAATTGACTGACATGCATGCATGCAGAGGCTGGCAGTTGAAGCTCTCTTGTGGAGTCTCGCGAGAGGGGCAGGGGCAATGGAAGCCAACTCCGTTGCCTCATGGCCGCAGTCTGTATTTCGTGCATGCACTAGTCCAGCATGGGTTCTGGTAAAACACGTCTGGAGTCCAGGAATCCCAGGTAACTACTTAAGTATGAAGTACTAGAGTACGACAAGGAATCCAACTCAAGTGATAGTAAGTATACTTTAAGAAAAGGCGGTAATAACTACCTAGGTAGTTACCTACCTACCTAGGTACGTTGCCCAGACACAGACAAGCGGGACCTCTCGAGTGCCAAGCTCTCTGTTTGATCGCTGAGGTCCGGGAGGGTGCGCTGCCGGCGGGTACACGTGCAAGTGCCACACCTGACTCAAGCACCCGAAAACAACTAATGACATAATGCCTCAGTGCTGCCTACCTAATTAGTACTTAACCTAACTACTGGTCCTGGTGGCTCCAACGCGCTGCATCTGCACGTTCGTCATCCGGCTTGCCGGACGACTTCAAGTTGCGCCGTACATTCAGCTGGCAAAGAGGACGGCCTGGTTCGCCGTAACATAGTGGCCGTCTCAAAGAGCATATTCGCTCTTCATCATCCGAGTCGGATTCGCTTCCTCCCTTCTGCCGTTTGTGTAATGCCATTCCAATTCTGGTCCAACGATCCCGTCGAATCGAGCATCAACCGGCATTCAGTTCGCACTCGCATCACGGCAGCGACCACTTCCAATACGTTTCTGCAGCTTCGTGCGAGTTATGTCAGTGTGGTATGAGTAGCCACTTCACAACAGCCATGCCTGGACAGTCAAGGAGACTGGTGTGCCTTGTGCAGGCCCGCGTCGGCACCGGAGGACACCTACGCCGCTCACCACAGGGTAATCTTGTGCGTTGTCTTTCAACCACAACTCCCCATCGGACGTCTCGACGGACGCCAGACCTCAATTCCGGCTTCACAGGCAGCTATGACCCCACGGCTGAGTTGGGCCGAGGTCCCATGTTCAATAAGGCCAAGTTCGGAGTCCCCCAATTCTATCCGCGGGACCTGAAGAAACGAGTCGATGAGTACGTTGTAGGCCAAGAGAGGGCGAAGCGAACCATTTGCTCAACACTTTTCAACCATTATCAGAAGCTTCGAAGACGTCATCAGCACGAACATGAGCAGAGGAACTTCCAGGAGAAGATGATGCGTCAGCGTTTTGCTCGTGACCGCGAGTTGCATCAAAAGAGGACAGACATGCATCCCGTGGAAGGTTTGTAAAATCAACGTTTCTGCTTTGTATCAACCTACTACCATGGTTAGGAAACTCGAGATTAACACTTTTCATCTCAGATGAATTTCCTGGGCACAGCGAGTCGGTCAGGCAACTGCATGACGCAACAGAGTTTGAACAAGACCCTCTTGATCATTTATATGTCGCAGACGATCCGTTGATGCAGGAGCATGTCAAGATTGATAAAAGTAACTTGCTGTTGATTGGGCCAACAGGAGTCGGCAAGACATATATTCTAGAGTAGGTCAACCATCTTCTCAATCAACACTGCGCTATAGCTGATCAACATTAGAACCTTGAGCAAGCAAATTCATGTCCCATTTTCGATATGCGACTGCAATTCCCTGACCCAGGCAGGCTACATTGGACAGGATGTGGAGACCTGCATCGAGCGGCTTCTCATTGAAGCCAGCTACGATATCAAAGCTACAGAGTACGGAATTGTGGTGCTAGATGAGTTCGACAAGCTTGCCAGAAGAGAGTCCCCGACAGGCCGTGATGTCGGCGGAGAAGGCGTACAACAAGCCCTGCTCAAGTTGGTCGAGGGGACCAAGGTTACTATTAACGTCAAGGATAACCGATCATCAAGGTCAACACCACCAATTACAACGAACTATAGTTCTAGCGGATCGTCATCTTCCGCACCGCAGGCTGCTCCTCCAGGAGGGAAAGTCGATCAGTACACAATCGACACCAGCAACATCTTATTCGTCTTCTGTGGTGCGTTTGTCGGTTTGGATAAACTCGTGTTACAGCGCGTAGCCAAGCCGTCAATGGGCTTCGGTGGTGAGTTGAGAGGTCGGTCGACACTCTCTGGAAGCAAGGACGTCCTCCCTTCGAGCGTATACGAGCATGTTGCTCATCATGACGCCATGCCAGAAGCCTCGTTCACACCCCTAGATCTCGCAACACCCGCAGATCTACAAAGCTTTGGATTTATCCCCGAACTAATAGGACGCCTACACAACATCTGTGCCCTGAGTCCCTTATCCACCAGCGACCTGCTCCGTGTACTCACAGAACCCCGAAACAGCCTTGTGGCGCAATACACGGCACTGTTCGAGACGTACCCGTCGCGACTGTATTTCACTGAAAGGTCACTTTACGCCATTGCAGTTAGAGCTGCAGCTACTGGAACTGGTGCCAGGGGTCTGAAGATGGAAATGGAACGAGTTCTTGCCGAGCCAGTGTTTGATGCCCCCATGCCGTACGTTGTCATCACAGAAGACTGCGTCAATGGATCGGGTAAGGCAATATACTGGGGCAAGGACGGCAGATTTGAAGTAGACAGGCGATTGGAAGAAGAGAGTATGAGTCGCCAAGACTCGCTACCGCGGATGACCTTTGAGCGCCTGAGGGAAGCCGGGCAAAGTGGAGGATAAGATGCGATCGGAACAACGTGGGCAGAGGATCAGGCTGGCCTCAACATAGCAGAATACCACTGGCTTTTGTAATTTCTTGGTCTTGCTCCCCACGTGAGGGTATATTCCGAATGGGAACACCCATTGAATGAGGCATTTTATGGCCATCAAGGAAGACCATTTTTTTGGACTCCGTTGTTGTAGCACAATATCTAGAACGAAGAGACAGGGCTTTGAAATCAATAATGGAATCGTATTGCATCCTGCGAGGTTAAAAGGTAGGTAGGTAGTACAACTCTCTCCTCTCTCTAGAGTTTTGAAGCAGCTCACATGGTGGTTACTTCGTTATGATTGACTCTACTTTAACTTGAAGGTATCACTTGTTTTTTTTTTCTTCTTTTTTAAAGCATGAATACGAACCAGCCCACGGGGCCATCGTGAGGCCATCGTGAGTATCAGCACAGGTCGCAGCATGACCCCTGAGCCTTCTCGCCCGCTTCATCCCTAGGGAGCAAAGGGTCCAACTGCCAATTGAACAAGTCCCTCGTCACTTTTTGAATGGCACTATATCAGCAAGTAAGGTTGTGCATAGTCCAAACCATCATATTATAAATCGTACAACGAGCTTGTGATTAGATATTGTCTCTTCTAAAATCCAGGTAATATATGCTGATATCAACATCAAGAATCAAATAAGAGAAAGAAAGGGAGGGAAAGGACATGGCATATAAGAAAAAAGTAGAAAGAGGCAAAAAATAGAATGTGGCCAAGAACCCCCGGCGGGACTCGAACCCGCAATCTTAAGATGTCATGATACTACGGGAGCAATTAGCGAGTGCGGTGGAGAGGCTGAGAGTCAAACTTGGACGTACGAAGTCTTACGCCTTAGCCATTAGGCCACGGGGGCTATTGAGGATCAACGTTCGTTGTCCACGGTGCCTACTTGAACCAATTTATAATCCATACCGATGAGGTCAGCATTGATGAGGGTCCAGCGTATCGTAGAATGCCCGACGTTTCACCCTTGATCAATACATGTTCCGGTATCTTGTATTGTTTTTCAGATGTTTGCAGTCCTTCATTTGATCCCATGTCTCTGAGTCGATTCAGACAATCCTAGTCGGCACCCTCCAGACTCTGTGCTCTGTCTGTAATGCTCTCAGCAGTACGCACTATGCATCGTTGGTGACTCTTCGAGAGTATTTTCGGGGAAAAAAATTGCTACATTGTGTGCTAAGAGGAAAGATTGAAAGTAGGGGATACTTCGACTTACTTTCAAGGCACGCGAGGCATCATCACGCGAGACAGTTATGCAGTTGATAACTTGGAGCGACTCATTGCAGAAGCAGACGGCTTCAGCAAGACACTTTGAATGAAAATCTACATCAGTCTGCCGCACATTTCAAATTCGCCTGCATCGAGAATGCGATGGATTTGTGACAATATGCGGAGAAAAGGGGCAGGGAACAATTGAAAGTGAGGTGAAAATAAGCTGCGCTTAAATTTATGGTAGCGCCTTTTGCTACTTTGGTCATGTACCATGCCATGTATGACCTCGACTTGGAGTATCTACCTAGGTATTCAATTGTGTTGTGGTTCTCATCACTGTTTAACGCTTGTAATAAATTTGAAAGACCTAGATAAATCATTCTCATTATTCTAGTCTTAGTGGTCTTGCGGGTGTAAGAAATATCATCGTAATTAGCCAACAAGTTTACTCCCAGCGCTATATGTCTTAAGACATGTCCTTTATCATTATCACAAGAGTGTCTAGTCTTGTGGATGTTCATTCAAATTCGCAGTGCGTACATGCAACAGGGAGTTGCCTGCAGATTCAAAACTTCCTCAGCCGGTGCATGGGACAAATATTGGAGTGTTGTGCTTAATAAATAATATAAGTAGACGCTGGCAGCGGCGGAAATACATCAATTGGCTCATCCTCCGCCCTACCGGTCTGACCTCCCAACCACACTCGCTCTAGAACCATTTTACACATGGTGACAGTTCCCCCACAAAGTTCACCACTACTTCTATCACAAAAGAAACTTGCATGGTATTGGTAGAGAGAGTTTAGTTGCCCTTAGGAGGGGACTGAACCATGCCCTTGCCACTGTATCCTTCGGAAGTAATCCCGGTAATGGGGTCGGCTTTTTGTTGCTGTCATCGTTCCGATTAGCGCTTGCTGTTTCGAAATTGGAGAGGAAATGCGTCAAAAGTCTCGTTCGACTTACGATGAGGAGCTCGTTAGAAGACTCTTGGTATTCCTTGGACATAGTATGGGGTTCAGGCTTGGCAACAGATCGAATAGCAGCGAAGATAGCAAAGCTGGTAGCAAGACCGACGGCAACGCCCCAAGCAACGCGGGCATTTGTGCCCGGGGGGTCAACGGCGCGAGGGCCATGGGGACCAAACGCGATCCAGTATGCTAGCAAAATAATCGTATGTTAGCTGTAGCTCCACCAATGGTGATGCCATGCAGCTGGAGGGAATGCTCCTAATATCCTGGCAATCCCCGATCGACACATTGGTCAACCAACTCAATCGGGAATTAAGAAGGATGCAGAAAATGTTCTCGACTCGAAAAATCACGGGATCCAATTTCTGTTGTCGCGTGGAAGTCGGACCAGGGAATCAACACCTGAGTTGTGGTGGTGACTGACGGTGGTGCTTGACAGCTCGGCTTTTCGGGAGGTATTTTCATAGGAAAACGCTGAGCTATCGGAAGAAACATACCGGCCTTCTTCTCCTGTAGGGTCAACTCGTTCCAGTTGCCCTTCATACGGTCACGGAGGGCCATCCACAGATCAGCCTGCTCCTGAAGAGGCATGCCCTCCCATCTCTTCTCGATGTTCTTGAGGGTAGGGTTCGAGATAGCGTGGGTGGAAGAGGCCCGGGAGGCAGCGGCAGGTACACTGCGCACCAGGCCCTTGCGCAGCAGACTCGATGCCGGGGTGCGCAGCATTTTAAAACGCAAGTCTGGGGTTTTAGTCGTTCAATTGGCGCTGTCAGTGACGTGGCAGATGGATTCCACGGGCGAGGTCAAGGAATTTCTGGGATCCTGGGATCGGAATCAAATGTACGATAAATTTCACATTTGGCACCTTACGAAGAAAGCTCCGGCAGGTCCTGTGATGACTAAGTGGCCGGTTTCGTGGAAGTCACGTGTATTCTCGCCAATCACTGGTGAGGGATTTGTGGTCAGTTGAGGTTGGCTGGGGATGCGAAGCTGCGAGGGGATTGAGATAAGTGGACCGCCATTAGTATTTGCTTTTCACTAGCCTTGTGAAGTGCGGGCTTAAGTACTCCGTAGGTATCGGGACCAACTCTTCTCAACGCATATCCAAGAGAGCCGAGGTGCCATCAGGGACTTGCTCGGGACCTGCATTGCGCAGATGCAGGTTCAGTAGTATACTCAGTGCTAATACTCGTGGACAAGGGTGTCAGCTTTTATCTTGCGGCAGCTTGTTCTATCTAAGACAGACTCCTGCCAGATAACCACGTTATAGGGTAAGTTAGTCTCCCGCACTTTCGGGGCAGACATCGGCCCCGCATCGGAGCACCAGAAGCACGACATCGCATTCTCCGCGGCAACCCCTTCGAATTCCATGGGAATTGACACAACCTCAAACCCACATCTCACTTACACCCACCCCAGAGCCAGAGCTCGTTTCCCCCTTTGAGGCCCCGGCTGAGCACTCATTGCCAAGACAAAGTAGCAGACCAGCTCCAGAATCCCAAATGGGCCGTCAACCGAGACAACGACCTATTTCATGCACCCTATGCAGAGTGCGCAAGCTTCGTTGCAGCCGTGTGTTTCCGTGCTCCAATTGCACATCCCGTGGTGTTGTCTGCCAGCATCAGGGCACACCCCACGACACATCTGCTGCAGATCAATCCAGGAGCCCCTCCCTTCCAAACGGTACATCGACGTCTGAACTTTTGACACGTCTTGAGCGGCTTGAATCATTGGTAGCCTCACAAGCCAAGACACAGACCCAGTCTCAGCCGCTCGCGACGGCAAGACCTATATCCGCGGACACCAGAAAGGCTGGTTACTCTGAGCCCGGACCTCCGACAGACCTGACTGCTGTTCCGCCACGGCTTCAAAGGTTGACTGCTGATGCCCTGTGGCTGGAGAGGTCGTGCTCCAACCAAAAATTACTGGTAAGTCAGAGCAGTCGCAAGTACGCTGTGCAAATCGCCGCTGAGATTGTCATGTCCAGGACTCCGTGGTTGCTGATCCCATAACCTTCCGCACATGCCCCTTAAGACTCATTACAAAGCCGTCTGGATTCATCTTCGAGCCTGACGCATCTCTCGCCCCCTTCGGGGCCACGCAGGCGATAAGATGCATCTGGCTGCCGCGTCGTGAGGAAGCACATATCTTGATGCAGAAGTACCTCAGCGACGTTAGCCATTTTCACCATATCATCCATGCTCCCTCCATGGGAGGCTTAATAGATGCAACTTATAATGGACTTGAGCAAGGTAACAGGGTCGACATTGGTGCTATCCTGCTGCTGCTGAGCATTTGTGCCTCCACGACATATGCTTGGACCAAGTTCGATGACTCGAGATGCCTCTTTGCCAATTCTGCTGAAGCGAATTCACAGGCAACCTCGTGGCTAAAGACTTCTCTTGACGTTGCTGATCACGCACATCGCATTGCCCACATTTCCGTCGAGTGCATCCAAGGCATGATCATTATGTTTTATGCCCTGTGCAGTTTCGAAGGGGTATCATCTCGGGCTCGATCTCTGGTGGCGAGATCCATTGCCATGGGTCGTGAACTGGCCCTGCATCGCATCGACTACTCTCCCAATGGCTCTTCCGGCGAGGTTGCAGGAACGGACACGGTCAAAACCGAAATCAGTCGTCGCGTTTGGTGGTTCTTGACGGCAACGGATTGGTAAGTTACCCACGACGAAGCTGCACTGGATAGGAGAGACCCTGACGAAAGGCCTTTAGGATGCTTGCTCAATTTTCTGTACCGCAGGAAGGAACTTACACAATACACCCAAACCATATGGCTGTTAGGAAACCACGAAATGTAAATGACGAGGAGATCGGCAGTGGCAGTGAAGCCCCTGATCACGACACTGAGGAGCCGACTTGCGTCTCGTACTTCCTACAGCGTATACGACTAGCTGAAGTTTGCCATGACCTTCTTGACAGATCACCATTTATTCTCCTTAGCCCAGAGACGTCGGATTATCGCAAAGTAAAGGAGGTCGATGCCAAGTTCAAACAGTTCATTTCTGACATGCCGTCCTTCTTTTCGATGCGCAGTACATCCCTCAAAGATCTCCCACTTGATGACTCAAGATGCTCACGAAACATCACACTGCAGCGGTACACGCTGAATTTACTCCTGCAACGACAGCTCTGCAAGTTGCATCTACCATATCTCGCCCGAGGCGCGGTGGAACCATCATTTGCGTACTCACGGGAGATGTGTTTGAAATCGGCCAGGATGATCATTCAAGTAGAACATCAACTGAGGAAGGAAAATCTGGCTTATGTGTCAGTCCGGCAAAGGATGAACATCGTGCTCCGGAGCGTCTTCATTGCGACGATTGCCTTGGTCCTCAATGCTTGTTTAGGAGGTGATGGAGATGATAGTACGCCTAGCGGAGAAGAAGTCGCGGATGCCTGGAGGATACTAGAGGAGGCGAGAGACCAATCACCGGTGGCGTCGAAACTTCTCGAGTTGTCCTTACAAGTGCTGAAGAAGCATCGCGGAAGTCACCCGGCACTAGATGCAGTGAAGGATCATGCCGCTGCAAAAGGCCGGTCACTAGCCTCGTCTCCTCCAATGACCCCGGATTCGGGTCATCGAAATGATGGAACGAATGGGATGGTACCACCGCAAACGAACATCGAGTCAGAAACCGCGTACCTTGAGCAGCAATGGCAAGTTCTTCAAGGAAGAATGGATCTGGATGCTATCGACTGGGACAGACTGTTCTGGGGTCTAGATTCGCCTTTCATCTAGTTCAAACTCCACAGGACCTTGCGCTTAGTCGGACATGGTGGTGGTTGGGGTCTCATGCATGCCTGATATTGCGAACCCGCAAAGTTATAAGAGGGACACGGATCGACTGGTACGATAGGAATGAATTAATATGTATTACGAAATAAACGACAATGAAAATATAATAGGCTCTGGCCTGCTAGCTATCGCGAAATATGGCTGCATATGTGTAGATTTGTGTCGTATCACTTCAGGTCCTTTGTATCTGCACTGTAGTCTGGATGTGAGCCCGTCCTCTTTGTAGTACCAGTATGCGCGTTTGGGGTCGTGCTGTGACTCCAAATTAACATCCATAAAATGCTGACGTAGTAACTGACGACTGGTTGATACATAACATTACATACCTTTGTGACGGCGACTGGCCATTCAAGCCCTTCTCTGGAGTTAGGGCTGGCTGGAAAGTGTAATAGCCTGGGGAAACGATTAGAAATGACATAATTGGATGCTGCAGGCTGTGTCAAATGCTCTCACCTCCTAGAACTCCAAAAAAGATGGCCAACCCCCCGGGCAGAGCTCGTTGCAATCCGCTCATATTGCGGTGGCTGTCCCGTCAATCATATGATGGATTGTGTATAGTTTGAAATAACTGCAACATAATGTTGAGGAAATGGAAGAGGCGAACGCGGCTTAGTACAAACTTTTCAAGTATTGATTGTAGTATCCAGGTACCTTGCCTTAAGTACCTACCTAGGTACCTAGGTACTTCAGTAGCACTCCGTGCCGATGGTGCGGAATAACTGGTGCGTTGGCTTGGCTGGCCCCACTAAATATTACCGCGTGAATTGCCCCAGTACTGTCGCGTCTCCCGTTTGCTCAGCGCGTTGAGCTGGCCACCAGCTCCAGTCGGGGAAAATAACGAAATCATACAGAATGAACCTTCGGGGCTGTGTATAATACGCTGCAAATTCCACACAATACCATACAACAAATCATGCCTGCTTAGGGATATCATTGTGTCTCGAGAGCATCTTCATACCTTTCATCCCCTCCCATGCCACCTCCTGCTATGCTTGGGCTCAACTCTTGATTCTCGTCCGGTGGAAACAATGACGGGTGAATGCCATGGCCAACTGGAGAGAATTGGGCGAAATACCGGATTCAGAGGATGATGAGGGCTTTGACAGTCAGCCGTTGGACGCAGAGCCGATGGCCACGGCCGCAGCCTTAACCGACAAATATCCTGACGTTTGGGACTTTCCAGACTCACCGAACAGTAATAGTAACGTCGTTACGAATCCACAACCCCTCGAATCCTCGATTCCAGAAAAAGAGATTGATCCTGAAGCCTCATCGCCACTGTCATCTGTGCTTAGTGAGGAGGGCCTGCCTTGGGTTAAACACTTTTTTTTGGGGGACGATACCCAACAAGACGCAACAGTACCGGGAAATGGAGATGCGGGCCGATTAGGTGCTTCACGGGCGGAGAGCCATCACAGCTTCGGTGTGGCTCAAGGTTTGCCACTGTCGTCGGAGCCCCGTTTTCATAGTCCTTCGTCCTCATGCGAAATTGAGTTGCAAAGCCAAACCGTTGGGACTGTTGAGACCTCCGAAGCTCAGCGTGCAGCAATTCGGTACGAACGATCCTTGCGCCCTCGGAAACCCATACAAGAGCATCCGTATCTCCTCGAAAATGCTCAGTATAGCAGTGTTTTGAAGTTGCACGGCGTGAAGCCTTTGCGAATGGCCATCGAAAACGAACGAAGGAAACGAGATGCTCAACCAGGAATATCACAAGAGGATGAGTTTCAGGAGGAAAGCCAGGAGTCCTGCGATCCCGAAGCTCCGTTTGACTTGTGTATGGGCGAAACTAGGCCTTCTGGAGACGTAGACGCTCCAGCTTTCCCATCGTCAACGCCGCCACGGCTGTCACCAATAGGCGGACTTGTCGGAGTTAGCAGCCCAGTCACCTCTCATGGAGGGACAGACAACACGAGTGTCTTGGATCAAGACCTACCTGCTTTAGAAGAACTGCTGAAAAAGCCTCCGAAACTTGCCTCAACTAGGGCAAGCAAGCGAGATGCGACCCCATTCACTTCATCGACTCGCAAAAAGACGCGGAGGAATATAATAGAGAGTGACCAATTGGAACAAGACTCTGTTCAATTGGTGTCGGAAATTCAATCTCCATCCATACAGCGCTCGCCCTCTCTACGAGTCCCGCGACCTTTGCCAACCAGTCACGACAGAGTTCCAAGCCTTTCAGGGTGTGATAGATCACCGACCTTATCTGCAGCGGGCATATCTGGAAGCGCAATAGGTGTTAATAACTGTGCTACATTCGTTTCTTCAGGCGACGAAGACTTGGCTAATGAGACTGGCTCTGAAACTATTAATACCACGTCTCCCGATTCTGATGGTTCCGTTAGTGAAAATGAGGCTGTGACAACCATGAGCCGTCGCATAAGAGGTGTTCTTCCTGCTTCATGGCTGCGGCTTGACCAACAAGCCGGCCGAGAAAACGCAAAAAAATCTCTTAGTCGCCGGACTCGGATCCCACGACCCTCTGGGACAGAACACAAACGAGGGGTCGCACAATCACTACATGCCACGCATGGCAGAGCCTCTCCCCCAATCTTTCGCGATGAATCAGATGAGGAGACGGCGCCAAGCACATTGGATATCGACGAGAAGAAAGTTGGCCATCGAGGTCAATTAAAGCTTGATTTTCCTGAGTTACGAATCCGGGGACTCGACACGAAACTTGAGGGTGATGGAGACAATTCAGTGGAAGAGGACAATGAGATCCATTTCATGCTCTCTAGACCGTCGAGGAAACGTCAGCTTAAGTTGGCTGGTAGCTTGGATCAAGGCGCCAAGAAGCGACCGAAACGACAAGATCACGCCACAAAGCAATCCTTTGCAAAGCTGAGACAAGTCGGGATCAAGGCGCACTTATACGAATCTCCAAGCTCCTCTTTATTTGAGTACTCTCATGACCAACATATACGGAAACGAGAAAGTCTTCATGTTTCCCACAAATCTACCAGCAAACAGGCCAGGGCGTCGCCACGGAAACTTAGCATTCTAGATACTATTCAGCCAGATGCGCCGCAATTTTTGAAGATTGCTGCGCGAGCTGCGCGGACTCGACGACTCCAGGGTCGTTCAAGCCCACATAAGAAGATCATACAGCTTGCAACTCGACAAGATCAGCTTGATGTGGCCTCGGTATTGATTGATTGGCGATCCGGCTCCATCAAACAACGAGATTCAGTCACTAAGGCGACAAAGACTTTCGGAAAAAATCAAAGCCGTATTGTGCTGGCGGAAGCTTCCGGGAACCGGGATTGCGATTGTACAACGGGATCACAATTCAGAGCTGATGTATCAAGGAAGCTTGTCAAGCAAGTCAGTAACGGCGGATCAGTTAAATATATTCCAAAACAGACCGCTACCCATCCTCAGCGACAAAACCCGAAAAATACTCGCAAGGCCGTTGCTGTAAAAAAGACGCTTTTCCCTCGTTCAACTCGTCCAGCACAGTTAGAGACGGATGGGTCTGTTCAAATGACCAAGTTTGAGTTCAACACTCGAAAGCGAATTCTGGACCACCTGTTTCAAAATGGTCACGCTGGAGCGAGAAAGCCGAGAAATGAGCCCTCATATTTGCCAGGCAGTGCCCGAGTCCCCGAGATACCTATGCAAAATCCAGCAAAACAAGAAGCGGATAGGTTCAGAAAAAGAGTGCGTGGATCGCGAAATCGCAAGAGAACAGCGCCTCAGCGTATCGAAATTAATGCCCCTCAATATAGCCATGCAAAGGATCCGGTCCATGCAAGATATGTTGTAGAACCAACTTTAGCTGTCGCAGAGCCTGCTCAAGCTAAGTTTGTTGGCTTAGGACCCTATGGAACGCAGTATACCCATCATTTCGAAATATTTCCACTTCCTCCTGATGCCTTCTTTCACGAATCTAGTCTAATCGGAAGCGGCGAGTTACAATCTTGTGCCACTGTATCTTTTTCGACGAATGGGTCGGAAACACAACCCTGTATGGCCCTTTCGCTTAACAATCACTTGTTTCGATGGGGTCCTTGGAATGATCAAACTTCCTCAGAGCTAGGCGTGGTGCTGGATTATATTGCGGAGGGTGTCGAGACTCGGCTGGCGCGAAAGTCTGATCCGTCACCCAATGAACTGAGCCCTGTCCTGGCTGCGTCGTTTGTATTGGGCTATGTCAAAAGCTCACTTGGTTACTTGAGACAGAACCAAAGACAATCCTTCGTCTCGCGAGCTCGCGAATGCCTGGAAAGCCTGAATCATCGCACTGATTGTCTCGTCACAACTGTCCATCTCAGCACGCACAGCGTTAGACGAGTTCTGGAAACTTACGACAGACTGTTGCTGATCGTATTCCTGATACTAAGGTTTTGCAGCGAAGACGCATCACTTATAGCTGAGAAGTTTTCAGTAGAAATATCTGTGCAGAGACTTGGGGCGACTGTGATTGGCATCCTTACCGAAGTGGGCTTCGGAAACCTTCAGGAGCTCTACGAGGAGCTCAACACCAAACGCTTTAGAGAAGGTGGAATTCGAAGCGACAACACCATTATACATTCTTGGGTGATGGTCATGAAGGTATTGGAGCTGGCGCATATTCCAAGGACGTCCTTTTGGGACGTGGCTCACAGTCGAATCTCTCCGAAGCAGCACTTGTGCAGTAACAATGCCCAAGACCACGAACGTGTCTGGGAGAATGTGTTTACGCTTCTCCCTCTTGTGGAATTCAGCACTATCGGTGTGCTAGTTGCTGGCCAGCGACACAGGGTGCCAAGTGATGGCTGGGTAGTTCCGCAGAAGCTTCTTAGGCAAGTTTTCCAGCTATACCAACGCGACCCACGACAAGCTGCCAGCTTCAACAATTACTGTCGAGCGCTCGTTGGACGATGCCACCATCTTGTTCAAGAATGGGGCTGGCAGAGATGCACCAGTATAATCGGCCTAATATTCGACTTTTTCGGCTCACAACAATTGGCACATCTTCGAAACGAGGAGGTATTCAAGTCTCCGCGATTTCTTGATGATCTAGGTGGGAGACCGAACCTAGCCATCGAGCCTGAAGACCGATGCTTCCATGTGTTTCTGAAACTCGTTGCAGTTGCAATAAGAAAGCTCAGAGCTGCTGGTTCTATCAAGGACATAAGCAATCTTGTGACAAGAATTATGCCGAATCACGACCGACAGCATCGCAAAGACGAAAATGTGCATGCGCGCGACCTGGCAGCGTTGAGAAATCATCACGACTTGCTGTGTACATTATTCTGGGCTGCTCCTGCTGAGTGTCGCCCGTCTCCGATTCTTATTCAGAACCTTGTAGACCCGGCAGATTCCCATAAAGAAGCATGCCTCATAAACCTTCGTGCTTGGACTCAGCTTGCGCGGTTTGTCATTAGCTCAGGGGAAGCTAACATATCATGGAAACCTTTACACGCCTGGCGAAATTCATTTTTTGAACAGGTACTCAAACAGTTCAACTCAGTGGCGTCCGAAGTCGCACTGCAGATCTCAACTCTTGGAAAGGAAGCCAGTGATTCGATCACTGGTGAAATGATCAACGCCGCAGTTTCTGTCAACAAGGCCGCTTTGATTGACGTTTTGTACGCATCGTTGGCAGCGTCATTGCATGTCATCCAACATGCACCGGATCTGCTGACAGCGACTTTTTCCTGGAATACAAAACAGCTAAGAACCATATTTGACCAGTTCTCAATGACACCTGACCTGTCGTGGGGGCTACTCAGAGTGTCTTTGTCAACACTTGAGACAATGCTGTCAGAGATCGATGATTGCAAGGCGCGCGAAGAGAGTCAAGAGAGCGTGAACCAGATACCGAATGCCGCTGTGGCGGACAATGCGCTCCAAGCTCTGGATAAGGACTTGTCCGAGAAGTTTTTCGGCATGGCGAGGCGTGTCCTTGCAATTCCCCTTAATGAACAAGATTCCCACCTTCGTCAACAAGAACGAGCGCAATGTACCGAACAGATCGTCATCCTTGCCGCACGGATGAGCACGAGATTCATCAACGGCGGCTCGATGAGGCTGTCTGGGGCTTTCCAGGGAAGCTACCGGCTATTCTCGGAATCGCCGTTCAAGTTGGATCTGCGTCAACGGCGATATATGGTTTTGTACATCTCAACTTTGCTACGATACGGCATCAATGATTTCGACGACGCTGGTTTTAGACTTTGTGACGTTTGGGTCTCTTCTCTGGCCAAACCTCGTACATCTTTACAGTATGAGATTGAATTAGGCAAAGAGCTTCGTCGCCACGGAGAAATATTGGTACCCGACACTGTGGTGGAAATTTCTACACAGCCTGATTACAATACCAACCGGGACCTATTGGAGTATGCATTTTCCACAATGCGCAAAGCTGTTCGAGACGCCGAGCCAACCCTCCGCGCTGCAAGGATGACGGAATATTCGTCGTCGCTTAAGTTGATGATGGACCAGATTAAAAACGACGTCAAGAATGACACGCAAACATCGAAGGAGCATGATGGCTACGTCGTATTTGTTCAGGACGTTATTTCTCTTGTCAAGACGCACGTGTCTGATATATGCGCGGTGAACGATTACTTTTATCAAATAAGCAACGAATACCAGCCGTCCGCAGAAGATCCTCAGCTCAAAGTCGCCAACCTGAAGTCATACGGCTTGCGGCTGCAGGATGGCGACGCTCGTATTGGCCAGTCGCTCTTCCACCTCCTATTCAACAATGCCAAATTCTCCATTTTCAACGACAAGTTGAGGGAAGAAGTGGATATGCTGGGCAAGGGCATGGCCAATACCGGCGTCAAGATATTCATCATGTCTAAAATGCTGCCCTCTATAATCTACGCATCCTTCAAAGAGACTGACGCGTTTCCACTACTTGACATTTACGTGGAGGCCATTGCACTTCGCTTGCGTGGCAAGACCGTGCCACTGGAGCTCTTTGCTGATGATGCGCCCGCCATTTGTGCGTTGCTGCAAGCTATGCTGAATGGAATAAAGGGATTGTTCAAGGGTGAAGGGGTCCTGACGGGGTCTCAAATTCACGTAATGAATCAAGTGGTTGGCCTTGGAAATTTGCTCTGGGCATCCATTCACGTGCTTTCCATGTCCAACTCGCAACCGCCGTTCTGGACGATGTTGTGGAGCTTGTTGTGTGACCTTTGGGGTGTAATTTCAAGGTGGCACGCTCGTCTGCAAAGTTCCAATGGACAAGAGTTGAGCGTCGATATAGCCGGCTTCGAAAGCCTCCCAACCTGCCCGAGGGAAGCTCGGAGCCAAGCAAACGGATGCGACTCGGACGTGGCGAACTTTGCGGAAAACATTGTCCAAGACGTGAGGAAGAACTGGAAAGTTACCGAAGACAGCATTGCGATACGTATGCCCGGCCAGAAGCAAGGCGCGGCTCAAGGGCCCCCGGTGGCATATGCTGGGTGGAAAACAGAAAGCCTCGTTGACGAGTTGTACAATGAGATCCAGGAGTGGAACTGGTGGTGGCGTAAGGCGAACGGTCTGTCATCTCTGCCGAACCCGGAAAACGAAGTATTTTGATATTTTCGGCATGGCATGGCGTTGGGGTCATTTGAGTTGGGAAAAGGAACGACGAGATTACGGGAGGATATGATGAGGCCGTTACGATGATGCGGAACGGAACCACTGCAAGGTGATGGGTGCACCTACGGTAGATTTCACGAACAGATACCCTGAAAATCGTAAACGAGAACAATTGTCTAGATGAGGGGACGGCGAATGTCAGTGCCAATTGATATACATGCGGTTTTGGTGGCTGCAACTTGCACTTTGACGGTGTGCCGACGTCGTCGGTGCTCCATAGAAATAGAACGCGGTCCCTGCCTGCCCGACCAGACAGACGCGTCCATCATTAATAACGTCCAGTCCAACGTCTGCAGTCCGGACTCTGGTGCCCCAGGCTTGGCTCTTCCACCCATTGATGTCCATTTGAACCTCGCTCGCTGCCCGTGAAGACGACCTTTCCAAGACATGGTCACGTTCCCAGCCCAGGCCCCTCCGAACGCTTCGATATCGAGTCACACATTCACCCACATGTCCATCATCTTGGCACACGGCTGAGGTCCTGGGATATGGGTGCCCTTTTTAGGTTGCCCGATGAGGAGCTCCTTGCGCCGGTGCTCGAGAGCTTTCCCGGCCGAGGGCACCAGATCCGGTCGCTGGCGACACTCGTCCATGTGAGTGTGTACCAGATGGGAGCTGGCGCCTGGACTCCCGAGATGCCGAGCTCCTGAGCGCATGACTGACCATTTGTGCCCCCTCAGCCTTGTGCCGCGCCTTGTCGCAATCTCGTCCTCCATGGCACCGAAGCCACGGGCAAGTCGACCATCACGAAGCGGCTGCTCGCGAACCTAGCTGACGCGTACCGTTCCGCCGACCTGCACGGCCGAGGACTTCAGTATGCCATCGTAAACGCGGCACAGTGCATCACGACAAGACACTTGTTCGAGACCATTGTAGGATCGCTAGCAGACACACTGAAGTTGGATGGCCAAGCGGAACCAGGCAAGACGTCTCCTTCGATTTCCACCACGGCACTCGGGAGACAGAGGCGCTGCGAGACAATGGCGCAGCTGTCTGTAATCATGAGTACCATGCTTCAAGAGCTGGCCAGGGATCCAACATGGAGGTTCATATTGGTTTTGGATGCCATAGACAGGCAAAGGGATGCGCCACCCACATTGATACCCGCCTTGGCTCGTCTGTCAGAGATTGTGAGCCCAAAGTTCAAAATCCGCCATGGCCATGCATGTCGTTTCACCACGCTGACGGAACCCACGACAGATCCCCAGCCTCACCACGGTCTTCATCGTTACGGCACCGCCTGCAGGCTTCCTCCGAACACCCGCATCTGCAATTCTTCACTTCCCCCCGTACACAAAATCCGAGTTTGTCCGTATCCTCTCTCTCTCTCCGCCACCTGCGATATCCGGCGCGACGCAACTCGAGACGACTGACCTCTGGACCCGATTTTGCGCCGCCGTTCACGATGCGTTTGTGCGGTCTGCTTCTCGTACTCTGCCGTCCTTCCGCCACAGCTGCCGCGCTCTATGGCCGCGGTTCACCGCTCCTGTAACAGCTGGAACCTACTCACCGAGAGAATTCTCCAAGCTTCTGGTAGCAGCACGGGTTCATTTCCAAGACGAGTCCCTCCTGGATCCAGGCATCCTCTCAGCCCGCCCCGAACTGCCGCCGGCTGCAGCGACCGTAACAACAAGGCCTACCGTGGTCCCTTCGAGACCCCATGCAAATGCCACCACTTCGGCCTCGGACCTGACCGCTTTGCTGCCCATTGCAGCACGTCTGATCCTCTTGGCCGCCTACCTCGCCTCGCACAACGCTACACGACACGATCTCACGCTGTTCTCAACCCATCATCACAGTCGTAAACGGCGTCGAGGTGGCGGCCTGGCCGCTAGTCGTGGGACCCCCCGCTCCAAACACCGAAGGATTGCACGAAAACTGCTCGGCGCACATGCGTTTGTTCTAGAACGCATGATGGCAATCTTTGAAGTTGTTCGAAGCGAATGGTCTCCTGACGGGACTTGTGCTGGAAACCCCGGCTTGGATGGCGACATTGGAATGGCTCTTGCTACGCTAGCCAGCCTCCGCTTGTTAGTCAAAGTTGGCGCGGGAGACATGATGGATAGATCTGGAAAATGGAGAATAAACATTAGTTGGGAGTCTATCAGGGGCATCGGGAGGAGCGTTGGCGTCGAAGTGGAGGAGTGGCTCATTGAATAGAACGAGGGCGATTTGTCCATCGTGGAATGTATAAATACGAGAACAGACCTCGTGCATGGCCAAAGTTATCAGAGAGATGAGTACGATTATGTATCGCGATGAAAATTCACAAGACGACGTGTGTGGCCGTTTGTATTGGAGCACGTCTGCCCCGGGAGAAAGAAAGAAAAACAGGTACCCCTTGCAAATTGCCGAGCAATTCATTCTCTGTAGCCGGCATCCTGCCTGTCGCGTTTCTATAAAACGGAGGCGACTGAGCATCATCGAGACGTGCTACACATTATGCCATTGTGACTATGCCGTGACTGTCAAACTGGTCACGCGCGAAAAGAGCACCCAAAATAAGTCTCACAGAAAAATGGGAGTGAGCACTACTCTATCCTGTACACAAATTCCCAACGCCGAAAGTCGCAGCATATTTTGAAATGCGCAGATATCCCCTTCCGCTGTAGCTGAACAGCGCATATGCGCATCCGAAACCACCAGGTTCCAATATCATCCGACAAGAGACCGTAAATTATGATTGATTCCAAATATGAGAACAGAACAGAATTTCGATTTTCGCTTGTTTGAAAATGACCCAGTTGAGTGAGGGCGACAAAATGCCCACTCTGTTTTGCATAGTGCTAAATCTATTATGCACATCGTGTTCGGGGGCAAGCTCCTGCAGGCTCGCCTCGTTTGATGGAGGCAGATAGGCTTTACTCTAGAGACCTTTTTGAGCTGTTCCCTCCCGGGAAGGAACTGAAAAAGCCGCCTTCGTATGGTCGGGCTGTCGCTCCAGGCACCTCGCTCGTTGGCCTGCTAGGCTGTTCCTCCAGAGGGAGCAAGGGGGAGGAGCCAGTCTGGGACTCAGTCATCAGGCGTGCTTTTCGGTCAGCCTTGTTGCTCTCGCTTGTGCGATCATAGAGATACAACCCGACGAAAGTCAAGGCAATTCCCACTGCCTGAATGGGCGTTGTTGGACTTCGAAACCACAAAATAGCCATGACTATGACAAAGACCCGCTTGATCAAACTGGCCACAGAGTATGTGACGGGTGAAACCATGGACAGCAATATAAATGCCAGAATATTCTGAGAAAAATGGAACACGCCGTTGAAGATGAATTCAAGGGTCAGGCGACCATGATCCATGGCATCCTTGTTGTTACTCAAGTCAAGTGAGCCATCATGCAAGACGTCCTTTAGTAAAGTGATGCCTTCGCTCCAGAACCAAATTGGCATCGTCACGACAAATGCCATACCGGAAGAATAGCATAGCAAGTTCAACTTGTCTAGCTTTTTTGAATGGCCTCCAGGGCCTTCTGCTTCTGCTTTGGCAGCCTCGTTGAAAATCTTCTTGGAGACAATGTTTTGAGAGACGAAAATGAGTGTCGCCAGAAACGCTTGAATAACGCCAAGCATTTGCCCTCCATAGCTGTGTTTTCCGGAACAGGCAAGCATGACCCCAACCGTCAGGGGAATCAAGGACCAATACGTTGCCTGGGGGTATCGAATGTCGTAAAAGATTCTGTAAGCTAGCACTGTGAACAAGGGAGATAGCCCTTTGATGGTGTGAACGAGTGAGACGGGAATTTTGGCGGTTGCGGTGGAACTCAAAAGGTGACCACCAATCTGGAACGCTGCGAGAGGTAGTGTGGCCATGAGAACGTCTCTCGAGGGCTGGCGGATGGGATGTCGAAGAGTAGAGACCTTCTCACGAAGAATTGGAAATAAGGTGGCTAGCCATGCGAGGACGACGCAGAGGGAAGATACAAAGGCGAATTGAACTAGCGTCAAGGTCGCAGGCTTGTCGAAGGCATTGAGGATGGACTTGGACGAGGTGTTTGTCAAGGCAGAGGATGTATACCACATGAGGCAAAGTATCTGTCACGAAGGGCCAAAATTAGCAACTGCACGAAGAAGCTGCACGGAAGAGGCCGGGGCCGATTCATTTAGATGATCAAGGCGGCGCGACGTACGACGAGTTTTGGAGACACGGGAGCGCGCAGAGCATCGGCGATTTCGTGGGCATTCTGGCTCACACTTCCTTTTCTGGTACGAATAGTGCGAATGGCGTCGCTCAAGCTCTTTTGACGACTGTTTCCTCGTTTCGAGTTGTCCCAGGGTGAGAGATTTTGACCATGGCCGTGAACGGGTGTGTTTGTGTGACCATTCTCGTTGCGTACGGCGGGGGCGGATCGACGGTCTGAATGTGAAATGGCGCCATTGGGGAGGCCATAACCAGAGGCAGGCTTCAGAGGACTAGGAGAGCGAGAAAGGCCATTGGGGAAACGAGGCGCATCTGTGTAGTCCGGGAACTTTTCCATGCTAGCAGACAGTCTATGACGAGCTGTGAGCTGCCGGCTGCAAAAGAAAACAAAAATCGGATGCAGGATGGCTGCTGTGCGTTATCACGAGCCCGTATATCAGGTCGGCCGCAGCTTGGGCAGTGTTCAAGTCGGACTGGGGAACGAGAAGCGACGAAAGGGCGTCCCAAAGACGGGATGCGATGATGCGAGGCGGATCGGACGGAGCTCTTGGCATGGAGAAGTCTTGGCTGTTCTCGGTAGCTCAAAGAGTGTCCCGACAGAGAAGAGGAACAAGTGTGGTTATTGCAGCGTCAGAACGCCAGCAGGTTGAACGAGTGACGACACGGCCATAAATGGCAACGAGGGATATCGGAAGCAAATCACCGCAACAAGTCCATTGCGAGCGGATTCGCGGAAACTAAGCAAGCCCAGAAGAGTTGGAACTTGTTGAAGAGAGAAAGGAAGAAATGGAAGAGGAACCCGGAAAAGGTGAGAGCTGATGGATTGATTGGTTGATTGTTTAATTGATGATTGCGCCACTGCTATTATTACATATTACAATACGGAGAGCGAGCCAGTGAGTGCCTCAGGTACTTCGTAGGGACGCCGTTGAGTGGTGCCCTCCCTGGCAATCTACTGAGAACTTAAGAATACTTACTGTACTTAACCTACCTAGGTAAGTAGGTACCTTGTTACTTTCAGTCAGCAGACTCTGGCGCGCCTGGGCTCACGGCACTTAGGGCCTCATCAGTTAGTTACCCGGCAATCTGCCGACACCTTCAGCGCCTCTCCACGACGAGATTTACCCGACTGGTAGTTAGTTAGTTGAATGTACGCCCAGATCTTCTTGAATGTCCACTGGTCGGCGCATTTCCGCATCTCGTCTATGACTGGACGCGCTCGACTTTCCATTCTGAAGTCTGTTCTATTCGCCCTTGGCTTTTGGCCAGTATCCTAACCCTCCGGCGTCCACGACCTCCCAACTTCTCACCCGTAACATCAGGAGTCGATTCTCAAAACCTCTGAACCTCTGTCACGCTTTAGGCTGACCTTGCCTTGACCGGTCTCTGTCCTTTTGCTGAATGGGAAGGGACCCCAAGCAGTACATCATTGCCGTCACGGGTCTCTACGCCGTCTTCCAACTTCTGACCCGAACATCGAGTTCCGCAAATTTTCCAAGTAACAAGAGCCTGTCGTCGCAATCCCCGACTTCATCATGGCCGCCACAAAAATGACCAAGAACCAGCTGCGGAGAGCCAAGAAGAAGGAGCAGAAGAAGGCCCAGAAATCTGAGGTGCGACAACACCACTCGCTAGTCCCTGATGCATGCGAAGATGTGTCCCTAGAATGAAACTGACATTTGAACAGTCTACAGACGAACTTCGACAAAACGACCATCAAACAGATCAAGAACAAGACGCGATTGCCGCCGCCGCCAACCATGTCGATTCCGACAATGAAGATAAGCACGAAATCAACAACCACGCCGCCGAACCTCCTGTCACCCTGGATGCAACCATCGTTGACGATTCCTTCGATGAGGACCCCGCTTTTGCTGTGTACAAAGATATTTTCACCAAATTTGGCGCCTCATTGAGGGAGGATGAGGTGGCTAAGGAGGCGAATGCGGGCAATCAAGGCACAATTTTTCTTGGAGACGATGATGGTATCCCTGACGAGGAAGAAGAAGATGACAAACCCAAGTTGTCGAAGAAGAAGCGAAAGGAACTCAACAAGCTTTCCGTAGCCGAACTGAAGGCGCTGGTGTCTATCCCAGAAGTCGTTGAGTGGCACGACGTGTCTTCGTCTGATCCACGAGTATTGGTCCAGATCAAGGCTCAGCGAAATGTGGTACCAGTACCAACACACTGGTCACTCAAACGAGAATACCTGTCATCCAAGAGAGGCATCGAAAAGCCACCCTTTCGACTACCTCAATTTATCTCCGATACTGGCATTACAGAGATGAGGGACGCTGTGCTCGAGAAACAGGCCGAGCAGACGTTGAAGCAGAAGCAAAGGGAACGAGTCGCGCCAAAAATGGGCAAGCTAGACATCGACTACCAGAAGCTTTACGATGCTTTCTTCCGTTTTCAAACGAAACCAGAGCTTACTCGCTTTGGCGAAGTATACTATGAGGGCAAGGAGGCAGAAGTCGACTACCAACACTTCCGGCCTGGCGACCTGACCGATGCTACCAAGGAAGCCCTAGGAATGCCGGCTGGAGCGCCCCCCCCCTGGTTGATCAACCAGCAACGCTTTGGGCCTCCCCCATCGTACCCAACGCTCAAAATTCCTGGCCTCAACGCCCCGCCACCTCCTGGTGGTTCATGGGGCTTCCACCCCGGCGGATGGGGTAAGCCCCCTGTCGATGAGAGTAACCGTCCATTATATGGTGGTGATGTGTTTGGCCTCGCTCAAAACGGAGGAGCCCAACCACAGGCAACACAAGTTCAACTACAGATAGGCGAAGCCGTTGAACGGACTCTTTGGGGCGAGCTGCAACCCCGAGAAGAGGAGTCAGAAGAGGAGGAATCCGAAGAAGAGTCCGATGGGGAGGAGGACGCTGACGCTGGAAACCTTGAGACACATAGTGGCCTCGAGACTCCCAGCGGCTATTCCACGAATTTGAACGAATACGGCTCTGGCGGCGTGGAAACCTCCGTCGCGGGCGAAATGGACCTACGAAAAGAGCGCCGAGGTTACGATACTGAGGAATCATCCGCCCCGAGATCGGCCTACACAGTCCTGCAAGAACGGCAGGTCCGAGCAGAAGGCTTCTTCGGCAGCGACCGCGTCTATGACCTCAAGGCCGGCCAGCGAGCTGGAGTGCCCGTCCTCGGCTCAGAAGACGAGTCCCGCAAGCGCAAGAAACCCGGCGATGTCGATGTTGCCCTGGACGTTGACTCATTGAACAAGCATGACGGCATCAACCGGGATGCCCTTCGGCAACAGTTTGAAGAGACCAGAAAACAGGAAGGACTGGGAGCCAATTGGGCTCATGATGATGACCTCACGGATCTCATTGCCGAAGAGAGCCGCAAACGACAACGCACAGAAAAGGAGCGCCAGGACAAGAAGAAAGAGAACCGGCATAGGTTTTAGATCAAGTCACGGCGACGCCAGGAGTGGTTTCTCACAAGGAGAATTTCTGTTCTCGCGACTGCAAAGCTCGATGGGGTGGCGGCATTCGAAACCCCACGACGTGTAAGATGCTCTGTTACCAAGGGGTGAAAGCACATGAGGTTGTATTGATCCACAGGCGGTGGCCATGATAGACGACAATTTCTTCTTATCTATTATTTTTCCAAACAGTTGTGGCGTTGGACAGGTTCTTGGGCGTACACTTTCTGACTGTAGAAATAGTCTGGGTGGTATTATTTTAAGTGGCTGTCAAAAATACCCAAGTGCTCAATGTATGCATATATATCGAGGAAGTCACTAGACTTGCTCCCCTGCAATCTCTTTCTATGGGCACGGCACTGCGCAGACATCGTCATATTCCTGGACCAAGTCTTACGAGAGCAATTCATTCTCTAAAGGGTTTCTTGGCCCAGGCTTGCCTCATATGAGCAACCACGGTATTTTGGACTTGGACGGAGGCGCTGAAATTGGATGAGCTTAACAGTAGTTTTTCCGTGATGATAGCCATCGATCTTGGGGGGTATCGATACCTCCATGAGAAGAAGCTGCAGATCATCACTCTAATATACACAGTATTTCATCATCGTAGCTTCTGTTTGAAATCTGCCCGTCGCACCTCGGTCGTCTCCGTTCCAAGGCAAGGTTTGGACCTGGCAAAGATCATGCTGGCTAACGGCGGGTAAGATCCGAACCTCTAGTCGGAACCTTTTCTGCCTTCGCTGCAAACGTTGCAAAGCCACCCTGGTCTCGTTACTGGCATGACTGCATCGCCCTTGGTGCAGTCGGCATGGTATAATCGTTTCAAGCATGTCTAGAGAATACAGTGTCAGTCCACCTTCCGCACACAAACACGCGAAATGAAATGCCGGGAGATCCTACGGTATTAGAGCACAGTAGTAGCCGCGGGCCAATAACGGGAAGCTGGCAAATGGTGCAACCATTGGCGCCTTTGCGGATTTGGGAGACTTTTGGAGATTGCTTGGTGCTGGCCATGTCTTTTGCCCGGCCATCAGCAGCCAGTGTGTCACCAGGCAGACTTTGACCCTTTGTAGATTTGGTTCTCGCCTCATTAATGTACCTGAACGCCTGCTGCATGTCTTCATCATCTAGAACATCTCGCGCCAATAAGACACTCGAGTGCTTTCCAAACTCGAGCATTCGGTGCTGCGCGCCTGCAAGCCAACTCGCTTTCTCTTCGACAAAGTTCATCCAGGCACGGGAGAAGTACGCAGCCGAAGTGATATTTTGCTGCAAAATATAGCCGTCCCACTCCCATATATATTCCTTCTCTGCCGCAGTTACATCAGAAAAGTCAGCTATGCTTTCTCGGTGCTTTTGTATTAACCATGTATTATCGGGGGTATTCTGAGGGACTTCCTGCCCGGCCTTCAGCCTTGCTTTGCTTATGGGATGGAATAGAGGTTGTGGAATGCTGGGAACCAGGACCTTGCTCACGCTCGGTGCCTTGACCGGTCGACGCAACGGTGGCTTCGATAGCTTTGCGACTGGGGATCCAGACTGAACTCGGTCAAGGAAAGTCTTCGTCGGGGACTTGAAAACTTCATCGCCGTCAGGCCCGAATCGTGATGTAGCCCAGTTCTGATCTCCAGATATGAAGGTTTGGAGGCTGAAGGGCTTCGCTGGTCGCCCAAGTTGAAGAGCTTTCCGAGGAGACAGCGTCGGCTCTCTGAGGGCGGCAACTCGAAACAGCGGGCCATGGCTTGTGGTTTCGAGCTCAAAGACGTACGACGGATGAGATGTTTGCAGGTGCAGCTGCAGTTGGTCCATAGATTCGTGGTACGCGCCGCAGGTTATACAACAGTGATAGTCCAAGGATATGGGCTGGTCGCTCGGCAAGACGTATTGCACGCGGCCTTCATTCGCCTCTGCATTCGAATCCCGGCCACGCTGCTTCTTCTCTCGTCCAATCGCTTGATCACTGAGCACTTTCAGGTTGTATATCTTGTTCTTTTCTCGAGCCCGCAATGAGCGAGATGGCGTCTGGTCACCGGCAAACTCATCGTCTTGGTCGTGCGGCGATGCACCATTAGCATGGCCATTCATGCCATTTGTCGGGCACTTTCCAGGATGGCCCATTGCATTGTCACTCAACACGTCGACGTCTGGATCGATTGCCGTAATGCAGGGCATGGACCCTGGTTCAAGTGGTCTCAAGGCTGTCAATCCCGACCTCCATCGAAGGTCAACGCTCATGAGATAGTTGGTTGGGTAACTGGACTGGTCCGAGGGGTGCCTTGCCGAGAGGCTCAAGGGGCTTCTCAACTTCCCAAAGACGCTATCGAACCTGCTAGACATGACCCAGTGCCGAGTTGTCCCCCTTATCGGGTAGAGAGATTGCGGAGGCACGCCAAAGTCTTGCTCGTCTAGGGGCGGCCAACGAGTGGCATCGGCAGCCTCCAGCTCTATGACCAAGTGGTACGAATCCGACAGATCAAAGGTTCCGTCGTCGGGGCGATTAATTAGAATGCTCTCTCGAGGGATCAAGAAGGGTTGGGGCAAGTCAACGCGGGCGATGGGATAGGGGCCAGCGGGATTCTTAAATGTTATCAGGTCGCATAGTTGACTCTGGCAATACAGAACTTGTGGTGGATGCGAGCTCATGTCAAACATGGAGACTTTGCATCTCGCCTTGGTGGTGAGCAGCACATCGCGAGGCACAGTGTTCCCTTGCAACGACTTGACCTTTTTTGAGTCTTTATGGAGAAGCTTGATCAGGCCGATGCGTAGCATTGAGCCAGACTCAGACAAGCGTGGTGATGCGACAAGGTGATCAAGATCGAATGAGTCGGGGGATGAGATGCGACGGCGCTTTGCCGGGGGTCCGTCGTCACTCTCGCCACGGGGCAACTTATGCATGGGCGAAGAGATTATGTTTCCCATGACGGATGACTCCTGAAGCGCCCTAACACTCTTGAGCCAGGTGCGATGAAGAAAGGGGGCTGTCCGCTGGCAAGGGCTATGCGCCGTCATGTTTAAAGCCCATTCATAGAGTGGCCGTGATGGAGGAGGGAAACGCCAGCAAGTAAAGCGAGGGACCAAGGAATGCCAGATTGCCTCAAGAGCATGGAGACGGACGAGGCATTGTTTCTGCGTATCGGTAGGGCGTTTTTGCCGGTCAAAATTCGTTGCCTGAAGATGTTTACAACTTGAGCGTCAAACACGCGGATGGCGCTTGACAGCGACAGGCGGCCGCAGACAAGGGGTGCGTGCGGTCTGGGCGTCGACTTTGGAGACGGCGACGGGCAATATACCGAAGCTGATACGCGCAATTTCGAGCGAGCCTTTTGAGCGAAGCAGTTGGCCACGAGCGGACGACTATCGTGTCTGGCGATGTGAGAAGTGAGGCTTAGCCGGACATGACGGCGCATGCGATTGACGGCAGCAGGTACAACTGAGACGCGTGAGGTAAGGTGAGGTGAGGTGAGGTGAGGTGTGAGTGAGGTGCAGGGGAATCTGCTTCTATGACGGGCCCAGGAAGGGTTTAGTGCGGGCAAGGCGTGAATGAATGAATACTTGGGCATGCATGTTGTGGACCACGGGCCTCTCCTCTCCACACGGTGACGGAGATGCCTGCTGCTTCTCGTAGTCAATGTTGCGGCGAGGCGCCTCGGGAGTCGAGTCGTGTGCCAAGGAACGTACTTCTTAATGTGAGCAAGTACCTACGTAAGTACTCAAGTGCTCCATACTTACCTACTACGTCGGCCTAGGTACCTACTTAGGTAGCTACTTAAGTACTTGAGTGGTTGTCATCTCCTATGCTCGCCTCGGTAGAGCAATATTTCGGCGTCCCGTATGAAGTAGGAACTAGCATCTCAAGCAGTGCCTGCAGGCTACAGCAAGTGTGCATAGACTATTTCTCCGGCAAAACGATGCGCAGGCAATCTGTTGTCTCTGAATTCAGAAAAGAAATCTAAATTCTCCTTTGCCAAGTTGTACTTTTCTTGTTTTGTCGTGAAGGACTCCCTGCACTGGAACGGCGCTTACACGATGGGTCCCGTCTCTCAAGTCCGCCCCGTTTATTGCATGCACCTCCGCGCGCCTCAACGTCTGACCCCTGCACGTAGCATCTTTCCCGCATGCTGAATGCAAGGCTGCCAGAAGCTCAACTTCTTTACCCCACCAAATCTCGAGCCGTGCAGGTTGGTGCCATCATTTCCTCCTTCGACGCCGACTTTTTTTTTTTTTTCCTTTTTTTTTTGCTGCGCTACTATTTGATGTCATGATAGTCTCGAGGGCCGAACTGTCCATCCACCAAGATGCTCAAAATTTCGCACCAATATCATTTGCAAAATTTGAGCCGTTATCCTCAAGTCGAAGCCCGCAGATAACCATCCTGGTGTCTGCCATCCTGCAAGCTTGATATTGATCAGAGTGTACGTCACCCAGGGACCCTTGGTAGTCGCGATATCCCACTGAACTTCTCATTACGGAGGAAGGCCATCGATCAATATATCTCCGTGGCCAGAGCTCAAGTCCACACGTCCAACAATATGACCTGGACTCGCAGTTCACGCTCTGGGCGTCCCGACGTAGCTGTCAGCCGGCGCAATGCCAATCGCCTCTCACAAATCGCCGCGACCCGTACACGAACGCTTCCCAGACCAAACTATGCAGAGGAATCCACTGAATCCGGTGATGATTCAGACGCGCAATCTGCCGTTGTCTCCCAATCCGCCGAATCGGGTCTAAAAAGCGACCTTGAATCAAGCATGAGCCCTCTGGCAGAAGAGCGAGCGTCACGACTGGGCGATCGAAGGAAAAGACTTGAGCATTTTGAATCGGCTTCAAGCAAAAAATTCGTCAAGAAAAAATCCCGTACGACTTCTGGAGCCGCTGGCACTTCCAAAGCCAGCTCAAGTCGTGGAAAGCGAAGCCGCCCATCACCACCATCGACTTCCAAGAGGCGAAAACTGTTGGCACAGGGCATTGCGACCGGAAGCCACATCCCAGATGAGTTCATTCCAGACTGGCGAGACCCTCGAGTCCCATTCCAGTGTTGGACAGATATTTTTCTGTACGCGGCCAGAGAAGGATCTACCGAGGTACTTTCAAACAGTTGGCTCATACAAGCCGCTACCACGTGCAGATTATTCGCAGAACCTGCACTGACTGCTATTTATCGTTGCCCAACCATTAAAAATACTGCCAAGGCGAAACGTCTAGCAGTCCTGCTTGAACGCCCCTCTTCAGAGACTCTATACAACTATCGCGTAAAGGTCGAGGCGCTGCACATCAACGTTCAGATTGTGCCACAGCCGCTCCTATTTCAGCTGATCAGCCCACTTATTCGCCTTAAAGAGTTGATTATTTTTACCCCCATGGATCAACCTCCCTACCGAGAGTTGGACATGACACTGCGTTGGCATTACTCAGAAGACATCTTCCGAGCGCTGGACGGCGCTGCCACCGAGTCCTCTCTGATTGGCGACAAGCCATTTCCGACTGCCCTGAAGAGCTGGGAGTGGAGCGGTAGATTTCTTGGAGGATATGTTCCAACAATCGAGGCTATATCAGGTCTCCATAAGACGCTACCATTCTCACAGCTCACTAGACTGAGCTTGACCAATTTTCAAGTGCCCTCACTGAAGCACCTGCAAATAAAACCCGACTCCGAAGAAAAAGAACTACAGACATATGAAATGGATGGCGCTACTATACAGGCTGTGGCACAAGCCATCTCGGCCCTCGCCTCGCTGAAACATCTCGTTTTTGAATCCTCGACCGTGCTCAACGACCGGCTGCTTCCTCTTTTACCAAAGAGTCTTGTTCATTTTGAACTGATCAACTGCTGGGAGGTTAGGTCCGAAGATCTGTCTTCATTTCTGTGCACCCATGGCAGCGAGCTTAAGACGTTGACCCTGATGCACAATCAGTCACTTGATTTGGGTTTCCTCACAAACTTGGCCGATACGTGTCCCAAGTTAAGAAAATTACACATAAACCTGTCATACTATCGACATCACGACTGTATCAACGATGCTGATCCCATGTACGATCAAGTATTGCTACCATCTCAGATTCCGAGGTGGCCTTGTGGTCTACGAGTGCTCAATATTGAGCATATTCGGGACTGGTCAATGGAAACTGCCGAGATTTTCTTCCAGTCAATCATCGACAGCGCACCCTTGCTACCAGATCTGCGATATCTTGCAATAAAAACAATGCTTGACATTCCTTGGCAAGCACGTGCTACCATGCGCCGAAAATGGCGCGACAAGATGAAACGGGTTTTTCTTCGACCTTTCGTGCCCCCCAATTCTCACACAACACTGCGTCAACCAGATGAGGATGAGGCGGCTCTGTCGATGGAAACAGCCGAGCCGCCAGCGTCCACATCGCCCTCCCGCCGAAGCAGCAGGATTGCCTCCCACAGCCAAGTCTACGAGATTCGAGGTCGGCATGGCAAATCTATGCGTCATCAGCCTGGGAGCATCTCCTACAAAGAGCCCGACACGGACGATGAAGAGTTTGATTTCCCGGAAGGAAAAGCCGCGGAGAAGGATATTATGGAGAGTAGCACAAGCGCCACGAATGTTTCGTCAGTCGATCAGGACACATCTGGCGAGGAATTTCTGCATGGAAAATGCACAACCGTTAACGTCTTGTTTGACAATCAAAAAATACGCGAGTTCCAATACAGCATGGAGGACTTTGGCTCTGAAGAATCGGACTCGGAAGAGGAGTGGGACGGCGACTACGAAGATGATGAGCATGTCGTGGTCTTCTAGACATGCACTGCAAACAAACCCCACAGCCTGTGTGCCCTGATGTCTTCGCTCTGTAACAGTACTTTGGCAAAAAAATGAACAGCGAGTGAAGGGACAGCCTGACGGGCGCAGTTCCTTACCGCAATGGAAGCTCAATGAAAGAAATGCAATTACCTTGAATTAAACTTGCAAATTCTCCACAGGCACTGTCTCGTCTTTTTAATCGTCGAGTTTTTTGGGAATCCGTAGTAGCAGTGATACCGACCAGCATCCATGCACGGGGAAAACAGAACAAATTGCACAGTCTAAATTGCAGAAAACGTAAATGCCATCCATTTGTTTTACACAAAAAGGGGGTATACCTACCACCAATTTAATCTACACAATAGTAATCTACACAACTACCCTAGCCAAGACCCGGAACGCCAAGTACTACCCTTTTACCCAGTATATTATATCCGGATATGCTCATAGTCACCCTGCGACGGGAAAAGAGTGGGTAAGAGAGAACAGACCATCAAGAAGCCGTAGATACTCGTACAAATTTTGTGTCGGCAAAAAAGGGAACCCGCCCCCCCCCGGCGGGTTGTGATTTTGCAGACAGCCCGGCCATCAGAAGGCAGCACCGCCCATGCCTTCTCCCGCAAGATTTTTCATGCTCTTCTCGCTCAAATCACTTCGCAGCTCCCAAGCGCGAGACTCCCTTTCTAGCCTGTCCCACATGTAAAGTGACCTTCGGAGGCGTTCTTGTTTGACACGAAGTTCGTCGCGCACCTTCTCTTCCTCATCACGAAGCTTTCTGTAGTGAGGCTCGAGCTCACGAGTCACGCCCAGTGCAAGTGGTGTCATTGATGGATCAAGTTTCCCGCCGGGAATGAGCGGGGGCATGGTTGCCAGTAAGCTCTGCGCAAGGGTCTGCCGCGGACCGTTGCCATGTTGGGACGCAGGCCCTGTAGGGGGGTTGAATGGCCTCCCTTGAGTTGGTGTAGATGAGCCTGCAGAAGGCCCTCCTCGCGGTCCGGTAGGGATACTGGTGGAACCACCTGGTGTGGTTGGTGAGGGGGAGAGGCCGGACATCTGTCGAGAAGGTGTCTGACTCCAGCCGCCTCGTCCAGCACGAGAAGGGTATCCTCGCTGTGCTACATATCCTCGTGGTCCGGACGGGGGATTGGTCGGGCTGGGGACATCTGTGCGATGCGGCCCTGCCCCGGGGGTTTGTGGATGCCTAGAGCTCGGGGGCAAAGGAGACGACACAGAAGTGGACAAGGTCCGACTTGCGGAAGGCCCGGTCGGCGGTGCCCTCAAGGCAGCAGGACCACGCGGCGGTGACCTAGAGGCCGATGGGTGTTCTCCGGGGCCCGAACGAGGAGTGTCCCTGACTGAGCCTGAGCCAGAAGCGACGGTGCGATGAGGGGACTGCTCACGGGATTGTAACGGCGACCGTGCTCTGGTAGAGCCCGGGCGAGGAGAGGCCCTTTCCAAAGGAGGCTGAGATGTAATCGCTGATGAGACGCCCGATTCCCGGATTGGCGATGCCCGTCGGTACGTCTGATATCTCTCGCCCACACGGCTTTGTGAACGCGACCTAGGTCGATACCTAGCACCTGAAGGTGCCATCTTCACCGTCGGGCTCCTTTCACGCCTATCGCGGCCGAACGGCGAGCGTGACCACCGTCTGTGGGGATTCATCAGTTTCAAGTCCCCAATAGGCTCCAGTCATACCCAAAAAGACACCAACCTTTCATCACGCCTGTCAAAATCGCGCTCCCTGTCACGCGTGCGATCTCTGTCCCAATCCCGATCCCTGTCACGAACTTGATCTCTGCCTCGGTCCCAATCGCGGCGTGGAGATCTAGGACGATCGTATCTGTTGTCTCGAATGGGCGATTTCCTTCTAGAGGGACTGCGCCGCGGCGGGGGAGACCGTCTCATGGGGGAACGCGTGCGTTCTCGTCGTCGGGGAGGACTTTCCCGATCGCGTCGAAATCGATCACCACTTCTTGATCGCCGCCGCGGCGGATACCGCCCAGGGACATAGCTGTCGGACCCGGACATCATGGGACTCCTGGCGCGAGGACTTCGCGGTCGAGGGCTTCTCAGGCGCGGACTTCGTGGTCTATCTCTGATGGGACTTCTGGGTCGTCGAGGAGATCGATCCCCTACTGGCCCACCTCTCGGGGTTGGTCTCCAAGATTCACCTGCACCGTATCGGACAACCTCGCCATCGTCATATCTGCATAGTCCAGTCAGTCATGGTTCAAAGCATTGCACAGGAGAAAAGTTTACAAACGTCTAGCAAGACAGTTTGCGGGAAAGGCTCTCGCGTTTGGAGACGAATATATGAAGCCTTGAGGTATGGATAATGCCGAACCAACAGCATCCTATACATGAAATGAAGTGATCAGTAGGAATCAATTTCTTACCTTCGACCTCTGGAATCCCGGTCACGATCCATATTGAGGCAACACTGAACCTTACAGCGCGGGTTGTTTCGCGCAAACCACAGATCCTCAGTCTACCCGTCGTTCGAGGTTGAAGTTGGAAATACCCACCGGCGAATTTCTTAACCGGTTCCGAACACAGTGCAAATAGACAGTGCAAAAACAAACGCCTGATCTCATTCGCACAGTAAATAAATCATGTCACAGGAAGACTTGGAGACTACGCACGATCTCGTGAAACAAAAAAAGCAGGCTGGGAGGGTTTACAGGAGGGGGACACGAGAGACGAATAGAACATATCTGTGCAGTAAAACTCCTTTCAGCCTTACTCGAGACTCGCATACCTCAACACCATATTCAAATGCATCCCAGCCAAGCCAAAACCCCACCCCCAACTCATCATGGGTTGTTCTGCTTGCTCGCCAAAAAACAGGCTTCCACATCTTTTGTTTGGCAAAAGGAAAATACGAAATTGGTGTAATCTTCAACCTTGCCCCACACCACGAATCCCATTCCCATCAAATTCGCCCTCTTCCTCTGTCGTATCGCCTCGACTTGTAGCCGAAACTCGTGAGAGTATCCACTCTTGCACTTCGTCTGCGTGCTCCTGCATCATCTTATTGAGCCCGAGTTTGGGACTGCGAACAACTGTGCCGAATCTGCGCTTTTTTACCTTCTTGGTCAAGTCATGATCTGACCAGCATGCGTGGTCTCCGGCAACATAGACCCTAGAATTCTCCTTGTACCATAGTGAGAGATCCGGGTCAATGTTGGACTTGACGGGACGCAGATTTCCGGTGACGAAGTTTACGACGCCAGATAGCTTCGACTTGCAATCTACAGATATTGTTAAAAGTCTGTCCATATGACGTTACCACGAAGAGTTCCTACCTCTGTTGATTAGAAGCACCTTGACGCCCAAATAGGCGTTGCCTACACCCATAAGAAAGATCTCGTCTGTGTCGTACAATTGCATAAAGTTATCCCAGAGATAATTCATCAATTGTTGGATTTGTTCTTGCAGAACTCGTTCCCTATATCCTGGGATATACGAGTCCGTATCCTGGTTATGTGTTAGCAGTTTCTGATGTTTGCACGTCTTCGACATCAACGCAGCATACCTCATCTTTAGTAATGTAAGCTGACACATTTATGTCCATGATCCCAAAGTTTTGGCTGACAGCCCAGTCGATATATTGAGTTACCCCATCGACCTAAAACTGTCAGTTTGGGAATGACATCGAATGATTCAACTAGTCAAAACTCACTACCCAAGCATTATGTGGCTCCAGTGAAGAATCAACGGCATCTGGTTGTGCCAGCAATTGAGGGCTAAGCAAGTCAAATGTTAGACACCCCAGACTTGTACCTCCAACGTCACTATTTTGACAAATGAATTACTTACGGGTCATGTATGATGATCAGCATCCTCCTTGAATTGTGGAGGTTCGGCGTGACAAGGACTTGGTTCTCAAAAGACTTGTACAGCTGGTCCCTTTGGACATAGAGAGGAATCATGTTGTGCTTCTCCTGTAAAACCAGCCGCTGTGCACTCCGTATTACGTCGTGCAAACGATTGGCGTTGAGAGACTGGACAGCAGGAACGTCGACTATGCCAGGACGCATACACTCCCAGTATGGAGCCTGATAAGCCTGGACCTTGGCCAGCGTTCGTGCGGCTTCCTTGTTTAGTTTGGGTATAGTCATTTTGGGCGGCGGCTCCCCCATGAGGGTTCGTGCGACAGCCACTGCAGAATTTGAAATTGCAGAAAGATTGTATCCGCCCTCGAGGCACACGGCCACTTTGCCGTCTGCCAGCGACATGAGCATGTGTGTCATGTGTGCATAGCACGGGGGTGTGACGAAACATCCACCCAACTCGTCCCCGTCTGCGGCATCAAACCCTGCAGAAATGACTACCAGATCTGGATTAAACTCTTTGGCGATAGGCATAACAATCTTTTGAAAGGCAGCCATGTATTCACCATCCCCCATGCCCTGGTCATGCCAGCCAATGTTGACGTTTTTGCCCAACCCAGGGCCGGCACCGCAGTTCTCGAGGCCTCCGTCTGGGGTGTCCGGGTTTGGAGGTTTTCCGGGATAAAAGTGTCCATTTTGATAGACGTGAATGGAAATGTAGAGCACATTGGGATCCTCGTAGAAGATGTTTTGTATGCCATTTCCATGATGAACATCCCAGTCGAGAACTAGAATTTTGCGGCAGACATCAGAGTAATCTTGCTGGCAGACACGAACGGCGACTGGTACATTATTGAAAAAGCAGAATCCCATTGGGGCATCGAATTCGGCGTGGTGTCCCGGGGGCCTGATGACGGCAAAAGCGTTCTTGACCTGTCCAGCCACGACGTTCTTACATGTATCGATTGCGCCGCCGGCGGATAGAAGAGCGGCAGGGTAGGACATGCTTCCGACATAGAGCGACTCACGGCCCTGATCGTATCTTTTGGTCAGCTCACGCAGCTCTGAGGTGCTCAGCTTATCCAGGTTTTCAACCCAGGTCATGTGTTCCGAGGAGTGTGCCAGGCAGATCTCTTGGCGAGTGGCGGCACGGGCAGGAATCCTCCACATGTACCGCGTCGGGCATTCCTTGATGATTTTGGGCAGCTCGGCCTCTGGCCCTGCATATATCAGGCCAGCTCTTTTGAAAGCCTTGAAGATCTCGTGAATGCGCCGAGGGTCTTCAGGGTGGTGAGCGTTTGGGCTAAAATCGGCATTCATATGCAGCTTCATGCGATCATCGTAGCAGCAACCAGTTGGGAGAAGTCCACGCCGCCGAAGCTGCTCTAGGGCCAGATCTTGCGGGTCAGAATAGACTTGGCGGTCACGGTCATCGTAACCGGCGTCTTCGGATGCTGTGTCATCATCGTCTCCCTGCACAACACTGTTGTCACGGCTGGTCCCGTTTGTCATGTCGGCATCCCCCATAGGATGATCATCTCCCTCCACTTCCATTGTCGAACGGTTGTCCGCAATAGAGCAGATGAGAATATCGGAGCACGGAACAATGAGAGCGGGAGAAGAAAGACCACAGCAGTGAGAATACGCAGCCGCAGACCTCTGATGCCGAAGTCTGCCAAGCTGAGCTTCTTGGACGACGTGGGGATCACTGCCCGGCGGCAGGACCCTGAGGCTCTGGACACTTGAGTTAGCAACCGGTCTAGTCTAATCAGGCATGAGCGGTTATTTCGAAAGCGCAAGCCAAGGTCGCGTTGCTTCAGAAACGCAACCAGACTTGCGTGAAGCTGGCACCAGGGTGAGGCGAGGCATGCACAGAACAGACGTTTGGTCCTTTCCGCCCACCCGGCCAAAACAAACGAGGCACAAAAAATAGCTGCAGAGGATGATATTCGGCAACGGGCCGTGGGAGAAGCATACACACGGCCGAATCGTGAGTGTGCATAGGTCACCAGACCTCTCGTCTTACCTGGACGAGCGTTCCTATCGCCAGGATGGGTTTCGGGTGTGGCTGCCGCAGAGAAATGTCATGCAGAGCAGCGGCAGGGCATCAAGAGAGCGAAATGCATGTGTTGTGTTTTGAGTGAGCGGCCTCGCGCAGCATAGACGACGCGCCCCCGAGCTGTTGAGCCTGCCCGTTGGATGCAGCAGGCCTGCGCACTCGAGCGTGGTGTCAGTCAGTCAGTCGTCTGTGTGTGCCGTGACTCGTCGCCGCTCATCGAGTGTCTGTCTGGTGCTCTGTGGTGGTGTGAGATGCGTGTCCAGGTCCATATGGACTGGTCCCATGTGTGGCGGCTGTGGCCGGCCAGTTCCCAGTTCCCAGTCCCTTGTCCGGTATGGTCTACTGGTCTGCAGTCACGGTCAACTCCAGTGAGTCTCAGCGGCCCAGCTGCAGTTGCCCTGACGGCACCGGCGCCAACACTTGGACTTTACCAGTGACTAGCGCTTCAAATGTTGGCTCCCGCGCCTCCTCCAGAGCCCACACCCTCCTGAGCTTATCAAAACGGCGTCGTCCTACATTGATGATTGCACTCGTGCAGCACCGGCACGACACCGGCTTAAATGCGCCAGTCCCCTGTATGATGTAGTTGTCTATATTCTCTAAGCCGAGTACTCTGTCCTTGAGGCTCTGCCGACTGAACTACAAGTGAAAGTGTACATACACTTCTGCGTACAAGATGGCATTTCTCAGCAAATATAATTTACCATCCTGTCACCAGAATCGGAGCGCGGCAATCTTGCGCTACCCTTTGTCACGGGATTCAAAACGTAGCCTGGTTTATGTTGCGCGAAGCGCCAAACGAACTCGTTTGCTACCTTGAAAAATGAGATATTCCCCATACATAGTTGGCTTAGATGTGATACACATTTCCCACAGAGTAACTGTCCCGAGCATCACCCAGGCACCTCTCTCCAGCGAACCCCGAACATGAGACGTCAGCTTCGCCTTTAATTGACGGCACCCAAAGGCGTTGCCGATGCCGTGAGCCGAGATTCCGCCGACAACCGCAAATAGTCGTCTAGGAACGCTCCGTCATCACCTCTGGGCGAGTAGCGAGAATATGACTGGATTAATCTCGACCCCTCTGGTAGCTGTCCGGTTGGACTGGCATCACCCTGCAATCGAAGACGGTCTTCATCCCGTTCATCATCAAAATCGATGATGCCACCGGCGTCGTGCTCTGCCAAGTTGACCATCTTATCTAGCCAGCTCCTCTCATCCAAGGCACAGCGGATAGCAATCTGGATGGACTCCTGGTCCGAGGTAAAGTTTGGATGCCGAAGCTGAATTTCCGTAATCAGTCGTTTTCTGGGATAGCTGTAGATATTGTTGAAGTAGTATAACAGATCCTCGGGGCCTAGCTTTGCATACGTCTTGACGATACGGCCCCAATGACTTTGGTCATTCCAGCTTGTAGCCAGGGACTGACTCCTGCCAACATCTTCAACCAGAGGCGTCTGTATAAAAGCCTGCACGACCACGTTATTATAAATTACCTTTTTTGGAAATGACACTCTTTAACCCATACCTGTTGTTGACTTGGATCCAGCCGAGGGCAAATATATTGCAAAATCATGTCCTTGATAGTTTCCAGAAAATCCATCAACTCTACCAGTTCGGCCGTCGAGTGATACCGCATCTGACTTGTACGTATATCGTCCACAAAGGGCTCAGGGTGGCCAACTCGAGGCCGGGGAAAGTCGCCATGAAAATAGATACCGTACAACCACCACCTGTACAATGCCCTCCGGAAACGCAATTGCTCGTGAGGGCGAAGAAAGCGACAGTCTTCAGGCTGATGAAACCATCGCATCTGCGGAAACAGCTCTTGCCACTCGCGCACTACGCGGCATTGATTGAGAAGACCGTCAAGATCAAGTGTAGTCAAAAAGACAGTGTCGGGACTTGATCCTGATACTTTGGGCGTGGGTCGAGAGTGAGTGACGTGCGTAAAGCTGCCATCAACTGGGTCTCCGGCGAGACTTGAAAAGGAAATCCCATTGCTCAGAACCAATCCTTCGTCCCCGGCAAATCGTCGCAACGCCACCTTCCTTGGCTTATACAGGCCACCTCTGGTGATATCGCCGGCTGAAGCAGTGTATACCTGGACAAATTCGTCAAAAGGGCTAAAGTCACGCATGAGAACTGGTAGCAGAATATCAACTTTTCGTCGCTGGAAGAAGATGAGGAATTCGGAATTTGTAAGCGAAAGCTCAAGAATGGACCGAAGGTCCAGATGCTGATAGATGTCGAGAAGAATCTCAACGGGCAAGGCCGCAAGGCAGGCGAACTTTTTTGTCATGGCCGTCATTACACAAGATGTATAGTCAATATCGGTGTGATGAGACCAGCGAGTTTTTATGGTTGTGGAGTTTTGCCAGGTATTGGCCGTCTTCTCTGCTCCAACTCCTACTTTGTTGCCATGTAAGGATTTTTGGCTCGTTTGTCTTTTGTGTCCTGATGTTAATTTTTTTCTTCCTTTTTTATTCTTGCAAATTTAGACGCCTACAACCTATCAGCGGGACTTTATGTCCTCGCATTGATAGGAGTGAGGATTCCACTTCTACGAGGAAATATCAAACTCGAATCGACGCGGCAACTAGGTCTCGAAACGAGTTAGTCCAGGTAAACTCCAGAGTGACACCATGTTCGTACCTGTTTTGAGTAACATGGTGTATATATGAAAGACCACAAAAGCCTACTACCGTGGTGGTATATTGCGAAGGCCAGCGTCGACACTGCCCAATATAGTTCTACAAGCTGCTGTCTCAAGCTTAATTGAGGAGAGCAGAAGTAGTTTAACCCTTTGGCACAACCGAAAGGATTGATGAGGAAAGGTGTGATATTGCTGGAGCTTCTTTGCCCCCGAATTGCTTCGCGATGACTCGATAGGCACCGGAAGCGGGAGTGCGGAGGGTTTACTGTTCTGCGACCCCAGCGTTGGGGCTCGGGACTGGGCAGACGAAGCCAGGACGGGTGGAATTAGAAAGCGCGCATGCGCATGCTGTTTTTGATGATGAACGATTCACTATCGCTGGAACCATGATTGCGGGAGTGATTTGGGGAACTGGCATTGGTTATCCGTGAGATCAATGAAATGATGGAAGGGAAAAAGCTGGGGAAGGGGGCGAAGAAACATGCTGGAGAGTACCGAGTACCCAGACCGTGGCGTGATTTGAAAACGAAACCCCCACCGCGGCCCCCACCCCTTTTTTTCCCTTCCCCCTCCAGGCGGCGTGAGCTACAGAATGCCGAAATGTCATACTTCTCGTGTCTGCTTTCTCCAATCTTCATTGTGCACATTCAGCAGTTTCATAATGCGTAAAATTGGCTGGAGAATATGACATGCCACGAGACCCATTCTTTTCAGATTCGACTTCAAGGATACCGGCTCGTCTTGCTCATACCGTGTCCCTGAGTCAGGAGTCATCAGCAATGCCAACATATTTAGGTTTCAATTTTTTCCAGTTGGCCACGCTTTGGTTGTCTTTTCATTTTCCTTTTGCCTCTGCAAGTCAAGCGTTAGTCTCGCCCTGCAGCTATCAGACACTTGACATGAAACTATTGACTCCGACGCCATTGTTGACGCAGATCCTCCATCGTGAACTCCGCCAGCCCGCCTGCTTGCAACCCCCTACGCAAACAGAGACTTGTTACTGAGCTCGTCTTTGGCCCGCTTCTGGCCACCGTTAGATCGTAATCCTAGCTCGCCCTTTCTTGATAACCTGTCCATATTCTGTTCTACTCGGGCATTGTGCCTGGAAGCCTTAGCCTTGCGAAGATCAGACCGTAGTTGATTGGGCGAAATGAACTCTCGGTTTTCGTAGAGTATCGGTCCACCAAAAGAACCTTCTTGGATGACGATAGGTGTGAGCACAAATCGAGGGCCAATTTCGACGAGCTTGATTTCGGTGTCGCCAGCTCTGCTACTCGCACTGCCCTTTGGTTTCTTGCTCTTGCCATCGTCGCCTGGCAGCGCCAGCGAGGATTCTTCCTCGCTGATTTGATAGTTTCGTACCCAAATTTTACCGTCGGCGAAGCTGAAGCCCATGACGTGATCAATGAAGGGCTTGGACTTTCGCGCTCCTTGCGGTACTCCAAATGTGTGGAGGAACAGCTCTTTGATGACGCGGAGATGAGGCTGGCTGTCAAAGGCAGCATCAAATGACAAGATTGGCCGCGATCCCTTTAGACAGTTCCCCGTGAAGTGCAGTTCTTCCATTGTATGCACTGTCCAAAATAACATTAGCAGCGGCAGCAAAGAATGAGCGAGTGGAGACGCACAGTTCTGTAGATGCATTTTGATAGCTGGACCATTCGGCACCTTGCTTAGCCAAACATACAAGTCTTTTCCTTTCCTGGCCTCGAAAAAGAGGACATTATTGCAGTTGTAAAGTTCGGCAAGTTCATTGAGCTCGTTCAGCTTGGATTTGGAGTCAAACTTTACATCCTTACGACCGTGCGGCAACATCGAAGCAATATCATTGAGCAGATGTCGGTGTCTGGACAACAAGACATACGGTTAGAACCTGCAAGCTCTTTTTTTTTGGGAGGGAAATGCACCGACCTGTAAGTCACACCACGCGAGGAGAGGATCAACACCCGTTGCTTGTTCTTCTTGACACCTTTATTCGCCAACTCGGGCTTTTGCCCATCAGTTCTCGATAATGATTTGTAGACGGCAGCCATTTTCTTTATATGACCTGCGCCGTGATTTTCCGGTAGCAAAGTTGAATCTCGTCAGCACCTGGCGAAGCGATGGAGCTGGCAAACACGTCGGCAGTGCCCAAGGAAAATTGGAAAGCTTGTTGCTGTTATCGATAAGCTATATTCACTAAATACGGTACGGAGTAACTACATAGTTGGTCATCATTAAGGCAAGACCCACCACTTCTTCTGCACTACCCTACAGCCACTGGTCTGGACGTACATCTTGGCAGATCCTAGGTGGTGTTGGCTGGCCGTTGATACCCACATGGAAGTACCCTTCAAAGAGGACAAGGAAACTCAAATGGCATATCATGGCGTCAATGGAAACATAAGTCTTTGTTGCACGGAATGAACAGGGGCTTTAAATCATTAGGGACTCATTCAGCTGCTATACGTCAAGAGGGCAACCCTCCTCTCGTAGTGATCGTCCAACGCACCGACCCAATTCATTGTCATGACAAAGAACAAAAAGAAAGCCAAAGTGTCCGCGCCTTCTAATTATGAATAAAGACGTAATCACCGTTCCTCATTTCCTCAATTCTGCGCCGAAAGACTCTTCCCATGTGTGACATGCGGCCCCCCCCCCCCAGCTGCGCGAGACACGTAGTAAATATCTCAAGTCCGTGCGTGGCTGTAGTGAGCTATGCTACGATTGACTAGCAGCATTTGCCGCCCTTCGCGGACTCGTCATCGGCTGGCTTGCTGAGCGAGATGTTGGTTCCAGCGCCAATCGTAGCCTGAGCGCCATCGCCACTATCGAGAGCCTTACTGGACACGATTCGGTAGATTTCTAGGTTGAAGATTGGTTGTTAGAAGCATTCGGGCGACAAACCATGTCTACATGGCATGCCAATGAAAAAGTTCCGTACCAGTGAGAATGTTTTGGAAGGCAAGCTCAACGTTGCTAGCATCCAAGGCTGACGTCTCGATAAATGACAGGTGGTTTTCACCTGCAGGAGGTCTGGTTAATGCATGCCAAAAAGAATATTTGGCGAACGCGTATCTAGCTCGGATCGTACGTACTAGCAAACGACTTCGCTTCTTCAGTGGGCACAGCTCTCAGATGCCTCAAATCGCTTTTGTTGCCGACGAGCATAATGACAATGTTAGCATCGGCGTGATCCCGCAGCTCCTTCAGCCATCGGGTGACGTTCTCGTAAGTCTGATGTTTGCTGATGTCGTAGACGAGCAGGGCGCCGACAGCACCGCGGTAGTAGGCAGACGTAATGGCGCGATAGCGTTCCTGTCCAGCAGTGTCCCAAATCTGTGCCTTGATTGTTTTGGAATCAACCTGAATCGATCTGGTGGCAAATTCAACACCGATGGTGGACTTGGAATCGAGGTTGAATTCATTTCGGGTGAATCGGCTGAGAAGGTTGGACTTTCCGACTCCAGAGTCTCCGATCAAGACCACTAGGTGATGGAAGTGTTAGCCCTGCCGCGCGGTAGAAAAAATCCATGCGAAGCTGGCCATTGGGGTTGGCAGTGGATGTACCTTTGAAGAGAAACTGTCACGGGCGGCAAAGTCAAAGCCCCTTATCGTTAGCGATCGCGCAGCAACACTAAAGCGGGAAGCGAGGGGGCTTTCATACATCATATTCGTCGTTGGCCATGGCAGCGGTTTCGAAATTGGGCGAAGAGTTGGATAGACAAAGTGTTAAGGAGCTGTGTCGGCGACAGATGTGCAGAATTGCTAAGGGAGACGGTGTATGTCAGTCGTAGAAGTGAAGTGGTGGATGTGTATGCAGGTATGTGGAGGGGAACCGTGGCAAGGCCCAAGGTCAAGGCACTAGAGCGCTGGGGTCACTTGAGCGTGCATGTGCTGATTAGCTACTTAAGTACTTAAGTACCTAAAGCCACTGTGTTTTCCAGGCACCGGCGGACGGCCGAGTTCTTTGGGCATAAGCATATTCGCTTGAGCAATCCTGTACCTACTTACTTAGGTTGATACCAGGTGGTAAAGTATGCTAGACGGCGCACGAGCGACTGCCTTTAGATGAATGGCACCGTCTTTGAGTGTAGTGCCAAAGTGCGTTTTATCGCCTCGAGACAATATTGAACCAGTGTTGACTTCTGGAACATTGAACTGTCCACGTCAAGTCAAGGGTCCGGCTCAGGCAGTTAACAGCCGACGGAACGGGGCGGAAAATGTCGTGGACTGATTGGTGGAGCTGCCGACCAGCACTCACAGACACCGTCACCAACAATGGCGAGTTATTCATTCATTGACTGGTCAACAACTCAACGCTGCAGTTCAACATGCACCGAAAGGTGGTGCAACGAGTCCAAGGATTTCTTCGGACAAGGCCGAGTCGATTGTGCTCGGCACGGAGGCCCTGGGTCTTTGTTGCTCTGGGCAAGGACCGAATCATCTCCAAACGCTCGAAACTGCACATTGCATCTGGCTTTCATGTCAACATTGAACCCAGCCTGCACGAGGCAGACCAGAACCCAATTTTCCGAAACATAGTGTCCCCATGACAATCCACCATTACTTGTCTGATGAAGCCTTTCGAGCTGGCGCTTAAGTTAGGTAGGTACCTACTTAGTAAGAAGTAACTACTTAAGTAAGGACTTCGTACTTCGTATCGCCCAACCTCTGGCTGGTGGTCATCCAAACACTCACCAAAATACATTTGTTACTTACCTAGGTTCCTAGGTACTTAAGTACTCAAGTATAAATGCTAAGAACCTAGGTACTTACTTACTTGACTAGGTACTTAGGTACTTACTTACCCAGGTACTTACTTAAGTTCCTCTGTTCTTAAGTCCTTACTTGGCAGGTTAGGCCCTCTTACCTGCCCTTTGAGGCCTGGCATTCCAAGGCCCAACTGTCAACTGTTTGGCAGCTGGCGTGAACCGCCTGGAGTGTACTCATCAGACTTGGGTGGCCAGATAGGCACTGGACTGCGTACACATTTTCGCGTACAGTCTCTTTGAGCCGTTCGGTCAAGTTCAACGTGACGCTACTTCGATATTCTGGAGTGAAAACGATACAATTTTCGTGGGCCATTTCGTCATCTTATTAGCAAAGGTTCCAAGCGAGGCTACGTTTTCTTGCTTGCACGCACTTACTTAAGTACTTCACGACGAGGAGTCAGAGATATAGACGCAGTTGCTTGCAAGGTAATTCCCCGGGCTTGCAGTCATAAAACAAGGTCACAGTCACTAAATTTACGAATGCGTACAGGTCTAATCCGGATTTTATTGACAGTTACTCGTCTTTTCGCGCTAATGACTCCAAAAGTCTCTTCTCCTTCTGGCACCTCTTCAGAGGAGAACCTGTCCTTATCCTCTGAACCAGTTGAAGCTCATCCACAAGAAGAATGGCCTGTACGCAGAATCCTCGCGGAAGCAAAAGTCCAAGGCGAGATCAAATACCTGATAGATTGGGATGGCTTCGATCTATGTGATGCTACTTGGGAGCCAGTCGCAAACTTGAGCGAGGGCCTCTTAGCAGACTGGCTGGCCACTAAGAAGATAACTGGCCAGAGGGTAGTGCCAGGTTTCAAGATTCATCAATGGAGGCAAGCTGTGAGCGACGACATTTGTGCCAAGTTTGCAAAACATGCAAAGAGAAACAAGCGAAGGGCACTGTTGGGCTTGGAGCAAACAGAGCTGGACTGCACATTAGAGGAGTGTTTAAATTCCGTACAAGGCCCATCGGAGGACGACGACGAGTCTACAGACACGAATAAAGAGCCTACTCAGAAAGAATACACTCATCGCGATTTATCGTCGGCAGCAGACGAGCCCAGCACAGTCGATGAGAAACAATGCAGGGTCAATGAGCGATTAGCCGAACGGAAGGCAAGAAACGTTGGTGAATCGAAAAGGAGCCCGAAGACGAGGCCTTTGTTGACTCAAGAAGGACCAGCCCTGCGGCTGGAAGATGAAACGTCTCATAACCCCTCTCATGACCTCTCAGAATTTTCACATGAGTCTCCCAGGAACCAGAAAAAGTCGCTGTCACAGGAACTTCAGGCCGGTCCATATGCTTCAGGTTCGCCAAAAACTACATCGGGCCCCGTGTTTGAGCCCAGAGGGACACGAAATCAGTCAGAGTCACCCCAAAAAACTGCTGTCAATGCCACTCCGTGCAGGACGTCTTGCGTTGCCTCAACGGTCATGCCAAATGTTTTCGTTGGTGGGAAGAAGCGAAGAGCTCGAAGAAATCTGCTAGATGTGGTGTTTGACGCTAGTAAATCACCAAAGTTTCTCAATCATCACAAACGACGCTTGATAGAGAAAGGATTGAGAGACAAAGAGGGCATAAGACCTCCAAGCCAAGGGGGAAACTCGTTTCCAGCAGTACATCCCATGCAAAATACTGCGCAAGCCATAAACACAACGCTCAAGGGTGGGATAAATAGAGGAATTCTCATTGCTCAAGGTTCTCCGAATCGCGCTATACCAAAATATAGCGGACAGAAAAAGAGGGTACGTTGGGAAGATGATCCTCTCTATCAGGAACAGCAAGCCCAAGTTGAGTTGGAGTGCCTTGTTGCAGATGAGCCACCAGCCACAGCTCCGAAAGCCGATTCCTGCATCATCAGAGGTCCCCCAGAGTCTCCTTCCAAAGGAGTTCTTTCACCTGGTCCAGCGCGGCTTGCCTCGGGCTGCGACCATTCTACAATCTCTAAAGCATGTCAGTTTGGGGACACAGAAGGCTTATTCACAACGTTAGAATTCATATGTCTGATGACAAAGAGCAAGCCTTTCTGGTCTCGTTTTTCGAAGATTTCAGAGCGGCTAGTATTCTGCCATGTCTGCACTATACTTGATCTCCTGTCACAATCAGGATGCGGAACGCTTGAGGAATTAAGCATTTGCCAAGGTACAATTTCGTGCGGTGGCATGGAAAAGTATGCTGTTATGTCGGTAGCCAAGAGGCTGCAATCAGGATGCTTTGGTGCATTTTGTTATCAAAATGACCTCTGTGTCCTCATCTACTGCTCGCCTTTTCTAGACCGGCTAGATGCATCTCATGACATCGTCAGCTCACACTATGGGGACCCGGGACTTGGATTCTCGATCTTCATACCGACTCCTGTGTTCACAAAGTCAATGCTTATCTCAGCTAACCCTTTATTCTCAAATGTGCCTGAAGTCATTCCCGACAGGCTTGGTGCATTTGACTTTTTTCTTGGAACCTCATGCAAGGAATGGCTGCTAAGTCGAAGAGATGGCAAGGCTATAAAAAGTATCTTTTTGGTATTTCCACCATCATACCATCAAGAAGCTGCACTAATTTCACAGTGGTTGCGGGAATCAATATCCAATTGCGATATAAAATCAAGCCTGCAGCCCGGCCAGTGGTCTAACTTTTTGACTCTTGACAGTAGAATTGTCATCTTTCATGAAGAAGTTGTCTGGACCATTCCATCACTGCCCAGTATATCGAACATTCTTCACAGCCAAAGTTGGAACCTTGATTGTTTTGTGCTGTCTCCCTCCGGAGAATTTCGACAAAGCAATCAGCAATTCAGCCGTACTAGGCCAATAGAAGACGGTTACCGTTTAACTCGAGTCTTTTCTCAGGGGAGAGTAATATTGCTCACTCCGAGCTTCGTTGTGTCCCAACCAGAACAAGCTTACAATTTTTTGAAATGGTTTTGGAAACAATATGATGACTGTGGTTCAAAGAATGGGCCTTCAAAGTTGGCTGTATGCGCCAACATATGCGACTGGTTGTTTAATCTATCGCAATGCAAGGCTGTCGAATTGGGAGCCTCGGAACAGTGCAATTCGGGCAAAAGGGCAATGGCCAAAGTGGTTCAAGTGCTGCTCAAGTGTTGGAATCTCATGCAGTACATCACCAAAGAATCAGAGAATTTCGAAGAAGGACCACTAGTATATGCGCCCGATGTATTGGATGGAAATGATGAGCAGAGCCTAGTCAACTGGTTTGGTTCCTGGACAATGCTACATATTCAAAAATTCAGGAACTTCCTTGTACTGGGATCCAGCTACCAAACAGAAGCCAGGCTGTCACGGGTTATTCAGCCCGTCCAACTGGTAACGTGCTGTACAGAGCATCTCTCCCATCAAGACTCTCCAACAACACCAACATCGCAGGAATTACCATCGAGAGTGGATAAGGTGATCCCAGAAGTTAGTCTGGTCATGAAGGTGGAAGAGTTCCTCACGCACATAGACAGGAGCAATGAAGATTTAGGCTTCTCCCCGTTGGTCTTGTATCGGTCCCCAGTCACTTATTGGGGGCAAGGAACTAGCTCACAATCAGAAGACTGTTACTCATACTTCAAAAGCTACGACGACTGGTTCGATTATTTTAAGGGGCCCTTCTTCTCAAGAGCGATGGACTTGAGCTCGATGGACATGCTACCACATTACAAAAACACCTATTTGGGCCTTTTCCACACCAGAGAAGAGAAACCAGGTTCTCCTTGCTCTCCATCTTCCAAAGGTCATGTTCAAATCGCTCGTCCGTGGATAGCTATTTACAGACCTGCTGAAATTCACAACAAGCCTTGGAAGCGGATGGAGTTGTTGATCTGGGACCCGTACCTTCGCTACAGTAAATCTCGGAGCAGTGAAGTTTACCAAGGAGAACTTCTTGTTGCCCAAGAAGAACTTGTTAGATATATCATGGACAGGAGTCAAGATTCAGAAATCACCCTTCCTCTCGAGCGAGTCTGGGTTGGGCCGTTTGCCGACTACCAAGATGACGGGTTTGTGGATCCCTTTGATTGTGTGTTGAGCTGGATCAAAAACATCTCTGGCCTAGTGAAACAACGGCTTCCTTTGTCGGGAAATCAACTTCCGTCTCGCGGGTGGAAGAGGGTCAGCTTGGAAGTATCGTTCATGAGGGCCGCGGGAAGCAACGTTCTGGGGATGATATCGGAGACTCAATCTGCTAGAAAGCAGTCTCTTCCGCTCCGGACAGTGTTCCCGGCCCCCAAGCCGATTACAGGGGCCATAACATCGTCGAAATGCAACAACCGTTTACAAGAGGCGATGCTGAGATACCAGGACGCCAACGACATACCTTTCACCTTTCAACCAACTCTAAAATGGTATGGCGAGCAGGTGATGGCAGGCAGGGGGCTCCAGCACATTGAAGTCACGGACTGGCAAACGTTTTTCGCCCGGCACAAAATTCACAACCCCGAGGATTAGGGTGCACAGATGCAGGTTGCAGAATTGCACCGAAGCAGGGTCAAGTGGGCTGACAAGTCTCTAGCTTGTGAAGCATTGCTAGGCACAGCGGTGAGGGGGCATTTATTAGGCTGGCAAACAAACGAGTTGCTCACGGCTTCCTTTGACAGAAATTCGCTGCTAAAACACGGTAGAATCAAATCTACTGGTTCGTAAATAGTTTTTATAGTATACAAGCGTCGTTTCCCCCACCGGTTCATAAGAAACCGTCATCTTGTTGAAGCGGGAAAATTTCTGGTGCTCAAAAGGACTCCCTTGACGCGCCTGATGTTATCCCTGACTTTGCGAATCTCATCTTCTGGTTCATTTCTTTTCGCGGATCCATATATATCAAAGCCGCCGACATACTCAGTACGTCCCTCGTACGTCATGCCGTCGAGATCGTCACGGAGAAGATCTAACAAGGTCTTGACATCCTCAAACCCCTCGCTTTGAGCGCGGAACTGGTCTTTGACAATGGAGACAGACTTAGTCAGGGACGTCAAGATATCGGCATGGGACTTGGATGCAGTCTCCAATGCTTTAGGTGCCGGAGTACCATTCCGGTCTATCAAGGACGTTTGCGTTCCGACATCGCGATGAAACATCTCTGAGGGGTCCTCGGCATCACTTCCGTCACTCCCTTCGGAAAGCGCGGGATTTCTGATGGCAGACGGGATCACGGATACCATCTTTTCGAGCTGGCCCACCAGGCTATCGAGTCGCTTGTATGTCACGTCGTGCAGTTCGATTCGTGCGTCAGTCAAGTTGTCAACCATGGGAGCAACGAGGTACTTGCTCGTTGCGTATAGGATGGCTGATAGGCCGGCAAAGGTGTACATGGTGTTGACGATGCCATTCTTGGTAACAAGCGGCGGTGGCCGTTCTGGCTTAACGAGAAACTCTGGGTATGTGACGATGGGAGGGCGGTTGCTGGCTGCGCTGGGTATTTTCGCGGTTTGCGAGGTGGACGTGGTTTGGGTGCTCTCTGGTTTGTAGTTGTCCTTGTGTACGGGAACAACTGGGTCAGCAACTAGTCAACTGCCGAGCATAAGCTACGTGGCGGGCGAGGGCGATTGGACTGACTTGTGAGGATGATTCTGAGTATCCGTCTGGATGTCCCAGCAACTGCTGTATGTCGGCCTCGCTGATGCCTTTGGACCTGAGAAACTCGGCTTTTTTCACGGGTGACGCCGACTTGATTTGGTCCTCGTCTAGGAAGCGGCGCGCAATTTGAAGCTGTTGATGGTAATCAGTCTGTTGAGCAAGGGGCTCCGGCTCGTTGGTGGTCTCGGCCGAGGCTTCTCGCTGCCACGCCGGGACAGATGCAGCAGGCTTCTTGTTCTGTTCCGAGTCCGCCATGCCTGGTTTGTTTGACGAGGCGTCGTGATGGACCCCAGAGCGTTTCTCGGTGAGGCAGGGAAGACTGTGGTTGGAGTCTGAGATGCCTCGGCAACAACCCAACGTCACCGAGTACGGACATGGTTGGTGGGTCACCCCCGTTCCTCCCAGCGCATGCTCAGCGCCTGCTCAGCGCTTGCCAGCGTCAAGGGTGGCCGGCGACTCCACTGCATTCACTGTATTCCGTGACCGAAGGCCGCCTCCACCAATCAATGGCCAACGGCAACGAATGGCACATGTGCGGGTTGCGATCTTCAACCGCGTCCATGACACACGCTCTTGATGATATCGCATGCCCAGAGTCCCAGACCTCGAGCACCCTGAACATCCATCTTGGCCTTGTTCATCATTGACTTCACCTCACCTCCTGTCAGGAGGGTCGCTCCGTAGGGTCAATCATTCTTCTCGATTTTCTCCTCGACCACTATGACTCAACCCGCGACGTAGCGCCCCGAAACCTACTTTATGTATGCAACCCGTTCTTTCGCATTCGTCAACGTCGCAACCGGGGTCACCGAGTACTTGAGTCCGATACTATAGAGCTGCGGACTCTATCTTCCATTGTCCAATCCATCCCGGCTACACACCAACGTGGCAGAGTGCCCATTGGTCAAGCGGGCGCGTTTGTGCCACCACCATTTGAAAGCCCAAGCAGGGCTGACTCTGTCGCGATAGCCGTCTTTCACATAGCAGGTGAGCCCATCTGCTCTGTTTCTTTTTGTTCATTCAGTATTGCTTCTGTTTTCTGCCCAGCCTGCCCGATATGCACTCCTAATTTCCTCAGCATCGTCTCGCGATGCGTAACCCTGCACTTTACAAATCGGCCTGACGACATCCTCACGAGCCTGCGACATTCCCATTCGTCTGGTCCCTTTGCCCTCCAACAACGTTGAGAAGAACTTTGCTGGAACGTCTTCTCAATGGCCTCTTTGGTCCTTGCTCAACAGATCTGATACGAGCCACAAAGCCGGGGTTGAGCCAATTGTGTGAAAACGTCGCAGCACTGAGGCACAAGCTGTGTTTGGAGCCCTCTGGCGCTCTGGCGCTCTGGCGCTCTGGCGATCTGATACCTTGGCCTTCTCCTTGCATGGCCAACCGGTCTGTCCTGTCGTGTTGAGCCCCGTCGCCTCGTCATTCGTGTGACGCGACTCAAAGGCCTCCCGCCTGTCGAACACTCGAGGCGCACGTGCAGCAACTTTTGGATGCAACGCTGGCCAATTAATTGACATCTTGGCGTGTCAAGGGCTCGAGTCCTGCTTGAGTGCTGCGCGACCTCGACCCGGTGACGTTTGCCTTTGGTCAGCCAAAAAAGCTGTACTATCAACCGCCTCGACGGCGAGCAAATCTCGGGAGGTTGCTGGTCATCTTTCCGACTTCCACGCCTCGAACTTGGAGTCGCCTTGGCCTCAGTGGCTATTGCTAGCAGCCCAGGCTTTTCAGCCGGGCCATCCCTCTTCCCTACATTGAGATTCCGTTCTGCAGCCATTGTAACCATGGCGTCTCGCCCGCGGCGTTCTGCCGCTACAAAAGCAAATGAGTCTATCTCGGTTCATGCAAAATGGGCTGACGCTAGTGACAGAAGTGAGCGCAATACAATGAGCTCCCGCCGATCTGGCCGCACCTCTGGTGAAGGTGCTTCACGGGACCTACCCTCGTCCCCCGACGAAAGCGTTACGGTCAAAACGACGTCCAGATCCACCCGTGGTGCCGCCAATCGACGAAGTGATCGTTTTGACGGAGGCGAGATTGTCCATGGCACTAGAAATCGTGGGGGCAGGAAGAATTATGTAATTGACTCTAGCCCCGATGACGAAGAGGAGGAGGAGGAGGAGGAGGAGGAGGAGGAAGAGGAAGAAGATGCTGAAGGTGACGATATTGAAGATGCAGATGAAGATGCTGAAGGGGAGGAAATGGAGGTTGATGTCGAGGGAGACGACATTGACGCTGAGGGAGAGGAGGATGCAGAAGGGGATATTGATATGGATACGCCGGTAGTCTCGCGTACGATAAGAGTGTCGCAGCCAGCTCCCAGGTCTGCTGCCAAAGTCGCTGCTACCAAGATGGCGGTTGACGAGGATGAAGACGAGGAAGACGACGACGACGAGGAAGACGACGACGACGAGTTGAGCGACCCTGCCGACAGTGAGGAAGGTGACCAAACAATGGGATTTGGTGATGAGACCATGGCCGATGAGGACGCCGAGGGGGAAGAGATAGAGGTGGCCGGGGAAGATGATGAAGAGGAGGAGGAAGGGGAAGGGGAAGGAGACGAAGATGCGGAAGGCGAAGAGGTTGGCGATGCTGGCGCTGATAGTGATGGAGGAGGCACTCGGGAAGGAACTCCTGATCTTACCAAAATGACGAAACGCCAGAGGGCAAGATTTGAAGAGGCACCCCAGGAATATATGAAGTTGTCTGATGGTAAGTGCACACGATCAGAGGAGCGGCGATGGTAGAAACTAGGTGGTATCTGACATGAACAACAGAGGTCCAAGTGAAGAAGCACTTCACTGCTGAAGAGCTGTCCATGAGACGGCAGGAAATGGCTCGTCGTCGTCGCAACCTCAGCGAGAAGCGCAACGAAGAGGTCAAGGTACACCCCACCGCAGTGTCATGCTGCAACTAGAAAGTTTTAATCAGTCACGTACCTGTATGCTGATGTAACAGTAGATGGAAACTATCAACAAACTCTTGAAGAAGCAAGCACCAAAAATTAACCGCAAGGCAGCAGCAGCAGCAGCCCGGGCTGACAGCCCGGCCGAGGAAGCCTACAAACCCGATCCTACTCTCATACGGTGGGTGAATAATAAACATGGAAGCAGAGTATCGGTACCTGAAGATATCATGACCGGACCGGTTGGGAGAGTTTTCTTGAAGGGCGGCGGTTTGGTAACCGGAAAGTTGGTCCAGGAAATTCCTTGAACAAACGTGGCAACATGTTCGACTTGACCCTTGAACTCATGATGGATGGAGGATGGAGACCCATCTGTATTGGAGTCAAAGGAAGGCTTATTAATCACCGGACGGTGACAGACATTCAAGGGAGTATATAGGTTTGAGGCTTTTTTGCACGGGAATATAGCTCCGACTCTAGTGAATTTTACCAAAGGCATGTGGCGCAAAGGCGACAACAACAAGGACAAAAAAAAAGAATACACGGTATACTCGAACGGACCACGATCTATGTTGCTTTAGTAGTAGTACCCGCCCAGTGTTGTATTTACTATTAAGTAAATACAGCAAGTGGCTTCGCCTTTGTGCGCCGAGATGGTGAAGCAGCGATGGAGCTACCTACTTAAGTACTCAGTACCAATCAGTGGAGGAACAAAAGCCTACGGCAGTGAAAGTATGCAAAAAGAAATAGTCCCGGGCTGTTGGGACGCAGCGAGCATATCAGGCCCTACTATTTCGACGTATATGTCATGTTGCCATGGTTAAACGGTGCGGTGCGGATGGCGGTGACGATGGAGACGTTCTGGTAGTCCAAACTTGCCTCCTCCTGCTGCTCCCGCTCCCGCTCCAGCTCCAGCTCCAGCTCCAGTCCCAGCTCTTTTTCTCCTCCTCACCTCGGCACTGGCTCAGTCAAAAGTCTACGAGAAACACTGAGTCGACTCGAATGGCACATCGTCACCCAGATTCCGCCACGTCGTTTCGCACCGCAAGCCAACAACAACAACAACAACCTCACCTCACGTTGTCCTCACCTGGCAATCACCATTCCAACCCTTCCATCCCCCCAGCCACTTTAAGTCCAACATGGCGACGATATTCATTGCTACCACTGCTTCCGTTTCTTTGCCAATTGTCCCTTTCTTTGCCCGTCGTCTGCGGGTTCCTAGATAGTCGTTGTCGAGCTCCTCTTGGTTCTGAAAGAGCTCTTTCAGCTGATACACCCTTGCCCCTGAAAGCAGACAACCTACTTATTATACATATCCTATCGTTTTTCTAAACCAGAGGCTATGAGCCATAAGTCCGCTAAAACCCTCGTGTGCGTGCCTATCTCACCGACCTCCAGTTGTAGGAGGTACATGTTCGGGAAAATGGTCGTCTAGAAGTTGATCAATTTATACATCTACAACGCCCACGACGACGAAGAAATTGACCAAGTACCTCGTTGAGTGTCTTGTTGGCGAGTCTTTTCAAAATGGAGCAATATTTTCGCCCTCCGAATTACCAGCTTCAGCAGGTGCGCGGAAATGCTCAGCAATACTATCCTAACATGGCAGCGGCCGGCCACAACTTTCGCCCTCCTCTGGTAACCCTAGATTCTCTGTGTTTTTGGCTCTACGAACGAGAAGAGGTGAAGGGGAGCTAACAAGAGGCATTTTCAAGGATTCTACCCGGGAAATATACGCGAGCAGGAGCAACATGAGGTTCTCGGCCGGAAACATCCACGACGTGAATAGCAACATGGTCGACCCTAATTTCAACAACAGACCCAGACCGCATGCCTACCCAGGTAGTCAGTCAATTTACTCCCACTGGCGCAAATAGGCTAGGTAGCCCTTATCAGATGCAAGTGTCCCGGGGACATGCGATGGCAGGAAACACTCCTTACCAGCGCTCATACGCCTCTTCCTCTTCGCCAGGCAGTGTCCGGACCAGGCTCGGAGCAAACACGCCAGCAATATCTCGACGACAATTGCCGTACAACCAGTACAGTTACTCTGCTCCACGCTCTCAGGGATATCAGGGCCTCCCACGGCAAATGATGCAGACTGGACCCCGTGAGCCTCGAGGCCCAAGCCCAACATTGCCCCGATATGGCCAGCCGCCGTTTGCACAGTACCCCCCTACCTCTAATTATGTGCGGAAAGGTATTCAATCAGTAAGCTATGGGCGGGCCGTTCAATCTGACGGCGAGCCCACGCAACAGCGTCCTTCAAAAATGATCAACAGACGTGAGTTCCATCCCGATTTGAGGCGTCGCCGAAAGAACCCAGTTCCTGCTGAAAGCCTCGACACAGGTCCCGAACCAAGCGCAGCTCCAGTCGGCACATCTGGCCAAATCCCCAAAACTGTCGGCCCTGCGCACCGAAATACCGGCAAGCAAAAGGTCGATGCGGGTGCCAGACGGCCTGTTACTCTAGAATCAGAGAGCACGGTGGCAAGCCAGCACATCAGCACTGGAGATGAGGACGATGATTCTCTTTCAGACGCACCGGCGACAGGTCTTTCAGCTGCTGTTAAAGAGGGGGTGGAGAAAGCATTTGTTAAGGGGTTGCTTGAGGGTCAAGGCGCAGTGTTTTCGGGTATCGAAAAAGAACTTCGCAGGAGCTGCACTATTTTCGGAATAAATGTGGCTCTGCCTCAAAACAAAACACTCGAGAAAGTCATCAAAAGCGTGCAGGACGACCTCAGAGAATTGTTCGATCGCTCTGGTGCAGAGGTTGCGAACCACCCAGGCGTGAAATATACCCGACAATGGCTCGAGAGAAGAATCCAAGAGGCTCGGGCATCAAGTCACGAAGAGCAAGACATTCGAAGCGACAGAATCTCAGCCAGCAGCCAAGAGAGAGATGAAGCGATTGCATCGCGGGCCAGTGAGGTCATAGACGGTAACGAAGCTGAAGCCCAGACTCCCCGAGGTTCTGGAGTGCCCCGAAGTGGCAGACGCAGCAAGGGCAAATCTTTGGACTACACCATCCTTGGCGTTCATGGCGAGTATAGCCATGAAGGGAAAAAGTGCCTCTCATACGATTGTTCAGACGGACATAGGCGGATCATCAGCCCAACAATGGTTGAAGAGCGTACACGACAAGCCCGAGCTGCTCCTCCACATGCTGTCCCGGTTCCAGCCCCTGGCACGCCATCCCACACTGCAAAACTGACTCCCAAGCGAAAATACAGTCCAGAAGGTGGCAATATCGCTGATTTGAAGAAAAAGAAGGCTGCTCATGCGCCGGAGCAAACCAATCCCAACAGTGCAGCACACGCGAATGCAGCTCTTCTCTTTGGCAGCACAAAAAGCAAGATGCAGCAACCAGTGCAGCGTATTCAAACGACCGTGACAGGATCCGATGGTAAGGACTCTAGGTCCAGAGACGAAGCCGACGAATACTTTGATTGGGAGAGGTATGAGTCAAATCGCAACAGTGCTGCTAAGCAAGCTGCAAGCCCCGCGGACCTGGAGCAATGCGTTGCAAGAGAGAGCATGGAGAAAAGCCCGGCATCAATGGAAGAGGGAGTACCGGACTACGAGAGTAAAAGAATTAAAGAGCTTCTACGACTCGACAAGACCATGCCTATGAGTGTGATGAAGGAATTTATGCACCCAAGGGCGGGGAGTAAATACTCTGCTGTTCGAGAAGCAGTGCGGCGTGGGGATCATGGTGATCAGAGCCATCTACTATTTCAACAGGACTGCCTTGAGACTGCCAAACAGGAATACGAGATGCATGCCAATGAGGGTGTCGAAAGCGTGAAGCAGAACCAATCCGTGGCCAATGCCGTGCCACATTACAATAGGATACAGACGCACGAAGACGAAGGACCAAGCGCAGCTGAGCGGCGCGGGGCCCCAGAAGAACGACCAGCAGCCGAAGAGCAGCAGGCTGAGCAAGAAAAGCAAGCAGGGGGAGACAAAAGAAAGGGGACTGCTGGAGAAGAAGACACGGCTGGAGGCATGGTTCCATCTGGTTGTCAAAATTCTGTGGCCGCCTTTATAGGTTGTGACAACTCTCTCGTTGGGGAATCCCCCTCTTGGATCGGGAAGGAGTTTCCCGACCTCCTCGACAGCTACCCTGATGTGTATGGAGGTGGACAAGACATCGCGGACTACACCAACCCGGACATGACGAAGACACAGCCGCTGTTTACAGACATGATGGCGGACTTGGCGTGGGACAATGGTGAGCTCTATTCCCAACTTGACCGAAAATAGGGGAATGGAAATGATGAGGCAGTATCAAGGAGTGCAGCGTCGTCATGACATTTTTGTTGGTCGCCAGATGAAGACGAATAAGGACTAGGTTTTTGTTCCTTCCCTTTGGGGGGGTTTTTTTTTTTTTTTGATTTTTCATGAAGGAGGACTTTGCACGGAAAACGCAACAAGTATTGGAAATGGCAAAAAAATTCAAATTGGAACAGTGATTTAGGATAGAATAGTGTGTTGTTTGCGTTGAATTGGTTTTTGAGAGACGACGGCTCCTTGGATGAAGGAACGAACGCTTTTGGACGGAATGGGGGGACTCACGGCGCCATAGACCGAACAAGTTCTAAATTGACTCGACACCAACAATGAAATAAATGGATTTTGATTGTTCCAAGTCACACAATCTGGGGTCCGGGGCGCACACGTGAACTAATCCGTACTATCCGTACTACCTACTAGTAACGTTAGTACGGAGTATAAGGATTCGTTTGTTGAAGATTGTGCACGTGAGGGGTTTGGCAGGCCTGAGGTGAGAGCAGAGCAACTGCTACTCTTGCTTTGATTGGTCAAATTACAAAAGATGAATACTAGTACTACTCCGTACCATGCATTTTTTTTCTTTTTTGTGCATCCCTTCTGACCCCCCTGTCGCGGCTGCACGTGGGTCAGCTTGGCCTGCCTGCCGGCAATAAGAAAGGCTTGAAGTCGAGGTGCACTGCTGCATAATGGCCCAAGTGGATGCAGCCGCAGTGGCTAGTGCTAGAGTACGCGATACTTACGGAGTACGGAGTAACGAGACGATACTTACGGAGTACGGAGTACAGAGTACAGAGTACATACGTACTAGTCCAAGAACGTAGCCAAGTGGTTGGCCGCGACTCCGCTTTTTGACACGCCCACACCGCCCCAGCCTGCGACCTCCGTCTCACGCCTGGCCGCAGTCTCACTCACACAGTGACAAGGCGAGAAGACGGGACGACGAGCTGCCCTTTCTGCTCCGCTCAGCTTCGAAGTCTGCATCGCGACTTGGTGACAGCAGGAGCCAGGAGCAGCCAGGGCGGACTGAAAAGGGGCATGGACGTGTCGGGGAACCAGCCGCCTTGCCCGTCGGTTTCCTCGAATCCCAATGAATGAGGTGGGAAGGGTGAGGAGCGACTGTGGCGAAAGCATCGGCCGCCACGCAACATCCATCTCACCACCTTTCACCACCACCATGGGCAAACCACACGGCCGATTCGATCCAACACCACACCACGCACGTCAGCGGAAAGAGGCCAGGGCAGCGCCGGCCGCCATGGGCCAGGACCATGTCCAGACGTCGAGTAAGTCGAAGGCTCCAGGTGTCGAGTCGAATCGAGTTGAGTCGAGTCGAATCGGGTTGTGGCAGTAGCCGCATCTTCGTCTGTCCCATTTCCATTCCATATTGTCCGGGTCCTTGATACAAACAGACGCACGTCTTGGCCACGGCGAGCAAGGCGGACGCGGCGTGGCGTCTACCTCGCCCAGTCAGTGCCAGCAACTCGCACCCTCTAGACCAATTCAAATTTCATGGGCTGCAGCAGCAGCAGTCCAGCAAGTGCTCGTATCAGCCGCGGAAACGACCCGTCTTGTGCAGTGTCGTGGCACCCGGCTGCATTCCCAAACTTTCTGCGCTCTTTGCTGGACATGTTATTTTTTGCGCTGCCCTGCGCTGCCCTGCGCTGCCCTGCTTGTCCTGCCTGCCCTTCCCAGTCTTGCCCGCCTCCTGCCCTCGCACCCGCCTGTCCGTCCGCACACTTAGTTCTCGCCCTCTTGCGAGTGCAGGTGGCCCTCGAAACGAGCATGAGCATCACACGTCTTTGCGTCTAGCCAAGAGACATCGTCGAGGCTGACAACGCGGCCGTTGCTGCTCTTCATGCACCAAGTTCTAGTCCCGCTCCCGACGTTGCTGTTTTCGCTCGGCTGCTTCTGGCCTGAACGGCTCGCAGCCGCCTTCGTCGTAGCCGCCCCTGGCTCTTCTCCTCTTTGTCTCTGCTTTTCACGACAATTCCCCCAAGCCTCGACTTGACGTTTTTTTTTTTTTTTTTTTTTTTTTTTTTTTTTGCTTGCACTCGCCATTCTCCACGCCTCTTCTCCAATGCCGCTTTGGCCACGAGCTGACCGACCTTGATTTCTAACGACTATAGAGCGCCAGGACAGCGCATCGCCCCCTGCGCTGCCGCAAGGCAAAGTCAAAGACTTCAGCATCGCAGCGTCGCAATCGGAATCAGTTCCAGCTCAATTGACATTGACTACAAAGCCCCCAGCCATGATCTTCTCCGACTTTTACCGAAGTTCACGCTCACCACTTTCCAAGCTTCGTCAGCACCACCCACAGCTTCCAGCTCTGCTGCCCACTTCAACACCTGAATGGGTAGCCGATGAGTATGCCGATCTTCTGAGCAAGGACAAAGTCAAACAAAAGGAGGCTGTGAAGCGCTACTTGACCGACAAGGTCCGCAGCGACTGGAATTTTACTTGGCCGCCTGCCGTTCCAGAGGCGAAGGCTGCATCGGCATCTGACGGCCCAGGAGCGGTTGTCGAGCTTTCAAATGAGGTCAACCCCCCAAAGCCAAGCGGTGCGTCTCACACTCCTATGAGCCAAGGAGATGGATATCGGGAGGAAGAGGTTACCGAGTTGGATGAGCAAGAGTCGGATACTGGAGACGGCGATGCCATCGACGACGACAACGATGACGGCGAGTCTGTATACAGTGTAGTGTCTGAAGATGCCGCACATTATCAGCCTCGGATTGAATGGAGGTCGGATCTGTCCGATGATGAAAATCTGTCTTCCAATCCCTCACCATTCATCTTTGACAACCCCGACTCTATCCAATCGACCGTTCAGGACCTTATGCGCGCAAAGAAGGCCCGCAGACGGCGCGCGTTGCGGCAAGAGATTGCTTGGAACAAGGGCCTCGCCTGTTTTGAAGCGCGGCGGAATGCTTGGACCGGCGCAAAGACGGTCCGTGTTCGAAGTAAGCCTGTAACCACGCCGCCAGCATCACCGCGGTCACCAAGGCGATTTTTCTTCCGCCGCTCAATATCCGGATCGCCGCCCAATCCAGCGGTGGCCGTCCTCTCCCAGCACGGTGAAATCTGTGGCGCGGTATCCGACTCGTCATGCGCCTCAAAGGACGCTGAGAAAGACTCGAAGAAACATGCAAGCACCGACTCGTCAATGTCGGACTCCATCAGGGTCCAGACTTATCCTGTTGAAACTTTGCTCCCTATTGGCCAACCTCTGCTTCCGCCAACAAATCGCCTGCGAGCCTCGATTTCGCCAGCGGTGTATCTAAGCCTCTACGACAAGGTCGTCTTGCACAATCTGCAGCCCGCATGCCCCATCAACTTATCAGACATGTTGCGATCCTGTGTTGCCGGTTGGAAACGAGATGGCGAGTGGCCCCCACGAAGCTCAGCCCCTGATCCGACCCCAGCAAGCCGAAAGAAAAAGAAGGCAGCTCCAGCTTCTGCCACTGACAATGTGGGGAACGTAGCAAGACGCATGAGTTTCGGCCTCTTGGGTCGTGACAAGGATGAAGAAACCGGAGGGGGCAAAGGAATTCGCCGTAGTCTGCAAAGAGCGCTTGGAATTGGTGTCGTGACTGGCATAGGAGATGCCTGAGCGCAACGGTGATTGCCTCGGCTCTTCACACTTGCTTATGAAATCACGAGAGAGTCTGGTCGCTTGACGAATCTTAGGGAAATGGCATGATGATATGGGACAGGCGAGACCCGGCGTTTCTCATGGCACATGTATGGTGGATATGGAGGATATTGGCGTATCGCGTTTGATTTCATGTTGGCTTGGCGCAGGACTTGTATACACATTTCTCGATTTGCATATACCCTTGCGTGGGAAGTTCTTAGGGGGTTTAGAGATTCATGGCAAACTGTCGATCATTGTCTGGCGCACAGATCATGGGCAAATTAATTCATCATACCACTACCACAACCAAGTCTCTTCCTCATTCGACTCGACCATCATGTGACCGGGCCCTACTATTTTCACGCAACTTGTTACCTTTGCAAATGGGTTGGCTGTCTTCAAAGTGACTCGCCGTGGCCGGCTGGACGAAGTACCTACCCTGCGCAACTACTCCAACAGTTACAAGACTTTGCCCCGGCAACAACATTGAGAGAAAAAACTGTATCCCTAGCCTCTTGGCTATTTTATGAGCAGCCATTAGATATTTCGCTACATGGGATGACTTGCGTCGTCAAGTCTGTCTCGTGCCTGTATAAGCCGGGATGGACCGTCCGTGCAACCCTCCCAACGCCCCTTTTGTTGTGTCGAGCAAGCATGTCAATGTCAATGGCAATGCCGCGCTGTTATCCTTGGCCCCGAGCCAGCGGAATCCGGCCCGGCGCCTTGATGTCATGACCCCCAGGCTGCTTTTGTATTCAAGTCGTCTGGCCTGTCAACGCTAGCGACTTGATTTCTCGTCTCGGCCGAGCCGTATTGGGTTCGGTCCTGAACGGGCCTGACGGCTCAGATGCAGGCGTGGTTTGTCTGCAGGACATGGAGCTTCTTTTGCAGAAGGATGACGTCCGGTCTATGTTGGTGCAGTGCTCAGCTTTGGGGCAGACGACATGATTTCCCTCGCTCAAGAACTAGCGCCTGCCGGTGAAGCAGGCTCTCGACCATCAAGTTTAGCTCAACGACACGGCTTCTTCGTCGACACAAACTCCTGCTGGGAAGGACGGAGAGAGAGTCATGCGACATCGACTCCCCCCGACAGGAGGTGCTACGAGTACGTTGAAGGAGATTTCATTGGTACACGTTACCGAACCGCATTGTTTCCATAACGCAAAGCATGCCATTCACCAGCCAACACCAGAATATTGGCCTTGTTGAACCTTCATGGGCGGGCAAATCTATTCCATCTTGCCGCTCGTTCGAAGAATTGGCGCGACACCAAATCAGAGGCAGCCGATGAAGATATCTGCGTCCTCAATGAGCTTACCAGCCCCCGGCACCGTTGGCGGAGCCCGTGTTATTTTCGTTGTGGATATTGGACCAATTGTGAAAGTAGTGTTTTCTCGAGGAAAATTTCTACTTTCATAGTGCTTCAGTGCACCAATCAGGCGCAAATGAGAGCACCTCGGGATCTCTACAGCAGCCATGGTGCTCCCTGGATGACGCTGCGAGCGGGAAAGGGGCCTCGGTGTAAGTGAAACGCGTGACGTGGTAGCTCATGCCGTCTTCTGGGGAGAGGTCCTGATGCATGTAACACAGATGCGGAGTCATGTGGCATGTCTCATGGCACATGACGTAGTAGTAGTATCTATTTCAGCTCCAAGGCCGAGGCGCTCGTGATGGCGGCGCATTTGAACACTGCATATCGCATGATGCAAGCCGTTTTCTGGTCGGTGATGAAGTGAGTGACGGGGAACTCCACGCTAAAACGACGTCAGTGCCATGCAGCCAATTGGCCTTTGACTTGGATGACAACCTCACCTGCAGCCTCGGAACGCTACATTTCGGCCGAATATATAGGGTGAGTTATATAGTACGACCGTCACGGAAAAGTCGTGGTGGTTCGTGTCGGAGCCCAGCCTGGTATTTCGACGAGGGCGGTGAGCTCGAGACGGCGTGACTTGGTTAGGCTTGGTGGGGCAAGTCGCAAATCGATCCAGTGGCACAGGTACAGAAACCCACATGTGTAAAAGGTGAGACAGCATTGGACGGCGTCGGGTCTACGGAGCAGCCCGGCCGGGTACTTCGGACAAACTACGTGCCCAAGTACCCAAGTAGTAGGTAGGTTCTTAAAGAAGTACCTACTTACAGTACACAAGGTTCCCCCCCCACCCGCCCTGCCTGCAGCCTCCAGAGCCCAGTGCCGCCCGCCAGGCTGCAGGCAGGGCAGTTCTCCTGCAGGCACAACGTTAAAACTCCCCCAATCCAGAAGCACTCTGTGCGAACTATTAGGTACCTACCTGCGTACCTGTCCTGGAGTAGATACCCAGGTACCCAAGTGGTAGTGCATGCGCCAGACCGCGCCGGCACTGTAGGCCAACAAACTTGAAACTTCCCCCATCGCACGATTGAACCGACATGCACGCCAAACAGAGTGGCCATTCCTAGCCGTCTGCTCTGCTAGTAGCCATCAATCATCCTCTCCTTCACCGTCACTGTCCGGCTTGACCACGCGACCGGCCTGGAGCCCCATAATATTCTCTTCGTGGCGTCGACAAGCTTGCACAATTCCTACTATTCCCTCTCGACCCAAGAATCCCTCCTCTATTCCAGGCACTGGCCCCGCTGCTCATATCTTGGACAACCTCTGCGTCTCGACTGGCCAACGCGAAGGAGGAGGGAGTCCTCATCAAGACCCAGACAGCCTCGTTGTTCTGCCCGACGTTGGCCCCAACGCATACGAGCTCGCCGACTACCGACAGATCCAGGCAAGCAAAAACGCACACGCCATCGCGAGACGCAGGCAAGAGAAGCGGGACCGAAAGCGGCTGTCGATTGAAGCAAAGGACGAGATGAAGTTCTCTCACAGCATCCAGTTCAATGCTGTTCCGGACTGGAGCAGTCATTATATTGCCTACAGCAATCTGAAGAAACTGTAAGTAGGACATGTTGCGACCTCTTTACAATCGCTGTCCTGGTCGCCCCTCGCCCCTCGGCCCTCGCCCCTCGGCCCTCCTAATGACATGAAAGCCCTGCTTACACCCAGCTTTCCTGCCATCTAGCATCTATCAACTCGAGAAGAGTGCCCACCAAGCACGAGCAGGTGGTGACTCAGAATCCCGACCCCTCATCTCCAGCGAAGAACCGGCAGACGTATTCAGCAGAGCCCTCGGCATCGAGCTCGAGAAAATATGTTCCTTCTACGTAGCCAAGGAAGGAGAGCTGTTGGATGAAGTCAACCAGCTGACTCTAGACGTCGGGCAAAGGACATCGCCGGAGAATCCTGACATGCGGCGAATGTCGCTCGGCGAGTACAACCGCTCGCATCTGCGACCGCTGAGCTCTACTGGTCTTGGCTCAGATGACGACATGGAGTATAGCGGCAGTGACGATGATGAGACGACTGCGTTGCACAAACCCAAAAGTAGTAGTGGTCGCCGGAGGAGCATTGCCACTGTCGGCCACCACCAGGCTGATTTGACTGCGTCCTCAGAGTTCAATCGTTCTGTACGAAGGCACAGTACTGTTGAGGATTTTGGCGACCAGTCCGTCATGTTCTCTTCGGGCCTATTCTCCTCCAGCATCATGCTGAAGAAGCGCATCATCAGCCTCTACGTGCAGCTGTGTGAGCTCAAGTCGTACGTCCAACTGAACAAGACTGGTTTCAGCAAAATTCTGAAAAAATTCGACAAGATACTAGACAAGGAACTCAAGGGCCCATTCATGCGGGCCAATGTTGATACGGCGTATCCCTTCAAACCCGAAACAAAGAAAACCATCGAAGAGAATATCGAAAAGATGGAGGATGCTTACGCTGAAGTTGTTACCGGTGGTGACCGAGAGCTCGCCAAGAAGGACCTACGGTCTCACCTTCGAGAACACGTCGTGTGGGAACGTAATACCGTGTGGAGAGACCTCATTGGTATTGAAAGGCGTGCCGAGGCGGCTAGATTTGGCCAGTCTCTTCTTGGCCAGGACCAAGCCGCAATACCGAAGCGCTTACAAGGTGACGATGACGAGATGGCAGTCACGAAACAATTTAGGACGCCTCTGGGACGGCTCTCACTACCTGGTTGGCTGACCAGCTCTTCCATGCTTACCTTGCTGGGTTCTCTGGGCGCTTTTGCTGTGCTTCTTGCCGTTCCCATCATGGACAAGCCCGAGGAGCAAAATTGCCTGGCCTTGTTGGTCTTTGTCAGCTTGTTATGGGCAACGGAGGTCAGTTTTACACCGCACGAGCCAATCAACACCCCGGTCGTTTTCTAATGCAGTACTCATCAGACTATTCCGTTGTTCGTGACATCGCTGCTCATTCCCTTCTTATCCGTTGTGCTCCAGGTCGTTTGCGACGAAAATGGACCCAAGCGCAGACGTCTTGATGCCAAACACGCCACCAATGCAATCTTTGCTGCCATGTGGAGTCCAGTCATTATGTTGCTTCTTGGTGGCTTCACACTTGCGGCAGCCCTGTCCAAGTGCAAAATAGATAAGCGTCTGGCGACGCTCATCCTCAGCAAAGCTGGCACCCAGCCGCGGACGGTGCTTGTGGCCAACATGTTTGTTGCTGCATTTGCATCAATGTTGATTAGCAATGTGGCTGCCCCTGTTCTGTGCTATTCCATCATCGAGGTGAGTCAACGAACTCGAAGTCGTATAGGTTTGGGATGCGGAATTCTACTAACCAGCGTCTCAGCCCATGTTACGCACATTGCCGTCAGATTCAGACATGTCCAAGGCCGTCATCATCGGTATTGCTCTCGCCTCTAATATTGGCGGCATGCTTTCGCCAATTGCGTCGCCGCAAAATGTAGTTGCTATGGGCATCATGAAGCCCGAACCGACGTGGTTACAGTGGTTCTTCATTGTCATTCCCGTGGGGGCCGTCTCTATCGCCGTTATATGGATGCTGTTGCTCGTGACGTTCCAGCCAGGCAAGGGGACATCTATTGCACCGATACGCCCAGTCAAGGAACGCTTCAGTGCCGGCCAGTGGTTTGTCAGCGTCGTCACCATCGTCACGATAGCTTTGTGGTGCGCAAGTCATCGGATGGATCATGTTTTTGGTGACATGGGCGTCATTGCCATCATTCCCATTGTTCTCTTCTTCGGCATCGGCATCTTGACCAAGGAAGACTTCAACAACTTCCCCTGGACAATCATTATCCTGGCCGCAGGAGGCTTGTCTCTTGGCAAGGCTGTTCGGTCATCTGGCTTGCTCCATGCTGTTGCGGAGCTTGTTTCAAAGAAGGTCGAGGGCATGAGCCTGTATGGCGTACTTGTCGTCTTTGCCTCCTTAATCTTGGTGATTGCGACCTTCATCAGCCACACCGTGGCCGCTCTGATATTTCTGCCGCTGGTATTCGACGTTGGCATGTCGATGGAGCAGCCTCACCCCAACCTGTTGGTCATGGGTGGTGTATTAATGTGCAGTGCAGCTATGGGATTACCCACCAGCGGCTTCCCCAATATGAGTAAGTTTGTCACATCTATGTGTCCGTCGACCATGTGCTGATACGATGCAGCTGCTATCATGAAGGAGGACGCCACAGGTCAGAGATATCTCCGAGTCAAGCACTTCATCAGCAGAGGCATTCCTAGCAGTATCGCCACCCTCGCTGTTGTCATCACTCTGGGTTATGGCATTATGCAGGTTGCAGGGTTAGATTAGGCCGGGACTTTTGTGCACAATTTATCATGAATACTTGAGTGCTTACCTAGGTAGTTAGCCGCGCATAGAATTCACTGCGGCGGTATATAGATTGTACGTCATTGAAGCACGTCGTTTGCTTTGACTAATCGGTGCAATGTATACCTGTAGCGCGCGGAGGGGTACATATTCTCAGGACTGTCCCCAGCCTCATCAGCCATTTCAAGGCAGCTAATCAGACTTTTGACCAGCTCATGACAGTTTTTGACCTGTCTTGTCATATAGCTCTGCTGTCCTCTGAAACAGCGGAAGAGGTAGTGGGTACCTGGGCACGTGCCTTGAGTGCGTAGATACTTAGGTAAGTAGGGATGTAACGTGTACCTGTATATTTCCGCTCGACGTCGTGCGGCAAGCTCATGCCTGCACTGTAGTTGTGCGGAGTCCACGTGGCGGATGGCACTGTGCGGAGTCTTAGCGCCTCGCACTCACTGGTCTTATTATTATCGGCGAGATGCATTCAAAGTCACATTGACGTCGTTGCCGAAAGTTGGGGCGACGACACCCGACATCCGGATCAAGACCAGCGCAGCATACGCTGGAGCTTGGAAAGTCCAGGCCCTGCTTTCCGTGCACCCATCATCGGTCCTGGAGCCTTGATACTTGATGCACGTCTTTTCATAATAGCTTGGTACTTCTTGTCCGAGCTGGCTCGCCGGCGCCATGCTCTCCGCGTTTACAGCCCGCCCGATTATCGAGCTCCGGCAGCGAGACAAGTCCAAGATTGAGACTATTCTGGCACATGGTACAAGCTCCAGGACTATAGGCCTCCCCATGGTCCAAGGCCCATAGCATAAAATACAAGCTAATGTCTGTTCCAGGCGACCGTATTCTCGTCGGACTCAACAGTGGCGCTCTGCGCGTCTACAGATTGAATGATCCTTCCTGGCACCAAGCAGCTGAATCGCCATCAACCATCGATCGCGGAGCCGGCAATGCAAGGCCCGCACAGAACGGGAGTCCACCAGCCTCGCGACCGTTAGGCAAACCCACAGACTTGCTACGTGAGGTAGAGAAGTTCTCGACACGTGCCATCGATCAACTCGCAATCATCAAGGAAGCCAATATCATCATCTCCCTGTCGAACTACTACGTGTCGCTGCACGACCTACAGAATTACGACCATATAGAAACCCTAGACCGGACAAAAAATGCCTCGTGCTTTGCCGTGACGTCCAACATCATCAAGGACCAAGACACGGGGATTCCGGAAATCATCAGCCGGTTGGCAGTCGCGGTGAAGCGAAGACTCTTGTTGTGGAATTGGCATGAAAGCGAGCTTAGCGAGGATGTGGCGGAAATCGTCCTCTCGGAATCTATCCGATCCATCACTTGGGCCAACGCAACAAAGCTCGTATGTGGGATGAACAGTGGCTATGTTGTTGTTGATGTTCTTTCTCGGGACGTCATCGACATTGTGAGCCCAGGCGCAGTTGGCATCAACGGCCAGGGAAGTCGGTTTGGGGCTGTGAGCACAGCTGGCATGGGCTACATGGGCTTGGGAGGATATACCCCGAAACCGCTGGCCACGAGGCTTTCCGAGGGCCAGCTGTTACTCGCAAAGGACATTAATACCATGTTTGTCAACGATAGTGGCAAGCCGCTCGAGAAGCGGCAAATACCGTGGACATCGACCCCCGAGTCCATCGGATATTCATACCCGTACATTTTGGCACTGCAGCCTCCTGCCAAGGGGTCTTTGGAAGTTCGCAACCCGGATACGTTGTCCTTGATGCAGACTGTGTTGCTTCCTGGAGCCGCCCAACTTCATTTCCCTCCCCCGACGGTCAGCTTGGCGCACGCCGGGAAGGGGTTCCATGTCTCTAGCGATCGATGCGTGTGGAAGATGGACGCCACCGATTACGATTCCCAAGTTGCAGAACTCATCCAGAGCGGCAACTTTGACGAAGCAATTAGTGTTCTGAACATGCTCGAGGATGCTTTGCTCAAAGACAAAGTCGATACTTTGCGAGAAGTCAAAATGCTCAAGGCGGAGATGCTGTTTAAGAAGAAAAAGTTCCGCCGGGCAATGGACTTGATGAACGAGGATGACGTTCACGCACCGCCGGAGAGGGTTTTGCGATTATTTCCTCCAGTTATATCTGGAAACTGGTCACAATGGGCAGAAGACGCACAAGACGATGATGCGGATGCGAATACAGCCAAGACTACCAACGGCGAAAGACCAGACGGTCGCGAGGGTGAGGGTGGTGGTGCTACTTCTGCAGCAAATGTTGGCGGTTTTGCAAAGTTGTTCTTGAGCAGTCATAAGAAGGCTGCATCAGACGCTGCGTCGGTCGCCTCCAAAAAGGACGGGGCTGACGTGGAGGGTACGGACATCGCCAAGCAAGTACATGGCACCGATGACAAACCTCTCGAGGGTAAGGACCTCAAGAACGCCGTCTTGGAACTCAACAGCTACTTGGCCGGTACCAGAGCCAGGCTCCAACGTTACATCGACCCTGTGACGGGAAAGTTGAGGGATCAAGAAGATGGGAAACGGACTGTTGAGGAAGCGGCGGAGCGATTCCTGAGAAGCACACAGACAGAGTCGGAAAAGAAGCTGGAGGAAGAACTTCGGAACACGTTCCGCTTGGTTGACACGACCCTTTTCAGAGCCTACATGTTCTCGCAACCTTCGTTGGCGGGCTCGCTCTTCCGAATACCGAATTTCTGCGACCCGGAAGTGGTGAACGAAGCGTTGCTGGCGCACAACAGATATACCGAGCTGATTGACTTCTTCTACGGCAAGAAACTGCACAGGCAGGCTTTGGGTCTTCTCCATAGGTTTGGGTCACCGACAAAGCCTGATGAAGCAGCACCGACTTTGCACGGGCCGGATCGCACAATCGAGTACCTGAAGAACTTGCCGCCCTCTGAGATCGATCTCATTATTGAACACGCTGGGTGGGCACTTGAGAGCAGCCCGGCGTACGGCATGGAAATCTTCACTGGAGACACAGAAAATGCGGAAACATTACCTCGCGACAGAGTCATAGCATTTCTTCGAACTGTCGATCATCGGCTGGAGAGACTGTATCTAGAGCACATCATCAACGAGTTGGATGACACAACGCACGACTTTCATAATCGGCTGGTGAAACTGTATGTCGAGGCCCTTGAAGGGATGAAGAAGAATGAGGAATGGGACGAAATCATGACCAAGTTTGTGACGTTCCTACGTGACTCTCGGCAGGTATACAGCCTCACGAGGGCGCTGGGGATGATTCCCAAAGAAGGTAAGAAACCAACAGATAATGTTGATACTCAACCAAGAGTTGCCTATTGACTATGGGCAGATCCGTCATTCTATGAAGCGCAGGCCGTTATTCTGAGCAACATGGGCCAGCACAGGAAAGCACTGGAGATATACGTGTTCAAGATGCAAGACTATGCAAAAGCAGAAGAGTACGTACAGCTACTTGAAGTGGAACAAGATTCCGGCCTCCTAACCTGGACAGGTATTGCAACCGAGTGTACAAGTCACAGGATGCGACGCTATCATCACCGTTGAACGCCAAGGATAGTGCATCGGTTGACACGGACGACTCGACACAGTCAATCTACCACATACTATTATCATTGTATCTCAAGCCGGCGCCGCCGCAGGTGGCGCAACTGGGGCCAGCTTTGGATCTTTTGTCCAAACATGGCTCTCGACTTCCAGCCACATCAACCCTCAGCCTGATTCCCGACGATCTTCCCGTCCACTCCCTGGAATCCTACTTCCGCGGGCGCATACGATCCGCGAACAGCCTGGTCAACGAGTCTCGGATCATTGCTGGCTTGCGAAAAGCCGAGCAGATTGCTATTGCAGCACGCCTGAATGTTGGCGACGGTGAAATCAGCGGCCAGGGCGGGCGAAACCGGCATGTCACCATCACTGATGAGCGTCACTGTTTTGTCTGCCACAAGAAGCTGGGCGGAGGCATGCGATTTGGTGGAAGCGTCGTGGCCGTCTTGCCCGACAATAGCGTGGTGCATTACGGCTGTTTGAACAGGGCGTTGGGTCAAAAAAAGGCTGATGGTTGACCACGAGCAGAGTGGGCGAGGGGTTCGCCGTGACCTTGTTTTGAGGTTGCGTCTCGACCCCAGGCGCGGACAAGAGTAGCGACGGAGTGGTGTTGTAGGAACATTTGCATTGCGTGGTCATGATGGCCGTTGGTCTTTCTAGGGATACCCCCCTTGTCGGCGGCACATTGTGTTTTCTGTTTTTCGGTCTGTTTCTCTGTTTCTCTCCCTCTGTTCAACCTTCTGTTCCGGTAGAAGGTTGACGATAATACGCAGCACTGTTCCACACCTGGCCCTCCTCAGCCCTCCTCGTCCTGGACTTCCTCGCCGTAGTTTTCTTCCTCCTTGTCCTCGTCAGTACCCAGCCTGGCGGCAACCGCGTCACCGGAAGCTGCTTCACGAGCCTTGTCTTGTTCCATTCGTTTTGTCAACTCCTTGTTGATTTGGTCTTGCGTATCGGTGACGGCCTTGCGGAGAGCCTCGAGGTATTGCGTCTTGTCCTGCACGGAGGCTGATGCCGGAACGGGAAGGGTTTGTACGATGGTGAAGTGCTCGTTTTGCGGCGACCTGTATGACGCGGTGAGGGTGGTGGTGTCCTTGGTGTCGGGGGCCATGGTGACGGGGACAGAGGACACGACAATGAGAAGCCGGACAAGTCGTGCTTGTGGGTGGTAGCTACTGTAGTTACTAAGTTGAAAGTTACTTGGTAGGTTATGTGATGAATTGCTGTGAGCATGTCGCAAAGTTGGGGGTTGTGGGGTTTAGTCTGCGGTACTCCGTACTGTGTACGCACTACCTGAGCACCTGCGTAGGCGTGCACAGACCGGCAGGTACCATGTACAGGTTGGGCCCGGTGTCGCGGGGTTGCAGGCCAGACTGCAAGGGTCGGGTCAGGTCAACTGGTTGAACTCGGCCCATCTGTCCGTCACTTCTTAACCTCCAGCCCGTGTGTTCCCGCTTCCTCACCATCCTCCTCCTCTGCTTCACTGACACCCACCATCCGCATTCTCCCTACGAATCCAAATCCTGACAAAAAAGATCGTCTTGCGATCCCTTGTCCCTGTAACTGCCCTTTCGCCTGTCCGTGCGTCCCGCATCCGCCGAGTTCCATCGGGCTGCCGCTTTGGTGGCCTGCGACATCACGACCGCATTCTCATCGCAGCTCCATTCCAGCTCTTCGACGTATGATTGCTTCTGCCATGGACGTCGCCATCTGAGTCAAGATGTAACAGACCCCGCACCACCTCACATAACATCTCCGCGACAATGCAGCCAGGACAGCCACTACCACCAGGAGGACCTCCGCCGCAGCCGCCGCCGCCGCCTCCTCCTCCTCCTCCGCATCCTCCGCAAACATCAGGACGACCTCAGACCCGAGCTCCCGGCAGCTTCTCGCCTCTGCCGGGAGCTGCGAGCCCCTCCATCGAGTCAACAAGTCGGCAGCCATCGGTCCCGACGAAGCCGCCGCCCCTGCGCATCGATTCTTCCGGGAGCGATGACAGTCTTGAAGCACCTTCTATGCCCATAGCTGCATCGCGACAACGACCCGGCTCGCCCGCGACGCCCATATATGCCCAGTTTGCCACAGCGCATGCAAACTCAAGCAGCTCCAACGCACACCAAAACTTCTCCCGGCCGGCCCCCGGCCCAAGTCGTCAGGCACCTCCAGGATTGTCGTCGCCTGTGCTGACGAGCCATTCGAGGAAGCACTCGGCCACGCAGGGTTATTTTGATTCCACTCTCCCTTCCACCACTACGTCCAACCTCTTTCACGTCAGCATGAGTGCCGCCGCCGGTCAAGCGGCGGCGGCGGCGGCGGCAGCAGCGGCAGCGTCGAGCGGATCGTTATCAGCTAGCCAAATTGCCGCCCAGGCCGCGGTCATGTCGCACCTCAACACTTCTCATGCTCGCCAGCGATCACAGACTGTGCCGTTTCCCGGTGAAGGCGCAGATGGTATGCGGCGTGCCAGCGGATCCAAAGTGCCGCTCAGTCCGCCCATTCTGAGTCTCACCGAGGCCAGTGCGCCCCGAGATTCCGCCTTTGCTGGGCATGGCGGCCAGCACTACGATAAAGCTGCCGGGCCTCACTCGTCGGCCGCGACGGCAGCCGCCAATGTTGTATTCCCACGATCAGGTCACAGCTCTCCAAGGGACAAATCCGTCTCTCCGCAGCCTTTTCCACCCTTCCCGCCTGTGCCGCCACTACCCGCCACCGTTCCGGAGAAATCAAAGACGGAGAAGTCGAAGCACAAGTTGTTCTCAAGGCCAGGAAAGGGTAGTGGCGGCAGCAAGGGCGAGGCCAAAGACAAGAACCTCCAAAGTCCCGGCAAGATAGGAAGCGCCCTGTCTGCCTTGCAACGAAGCAACTTCAGTACCAGTAGTCTCGTAGACCAACCTGCCCAGTCACTCTATAGTCTCAACAACTCATCCTCTGCTACCATCAGGCCCATCGAGGTGTTCACGGAAGAAAAGGTCAAGGAGAAGGAGAAGAAACACCACCACTTTCTGTCTCGCCAAAAGCAAAAACTCAAGGACGAATACCACTTGCCCCTTTCTTCAGCCTCAAGTAATTCCAGACCGACAGACCCCAATGCGCCCAGCAGCCTGTACAATTTCAGCGTGCCTGCCAGCCCAGGTCCAGCGACGTCGACGTTTTCCAAAGGAAAGAAGGACAAGAAACTTGGCGAGAGGACGGACAGTCGCCTGGACACCGAATCGACCTTCAACCTGGCGAGTGAGTGGTCTACATCCTCGGGGTGGGCCCCCTTGTCGCAGCAGTCAACCTTGCATGATGTGGCAGAGCCTGGAAAGGCCGTCAGCCAGAGCAACCTGGCTCTCGACGAAGCTTGGCCCTATCTGAAGGCAAAGCTGCTCGTTGTTTTCGAAGGCGAGGATCTCCGTCTCCCGGTCGAGGACTTCAACCGTGTGGTTCAGACACATATTCAGTGGTGTATCCACAAAAGGTCGCCCAACTCAATGGTGGACGACCTGCGAGACTTGCTGGCCACGGGGTTCTCGGTACAAGACAGGACCCTGCGCCTGACACCCGAGGACCAGTTCATCCCGGCACTCGTGGAACTCTGGATGTTCACATTCACAACCATCCTGCCGTACATGCAGTCGGTCTTCCTCCCTCTAGACTTGGAGGTCTCGGGCTGCGGCGTCATCATGACGCCCGAGCAAGCTCGAGACTTTTGGGGCGGGGCGGCCGCGTCCCTGTCGTCTCTCGGCAACAAGCCCAAGCCCAAGCCCAAGCCCAAGGCCGCGGCCGCGGCGCTGCTGGACGTCAGGAGACTCGTCCTCACGGCCTACCGCGACATTGTTGTCCTGCCCCGGCACGACACCCTCAAGACGATATTCTCCCGCCTGTCCCTCGAGTTTCTGCCGTCGTCGTTTGCGCACACGGCGCTGGCCTCCCCGCCTCTGGAGAGGATGCTGTCGTCGTCGCCGGCCGAGTCGCAGCAGTCCTTCGCCGCTCGTCCGGGCACCGCCGTGTCGGTCGATCCTCTGGTTGGGAGCTACAACTCTACAAGCACGACATTGCTCGGCGAGGGCTCAGAACGGGGGCGAAGCCGCGCGGTCAGCAACGTCAGTTTTGGCAGTCACGGTAGCGACGGCGCAGCTGCCATTCGCCCCTTTACCCCGTCGGGTCTGCCTGCGCTCAGCAGCGTTCGAGAGCAGAATGTGGAGGACTCGAAGCAGCTGACGGACATGGTGGGCCGGATGCTGCAGTGCATGAGCGTCTTGTCCAGCATCGGCGGCGTGGGCGACGTCGACGAGGGGAGCAGGAAGATTGAGGAGCTGTGCAAGATGCTCAAGCTTAACTGGTTGGGAAGAGGGAGGACGGGGAGAAACCGTAGGGGTATTGTGGGCGGCAGGATACGACGCGACGAGGCAAGGGAAGGATTGCGGGTTGCTTGAAGTCTGAACGGACGGGACGTTACCCAGGGCCCCGTGGACAAGGGCATCAATCATGACATGTACATGTACACCGTGCAAGGCAGAACAGGGCGGATGGCAAACAACGGAGTTGCGTGCAGGATTGTTACAACGGGATTGAAGGCGCTAGCGAGACAGTGCAATCGGCGTTGGGCAGTCTGGGCTTCACAATGATATACATCACAGATTCACAGTGCACCACACAGGGTCATGAATGAATCACCATGAGGACAACGTATCGACAACTACAGAGCCAGGTCAAACATTTAACTAGTGATGTATTTACGCGTCTGGAATTTCCGCAAGGGCAAGAGGGCAGTTGTACGATTGGAGAATCTAGGGGTCTTTGTTCCCGTTAGCTAATGATCGCTGACCACTGTAGAATACAACACGGGGGAAAATGACATCAATCAGACATCCAAGGAAGTTCATTAACCCTCATCCGTCCCAAAATAGGCTCAATGGGACTCGAGTGGAAACTGCGAATGAAATGGAAACTTTCATCATGAAAGAAAAAAAAACCCCAGAAGGGCAGGGAATGCTTTACAAATTTGCTCTACTTACAATTCGCAAGGAGTCCTCAGCGTGGAAGAGGTCGACTCGGTCAAGGACTAGGAAAAAGGCACCTGATTGCACGGATTAGTGTCGAGTCCAAGAAGAACTGTACCAACAAAAGATGCAGATGCAATGCAGTCAGACAGAAAATACTGGCAAGTAACAGGCCCATGGGCCCGAAAGACTGAATTTCTTCATGGTCGAATCGGTTGGGAAAAGAAGACGTTTGAAACGATGTCATCATCCAAGGGATGCAGAGGGCAGCGGACACAATGAAATGCAGGGGAGCGGCGAGTTGCCTACCTAGGGGTGTAAAGCTGTGAGGCATCGGCTTGTTAGCATTGCGCGATGGGTGTGTCTTGACAAGCTTCATCACGACAGGTTTCGAAGCACAGCTTGTGCGAATTCTGCCATGGGAAACGCTCCCAACCAGGGCTTGTATATTCGCTCTGCAAATTGAGGAATTGTGCCGCAGCCCGGAGATGAAGTGTACTCGGGTCGACGCAGACGCAAGGACGAAACTGCTGTGTTGTTGCAAGCTGTCGGGGGACAGCATGAAGAGAGGATTTTTTTTTGGAAGCGCGACGCGGAAGAAGATATTGAGAGACAGTGCCGGCAAATTTTTAAACACGCAGCGCACTGTACGGTGCACGTGATACTGAGACCACTCCAAGGTGGAACGGCTCTAGCGGCAAGGCGGCCAAAATAGTGGCGCCGGGCACAATCGGCACGGCACTTCTGCTTAAGCGACGGAGAAGAAGAATTAAAATCGCTGCGCTTATTTCCTGCTGGCCCGCGATTAGTTTCGCAGTGGAGCGATGTGATTTTCTCTTGTCCCTTTTCCTCTTTACTTCTTGATCACCTGGCTACTGCGGCGGAAGTATGTCAAGGTGCTGCGAGATGGTGTCCACGGACTTTGATAAATACATAGACTGCTTTGTGGAATATCTGCCTTCGGACTAGTCCGGTGACGTAGAGGTCCCCGCCAATGGTGTTGCGCTGACAGAAATAACCTGCAGCTTTGCCCGTGTGAGCGCTGATGGACCGTCGCGGCTATTTTCGCAGCCCTCGATCCGGAGCTACTGGTATAGTTGCATATCCCCACTTTTAGTGGAGCCAGCCCCTACTGTCCTGCACCTCTCATTCCCGCTCCCATGGTCGACCAGTCTGGGCTTGCCTGTCCGTCTGGCTCTCTGCTCTCTCTGCCACACACACACACTCCCTCTCTTTTTGGCCGTGGGAGTTGAGAAGTCGCGACCCCGACATTGCTGGGTCCCTCTCATCACTTGCACCCATTCCAACACCACTTTGCGTCCCACGGCATCACCGACCACCAAAAGTTGAGAGTGAAAAGGGCCAAAGGAGAGGGTTGGGGAGGGAAAAAAGAGTTCAGAAAGTCGCACGCCATATCAAGCGACTCTTGTCAAGCGCGCCTCTGCACCGCGGTCTTGAGGCGTGGCCATCGCTGAGAGTCTGAGACGGCCGAAGCGCAGCTGCGAACCAGACGACTCAGCACCGAGGCCACAGGCTCCAGGCTCCCAGGCTGCGGCGCCAGGGCCCATATTATCAGCTCCAGTCGGTCCAGAGGGCCGTCAGTGCCCTCTCGAGCGCTCAGCTCTTTCGGTCGGGCGAGAAAGCCAGGTCGACGATCCCCGTCCAGCATCCTGACTCCTGCGTCCTGCGTTGCGTCCCGACGTCGAATCCTCCGCCCTCGCTCGCCTCGACGCGCTCAACACTTATTCATCATCGCCGCTGCATCCTTTACCTCGCCCACCCGGCAGACGCCTCTGTGCCGTGCAGACGCGCAGACCTCACCGGTGCGAGGCCCTTCGCGTCCAGAGCCTCTTGTTTCCGAGCCTTTTTTTTTCCCGCGCTGGTGTCTGGTGTCTCGTCCGCTTCTTGTGTCCCCTGTCAGCGTCGTGTGTATCACCGCGCGCGGCCTGGCGTCAACGTTTGGGCCTTTCCCACTCCGCATCGATCAGGCTGCCCGGCCTCTGACGCCGTCTCCCATCTCATCCTCGCACTTGGTTCGTTTCTCCCTTGCTTGGAGTCCGGCTCGCCGACGTCGCTTGTCCAGCACCCGGCCTCTCTCCCACTGGGACCCGAGACCTTTTCGTTTTCGCCGTCAATCCGCGTCGCGATACCCGCCCGCCCTCAGAAATCACCAGTCTTGGCCCGTCGCCTACATCGACATCAGCCTTGCCCAGCCGACTCCTGACGCATGTGCACGCGGTAGTGCACCGCAGTCGCTTGTCGATATCCACGCCGTGGGTAGCCGGCTTCCTATAGCAAGGAGATGATGGCAACTAGCATGGGCCCAAACTTCACAGGCCATCCCGCTGGGATGGGACATCCTGGTGTCGCCGGCCACCCCATGGGCCCCGGCATGCCTCCCAACTCTGCACAAGGTGCGACTGGTGGTGGAATGCCTCAGCAGTTCGCCGGAGCTCACATGGCCGTCGGCCCAGGAGGACAAGTAAACCCTGCCCTGATGGGAGCCATGCCACCGGGTGCTAATCCTCATGTTCATGCATTGCAGCACTTGAATCCCGCTCAACAGCAAATCTTCCAGCAGCAACACCAGCAGCAGCTGCAGAATCAATGTAAGTAGCGTCTGTCTGGCACCTCCCCCCCCCCGGGCGTTGTTTCAATCGTTTGACTCGGCCTTGTTTGCATCTCTAGACAACAACCCCAGCGCGATGGCTGCCATGCGCCAGCAACAACTTCTCCAACACCAGCAGCAACAGGCGAAGCAAGCATTTTTTGCCCAGCAGGCCATTCAAGGCAACATCCCAGTCGGCGTCAACGGGATGCCCATTGGGATGCAGCAACTAGGCCAACTCAATGCGCAACAGCTCCAACAGCTTCGGCAATCGGGAAGAATGGGCCCTGTAGGAGAACCACACCACCCATTGTTTTGTCGATGTGGACAACGTTGGACTAACCCCCTTGATGTAGGGTCAGCATCACCAAGCTCAGGCCCTCATGGCTCATCACATGGCGCTCCAGCAGCAGCAACAACAACAACAGCAGCAGCAGCAGCAGCAGCAGCAGCAACAGCAAGCTGCCCAGAGCCAGCAAATGTCTGGCAATCCTGGACAACCAATGGGCATGAATGCCCAGGCCATGGCCAACCTACAACAACAGCAACAAGCTCATATGGGTGCTGCTGGCCAGAATCAGATGGGCCAGCCGCAACAAAGCAGCCAGCCAGGCCAAGGTCAATCGCAGCCGCAGCCTCAACCTCAACCTCAGTCTCAACCTCCGCAGCCCCAACCACAACAGTCCAGCCAACCGCAAGCCCAGCAAACACCACAACAAGGCTCCCAAGCTGGTACTCCGGCACCCAGCGGCCAGCAGACTCCGGCTCAGACGCCTGCGCCGCCTACACCATCACAACCAGCTCCGCAGCAAGGACAAAATCCACAACAGCAGCAACCCCAAGGACAGCAGCCACAGAATCAACCTCAGCAGCCTGGCCAGCCACAATCTCAGCAGGCTGCTGGCCCAGCACAGTCACAGATGAGTGCTGCCACAGCAGCCGCCGCGCAACAGATGGCCATGTCGAACTCCCTTTTTCATCAGCAGCGAAGAGAGAATCTGAAGGGGCAGTGTCTATTGAAGTTGATGCAGTTTTCTGAACACCTGAGTGGGTTTCCTGTAAGTCTCGCACGCACTCTTGGCCACGACCAAAACCACGCCCGATCTCCCCGACGGTAAGCTGATGATTGCAGCAGGGACAGAGGGCCAAGGACGACCTCTCGTACTGGAACGGCTTTGTCGGACGGTTCTTCTCCAACAATGGTGTCCTGCGTCATTCAGTACTAATAAATGACGCTGATGAGCCAACCGACAAGCAATACGAGATAGCCTTCCCGGCCATTGCCCGATACTTTCACACACACTTCAGTAGCGGTGTCAGGAGCATGCAGTTGATAATGGACAAGGGGCTGACCGATCGATCTTTGCCTGGCGAAGGCCATTGTATCGAGAACCAAAGAGCCAGCCTGGTCTACTGGTTTGAAGCGGGCTCACATGTAAGTCATTGTGCTGCAAAGGTTGATTCGGGGATGTGCTGCTAAACGAAGAATCACAGCTCGTCGCTACCGGTACACTGCGAGTGCAATTCGACAATGAACAGCGCATTGAGCTTTTCGAGTTCGTCACGACTGGACATGAGGAATACATCTCAAGGAGGCAGGTCATTGAAGCCGCCAAACCCGCTCACATGTGGATCAAAGATTGGCACAGGGTCAACTCTCAGGATGGCAAAACTTCTCCGGAGATGTCCAAGAAGAGCAAGGCGAAGCAGCTCAAGTCACCCCAGACCCAACCACCTGAAGTTCTGGTAGATCTACCCGACTCTGCTGTCAACAGCAAAGGGGTGACCGAGGCGGTACACCAATTCCTCGAGGTAAGCCATGCGCCCTCTTTCGATTTCCATGGCCCCTTTTTGGTCCGTGAAGCCTGATCTGACCGTGTTGAAAAGATTGTCGAAGTAATGGGTCAAATGAACCCACTCTTTGGATTCTGCCAAGGAAACCCTGGTGTCGGGCCGTATGCTGCACTGGAGCAGTACGTCGGAACTTATATCAACGGAAATCCCCAGGCCGTCAATGGTCCGCAAATACCCCAAGGCGGGCCTAGAACACCTAGCTTTGGTCAATTCCCGATGGGGGCGAGCCCTGCAGCGGCGCACATGAACCTCCCCGGATCACCGCACGTCGGTAGCCCAGCTCCTGGACAAATGCAAGCTCCAGGTATGCAGCTGCAGCCTAGCCAGCAAGGAACCAGCTCAAGTGGGCCGAGCGCCAACACCTCGCCGGCGTCTAACAAACGCAGACGCCCGTCTGGTGTTAAAATCGAGGATGATGGGAGTGTAGCGGGTACGCCAGGTGGTGCTCAGGTCAACGGCGTGGGCAGAGGGAAACCGCCGACTCCTCGGATGCCGAAGCGGGTCAAGGGAAATCCTTCATGAGATTTTACCTCTTGTTGACCTTGACAGCTTGCTGGAGGGTGACACATATATTTTCATGCTCTTTTACGTCTTCATGCGGCATGGCGGCGTCCGTTTCGGTACTCGGTTGATTCTTGGCCGGCAACTTTGATGCGTATTTTGGAGAGTCGATGGGATAAGACCAGCATACACTTGATTTTTCTTTTTCACTTTTTCATTTTTTTCACTCTTTTCTTCTTTTTCCTTTTCAGATTCCCGAAAATGTTTCTTGTCTAGGGCTGGGCGTTTGTCTTTTCGACCTCGAGACGACCAGCCATGGTCCACGTCGCTTGCTCGACTGATACCCAGCAAGAAGGAGTGCTATGTGGCATAGGCAGCCTTTGTCGAGACCAGGCTCTACGAAGTGGACAAGGGGGTGGGACATGTGTTTAGGAGTGGAGCAGACGACATGATGAGAGTCGGATTCGGGTTGTTTCCGTTTTTGCTTTACATGGACACGGTTGCTCAGAGTGGACTCGGTGTCGGGTCATTTCGTTGAAAATTCCGGTGTATGGTGTTTGGCAGACTTGTACAGAGGCGTCGGTCACCAATGAGAGCGGGGGAGAGAGAGAGAGAGAGAGAGAGAGAGAGAGAGAGAGAAGGGGATCGGCACTCGACGAAAATGAAGGGGATGGTCCAACCGAGGGGCGAAGAAGAAACGCAAGTGGTGGAGAGCGAATGCTAATGGAGTCTTGTCTTTTTTTTTTCTTTTTTTTTTTTTTTTCCT